GCATCGTCGAGTAGGTTAAATTGTCACTGTTAGACGCAACTCCGATTAACGTAGGGAAATTAGTGATTCGGAATGTAAGGCGATAAATTTAGCTAGACTTCTTCTGCCTTAGTAAAATTTTAATGGACGGCTTTAATAACACACTGACATTGTTACGTCTGCTTATTAGATTTTAAGGTTATTTTCGAACTATGTAATATCAATCTAAGGCGACAATGTCAAACACTATATTTAACTATTAAAACCCAGGGTAGGATAACCCTCGTAAAAGGGTCGCCGAATCAGAACGTAAATCCTGTGTCTGGATGTACTCACGATATCCATTTATCGAAATTCTCCTGTAACTGAATTAAATTGGAGTATTTTAAATCCCTAGACTACTATTGGCTTCTACACTTGTTCTAATCGTTTTTGTTCGATTAGTTAGCACATAAATCCAAACGTCAAAGTCTGAGAAAGATATTGATCGTAATAAAAAAAAATGTAATTTCTTGTTTACCCGCATGTCACATATACGCTATTATATATGTATACGGAATTATTGATATTGCACAGGCACTGTGAGAAACAGATGAATTGACGGAATTACGCTAGTAAAAGGTACTCTGCAATTTGTCAGTGATATAATGATAACTTTAATCGATACAAGTGAAGACGGTACAGTGGAATATAATTTATTTTAATAACATCAGCACGTAATGACGACTGTTATTCATTAAATTTAATTAGTGAATCTGTTAAGTAATCGAACTGATCGGATTGGAGTTTTTGTTATTAAATAGAAAAAACACGACGGAGATCGTTAACGGAAATCAGATTATGAAATAAAGAATTTCTAGGTATCTGCTCAATACGATATTATACAGTGCAAGTCCATTATAGCCGCCAGTAAAGTTAGCGACAGTAACAATATCAATGTACACCGATATAAATACCATGATCTTTTAATCAGAATTTACTTTTTTTCTTTTTTATCGCTCCTTTTCTTTACGTATGGCCTTAAGAGTTGCTTTCAGACATTGTAAGTTTATTCAACACGGGGGAAACGTTTTTTTACGTAATTTTTTTTAGTTATTTAAAAGTAAAAATATATTCATATTTAAATATATTTCATATAGACGTAATTTTTTTTTATACAGTTGCGCGCGATTGAGTAAAAAAAATACGCCCTTTCGAAACATCCAAGTGAACTCCCATCTTCTGGTCCCTTTTTTTTTCGGCATGATTTTACCATTAAAATAGTATTCACAGACATTTCAGACTAATTTTCCGGTGGCCGGATTCTCATATATTTTTCAAAGCGAAGGTAAAAGTTTTTGGTATACTTCCTTGTCCGCCCATGAATAGATATACCTCGAGCCCCACTGTAGAAGAAAGAAGCGCATCTTTACCAACCATAATAAGAATGCAAAAATGTAACACTTCTGTGAGAACAGTCTAATGGCTTTTATGGAACGCGGCGCGATCTCACCGACTATAATTTAATAGTCAATAAAACCATATGGTCACGACCCACTTTTCTCAATGGTCGCACTGAGGTCCTAAAAGTTTTAATTCCCAGAACAGACATTTAATTCCGCAATCTCACATCATCCAATAATATATTTATGAAGTCGTATTAAAAATGCGATCGTTTAAAATTAAATTCATTTAACATTGCTTCAAACCCAAACAGTCGAACAGATTGCGAATAGTAGATAACAATAATATTGTAATATCACGTGAAACAAATAATAATATACTAACGTACTATCATGCCATTACTAATAGCAGAAGCAATAATTGAAATGAGGAAATCGATTCAACCCGAGAAAAAAGTTAACGTAATCGTCGAGTAAGGACCTGATTCATTAATCAGTGCGAATAAATGTTGCCGTAATTGGGATAAATATTTTAATAGTACGGAGGGCAATTATCTTAAAGATTTTCGAATTAATTTTCCATGTGCGTGGATAAGTAACCCTGATTAAAATTTTATAAGCGTTGATAATTATATACTTGAAATATTAGGGTTAATAAATATTTCCTTTATGTCACAAAAATATTTATTTACACTTTTATTACACTCCTTCTATGCAATTCATGTAGCGCAAGGGACATTATATCTATAGATATTAATAGATCCTGACTTGCACACAGTATATATCTATACGTATACGTATATATGTATGTATATAGACTTCTACATTTTCGATTTAAATAAAAAAATCTGACGTTTCAAACGGAAATAACGCTATTCCTGGCATACCTGCGTTCAATGTAAACTACATGGGAACGAAGTATTGAATGTGAGTTATTCAAATCAATGTTACAATTCCCGATGAACGGCTCTCACAAAATTCTTATGTTCGTTCTAAACTTCCAGTTGACGAAGCGTGCAATATCTTTCAGATGAGATATTCGTGTATCCTTTTGGAATGCAGACTCTCACCGTATGTCAAATATTTGCCGTTGAAAAAAAAATTGGTTGAAAAATTTGTGCTGTTTGAATCATCAATATAAAATGACAAGAGCGAGCCTTTGACATTTTGATGGAATTTCACGTGTAAATTCAGGGTACGAAATCTCGAGTGTAAAATTTGAAATTGTCCAATGTGAAACGTGGAGTTTGCAGCTTAAAATTTATTGCTGTATCGAAAACTAGGAATCTTAAAATGAAGTATAATGCATTTTTTTTATAACATTACTGTGGGTGCTGTTATGATTAAATAAAATTACGTTTGCACTGTCTGACCATATCTTCAATACGTTTCAATCTAAGCCGCTTATCTTCGTCTGTTTTTTTTTATTCACTACGCTTGTTACTCGCCTTGTCTTGCCTAGGAGATTTGTAAATCCAACCAAATTGGCTGACAGTTTTGGCCGGTGAAACATTCAGTTTTAAATATCAGGGAGTCAAGAGAAAACCTTTGGTTTTATACGGATTTGACTAGAAGCTCGTACGTCACTAATTATCTGAAAAATTACAAAAAATAATTTTACCATCCAATACACTTTGTTCTTCGTTATTCACAGTATGCGATGGTTGTCACCCTTGCCCACGTGACACTGTATTTTGACAGTCTCGATGAATATCCGGGCCGAGAGCAATTTTAAGGGCGTTGCTCCTGACGATGTTCTTCTTGCATGTGACGTATAGCGAAAAGGTCGTATAATAATGAGCCAGCGACACGTGTGGCTAATGTCAGTCGATAATATTAAGCGGCCTTAACGAATCCCCCTCGGGAATCGGAAATCTCAATGAAAATTCTAAGGGATGACTTATAAGAGGGCAACATTGGATAGGATTTATCGTGTATATTGGTTTTTTCTCTTTTTTTTGTGTAATAAAATTTTCCTTCCTTCCTACATAAGAGGTTTTTGACATTTTTGGTAGTTTTGGTAGTTTTCGTAGTTTCTGTATTGGGAAACCTGGTAATGATGATACCTAAAAAATGTCTATATGTAGATTTACCTTGGTTTTTTAAATGTTTACTTAAGATTTTGATTACTCCAGTTAACTAACTCCTATGACGGCATATATCTATTGTACACGTATATAGAGTATTGACATTGCTCTGATGACCATATGTAAATTCGAAACAGATTCGTTGTAGATCCGATTGGCTCGTTAGGGATTAATTTTTATAATCAGTCTAAGAAACCATAAGCTAATCAAGAAGTTCTTATATTACAGCCGTATTGAGGTAAACTAGGGGCTGAAATTCATTTTTAATTGGATTTAAGGTTGAAGTATTCCTATTCGAATAAATAAAAAGAAAAGAAGTTTGATTTTACGGTTTTGCGAAAAGCATGGCGATTCTGAGAAAGCCATAAGGAATTCTAGTAAGAAAAAAAAATTTCGCAAAGTCGAGAGCGTCGATCGAGTATTCTCAGTATTTTTAGAGCGAGAACTCAAAAGTTGTCGCTCAAAAAAAGTACGTTTTACACCTTTTCCATCCCACCTACGTCGATTCGTTTCACGGGCAAAAAAACTTGTAAATTCCAAGGGTCGTCGAAAAAAAAAAGGACAAACCGACGAGTCATCTCAAGTAATAAAGAAATGGTACGAAACGTAAAAATAATGAAAAAAAGAACTTAATGTGCTTTTTATTATGACAATACAGTCGACTCCATTTGGACTTAAATTCACATTACACCTACAAAAATGACCATTGGGTACTTCCACAGTATATTTACTCAAAATAAAAGTTCAGTCACACAGTTACCAAAGCTCTTGGAAAAGCTTTCTCGGAAGTGTCGTGCAAAGTTCCCTTGTCTGGGTTAAGATTTACTTAAAATAGTGGAAAATTCGTTCGCTCGACCCGGTAACATTTAAATTACGCGCCGAAAGTCGCACAGTGTATTTCTTGGAATCTTTCTGAATCATTCTATCTCTAAGACTGTAGAATATTTTTTTAATCTTCTCATACTTTTATTTAATTCTAAAAGGAATTTCGATGCATTCGCTTTAGTTCCTTCGCGAGGAATCGACCGACCGAGTTTATTTCATGGACCGAGGAATGTGGTTTAACGAAGTAGGAACGTTTCCGGAATGCTCAGTGAGGGAAGACATCGGGATAAGTTCATCCTTTTTCTTTTTACTATCTCTTCTTTTTCTTTATGCTTCCGCCAAATTCCTACTCTCTCTCTCTCTCTCTATCGGTCTCACTGTTCTCATAGTAACATATCTGCAAAACCATCGAAATGAAATAGTACGTGCTATATGTATGCCACTATAAACTTTTAATTTGCGAAAACAATGACAACCCTGAAATTGCACAAGTAAATATAAACGATCAGCTTGACATTAATATGAATTAATAATAATTAATGAACGAATTAAAAAAACGATTCCCACTGGCTTTTCTCCCACATTTTGTTTCACATGTCAATTATTTCAATATGCAAATTATAATAGGACAATTTATTTCATTTCACTGTAAATGACTTATCGTGTACCGAAAGTACTGTAAGGATAAGGATTTTTTTTTTAATAAAACCACAGTACTAGAAATTTCCTCTACAAAAGTATATTTATTTATGCATATCGTAAATTTACAATCGATCCAATTGTTTTTCGGTTCCTCGTTCTCAGCGATTTCTGTAAAAAAAATATTTGCCTGATATCAATAAATCCTTTTGCTTTTATTCGGTATCTCCTCTTGTGTCTTCCAAGCACGCATGCATCATATTCCGAGGAAATCCATACATGCGCTTACCTTTACAAAACATTCACCTTCCCGGTGAATAAATTTTCTTCTAGAATACACATAGGAAGGCAAAGCCCGAAAGTGTATCAGTATAAGAAACATTTATTCTGAAAAATTTATCCTCACTTTCGTGCGTCTACATGATATCTGAATCCATCAGATATACATATTTCATCCTTATGGAACCCTGTGTCTCTCATCTTGTTTTATCAGCGAATCCTAAATAAAAGTGATATTAATTCATATTTTTCTACGTGAGATTTTTCAATAGCCCCGTATGGGATAACCTAGAATAACAAAACCTCAATAACGCGCCGAAGATAGCGTATCGAAATGTGCATATCGATGAAGCACAGTAATTGTATAAAGTGATATATTCATCCCAGAATGACCCAGACATAATATGTGTTGCACTCGCGTTATCAGAGATATCAAATGCACGTAAAAAATTTTCAATCGCTAAAATCTGTATGGCCAGTCTTAATTTGTACAGGTAACAGGGTTTTCGTATAAAGGAAGTATACGTAGAAAAAAATTCTAATAAACTATCTCGCTGGACATTTTATCCAACGTATCTATCTTACGCTTCCGTATCGATTTTTCATGTCACCCCTTTGCCGCAGCAATTTGTTCAAAACTAGATTGTACCCACGTCAATGGGGTTTATATCGGTTTCACAGGTCACTCACAATCCCATTCGAATCATTGGTATTCAGAACGTCAAAGATCCACTAAACACAAAATGTGCATCTGCACTAAAGAAAATTCAATTCTTCACTTTTTCCCATTTCCGCTTCAATACATGAGCAGAAAGCTTGAGCAGACCCAAGTTACATGCAAGATGCATCTTCAACGGAAAATCCATTTACCTTGATCACCCTTTGAAAATTTTGAACGGTACTGACAGTTACCAGATATACCAACCTAACCTGAAAGTTCGTCCAAAATATCAAATGGATAAAAGGAGAGAGGAAGAAAATTCTAAATAATTATATTGGTTATGAAACCAGCTCATCGAATAACAATATCCAAACCATATTATATATTATATAATTATTAAAAAAAATACAATATAAATATTGTATTGCTTGTATAGTCCAAGTACAGGGACTCTCGTGACAACATAGAAAACCACATTCCTCTTTGAGATGACTAAATATTGTTTTATGATTAAACGAAATCGAGATTTATGTTCTTAGCGTACACCTAGGTCGTATTGAAATGTTCTCCATCGCTGTGAAAATCATCCCCAGTTATCAATATCCGATACTCGTGACTCTCCCAGCGTCACTGAACAATAATCCTATAGGATTATTTCAAACGTGCATTTACCAAGGTCTGATACCGTGAAAATAGTAATGGTTTCTTACAATGACATTTCCTGAGTAATCATTGCTAATACGAACGATGGTGCCTTAAACCATTCCAGTACCCCAATGCGCTCAGACAGAATAGTCCCTTAGGATTACTTTCGGTTAACAAAGGTCGTTAATAGCTTTATGTCCCATAATCTCTAAGGGGGTTATGCATTAAAGCAGTTGTGCAAATATGACTAGTGGTAAAGGTGGACAGATCCTATTTATAATAGAAATAAATGAATAAATCCACTAAATTCTTAAGTGTTCTACATATGTCTAATGTTATTTCTTTTTTTCAAGCTGAACCCCCCATATGACATACAGAAGCATCTCGGGGTATCGTGTGCATCCTTCATTTTATGGTGTTTCGTTTGCCCTCAGGGTATTTTGCAGAGAAAGCTCGTCCAGGAACAATATTTTTGCTCGATACCTTTGGGCAGTGGATAGATGTGTTTTTTTTTAATATTTCTGTTTCGGCATAGTGAAAATGTGAAATAGCGCATGGTAAAAAAAAAGTGATGGCGCATGTAAAAAAAAATACATCTACGGATGATGTAATCTGATTGGAAGGGATTTGAAATTTTTTAAATCCGAATTAGGAGATGATACGCAAATAAGCACTTTAACGTATAGTTTCAGCTGAAACAAATGTTTTACAATGTACTGTAGTATAAGTTCAGCTACTGAATTTGAAAAATAATACGTTCTCGTCATTCTCAATACTAGCAGCTGGACTCTTAGTGTAACTGGCGGTTTTCGGTTGCGTCAGTGCATTTTGCTGCAACGACTCAACCGGCCGCTTCCAGAGTTCACATTTTCGTGCAGCTGCTACCAAATAAATTATCGCATAGAAGGAACCTCGTGTCGGGATATGTGGTATTCCTCGTAGCCTTTACTGTATACCTATATTCGGTTAGATAAATATATATTACACCAAAATACAATATACTGCATTGGGAATATCAGTCAGGATAAAGTTTGGGGAACCAGCCAGCGCCACTCACGAGAAATACGTGAACGAGACATTTAATTGAAACTTTTGCAGGATATCTCTAAAGGTGATATTTGTATAGGACTAGTGTCGCAATTTTAGAAATTATTGTATATACGGAAACCACCACAGGATTCATTGCCGAAATAACAACCAGAATGAAATTTCCACTTGCCGAATGGTAACAGAGAAATCATACATATACTTTATATGAAATACCAGGTTTTAGTTTCTTGATTTTCATAAAAATGACTTTCTAGTAAACGTCTTCATTCTTCAGTAGTTTTTTTCATATTCCTACAGGACTCCCAAAGGGTTTCCCCTTAAAGCAAGGATCTCATCGAGCACGTCGAGCTCTCAGTAATTTACGCTTCCACCTTGAACAAATATTCTAGTACGTAGACGCTAATACTAGCATACATAGATGACATTGCTGGAATCCCATACCTGCTGCATTCATGGCTAGGGACGTCAGTTAACCAAGAAAGAAGAACCTGACTCGATAAAAAGAATTAGATGGGAATAACAAGAGAAAAAGTCAACGCTGAAGAATGAGCTGACAAGCAGAGCAGATAGGACGTTGTCAAAATATAATACTCACTGGAAGACCTTTGAAATTATCACGGTAATTTTTCCACGGAGTCTATAACATGAAGTTGACATCGTGTCTCTCTGTTTTCCTTTCTTATTTTTTTTGTTTTCTTTCAATATCTCTCTGTGCATTTATGTTCATCGCCTGGCGACATCTAGCGGAATAATATACGAACCTTTTAAGTAACTCGATACTCTGCCGACTTACAATTCCCCGCAACCGGATAAAATTCATCCCAGCAGGCAGATGAATCATGTGTTGTACCCCATGTAATTTGCATACATCAAGAAACTGAACTCGATCTCTCATACACCGTCGACACTCTAGCTTCATATTTTAATAGACGTATCTCATCTAATATTTTCATATAGACGTATACATCCAAAGTATGCTTAGTGGAATTTTCCATACTTCCTTCAAGAACAATATCGTCATAGAACAGGATAAATATTCGCAAGGTATAAGGTAATTTTAATGTCAAGTCTACACTGAATGTATTTCAAAGCGAATCTTATTAATCTTAGATGTGATATTCGCCTTCTATGTGTTCGCTATGTATGATACCGCGCACGAATGATATATATATAAACAACAACGTAACTATTCAACGAGCGTAGGAAAGACCGCATTGCAGAGTATCCCATGTGAATCCAGACTCCCCTCTAGTAGGAAATTTGTTAAAGGTACACAAGTACTGACGCTCTCATGTGCTCCCAGGCCATTACTCTATTAGACGCTTACAAGAGAGGCTAGACGGGCCGGTGAATTATCGTGCGGCGGTAAAAAAAAATCCTTGCTTATACTCGAAATAGTGGAATCTTATCGAGGATCCAAGACGCAGATACATGGCTCTCGTATAAGTTTCTTTTAAATCAGACTGTCCAGTTCGTACGCGTAATAAATATCCAATCTCACAGCACTGTGAAACATTTCGAGTTGCGTAACGCGTAGCACTTTGTTTTATGCTAAAATTTCACTCTCTGATAAATTGTACTAGTTTTCATTGGCCTGCTCAACTTCATGGAGAATCTGTCGATTTGGATAAGAAAGTTATAATACATACGAATGTTGCATCCCGTTTCCATGAAACGTTGATTTTAATGACGCTCACGTGAAAACCACACCGAAGACTTTGCAACTAAAAGTATTAGGGTCCTTTTTAAAGGGCTGCTTCAAAACTTGTAATTCTTTACGAAATTTAAGCGATTCCGCTTATTCTCAAAATTCTTTCACTACGAAATTTCAGTCACTCGGTATCATTCTAATAATGTTATTCACTGAATTTCACATGACGCTTTATACTGCTAGTACCGTGCTCCCTCACTAAAATTTCACTGGCTAATATTTAATATCTCTGTAGTCAGAGGGGAACTGGTTCCCCAGAATAGCCCGAATCTGATCCAGTGTGTCTTCAAATTTGATTCCATCGGTCATGCTTCCTGCTGTGCATCAGTAACATATTATTTTCTCAGCGTATAACAAACAAACTCTATACAATAGGATAAATTCAATATAAACTTCTAAGCATGATAAAGATTCTCTTGAAGTTTACTGTGTATTGTGTAACCTAAGAGAAGATTTTTAAGTGTTAAGGGATCATCGCAGTAAAATTTAAAAAAAATCGATTTTTTTCCATTATCTGATAGTATATACACGGTTATAAACATGCTGTCAAATTTTTATGTCGAAATTCGAATTATTTCGGTCGCTAGCCTTTCTTAGAAAAAGGGATTGGAGGGTCAGACCTGGCGCACTCCGAACTTTGAACGCGTTTTTCTCGGAATGGTGTTTTTCAAAACGGTGGCAACTCTGAAAGGAAGAATTTTCAAGCTATACATTTGAAATTTTAACAGAACATTCTTCACGTCATTTCTTATGTTGCTATGGAAGCTTTTTTTTTTGAAATCTTCCTATTTTGTTTTACGAAAAACTGTCGGAAAAAGGCATTTCGGCTTTCCTACACATTTATAAACCATTTAAAATTTTTGTTTGAGGTAAAATTTGCGCCCGCAATCCTGGCCACCATGGGACAACATTTCTTTTCCATCCAATTTTCCACAAATAAAAACAACGTTAAATAACACATAAACAAGCTTAAAAAAAATCATTTTCTATAATTCATAGGTGCTTCAATTTGTAAAAAAAAAATTAGACCGATTACCTTATTCCATCCACCTAAAAAAAAATCGCGAACATCGGCTATTTTTCGGACGGTCACACTGTGATGATCCCTTAAGCACTCAACTTTACCCTCTGTTAATACGAGTTTCCTAATTTCAACAGAAAACGTCCCTGGCTCCCTAATGAGTAATTCTTGTGTCAGAATCATGCTTCTACTACTACATTACTCAATAGCCTATGACTGATGATAACGGAAACCTTAAAGCTATATTAATATCTTCAGAAATACCTTTTCCAAGAAGATTACGTAAGGTATTTTCGTTCTCCCTCCTCTCTTCCTGGAAAATATTGAATAATCCTTCAAACTTTGACAAAGTTTCGTCTCAACTAAAATCATCCGTTTCACTTGCTTAACCTTTTTGAGCAGTCATAATTTATTGGAAATTTCCTACAGAATGATTTAATTGAGATCAGACGGAAATTTTGGAAATTATTAACGAAGACGCTATATTCTCATTCTCGGGAGATAAATATTCCGTGCTCATGAACTACAGGATATTGTAGTACAATTTCGAGAAAACCAATTGCACTGTATGAATATGCATTATATGAATTGCAAAAACAAATTTTACGCCACGGATTGGCAGGATGCTGTGTGGTGGGGAAAAAAAAATTGTGCAATTCCTCTCTGAAATATTTCATCCCTCGCATACGTTTCTGCTAGTAATTTATATTTGGAATTATTAACTTGACCCAACCAGCGCGAATGGACCATACGATCTGCTGCTGTACTGGCTTGTGTTATTGTTTTTCACAATCTACAGCATATTAGCCAGTGGCGAGTCCCTGGAGAACGATCTACATGCAATAAGATATTGAGTATTACTATCTTCGATTATAAAATGTATTATATTGTGCTTTACATGAAAATTAAAAAAAAAATTGAACGGGATCCGTACGTTGAAACTCTTTTTGATGTTTCTCGTCGCCTCTAATTATTTTTAGTACGTTTAATTATCCGCGCAACAGAAAATCCGACAGGCTGTTATGTCACGCGTCCCACGTATGTAAGCTTTGAAGTACTTAATTTTAGAAAATCTCTTTCGTTTTGATTTTTAGTAATACTTTGATTTGACTGAGTCGTAGAAAATTGTTACAGAAAAATTATCATGCTGAATTCATTTGCAGAACACAATAGGTAATGCATTGCTGAATTGGATTGTTGGGTAACGAATGGCAGAAAAATGAGAAATTCGTTGAGTCGTTGAACATTAAGTAATTAAGTAAATGGCGTGAGACAGAAGCTGACTTTAATAGATCGTCAAGGAACGTGACTCCGGAACATTATTTACGAGGAGACGTATATACGTCCTTTATGATTTAAAGGAATACGATATTGAACATTCTTATGTAATATTTAATTAGGAAAATTGAAAATTTTCAAACATTCCTTGTATAATTGCGTTCTACGTGAATATGAAAATTATCATTAATCGACAAACGTTGATATTACATTTTTGTCAACATTTTTTATCCAGGTCTTATACGCATAGTACAGTAGAATGTCGTCATTTGACAAAATCAAGAAAAACGCGTGGAATTTCATGGTTAGCGAATTTATTAAATTCCGCAAATGAATCTACCGGAAGAACAAAAACATTTAATGATCCTCGTCTGTCTGGAACTATAGCGAACTGATTTTTTTTCAACAGTTTTCTCTCCTCACAATACACAATGCAGCACGACGATTAAGATATTAACATGTACATTAAAAATAAATGTAGCTTGCAAATGTATGTACCCAGCCTTCCTATAGCCAAATCGTATATATCAAGCGAAGCGGAAGTAAACGAAGTTTAAATTACGTCTATAAATATTTCAAATGTGAAGCAGCTACTTTCTCATTGAGTAAATGAACTCGAGTACGTCGTACTACGTATATCGACAACCGTCGTAGAAACTCCAGGAGTGTAAACTTTGTTCATCGTACGTCGCGTCAAAAGTAAAAAGAAATTTCAATACTTTTAACGAAACTCTGAAAGTCGTGTTTATGAATAATATCGAAATAACATTAAGCAGCAATAGCGCTAATTAAGCGCGAGGTATAAACATTGAAGAAGAAAAATGAAATACATAAGATCTGCGGCTTTTAGTATTTGATTCTCTTATCAGACGGTACCACTCGGTGATTTTCGTTAGCTGAATAAAATATGCACTTCTTGATTTTGTCTTGACTTTTTTTTCTGCGTGAATTACACTCGACTATTGAATAAAGGCAGAAGTCTTGGTTCATGTTTGACGTTATGAAGTTAAAAATTATATTAATGTTAACATTTCAATATTTCGTTATAAGCGTAAGAATAATAGGGATTGTTTTTATGGCCCTTGCTAAAGTCTACCTACTCTCCTCAGTTGTGTCAGACTTTGTGAAAGATAGACTTAAAAACTGGGTATAATGAAAGTTTTTGACTTCGCAAACTTTGGGGGTCATGGGATTTTAGAAATATTGTCTAACGAAAGTTTCTAAATAACTTCTTTCTTCTTTCATTCTCTTTGACATTCATGTCTCTAAATGTCGATGCATAAAAACAAATTTATGTAATTTAGGATATAAGCATAAATTTTCTTGGAAAAAAAAGTAACATGAAAAATGCTTTAAAATGAAGTCTCTATCATGGACTGAGATTCACAAAAGAAATATCCGATGGATTTATAACCAAATTATGAAAAAAAAATTATTCTCATCGATCCCAAGGGTTAAAGTCATTTTATGGTGCATTAAGATTCTTTTGACAAAGCTTTCAATCATGACTCAGTCTCCCGTTTATACCGTGAGAGTTGGTGAATTTATCAATGAGACTTGCTATTTTATACCACTGTGCAATTTCATACTGTTCTGATCCTCCGTAAAAACGGATTTTTCCAAAAATTATAATTCATAATATTAACTCTAATTCTGACTTTAAGTAGTTCCATAAAAGTCATCCAGTCCTCGAAACTTTTCCCATATATAGCTCAGTCCGACCCTTCTTCACACGTTTCCGCACTTACCGCATCTAATGTGTTCGATTAAGACAGAAATAACTGTAAGAGTGACGAAGGTTTCTTGTCAGCTAGTGGTCGTATTAGGTCTGCCATTCCGAAAGAAAAAATTCCTCTCAGGTGACTTAAATTCGCACAGTAACAGGCACTAGAATTCCTACAGAACTTTTCCAGATACCCATAAATCTATTTAACATTGAGATTCCGAGAAGAGTAGATAATCGAAAAAAAAAATGTAATCCCTGTGTCCATTTTATTTCAGGTAACCTACTGGTGATCCTGGTGGTCTCGTTCTCACGGCGACTCCGCAGCATCACGAACTTTTTCCTGGCAAATCTGGCGGTTGCTGATCTCTGCGTAGGGATATTCTGCGTCTATCAGACCCTGACAAATTACCTTATGAATAGCTGGCAGCTTGGTAATTTTCTCTGCAAAGTCTACATGTTCGTCCACGCGCTGTCCTATACAGCGAGTATAATGATCCTGGTCGTGGTATGTTCGGAGCGATATCTGGCCATTGTACACCCTATGAAATGCCGGGCGATGTTAACCAGGGGTCGTCTCAGAATCGTTATCGGAGTGGTGTGGCTCCTGGCAGCCGTTTATGCATCACCGAGATTCATCTACGTCGAGACGATTAACAATGAGCTCAAAGCTGGTGGTGTGGACATCATCTGCACAGCTAATATGAATAAGCACAATAAGAAAGTCCTGGACGCAGTCAATCTGATATTCCTCTACTTGCTACCGCTTTTCCTTATGTGCTGCCTGTACACTAGGATTGCCGTAGGTCTCTGGAGAAGTGGTGCCACTCTAGGAGGACCTGGTCTAGTCGCCAGAGCCAGAAATGGCCGAGTCCACCACGTGCACACATCCAGCAGAAACGTCCTCAGAGCCAGAAGAGGAGTGATAAGGTAAGCTTATTTTGAATTCTGTAATGAAAGAACAAGGGTACCATAAAAAATGCATAATTAAATTATCAATTTCCAATTAATTTTCAGAATGCTTATCGCCGTAGTAGTCATGTTTGCTATATGCAATCTTCCGCAACATGCCCGGATACTCTGGCTCCACTGGGACTCAAATTATGATCCTACGGCAGACTTCAGCACAATCCTAACGGTTTCGACGTTTCTAATCTCCTACATGAACTCCTGCTTGAATCCACTCCTCTATGCGTTCCTTTCACGAAACTTTCGCAAAGGCATGAAAGAGTTGCTAATCTGTAGCCCTCGGAGTCAAGCTCGTCGTCTGGGTATAGGTTGCACCAGAGGCCATATCTGTAGACATGAAAACGGACAGAATACTAACATACCACATAGCTCAGTGGTCAGATTGAGTTCAGCTCATGACAGCCCCAGTACTACTCATACGATCACCAGGCAAAGTACCTACGATAGAAGCGCCTGAATATGGTACCTTTATGGTAACTTTGAGACAAGGTCAGGTCAATCCTGATCTTCTGAACAAGAATACATTACATGACTCCTCGAATCCTTGTCCCCATTATCAATGCACATTGTTGTGATGCTCAGCACCTAATCCACTCACCATAGTAAAGTCAATGAATCTAATCCACCTCTTGGTGAATACTTAGGAATGTCTCTAGGCTATGTAAGCCAATCTAGATGCCCATTCGATCGTGGTTGCTATGCAAATGTTTTGTGTATATTGAAAGGAGGGTCTGTAACGAAGACTCGATCTTTGTGTCCCTTGGGATGAACGGAGTGCATTGGAAGAATCTTGTAGCTACCACGTGAACAACGTTGTAACCAAACACTCTGAGTCCAGTAACAATTCTCAAGATCACAGTGTAAAGTAAGACATTAATAATCGACCTGACGGATTGTACTTGTTCTTTGTATAGTGATAGGTCCAAGTCCAGGATGCACGAATGGGTTAACCCAATTTTCGAATTTCAAAAAATTGTTATACTTGGCAGCTCCAATTGAAATTCTTAGGTGGCAAAGCCACCCTGGAAATATATACCTTAATAAGTGTCAGGTATCTTTAGATTGCTGGATATTCTTCATTCCCGTTCCTTGTTTTCAGCAATTCTGGTAAGGGTGCACTATGGTGTTTAGGATTCTGTCAGAGGAAGGGCTTCGGCTGTACCCGTTGATGTATTTCGTTCAATTTCTTTCGAGCGAGGAAATGCAAATGTCCCTTGGTAAGATGGTGAAATTCATTGAAGTGTCTTCAGTGTTCCTGTCAACGTTAAAATATATATAAATATTAGCTTAACGCTTTAAATCCTAAGATAAGAAGATTGTATTTTGTAAAGTAAAGAGGTTCTCACGAGTGAGTATCTCTTGTGTATCGATCAGTTAAGATTTTTTTTACTACAATAAGAATAAAGAGCAGACTTGAATTCCCGACGACTCGTATCTCATTGATAACTTTGGAGATCCTCCTATATTAGTTTATATCGCCTATTTCCGCCTATTCGTTATATCGCCGTTATATCGCGTTATATCGCCTATTTCATCCCTACTATCTCATTGTTGACTTAACAAATTTCCAAAAAGAAAATCCTCAAGCATTCATGCTCTTATTTGCGTGGGGATAAATGAATAATGAAAATGGGGTAGGCAAAAGTAATAAGAAAATAAAGATTAAATGTTAATCAGGAGGCGAAAGCTTGATGATTTCTGAAATTTAAGAGTTCAGATATCAATGCACCACAGTAATCCCCATCGTGGAGTCATTCGATACTCTTGGAGTAGAAGGTACTGTTGGATCGTGATATGAAACAACCCCAATCAGGAGAAGTCTTCGCTTTTTCAAAAGAGAATACGATACATTAGGCTAGCAGTTCTTCAAGACAATGATATTATCCAGAATCGATAAAACGCCTAACGTGACTCCTTAGAAGTTACCTTTCTACCTCTCAAACGTGTACAAGGGAGCCAATCAATATATTTCCAGAGGGATTTCGATTGTCGATATTGAATCAATTATTAATGAAGACATATATCAAATTACCAGGTACAGAAGCAATTATGAAACAACACTTGAAGTACCTCGTGTATAAAGATTTTTTCAGAGAGAAAAAACAAGCTGACGATAACGAAAGGAATTGAATGGTAAGTTTTCTTGTAGAAAACAGACAAATTTCTGACATTCAGGGTAATCCTGAAATAACGTCTGACACGTAGTCTGAGTAGTAAATACCAAAGTATGAGTATAAAGTAAATGCAACTGTGTACAGAAAGGTGTAACGTGCATACAGAAAACAGTGGAGTAAAATCAGACAGTACAAATAACATGCTGACTATGTCATAAATTATATTTATCCACCAGATTTTCCAAGTTTCTCCTAAAGTTCCTGCAGAGGCTGTACACCGTGCTATATAATTCGACCTGCTTGTCCGATTAGTGTACCCAAATGCTTCGCGGGGATGCCGTGGATTTTGTTTGATGAAAATCAGACTGGAGCTTAGAAAGAATGGAAGATCTCGCGAATGAGGATAATGGAAACGGAAGTGTGAAACTTTTTGGACATCTGCTTACTAAGACTTCAGATGGAAGAATGCGCCAAGTTACAAGGCGTTTTCAAGAAGATGCATATATCTAGGAAGTTTATAAAGATGAAAAAGACGTCGATCAGATTTGATTCGGCCTATTTTTCTCAGCAACCTCATTTTCCTATGAGTATTCGCGATAATTTATATTTTACATATATTTATACATATAATATATTACAGTATAGAAGGTAACTATGATTTTCACCTAAATTACCATCTCCTTCTTCCGGTGCTGAATGAAAGTTCAGCCGAGAGTTTTAAGTAATTAAAATTTTCCAATTAACCAGGAAGACATTCTCTTATCTGCTTCTATTCTACTTGTATAATTGCATTAATTTCGCAGCAAAGCACCACGAAGAATTTTATTGCTATTCGCAAATTTAATAAAAAAAAAAAAGAATACGAATTTGGGGATATCATCGTGTATAAAGGCAATTGCAGTGATATCAGGTCCGGTAATTAATTTTACCAAAAAAAATTGTACCTGGAAAGTATATCGGAATGAGAAAATAATTTTCGGTACAATTAGAATATCGAAAATATGATAACATTGAACGACAGTAGTTTCCAATCTATCCCGACATTTGCAAAGGGACCTAGGCTGATCTTGTAATTCTACGATAGCACGTACAAAATTGAACCCGTACACAGGTAAGCTATACAATTATTCCAGGTACTTAAAAAAAAAAGTGTAAAATAATTTTTTGTCAACCCCTTCAACGTGAACAATCTCATAAAAATCCTATAATTTTTTTTTACAATTTTCAATTTCCTCATTAACGAATGACTATCAACCGTACATATTTGTCTTATAATAGTCAATATACGTACAGGCGCCGCAATTAATCATGCATTGTATTATACATTCTACATCATGTCTGATACAGCTCAACTGTATGGAAAATTCATCAAGGGTGAATTCCTCTCGATCACTCAGTGTATGTGGAATCATAAAAACGACTGAGTTCTTCTGAAGAGAAAAGGTGTAATAAAACTAGGAGTTCTGCTTTAAGTTCGATTTCCACTCGAGCGCTGCCAGGATCGTTACAATTATCCTACGATACGTGCAGAGAACTAACGTGGAAGGTAACCGTGAAATGAAGTAGCTACTTCTATCTGTTCGCAACTCACTATCAGCTTAATCATCGATTATTACCTAAAGAAAAAAGAACAAACGTTAGCTACAGATTTTCATCTATTTTCGTCCACTTATCGATTTACATAGATATTACTTCGTGTACAGGCATTTAACCAGTACATGGAATATTTTTGTAATATTATTTAATTTTATTCTTCATGTATTGCAAACATGATTTTAAGATGTATAATGGTTGGTTATGTATTTTCTTATAAAAAATACCATCTGTTGGAACGCAGTATATCAATTTGACAAATGATTCTATCGAGCGAAACTGTCAAGCTGGGCTAATGAGGTGGTATAAACATCTTTTTATTGTTCGGTCGATCTTGTCTACTAAGAATCAACGAGCCAAAAAAATTTGAAAAAAATTGAAACAACGATAGGATAATACATACAACTGTATTATATATTACATACTTTCGAGGTCCTTTTGTGTTACTTGGATTATTGTACCGAAAAATGAAATTCCCATTAATAAATAATTTATTTATGCATTCTTTAGTGCTGGTTATGTATTTATTATATGTATTTACTTATTTTACGAGAAACAAATTTTTTACTAATTAGTTAGTTGTAAGTTTTGCGAATGGAAAATTTTTAAATGTATTTTTCTTATTGACTTTTAATCATCGTAATAAGCCAGGGAATATTGATAGAAGAAAATGATTTAAGATTTTTTTTGTTTATAGTGATAATTTTTGCTGCATTCGCAATCAATTGACTTTTCTCATCTATTCGGAACGGAAACCAAGAATCTGGATCTGACATTTAATTTGGGCATGGATTGTACCCCATTGCCAATGCAAAAATTTTTAGTAAAATTATCAGACTAAAAGCTGGCAACAAAAGCCGCCATTGTAAACGGACGCCTAGTATCGCACCATAAAAATGCGACGTGACACTTGTACAATGAAAGCTGCCCCTTCGCATCGATGCGTATCGACTTGTCCGAAATGAGATTTTCGATGTATTTCAATGGCGAACCGGAAATGCGTTTAACGAAAAAAAAATGAATGGACCATCTCGTTTTATGAATTTCTACTAAAATAATAAATGGACATAAACGTATGTTAGTAAAAAGAAATTTTCATAGCTATCCGGATACAGGAATACCTCTGGCTTCTACGATGCATGTAAAATCTTATAGAGAAAAGTGTCATAAACCATAACACACATTTAAAAAAATTTTAAGTATCTACTCACATAGCTGGTAAACTATCGTTAATGGATGTATCTCGATATCAATAATAAAGAACGAAATATTCTTACACATTTACGGGATTTATATTCAACGTGCTGACGTCGAACACGTGACCGTTTTATCGTAGTATCATTCGTCTTATCTATCGAGGTCTGTAATTCCGTATGGCAGATCCAGCTAAAACCGGCAACACTTAACGCCATCCTATAAAAAACTGAATGTTGTACGTTGCTTGCGTCTCTTTATTATCCATTATATTATCGCCTCGTCAAAATATTCAAGCACGCGCTATTTTATTCGAAAGTTGTCCATTTAATTGTTTTTCTTTTATTTAATCTTTTTTAACAACATTTTTATTGAACATGGCACCTAAACGTTTCCATTCAATAATCTTATTTTGCTAGGCCAAGTAGCTTTGGTATAAGTTTCTATATTGCTGAGTGCATCGTTGCTGCAAGTCTACTTTATCATTATTCAGCAGACATCGGGTAACAGTAACAATAGAGAAGTAACGACTGTTCAATCTATCAAGCCATTGATAACTGTGTTCACAAGATACCGGAGTCATTTCTTCTTGTGAAATTCTGATACTTCTCCTGCTTCTGTTTAACCGATAAGAATAAATTGTTATTCATGAATTTTGGAAAATAAAAAAATATCGTAAGAGAGAGAGGAAAAAAAATCCAAAGGGCATAATAAAAAATGCAACCTTTCGTACTACCATCGTCACGGTAGTTCCTTAGTAGTAGAATCGAAAATTTAAAAAAATAAAACTATCAAAACGCTAGAAATGATAATTGCATTTCTTTTTAAAAATTTTCTCCAGTCTTCCTCTCATCTCAAGTCCAACAGAAAATCCGCTTCTCAAGAAAACCTTTAACTAGTTTTCAACAGAAATGTAAGGGTTAAAGTTCGTAAAAGCAACGTCCCAGCATCCAATGAAGATTGTTACCAACTGTAATTAAGAAAGCGTCTACGTATATATTTTATGACTGTCTGCTCCACGTGATACACTCTATCTCGTAGAATTTCCTTATTTTTTATTTGTGTTATCACCTTGTTATGATTACGTATACTATGAAGAGGTTAAAACTAACAGGCATTGCTGAGCTGCTGGTGGTCGATTGTGATAACGTAATCGGCACTATCCAAAACTGTGTAAGTCTTTGCTGGCTGTCAGTACGTTTCAATAATAGATTGCAACAACCAGTCATACGTTCGTATTAGATATGGCTAACAAAATACGGTAGCCGCGTTTCAAAAGAATTTCCGCAGACTGGATAAATAAGGGAATTGACGTCATTAACGATGCAATATTACGGACTTTACATTCAATAACGAACCTTCGAGCAACGTTAGATAAATTCATTTAGTTTCTTTTCCCCGTTTGACGAGCTCAAACGAATTTTAGGCGAAATAAAACATTCTTTCGAGAGAGTCAATAGTTTCATTGGACATCCCGAGTTAACGTAGACATTAATAAATGAAAATACATTATTATATTTGTCGATTAAGTATATTTCTTAATTCACTTAATATAAAATCTATAATTTATTAATTAAATTAATTTATTATATTAATAATATTTTTAGTACGTAGTCCCCGACGGAACCGAACTGGGTGCATGTATTTAGAGGGTGATCTTGTTTTTCACTTGAATCTTCAACTTTGCTTTTTCTGTAATCAAAATTCTTACTTAACGATCAGTAACATCGCAGAGTATCATTACGCAAATTGTTTTTTTCCGTCTGATAAGCCCAATAAGATAATTCGTTGCTGGGGGCCTCCTGTTTTCAATACTCCAAACAGATATTGTAATGATAAACGGTTTTCGAACAGGAAAATTCCATTTGCTAATGAGATGCGATACAGTGTGGCAATTCTGCTTTAACTGGAATAATATCCTTGGCGTAAGTATTGCATAGCGTCGGACCCCCAGCAAAAATTGCAACACAGCATATTGGATGATCCCCGCGAAGAAAATATTCCAGGGGCACGTGGTAACATGCGTAGGAGGGTACGATAGTAAGCATATACCAAGATTGACTAACCTTATCAGAGTCGGCCATTAATGTTCTCCCGTGGAAGCAATTTTTTTTACATTTTGCAACACATACGGATGAAGCCTGTTATCGCACGATCCCCACGCTGACTTTTATTATCGCCATAACAGCATTTAAAATATTCAGGACGAGGGCTTATCCAAAGGATTATTTAGATTGGATCACATTCGATTCTGTTGTTGTACCTGTTTTTAACAAGTTTTTTCGGTCGGTTCTTCCTATCCTTCTCTTTCGATTTTCACTGAAAATCCTTCAGAAAATCCTCGTGGAATTTACACAGTGAATGTAATTCGTATAGGCAGATACTGATGCAGATGCACCTTTTGATTGGATGGTAGGTGTATTGGATGCACCGTTGCACTGAACCCGTATCTCATTAAATTCTCACAGTTTACCCTCGAAAAACAAACGCCGGGAACTCCAGTGACAAAAATAAACGAGTTTGATTGAAAGTTTTAAAAACACTTTACAAATATATATATTTATTTACGAGATCCTTTATACATATACGAGAAAAAAGAGAAATACCACGAAAATGATCGCATCAAATGTGAAATTATTTACATAAATACCGATTGAGCCGTACATTTCTCGCCTGATAAGTCGTGCCATGAAAAAAGAAACATTCAAAGAAAATTTTTAAAGTAGACGTATGAATATAACTACTTGAATCGAAATTCAGATCAACAACCGTCTACGGTCTGTAATATAGAATTATCTGCTATTATCTACGTAATGTGTATGAACGGTCATGGTCAATTAATCGAATTAATCGGATACTGATGCAAGCCATCAATTTAGTATTATAAGGCCACAGATCGATGTATGTTTGTGTAGAATGAATTTCGAAATTGGGATTAAAAGTCGTTAAATATAAAAATCGCAATTCTGAATTAATATCAATACTTATAAAATGACGAGGGACACCGAAAATAAAAAATTGGATGCAACTACTTGATAGTATTATTCATAAAATATATTTTCAGTAATATCATTTTTAATTATATGTCGAATAGTGTGTGAGAATGATATATATAGATATACTAATAGAATAGTTAATTTGTAACTATCATAAGGACTCCTGCAATGCATAAATTTGGTAAACAATATACGTTGCGACAGAAAGACGCTTCTAATACGCATCCGAAAATTAATATATCGCAGCAAACAATCAAGAATACAAAAAACGAGTCTTTATTATAAGCAATGTGAACTTGTCTCGCGTAGTGGGGCGTCTGGTATAAATAAGCAGACGCCGTAGATACAGACAGTTCAGAGTCATATACGGTGCTCGCGTGGTGATAAGGTTATATTTGGAGTCTGGTAGCAAGTGGTTTAAAGAATTTATCTAGAAGATAACGAAGGTAATTAACACATTTATTCATTTAACAACGATATCCATTGATCATATCAAAATAGCGTACTTGTATTAACAATTTCAATAATGTGTTCGTTTCTCAGTTTGAAAATATTTTGTAGGCTATGTGAATATGTAGATGACATTTTCAACTTCGTTTACATTATTTAATATTATTAGCCTCCGTCGAGACGCCTTTTGTACAAATAATATTTTCATTTTCATTCGAGATAAACCCAAGTTTTCACGGCTATGCACGACACTCAGTTTATGTAAATATACGTTGACAAAACAATTTCGAGGCTAACGTCTGCTTAGGAGCCGACGATAATCCGTAATATATATTCGTAGTTATTCCGTACGGTGGTTATACGTTGTTATTGGACCAAAATGATTTACTTAAAGAAATAACTGCAAGGTTAAAAACTGGTTTCACTTCGTATCGTCCTATGCATTTTAGCCTTGAACCTAGCCTAACACGAAATATGGCTTTGTATAGAAGCCATTGACTTTTCCGTTAAACAATGTTCTCATGCACACGCCATTGTCGTCCATCATAGCTGAAAACTTCATATAACGTTAATAAATTGCATTCATGACGGACCTGTAACAATGCTTTTAACAATATCCACACACGTTATCCTTTTATCCAATATACATATATATATATATATAAGTTATCACAAGGAGATCCTTTTTTTCAGTTTCATATCAAAGAAATATCAATTAGGACGAAAAAATGCCTATCCCCCTGAGGAGTGTTCTCATCAGCGACGCCGTCGACGAGTCTTGCGCCGCTTTATTGGTCAGTCATGGAATATCAGTTACGCAGAAAGTAAAAATGAGCAAGGAGGAACTTCTGCAGGAAATACAGGTATCCATGAAAGCCGGTTTTATAAAAAAAAAGAATAGAATGAAAACACAAGCCAGACACGTGTACAAGGAGAGAGTATAAAATGGCGATACAAATTACAGCGTTCCTTTATGAAGTAGGTTAGGTAGCAGTTGATAGAATTAACATTTGCTACTAGTTTAATGATTGCGTTACGTGCAGGACAGTTCCATACAAAAATGTCACGCGTTGTATTCACCGTTTTAACTTTTATTTCTGGTTTTTCTTTCTCTATATCTCTCTGTCTTCTTATCGTACTCGTATCTCACTTCAGACTAGTCTAGCAATACATAAATCTGGTTATAAGCAGTTGACTGATTAGCAGAACCTGGTTATGTGGGTCGTTGCACTCTTTCTCCTTTTTCACTGTAGTGCAGAATCCCGATTACCTCTCTCTTTGGCGATAGATTATAAAACTGCACTTTATTCGCTGATGCGCATGCGCAATTGCTCTACAGCGAATGGTGCTAGAAACGTCTACTCAACCACTGTAACTGTGGCGATAGCTTCTGAGGGTCGTTAAGGATGCAAAGTAGAGCTATTTTAAACGCTCGCAATTTTTAATGATTTTCGAAAAATTCCCTTTTATTGGCAATACTCAACTGACGTTAAATTGCAGGGTAACATCGTTTCGATTAACGGCATTCTATAAAATGCAATGCAATCTCACAATATCGATACAGAACAACGTACGCACGTCGGGGAAACTATAAAGAGACTGTTATAATGGTGTTTATCACATTAAAACAAGTTTCACGACATTCAAGAGAGATTTCCGAGAGTTCACGATCCTCCTTCCGCCACCCCTCAGTTGAATTCTCTACTATTTTCAACTGACTATTGAATTGTAAATCAAATTCATGCATTCCTCAGTACGGCACGTGTAACTCGTTCGCTTTCAATAAAATCGTTTTAGATATTCGAAAGACGAAATATTCAGCAAGAACGTGATGAATAAATATGATGACCTTGGAAATTTCAATAGTGCATTAGTAGCAGGAGCATACTGTGGCTGAAAAATATAACCGAGTTTTCTCGCTTAAATGCATTAGAGTACACGCAGTAAATGACCATATACATATACCTACACGTTCGTATCATCTCAAAACTCAATATCAACTTTATTTTTCTTTTATTGTAGAAACACGATGGCCTCATAGTAAGATCGGAGACTAAGGTTACTGCGGATTTACTCGACGCAGCACCAAATCTTCGAATTGTCGGACGCGCCGGAACTGGGGTCGACAATATCGACTTAGATGCCACAGTTCGTAAAGGGATCTACGTCCTCAAGTAAGCGTCATTCGAATTGGATATCATTCATTAATTGATAGAGGATTAATTCGTGTCCTTCATCAATGTCCATAGCACTCCCGGTGGTAATAGTATCAGTGCCTGTGAGATGACCTGTGCCCTCATCACCTCTTTAGCAAGAAACGTCGCTCAAGCTGCCCAATCCTTGAAAGAAGGTCGCTGGGATCGTAAACTCTATTCAGGAAATGAACTTTTTGGCAAGACTCTTGCTGTACTGGGATTTGGACGAATCGGAAGAGAAGTGGCCCATAGAATGCAATCATATGGAATGAAGATCATTGCATTTGATCCTATGACATCTGTAGAATCTGCTAAGGAAGTTGGAGTTGATTTGTTGAGTTTGGATGAAATTTGGCCGTTGGCGGATTACATTACCGTACATACACCCTTAATACCCGAGACTATAAGTACGCATTTTTTAATTGGTGTTAAAATGATATGGTTGTGCTTATAGCTGTAATATTTGCACAGAAAAATACGATTGCTTATTATGTTCGTTCTTTTTTAGATTTAATTAACGCTAGCGTTCTGGCTAAATGCAAAAAAGGTGTACGCGTGATCAATGTTGCTCGGGGTGGTATTGTGGACGAGAATGCTCTCTTGGAGTCAATAAAGTCTGGACATTGCGGTGGTGCTGCTCTAGACGTCTTCGTTCAGGAGCCGCCAAAGGATCCTATTCAATGGGAATTAATTAAACATCCCAAGGTCATTCCCACTCCACATCTTGGTAAGCGATCATTCATATGTATACAGCATAAGGTATCTGGTACCATATTTAAGATTCAATTGAAGGAATATAAATGATAAATCTCTGTTATTATCAACAGGAGCTAGTACGGCTGAAGCACAACAACGTGTTGCGGTGGAGATAGCTGAACAATTTTTGGCTTTGTCCGGAATATCAACTAAATATACCGTGACAGGTCTCGTAAACAGTCCTATGTTATCTGCTGCACTTTCGGAGGAAAATGCACCGTGGGTTGAACTCTCAAAGAAATTAGGTCAACTTGCTGGCAAGTTCCTGAAGAAAAACAAAGGTGCCGCCGTAGAAATTGTGACTGTTGGCAAGGAACTTGTTTCCAAAAAGTTTATCCCCACTGCAGTATTGGTTGGCGTACTCACTGGGCAAACGAAAAACGGTTTGAACTTGGTGAATGCCGGAATTCTTGCTAACGAAAATGGCGTTCATCATAAGATTAGACACGAAGATGGGGATTGTAAAGCTGTGATTATTAGGGTGGGACAACATCAAGTAAAAGGTAAAGAATTTTTACATACATGAATTTAGAATGCGCATATAAATTCTTAAAAAATATATTTTATATGATACGATAACAGGTTTACAATCATGATCGTTTGTCTGTTTTTAGGTTCCGTTCGTGACAATGAACTTCTTTTGCTTTCCATTGACAATGCAGATTTCGCTAATGGCGTTGCACTACGTGACAATGTTACTCTTTACCATGGAAATACAGCCCAAGATTTGACCAATATTGTCACTACCCTATCTTCCAAGGGAGTGAACATCCACAGTCTAAATGCTAATAGTAACTGGTTTGTAGTTCAGACAAATCAAGAAGCCGCCATTGAGATTAATGGCATTGAAAATTTTTAACTTAGAAGAATGAATGGAGGAGAATGGATTTCCACCTGTATATGAAACAACCTGAATGAAATATGTTTATTAAGAAATTCAGTATTGCAAGTTTCTGACCAGAAAAAAGTAGAAGAAAGACAGTCTAATGTCTTTCATCGATATTAACTCTCATCATTCGCACGCCATTATTTATTTATCAGGTCACAATAAGTTTCCTGGAAAACAAGAATATTTTTACTGCTTAGGATCTTAATGCAGAAATCAACATTTATTACGTGCTTGAGACTTTTGTATAAAAGTTGTGAACGTCCAATTTCTGTACTAGCGTACTATCAGTTATACTTAGATAAAACAAGTTTATACGAATGTATATATTTTGTAGTACTCATTGTTGATAATAAAATTCGGTATATAAAATCTAAAGAATTATCTATATCGTGTTGTGTAACTGAAAAATACTCAGTTTTTCTTTTTTATTATAGAATATTTATTGTAATATACAAAAGTAATAACTAATTATTTAGAAACTAAGGTGCCTAGATTGGTTATAAAAAAATAGGTTGCATCGTAACCATAGAAAGACCTTTACAAACTTTCAAGGCTGAAGGGTAAAACTTGTATCCTTAATTATTATTGTACGTGTAATGTATACTGAAGAAGAAAATTTGATACTAGGACACCAAGTAATTTGGTAACAATGACTATGAAAATGTGTTCAGAACAGATCTTAAGAAGAAAAAAGAAATATACATCAGCCTTTAAAAGTTATTGCTTAATAGAACTTTAATGGAAAAAAAAAAAACAATTTGTAAAGCAATCATGTTATGCTAATTGCGTTAAATGACGCAGGGAAAAGATTTAAATCGTTCACGAAACTAAAGTACTGAATACATTAATCAACTGAAATAAAAGCAAGACTTCAAATAACGACAAATAATATGTATCATAAAGATTAATAAGTGGGTTATCGTATTACATCATCACTTTACCTTTTTACATATTTTTGACTTCATTGACTATTTATTCTGGTATCACTTTTTCATATACGGACTGACTCAATACCAAAATCATTAATATTAACACCAATTTCATTTGTATAAACTTTAAATTGACATGAATGACAGTTTTATAGCGTTTAATGTAATGCTACATTCCAGTGGATAAATTTCAATTACGAATATGGAAAAGATGGTAAAAAAGAACGAACTCAACAATACGATATCACTTATTATGTGAAAACACAGAATTATAAATTTGTCCACTAGCAGAATAATTGTCTTGACAAAAAATACTGCGTTATATACGATCGTAACTGTCTGCTTTGCATCCGCTGAACGTGAACGCAATACCATCCTGTAAATAGATAAAACGATTGTGTACATTCGTATTGAATATGATTCTTAATGTATAATTTCATATACTTACTCTAACAAGTGATGGAAAATCTGACCAAAAGGCATAATTTGGTAACATTTCCAATCCAGTCGCTCCTCTTAGAAATTTCATTGTCAAAGCTCCCCCAATTAAATATATTCCACTAAATATGAACAACAAAATTACTAAAAAGGAGCCAGTGGAAAGGCCTGTAGATACCATTTTAATTTTACATGTGTGTACTGACATTAACGTTAAGTGCTAAAAAAAAACATTTATTAGAAAATTTCCATTGTTATAAAATAAGTTTGGTATGATCTCACATACGTTCTTCTGTCCAAACTTTGGGTCGTGATTCATGACAAGTCTTGGATTTTCACAAGTTTCACAACAAATTAATCGAATATAAGTAATGTTCGATTCATGCTTCAGAACCAATGCAGTGTACGTCTCTATTCCTTGTACTTCCTCAAAAGTAGTTTCTTCAACAGTACCAAAATTATAGGTCTGATTTTGTATCTTTGAGTATGCACATAACTGTAGAAAATAAAATACTATTGCTTATATTCCACGATACACATTGTCTTTGTTCTTACCGATACTCCAGGACTTTTATTGCATTCTGAGTTCGTTGAAACGATGTTCATTACTATGTTACGACATGGTTGAAAGGCAAAAGTATAATTTGACACTGGAATTGATTTCAATGTGCTAAAAGTTAAAGATTATTTAAATTAATATAAGCATTAGATATTCTATACATGATGTCATTTTAACAACATACGAAACACGTCAATATGTATAAATAAATATTTATCAGTAGTCGTAGATGCGACGCAAAATCATAGCATATATAGAATGAATGATCTATTGAGATGTGGGTGAAAATTTGAAAGGTCGCGTGAGATAAACAGGTTAGAGAGTTGATAATACGCACTCGGTACTAAGACTTGATATATTATATCCCTCGCCGTTTGGGAAGACGCAAGTGCAACTACTCTGTTTGACACATTGCGAAGACGTGTGATCAATGGAAATTGCCAAAAACAGTGCAAAAACAGAAAAAGCTACATTGCCTAAAATCATTTTCGTGAAAAAATAATGACAATCAACTTGCTCTCATGGCATGGCTCTCGGCTCTCGCCATTCGTAAAAATGTCGCTGCTGTCGATTTCTAAAAGAGACTAAAAATTTTAAGAATAGAATTGAATAGGATGATGACAAATAATATATGTATGTATATATATGCAATAAGAGAATGAGGACTACGACATAATTGGATCCGTATATAAATCATCCTAATTTCAATACTGATATTATATGCAACTTAGAAAGTATTTTATTGCAAAGTATATACGAGAAATAACTCTTTAACACAGTATACGGTAACTTAGCGTTGAGAAATATGTATTGTATTATTAAGTAATTCTATTGGTTATCTTCTAAACGTTTTAGTCCGATGTTAAAATGATACTTTCTATTTGTTACAAAATTAAACGTTAAGCTTAGCTACATGTGGTATGTTAAACACAACAGAAACATTCAGGCAATAAAGATGTTAAATATAATTGAAAAAAATTAGAACTCTTGGGTGTTCATAATTATCACTATGTCCAGCATACAGAATAATTCTGACTTTCATAAGTTCTATATTGTTTGCAGTCTTACGAATTTGTCGTTTTCCATGTCAGAAACTAATATACAAATCAGAAAGTATAATTCTATAGTGGACCTTTTTAATTGTGAAGAATATACAGAACACCTTATTAAATATAAAAAATGTCTTTGTTTCTTCTTAAAGTATTAAGCTCCAATCTTTTCTATTTCATCCGCATCCTCTGCATCCAAGTATTGAATCTTCTTTCCGAAATGTTGTTCAATGTCTTTGCACAGTTGCATTGCATGAGATGAGTCTATAAGATTTATGGCAATTCCTGATTTGCCAAATCTTCCTGTCCTCCCTATTCTATGTAAGTAAGTCTCACAATCAGCCTGACGATTCTGATCCATTGGTAAGTCAAAATTCACAACAATAGTAACTTGCTCCACGTCGATTCCTAAAATATAAGATGATAACCGTGATATTTTAAGTGGGATTATTTTTAATAGAATATAAGTAATGTCACAATTACCTCTTGCTAATACATTTGTTGTGATCAGAACCTTTTCAAGACCAGCACGGAATCGATCCAAAACTGCGATTCTTTGTTCAACAGTCAAGTCGCCTGATAATACAGCCACTGCATGTCCATCTTTTGTCATCTTTTCCGCTAACCAACTAGCAGTTTTTCTTGTCTAATAACATTTGAATTTAATCACGTTATAGACTTTTAAGATAAGTTTTATATTTCACTATGGTTAAGCATGTGTCATAAACTTACGTGACAGAAAATTATTGCTTGCCCAATAGTGATAACGCCATAAATATTTGTAATAGCGTTATACTTCTCATCCATATTCTTACATTTGACATAGTACTGTTTAATATTATCCAAGCTTTCCTCTTCCTTCAGCAAACGTATTATTAAAGGATTACTAACTATTATTTCTGCGAATTCCATCACTGCAGTTTCGTACGTGGCAGAGAAGAACATCATTTGACATGTACGTGGAAGTAATCTAGAGTACAATAGAAATATGATAATTTGCCCTTAAATTTTTAGGTTTTAAATATGAATTTCGTAAGTAATAGTCTTTTAATAATTTCGAGAACTTACTTGTGAATACGGATACATTGATCTTGATGACCCTGAGTGGCGATCATGACATCAGCTTCATCCAGAACAAAGACAGAAATTTTTTTCAAATCAAAGAATCGAAACTTTATACCCCAATCCAAAACTTTTCCTGGAGTCCCTATTATAATGTGATCTGTAATCTTCGTTCCACGCGGTACTGAAATTTATTAATAATCCTTCATAACTATAAATTTGAATGGTTTAATGCTAATGTATTACATGTATTTGAAATTTTTAAGCATTACTTTCTTCCCCTCTGACGGCATACTTCAATTTTATTTCAGGACAAAACTGAGACATTTTTGCTGCCACTTCTCCAGTTTGAATAGCTAATTCGTATGTCGGTGATAAGCACAGTACTTGAGGATAATCTTTACTTGTATCCACTCTACTCAGCATAGCAAGTACAAATGCTGCTGTCTTTCCAGTACCAGACTGAGACTGTGCAATCATGTTCTGTGGCCTAATAACATTCAAAAAATTTTTATATATCTATTCAATATGTATTGACAAAATTTGTAAACTTACGGGTCAGCAAGTAGTGTAGGCAAAGCTGTCTCCTGAATTTTCGATGGTGTATTAAAGCCCATAGCATAGACTCCTTTTAACAGTTCTGGCTTTCTATAAGTTAAATAATTAATACTTAGTTCACAAAATTTTTCTGGATAAACTTGTATTGTGTTTACAATTAGGTGATACTGACAGATGAAGTGCTTCAAATGTTTTTATACTGTATAAAGGTGATGTAGGATCTCTTCTCTGGATTTCCAAATCTTTTGTGGTTTCCACCAATCCTTTGCGAATAATTTTTTGCAGAAGGGACTTCTCTGCAGGTGAAATTTGTTCTTCATCGCTCTTGGAATCACTAACAGCATCATTAACTGGAGTACCTATGTCTAGATTTGTGACCTAAAATAAGTAAAAAAACAATTGACATATGTAGTTTGAATCAAAACACTGCATATAAATTAAATAATAAAATAACTATACAAAAACATAAAGTACAGTAAACGAACAGAAATTTGTAATTTACGGTGCAATATTCAACAAATTTAGAAATTATTTAGGGGGAGTTAATACCGTAGTGATCTGTAAAAAGGTTATAGTTAATACGGTTATGCCGGTAGCACTCACTAACAATAAGAATATTACCTTTGAAGCTAAACTTTCTTGTTCGTCGGCATGTTTACCCCAGTCCACTTTGTTTGAAGTCATTGCATAAGTATTATTAAGCTTTAAAATGGAGTGAAATATATTTTTTTCGTTGATTCTATTATTTAGGAGAGCATACCGCCATTAGAAAATGTGGGATACGATGGTGCCGCCATATTAAAAAATGGATGGATAGATACAACATTCAAAATCATACAATATGACCGATTCGATGACTGATTCTGAATCTCCACGAAGCAAAAACCAAAATTGAATATGTTTCAAACTACATAACTAAATAGCAAAAAAACACTTACCTCAAACAAGTCGTATGGACGCATCTTACTTCTGTAACGTGAATAACCAGCGTTGACTGTACTACGTTCTATGTGCAGATTCCATTTATTTTATATCTTTTGTTTAGTTCATATCCATAAGCAATTAGCAATAGATAACTTCAGTAAATAAACAACTTTTAGCTTTTAATTATTTTATAAACTTCCATGAGAAAAGTAAAAACATTTGACTCTAACATTTAAAAACTCTATTTGAAATTCTTCAAAGACGGTTACCCGCACTTACAGTCATTAGGATACACATTTAAAATCTTTTTTGCACAACACAGTGTCTGTCTAATATTGGTTGTAGAAAGATTCAAATTCGTTCATTCCAATTTCACAAAACTATATAATTAATCCCAACGAATGTCAGCTTATTCCAGAAACAGTTTTTATCTTTTTCCATAAATTGCAAACAAAATGGAAGATATAATTTCTTAAGAAGCTGTTATATATTTTCAATTTTCTCTTCGAACCATTGCAGTCAGTGAATTCTTAAATCCATTAAAATAAGTCGATCCAAGCGACACCGAGTGAAGTACGGAAGTAAAAAAAAAGTTTAATTCAATGAAATATAATACCATTTAATAAATAGGATATATCAGGATATATATTAAGAACATATCTTAATGTATCTACACAATGATCCACATTATATCCAAATTTCATATTTATAATTTTATGTAGCATTAATATATTTCATTTTGTAGCCTTGATGATCCTTAGCGCTACTTACGTTGCATATTCCTTTTCTCAGATTTCTTATGTACATATGGTAAATACTTCATAAAAACGCATACTATTTCGTTCGGTAACACTTATACAAGTGTGTAGCTAAATATAAGTTAGATTTAGCTCTTTTGTATTTACAAAAATTTAATAAGACTTTTCGCTCTAACAGAACTTCATGTTATTATATTACGAGGATAGTTGCGGTGGATTAATTTATAATTACCACTTAATTTGTGAGGTGCTTCAATGTTTCCAGCTATACAGGAAATAAAGCTATGAACTGAGTTATCGTTCTCTATCATTTACTTATAAGTTATGTTATGTCAACTTATGCAGATTCATACATAGTATGATCATTAGTGTCTGGTGTCATTCATTGACATACCACTGCTCTGTCTGTGCATTCAGATTACGCACTATTCAAGATTTTTTGGTAACAGTGGCAACAGCCTTATTTACGCTCGCTTGTGGCACAAGTCGTACTGTGATCAATGACAGGTCGAGCATTTTACGCTGATATTTTTTGTGAAAGGCCAGGGCAGCTGATTGCGTCTTAAACACGATTGTGGCACTACCCTCGGCCATGCGTATACTCTATAACACGAATAATGAAAAAGATAGGATTATTAGATTATACGTAGTGATTTATTAAGTAAAATAAAGTGCGCCTTTATAAAGAATGAACAAAGGTATAAAACTTAGAATAAATAGAAATGAAAATAATAATACTTCCTCATTAAGAGAGAGTGCGATAATGATTTTGATTTAGGGATGGAAAATGATATTTATATTTAATCAATTAGCCTCTCAAGATTTTGCGTTTACAGAATGAAATTAAATTTGCCTATAATTCAATTTCTCTATGGGGATCACAGGATAGTGACAATCTTGAAAGTCAGGAATGTAAAAAAGAGAGAAAAATAGCAAAAAAAATTCTTTGGTCAAACATATCCATGCTGATATAATGTCTTTGGCTTACTACTAAAATAATAATGCTATCGATAGTACATTCATACTGATAATAATACTCCAGTTAATAAAAACTATGATATTAATAGAATATATGGAAACAAAAATAAATGGAATGCTTTCTTACACATGATAAGAACAAAAAAAAAACAAAAAAATGCCAAACATTATATATGCTAAGGCGTAATAAGTAGTCATTCGTGATAGAAGAAATAGGTGAAAAAATAAAGGAAATGGTAACTTCCAAACTTATAGCCAAGCTCACTGAACTAATTAAGGGTGCAGCCTTCAGGTAAAGATAGTCACCTCGAGTGTTCCAATTCCATGACACATTCTACGGATTTGTGCCTCGGTCGTACTTGCCGCCAGATTTTCAATCTTCACGGTGTTTGTCTTCATGTCCAAAGTCTTCTTAGGCTGAGCCCCGGTCTTCTGGAGAACAACTCTCTGATTGTTCTGAGTATTCACCATAACCTTTTGTACATTCGCATTAGCAATTTCTTGTACATTTAGCGTGGTCTTTTGAAGTCCACTTTGTACCTTTTGTGCTACAATTCTTTGAACGTTTCCTACTACGACTTTCTGGACTACACCTGTAGGGTTCTTTATAGCGCCTGTAAAAAAAAATTCTTTTATAATTTCTTATTCAATTGATCTTTCCTACTCACTGTGTCACTCATGCTGACCTTTTTGGAGATTTGGTATTGTTTTTTGTATTGTGGTTGTCCCTTTTTGAATCTTTGATAATGGTTTGTGTATCACCACCCGACGAGTTCCAGGTTGTCCTGTCAATTGTTGCCTGTTGCGCACTGCATCGTTTTGAACCGTTGTTATTTCCTTAGGGTTTTCATCTGTTGTATTTTGTTGTACAGTCTGAATCGTCCTGACGATTCGCATTCCAGGTGCTCTCTCCACTATCTACAACATAAATACGTTGTAGAGAATAATAACAACTCGAAAAATGTTGTGAGTTATTATAGAAACAAATAATTTTGTTATTGAGAAAGGGATCACTAATTTCTATTCAAAATATGAGCCTAACCCGAGTTTAATCATAGATATATTCACGATAATTAACACGTATCCAAATTTAATATACTATTCTTAAAAAACTTTCGATCAATGTCCGATGGAGGAAATGAAAGGAAACAAAATATGTTTAAAAATATATTTTATTAACATAAATGAAAAATATACAATAAAATTGAATGAGGCTGACGGTCGAGTGAACTATTCGATTCCGCGCATCTACTAAAATTGCTGTATATATAAAATATCGAAGCGCCAAGAGGGTATATGTCTCTTGTATTGTGAAATAGTAACAGGAATGCTTCGACGATTAATTATCGCGTTGTGCTAGATTATCGCGTATATTACGTCACTGCAATCTCTCAGTCTATAAAATTTATGTCATTCACATATTAAACTTTACTTGTTGCAGAGGCTCAAATACTAAATCGATACAAAAGTATCATTAAAACAGAAAAACATGATGAGAAAAATTTAATAAATCTCTCTAATCACGGCCCAACATTAAAAGTGTATAAATATAAACTGCATATACCACTTAAAGTATCCACATCGAAAAGTAACACAAATCTAAATTGATCCTTGCGTTATGTATATTTCTTTTTACATTGATTATCATTAATATTTCAATTCCACACTACGTAATGTCAATTCCTTGAAAAATTTGCCCCTTCCTTTCTCCCAATATTCACACAGATCATTGTTTTGTTTTCAAACCTCTGTATTTTTTTCAGCATTCTAGACGACTATGGCTATAAAGGATACTTATTGATGTACCTCTGTGGATTGTGGACCACCACCAGTAGGACGTCCTCGTCCACGACCAGTTGTTGGACGAACCTTAGTCAATGTTGATTCTTTAGTAACTCCAGTCACCACTGAAACGGGTTTACACTCTTGCTGCATGAGTTCTGTAACAGGCAATTACTCAATTCAATTATTGATCGCATTATCGGTAGCTGACAAAATTATAGTAAAGAATATATATGTACCCACCAGGAATACCAGAATCGGGTTTCCCGTCTTCACCCTGTTTCTCCTTTGCTGCTAATTTTCTCCTATTCTCTTTTTCTCGCAACAATTTTTCCCGTAAACGTTTCTGTTCCTCCATTTTTTCCCTATACTCCCGCATCTCTGGATCATCATTTTCTTCTTCCTAAATAGGGGGAAAAAACAAATCTATCTAATCCACTGTCGACCATTTCAATGATTTATCTACTCGATAAAAAAAAATATTTACTTTCTTCTCGCTGTTCACTTCGCTTAGTGTGTCCACAGTCTTCACTTCATAAAGATTTCTGCTGTTGGACTTCGCTCTCTTAGGACTCACGTCCCTTTGCGTTCTATCTGAAGCATCTGGGATCCTCTTTCCCGGAATCCTGGCCATCCCTCTTGGGGCACTGTGGTGTGTTCTGTTACTAGGGGGTCTCTGACTGTGACTCTGCTCATAGCTCTCACTACGATATGTAGTATTCATCGAGGGAACACGACTTTTTTGTATGTGTTCTTCTCTAGTAGTCACCCTCTCGTAGTAGCTGTGAACCCGTCTCTGATCCTGATTTTAACATAATTTTTTTTTTAATTTGGATCCTAGTTAGCGCAAGGTAACAACTCAACATTTCTTTTCGTATGCACCGTACACAGATTCTAGAAGGATATAACTTACATCGGAATAATCCTTCACATCATATGCACTTTGAGTGCAGCATGTCTTGATACAGTGAGAAAAGAGAAAGTTCGCATCAAACATTTATTTGTACAGTCGAATTCAAGGGTATCGCGTTACCTCATACGCTCAATAGATTCTAATTGGATTATGTATAAAGATAAAATTACTGCTTACCTGTTGATAATCATCGCGATGATCCCATTGACTATCAGGTTTATATTTATTCTCATAGTCATGGTAACTAGTCTCGCGGGAGGAGTACGTACTCTCTCCCGGGTAAGGTTTACTGGGGACAGTGCTCGATGATTTTTGAGGCTTATTTTCCTGCCACACGTCCGAAAAATATGCATATGGATCCTGTGAACAAATGAATTATTTAAATTTGCAATGACAACTATAAAATTTGTGTCCTTACGTCGCTTTTATTTTGCTGCAGTTTTGGGCGATACTCTTGAGATCCTTGCTGAGGAGTGGGTCCCCCTTGATTATAAGAACTTGGATTTTGATAGGGCGTCGGTGGTTGTATAAACTGTTCGTTAGGTATTTGTGGTTGGAGAGGAGATTGCGGATGTGCCGCGTCCCATACAAGTCTTGCTATTAAAACATAGAAACAAACATGTACACCCCTTTTTAACAGGCAAAATATTTTAGTTGTATAAACTTTTAAAACTAAACTTACCATCACTCGTGGGTTGGACGACGCCTCGGAAGTGTGGGTTGATTAAAATTTTATGTCCCGGTGGCAAAGGTACACTGGATAGATTGGGGACGTTAGGTGCATTGGGACCATTAGATATAGTGGGCGTGTTGGGTACGTTAGGTACATTAGGTATGTTGGGTATGTTGGTTACATTCGGACCAGGCTGCTGAGGCACAGCAGGCACATTGTTAAACTGACTATCCGGTGGCTGGTCGTTGTACATGGGTCTGGACTCGTAAATAGGCCTTGACTCGAAGTGTGCTCCCTGGAACGGCGGCCTGTTCTCAAAAGAAGGCTGGTTATGTTGTATCGGCGGATTCTCATGACTCTGAACGGAAGGTCCTTGATTGGGTCCTGATGGACGGGAAAACTGCTGCATAGGTGGGCCTTGATTCCTTGGCATAGATGGACCTTGATTTCCCTGCATAGGTAGACCTTGATTTCGCTGCATCGGTGGTCCTTGATTCCCCTGCATAGGTGGTCCTTGATTCCCCTGCATAGTTGGTCCTTGATTCCCCTGCATAGGTGGTCCGCGATTGCCTTGCATTGGAGGGCCCTGGTTTCCTTGCATAATCGGTCCTTGATTTCCTGGGATCAGTAAACCAGGATTGCCATGCATCAAAGGACCAGGATTTCCCTGCATTGGAGGACCGTGAGTGCCTTGATTTGGTCTTCCTTGATTTTCGGACATCGCGGATAGTCCTTGATTTTGAAAATGTGGTTGATTATGCATGAACGGAGGCTGATTCGATGAACAATTGAATGCAGGAATTGTAACCAACATTGGACCCCGAGAGTTAAAATCTGTTCTTGGACCAGAAATTCGTAGACCTGATATCCGTGAACCGGGTGGTCCCATGGGTCCTTGAAATTGATTCGGTATCAAAGGAGATCTAATTCCCACAAAGTGTCTCGAATTTTGCATCAAACTGCCTGACGAGAATTGTTGCATAGACGACAACTGAGAATTGTTCTGAGGGTATGGCATCTGTTGATTCGGCATATTACCAATTGGTCCACCAGTAGGGAACGATGGTCTAGCACCCAGCAATGGAGATCTGAAGGAAGGATGTTGATTTTCAAACGATGATGGACCTCGCGGAGCATTAAATCTATAAAAGAAAAGCAAATTATAAATTATAAACAAATTCTATAACATCTTTTACACGTTCCACGACATCCATTATCATATACCACAAACCTTGGAATAAAATTTCCGCCGCCAGTTGGTGCAGCGAACCTTCCTCCTCTGATTCCCCTGATACCTCGACCTCTTCCACGACCTCGAAAAAGTTGTCTAGGTTGTTCAGCCGTCACAACATTCTCCAACGAATCCGGTATATCGTTGTTCATCTTCGGCGAGATCATGGTTCTTTCATTTTGAAACCTATTTCTCCTCTCCTTGGCTTCTTCGCAATCGTCATCTTCTAACCCCTGACCGTTACCCACGTAAAATTCCTTGTGCGAATTGTTTTTAAGTTTTTCGCGCAAGTCGCCCTTATTGTAATTATTTGACAGACTGACGCAATCACGGCCATCACTGTCTTCGTACTGCCGATTCTGTTCTTCCTTGTACTCCTCTTGCTCTTCCTGTTCATAATAGGTGGATCCAGCATCAGGATGCTCTTCTTTATAAAAGTCATTTTGAATACGGTTATCAGTCTCGCTTCTATATTCTATATTTTCATCTTCTCCTTCTAAGTCGTCGAGAGCATCGGTGACTCCTAAGTCCAGCACGTCATCTGTCTCCTCTTCTCCCTTATAGCTACTCTGCTGCTCAGAGAATTAAATTGCCAAATATTTGTAATGAAAAGTACAGTAGTCAAGCGCGTTGATTACAATCTACTTTTAATTAACTTATTACCCAATTTAAAGGCTACACACACGCCAATTACAAGCAACTCCTTAGAATCCTCGTATTCGCAACTAATTGCGCCACATTCTAACTTATAACTAACATCAAAATGACTCCTCTCAGGGAAAAGATGATCTTGTTGTTGGACAGTTCTTACTGACACGGGACAATTCAAATGCAGTAAATGGGCATGTCGCAATGATAAAATATGAGAAAATATATGATCACTTGCACTGTTTAACGTTGGAAAAAGTATTATGAAATCATTGTTGTGCGTGCCAAAAATGATGAATTTTATACCTATCGTATCATCCATTCATTAAATTCCAGGGTCATTTATGGGAACGTGATAATTGAATTAATAAAAATACACAGTGCATCCTATTGACTTGATTTTTTGAAATCAAATTAAATGTACGCAGTCCTAATCAATTCTTAATTACTTCGCAGAATTTTTACTATGGATTTTCATGGGCTATTTATGGCTTTTCCGTCCTCTTCTTTATTTTTCTTTCTATTCCAAACGGTTACAAAAGTTCGCAACGCAAAATCAAGAGACTCGGTCGTGTCTCGCGCCAAGTACAGGCAACCGGCGATATGGGCATATGACAGTCACAATCGAACATTGATCTATAGCAGCATACAAAGTATGGATGATCAATTACACTGATACTTCGTAACGGCATTGTGTTCTAATTTGCTCAAAAGTATATAAATAAGGTTCATCGCATTGATGAATTTTCAAGGGATTCCAATACTCGTCAACAATTATGTTTTTATCGAAAACATTGTGATATATGGGAGTAATAAACATTTTTCCTAGTAACTGAAATACTGTATGTTAGCACCTGATAAATTAGAATGTTAAAAAATAATTTATGAACGGCATTGATAAATCAAAGGTGGCATTAATCTGTGGCGAATAGATTTTGTCAGAGTTTCATTCATTTTCGACTCACATTGAAGCAAGGCTCGAGTTTTTTAAACTGACAGTGCTCTCGAGTTTCTATGTACAATATGAATATTATATAATCACGCATAATAAAAGCATAGGTTCATTAACTTAACGAAGACACTTAACAGTTCCATGTAAGAATCAGTCAATCATTAATATTATAGAACGAGGTCAGTATCATGTATATTTAAATGTTTAAATTCATGTTATATAAACTTATCAGTTTTAATATAAGAGCAAATAAATAGATACCATTATTAGAATTTTAGTTAAAGTGGAAACAGTAGAGTACAAAGAAAATGTTTCTTGTTTTCAGAGTTCATTTCTTATGGCGTGTCAGCACTATTAATTTAATGATGTCAATTATGTATCGCTACTAATAGAGAAAAGCACAGAACATAAACTAATCCGTCTGTTTCTTACATTGAGCCAATAAATACAGCGAATGAGGATTCGAAAGTTCATGCAGTACGGAGTCAGATCATAATATAAGATGATTAAAGATATCTTAGAGAGGTTACATCGCATAGATGATAACTGTACAATAGGACATCTTTCATCGATCTTATTCATTGGACGCAATTGTAATGTTAAATTACATTCGGAAACTTTACAAACACGCAGCTTTCAAGCAACCTGTTTGGATGCTAGGAATATGCTTTTTGTAAGAGCATCAGGTTCCGTCCGCGAATAGACTCTTTATAATAACTTACAATATAATCAAGTGAAACAGGGGAAAAGAAATTGCTAAGGGTTTACTAGTGCTGTTGTCCCTATCGGGTGTAATATGATAATGCATTTTTTAAAGTTTGATTTCATTGTAGAATGTTACAGAAAGAAGAGAGATTCAGCAAACTAGCTGTAAAATATATTTATGAACCTCTGTAATATGTATATAATTTGACACTTAATTAATTGAAATCAAATACATTAGTTATATTTTAAAAATAGATATAGTTATCAATTCATTAGAGCTTTCAAAATTAATACAAAAGCAATTAAACTCATATAAATGTATACGAGGTGAAACCCTTATTTCCTTTCCCCTGTATTAAGTTTGCTTGATCAGTAACAGTAAGTCACTGTGATTTCGCAATACATTTGTTATGAAATTTTGTTTATATTCATTGAACTTATACTTTTGACTTCCAATAAACTTCATGCATTTCAATGTTATTTATATATCTTCTTTCTACATAACAGTGACTTAAATATGTTGAATTCCTTCATATTGTATAATGCACTTAAAATATGATTAGAAAACAAGAATGAATGAAGGAATGAATGAATGACCACCTAAATGATCCACCTAAATGAATGAATGAATGATAAACAGTTTCATGAGGTTTGGCATGAAATTTGTATAATCGTAAATTTCCCTATGTTACAAATCATTGGTCGTGATATCCTAATCAGCTTGTCTTGTCATTATGAAAAACATGCACACTACATATGTCCTGTATTAAAATAATGTTTCTGTGCCTAAAAATCAGGTAGTATGTCATTCCTGAATGCCTAACAATATATCGTTACATTCAGAATTAAGTACATAATCGCATAATTTGCTCTTAAATGCATCGATTGATTTCCAAATCTCAATATTATCTTTAATAAGCAGGATTTTATGCATAAATATGCAAGGAATGAAATCCACCTAAATTTGTTTTTCTTTTCTTTTTCTTTACAAAGATCCTCAATTCTGCTCGTGGTAGTTGGATAACACTCGTACAAGTCATCATGGTATCTGAAAATTACATCCTGACTGATATGGTAAATGTAAGTAAATATACACAACACCCTGAGACTCTGAAATAAAAGTCATTTTCCATAAACTAAAGAGACAGTCGGATTTTCGCGTTGATAAAAAATTTCGCAACTTCCAATCAGAAAGAATCATTAAAAGTGCATTGACCACTCATCCCCTCCCAGCTCTTTTTTGTCATCAGTCCTGTCTTAATATTATAAACAAGTTTGATATGATTAATGCCATCGCGTAATTTAGTTTCCACATATCGTAAAATAAAGAGTCATGTAATTCAATAGCAATTTATAATCAACAAGCTCACCCTCTCAAGTTCATAATCGTCAGCCAAAAGTGCTTCTTCTTCATCATTGCCTAAGTCATACTCTTCATCACCTAGATCCTCGTCCAACAAGGTATCATCACTGGAAATCAGAAAATTCATTATGCATTAATAATTAAAAACAAATAGTATTCCTAGTACCCGTATCAATTTAAATATTATCAGAGGGCCTAATAGCGTTATGCAGTATGCCTAAAAATGCGTCACTGGCGTTGTGTCTCTAACCTTCTATGTACTGAGACTTTTGCAACAACGACGCTACATGCTTATAGCAACTATAAGAGTTAAAATCTTTTCTAGAAATTCTATTTATGGAAAATTCGAACGTAATGAATCAAATATTTCATGTTTTGTTCAATATTTTTGTAATGATTGTGAAAAAACACTTACTGGTCTGACATGGTAGATCCACTTTACTGCGTTGCTGCAAATCGATTCTCCTCCACTCGATAGGACGCCCTCTCTCTATCGAATTGCAGTAGTCGATACTTTTGCTCCTTGTCCTTGTTGCTTTTCATTCATTTTTCCTAAAAATATTTATTCATTTAGTAGCACGACTTGCTTTACGCAGTCATTTAAATATTTATGTGTCCAAAGCACTTGTCAATGATTATAAATAAAAGAATTATAACATTTTGAATAGGTTCATGTAATACCGACTGTCAGTTTTTTATGTATGTATGTACTTGTTGCAAAAGAATACTGGAAGAATGTTACCCAGATTTACAAATGTAATATTTTATAAGGCCCCAATACCCTGTTGTAAGATGAGATATCTAAGAAAAATATTGCCTAGAATTTCTGCTATGACGGTACATTCAAGAAACTTTATAAGTGACAAACCTGTTGTTGTACTAGGAATTGAAACAAGCTGTGACGACACTGGCTGTGGAATTGTAAATAGTAATGGAACTATTCTAGGAGAAGCAATTCACTCACAGCAAATAATACACTTAAAGTATTCAAATATTTTTATTATATTTGAAAGTTTATAGTAATAGTCATTAAATACATTCATATATTATGCTTTTCAGTAATGGTGGCATAATACCACCGATTGCTCGAGATCTACATAGTAAACACATTACTGAAATTTGTGAAAATGCTTTGAACTCAGCTAATATGAAACTCAGAGACGTTGATGCCATTGCTGCTACAGTTAAGCCTGGACTTCCACAGTCTTTATTAATAGGAACAAAATTTGGAAAGTATTTGTCTAAGATTGGAAGAAAGCCATTTATTCCTATACATCACATGGAGGCTCATGCATTGACTGCAAGAATGGTGCACAAGGTATTTCTATTCTGAAATATTTTCATGCAATAGATTAACTATCTTGGTTTTAAAATTCAACACAGGTGGACTTTCCGTTTTTGGTCTTATTAATATCGGGAGGTCATTGTTTGCTGGCACTTGTTGAAAAAGTAGACAAATTTTATCTTCTTGGTGCTAGCATAGATGATGCACCTGGTGAGGCTTTTGATAAGGTACACATCTTTATATTTAATATTAAATATAATTATACCTTTTTTGCATAATATAAATATTTATTTGTAGGTTGCCCGTAGGTCAAAATTGCACAACATCCCAGATTTCTATGATATATGCAGTGGTGCAGCGTTAGAAATTGCAGCAACCAGAGCTACAGATCCAGAACAATTTTATTTTCCTCCATCTTTATGCCAATATAGAAATTGTAATTTCAGTTTTGCTGGTATAAAATCTAGAGCCATATACCATCTTATAAAAGAAGAGAAACGACACAATATAGTTGGTGACTCCATCATTCCCGATATTTACAATCTCTGTGCCGCCTTCCAAATGGCTATTAGCAGGCACATATGTAATAGAACACAAAGAGCAATGGAGTATATTCAGATGAAAAATTTACTTCCAATGGAAAACAAAACCCTGGTATGTATTTGCTATAATAGAATTTTGCAATATTTTTTTTTATTAAGTTGTGATCTATTTTATAATCAATAACAATCACTATTTCACAGGTAGTCTCAGGTGGAGTAGCTTGCAATAATTTCATAGCCAATGCATTAAATATCATTTGTTCAGAAATGGGATACAATTTGGTACGACCACCACCAAAATTATGTACTGATAATGGAATAATGGTAGCATGGAACGGGGTAGAAAGATATATGGCCAACAGTGACATTTTAACAAATCCCGAAGACATAGAAAAAGTTGATATTAACCAAAAAGCTCCGCTTGGAGAAAACTGGATTGAAAGAGTAACTGAAGCAAACTTAAAGTGTAAGTGGATCCAAATTAAAAAATTGTATGCCAAATGATTGTATAGTAGGAAATGTAAATAAAAATTGTACAGGTGAACCCATTATTGTAAAGTAACAGAATAGTTAACAAATCTATTTTATTAAATAATTATATTACATTTAAATGAGACGAATATTCTGATTTTTACAAAAGAGTAGGTGCGTGCCTCCTGTTTTCTTTTTGTAATTTTTCTATTAATTTGCGATCTGTAAAATCATCCTGTATTTCCAAAATTTGTTTCTCTACTGTTTTGTCTATTTGATATCGTATACACTCCTTAATCGTGTGCAATTCCTCTTTATTCTTTAAAGCCACAGATGCTGTTAAAATGTCATTGAATTTCATGACTTTCTCAGGTTTGAATTTGTCTGGACATTGTGATACGAATTTTGGCAAATTTTCAAGCATCGGTTTTATATCACGATATATGTCTTTTGCATTTTCTGTATCCATTTTATTTATCAGTAATATTGCTGGCATGTCCAGTAGATCAGGCTTGTAAAGTTCTAGTTCTTTGTTCAACAAAACTATTGTCTCCAAACAATTTCTCATAGTATGTAATTGTGAAAGTCGAAAACCTTGAATGTCGACGACGAACATAAGTAATTTTGTTCTCTCAACATGTTTAAGGAACTTATGACCCATTCCAATATTCACATGCGCTCCTTCTATCAACCCTGGTAAATCTGCTACAGAAATGTGTCTCAAATCTTCATATTGCACTGTACCTAAGTGCGGTCTTACTGTTGTGACTATGAAAATAATTATATCATCATTAGCATCACATAGTATTTACAATATTCATAAACGTTTCTACATACTGCTTAAATTTTCTGCAGATAACTTACATGGGTAATCTGCCACTTTAGGGCTAGCCTTAGAAATAGCACTCAGTAATGTGCTTTTTCCAGCATTTGGAAAACCAACCAGAGCCACATCTGCTATTAACTTCAGATCCAATACAATATTATAGTGATCTCCTTTTTGTCCACTAAAGCCTGTTTCAGGGCAGCCACCTATACCACCCTTTGCAACAATTAACTTGGATCCAGGCTTATCCACCTCTCCTATGAAAAAAGATGATAAACATTTTGATTGCAATGATCTTTTATATTCCTTAATTGATAAACAAGAGTATACCCACCCAATCGAATCCCTTCTTCAGTATAAACAACTACTCCTGGTGGAACTGGAATTTCTAAGTCTGTACCTGGTTGACCTATGATTCCTTTGACTGAACTGTTCCCACCCACGCCAGCACATATTTTATTTTTTTTTACTCTTGCTGATAAAATATTTAAAGACACTCCTGTTGTCGAAACCACATAAACATGACCACCTCGACCTCCGACTCCTCCATATTTTGGAAAACCCATGCCTCCGGCACCAGCCTTTACGTTTATGCACAATGAATCCAAAAAGCCACTACGCAGGTACTTCCTTTGAAGCTACAATTAAATAGATTTATAATACTTTAGATTATTCTTAAAAAATTCATCAAGTATCAAATGTGTATGTATAAAATATACATACCCCTTTCGCATAACCAACAATTTTGGTTAAGTATACCATTATGAATAACAGACCAATCAAAGCAATTACAACATAAAATTTGCATCAGTTGAATTACTAATTAACATTGTACTGTATCATCGCTATGACATTGAGCTTTCTATCTTTGGAATTCATTTATTTCACATTAAAACCGCAATGACTTTTAGAACATTTCAGCATCTAACACTGTTCATATTCCATGCATACCGACTGGTACCGACTGATGTAAACAAGACACTAAATTACGTTTTGTACGTAAATTTTATAACCTCATAGATGGTGCTACTGGTACATATTAAAAAAAATTTTTTGAACATCTGTATTATCACACTCCATCAAACTAGAAGCTTTTCCCCCCCGATACTCGCCTTTATCTCCTACAAGGAGCAACTACCAGTTAAAATCGAAGCTTGGTATGAATATTAATTTCTTGGTAATAAAATTGTATACATTATCAAACTAGAAGAAATTTAGGAAAAATATCAAATTCGATGCTCACAATTTAAACTATAGATTGCACAGTGTATTAGACTAATAGTAACCATACATGCGTATAAAAATATAATCTACTATATTTTGACTGGTTGGTATATATTTATTTCTGTCCATAAAATGTCATATTATTCTCATACAAAATATAACACAAACAAGATTTTTACGGTTTAGTTTATCCACATAATGGCTCAAACGTATTACTGTTTTACTTTTACTTACTTACGTATTACTTATTACTGTTTCCTATAGTGAATTCGATTGAGAATTACAAAAAAAGCGTTCAGCTCTCAAATAGATGCACGAGCATCAGCTCACGTGCTGCATCCCCACCACAACATTGACCAAACATCTTATTGACGTAATAACGATATTTACAAATCGCATAATTTTCATTTATTTCATTTCACACCTACATTGGTAAAACGATTCACCTCTACCTTCACTGTTTTGATTTCGGTAACGCCTAATGTCCCACCAGAAATAATAACAAAACCAGATCAGTAAATTACATAAACATCAAGTCATAATACCGTATGAATGTACATCTTTACTGATAATTAAAACTCATTTTCATTTCATCAACTAGATTACCCCATCAATATAAAATTTATCCTGTACACTTTCTCGTGAAAGATTCAAAAAATGACAAATTATGTTAATTTAAATTGAATAAATTTCCAGCAAATCAGATATACAAAGCTTCACGGTATTACGCAAGTCGATTTTTTAAAAAATTTACTCTCAAGTCTGTTTCTTCAGAATGACGTAAATAATCGACTGATTATTTTTGGAATAGTACAGTCCTCTTGAATCTGAAAGATTTTTCAAAAGATCAACACTGAGAATTATAAAATAAACAGACTGTTTTATATATTCCTAAAAAAAGGTCTGTATATCGTTTCTCGTTAATTTTGCTCATTAGAATAAATAGTTAATCCAATCAATTATTTGTTTTAAAGGTACAACAGAAAAAGGTACGGAGCGACGATCCTCCTTAGTGAGACGAGGGCTCGTCTAACGATGCCCGTGTTAAATATAAATCTAGCCGGCCGACGTCTACGTCGTGCCTACGAAGACGTCGCGACGAAACGCGTCCTCTAGCTCAGTCTCAAGAGCATACCCCGTCAGTACGGTGCTCTGGGTGTTGTTTTGTTACCCAAGTTTACGGGAATAAATCCACTCTTCCATTACCATTGGAGGTTAAAATTAAAGGAGAGTGATATTTTAAGGACCACCTTAGAAACGCCATTGAAACTCCGTGCTTGACTCTCTTCATTCTAGTTGAGGTTACCACACGAGGTAACAAGAACGTCCTTTTCAAATACGATTGAATTAAAATTCCAACCCCATGGTTAATTAATACAATTAACCCTACCAGATACATGTAATTCACACTAAACCACCAACCACGTCAGTATAACCGATTATCAATGATATTTACATACGTAAATTAATGACTTTTTCCGCTATTTATTTACCCTCCAATAAATTAAACCATGTGTGCACATTCTCCGATTTTTTAAATGTTTTTTCAGTGCTGTCTACAGGAACTACTACTCGCTTAAAAATGTCTTATTCACAGTGTTATACCAACGTCTGTATTCATTGAGAAATTTAATCGTCGCTACGCACGCTGCTTTTGTCGAATTATAATAATCTATCGATCACCCGTCGAGGGATAACTTTGCGGCTTGCCAATTTTTCTCACAAACAAAATTTCGTGGCAATGCTCCACATTCACTCGTATAACCCACACGTAGTCTGTGCCGATCTACGTAAAACGCAATTCGCGTTAAAAATAACTTTGAAAATAACAAATCTTACACTATCCTCATCACTGCCTGTAGTGCCAGAGCTTGATGAATCGAGGAATGATCCAATTGTCTCTCTGACTTATAACTTTTCACTTTATATGATTGACCATTGACCACATATGACTATGGCACATGATATATCAATAACAATATATATCACAGTATCTTATATTGACAATCCCATTGACCGCTAATCACTTCATAGAAGTAAATAATTAAAAATAAAAATAAAAATCGTAATTTTGCCGACGATAGCCTCAATTTCTCAATTCCATATTCACACACATATATATTGTATGTCAGCACACTATTTGTTTACGTCTAGACAGCTTTATCAGAGAAATGTTGACCAATTGCAAATTCTCATCACATACAAGAACTTTGATTCATTATGTCATTGATATCATCTTCGTAAGGATAGCTTAACCCGCTTCCAGATTCTACTCCCTCAGCAGAGAAGGTCGAGGTCGTAGCTAAAGCTTTGAATGGAATTTGCTGCTGAAATAGAGCATAGATTTACTCTGTTCCTCATTGGTTGGCCAATCCTGAATGGTTGTCGATTGAAGGAGCCAGAGCTAGAGTGAAGTGTCACCAGGTTACTAGCCTTGATCGTATGCCAAATAGTTGACAGGGAAAGCGTTTACTTGTCACACTCATAATCTAATTTTACGTGTAATAACTACGTCGTACAAAGAAAACATAAAGAGTAATACTAGAGTCAAGTATATATGTATATACATACAATAAGGAAATGAATTTTTACCTCCTCATTCAGCATATACCTTATGACTAATTAATAATTGAATATTTCTCTTTAATCTACATATTTTCATATCTTTCTATTATTCCCTTTTATTTTGGCAAGATACTGACTCTAAACTTGTAATATGGCTCGACAGTGTAGGGCTTACAAAAATAGAACATTCCTAAGGAATGAGATGAGGATCTAGAAGCTTATGCCAATATTCGATACATTGAAATTTTGTAACATCATGATGTCTTTTATTCGAGACGTTAGACTTAAATCAATTTTATTCTTTTAAGATGGACAGAGACGATGATGATTTTGGTGAAGGATTCACCGCTGAATCTCATCCGCTCAGGCCTATTAACACGCTGTCCATACCTCTGGGTGGTAAAGACACCTCAAGAGCAGCCAGTATCAGCAGTAGCGTCAGCGATCTTGATGTTCCTATTTACACGAGGGAAACGACCGTACCACTTTCAGCCAAGAAGGTCAGTCAGTTAGTACTGTTATTACCCCTAGTTAATTCCACTTATTGAATGTAGCGCTCGACGTAATATTAAATTATTAAATCAGCGCAATTAACATGTCTCAGGGATATTAAATGACATTACTACTTCAATTACAATTATTATGATACTGAATAACTCAGTAGTGAAACTTTGAGTGTGGGATTATTCTTTAAAAAAGTCGAAATTCATGTATGTATATATGGATATGCATATCAAGTTACTGCTAACTTCAAAGTAATATTGTAAAGTAATATAATATATTCAAAGTAATAATACAAATGATGTATTATGGACTGACTTGGCCCTCTCAAATATTTATATAATACAGAGCGGCGATTTCTAAAAAAAAAAAAAGAAAAAATTTATACATATATTCCTATCTGCCCACCTTGTCGATCTCTGACATTTTTAAAACCTAACCTCACGTACGTAGATACTTTCTGGATTCTATAGATACGCATGACTTTAGTCACATCATAGACCCACCTTTAAAAAAAGTACTGATGTTACCGTCAGAAATACCATGTGGTAGGAAAGAGTAAACAATTTTTTATTTTGTATTTCATTCCTAATCTGATTTATATTATTTGTGAACATATCGATATATATCGTTAGGTATGTCCATAAATCGTATATTAAAATTTCACTGTGATCAACTGACTTTTCGATGAGATACTAATATTTTGAAAGATACTTAACAAAATTAAACTCTATATTCCCGTCGAAGTCGTGAAACACGAGAAAGTAGTTAACCTCTCGATCTACCGGTAACGCAGCTAACGACATTGACGTATCGTATTCGCGGTCGTTCCGCGTCTATTTTCTTGGTTAAAAAAAAAAGTGGCAGAAAAAGAAGCGAATAAAAAAAAATCACACTGCTCTAGTTTCGTCGTCATTCGAAAATTTCCGTCCACAAGACATAAGGCTACGTCACTGACCTTTTGAAATAGAAACAGAATAGCTCCTCGAGACAGTTCCGGCAGTTATAAGCAGACGAGGACGGTATAATGCGATTGAAAGATGTCTCTTGCAGACGACAAATTACGTATTGCGTTTCTTCCGCAACAATTACGTTACCCGTACGGCATATCCTTAAACGCACTGTAAACCGGACTGATCCACTTAAAACTATACGAAGGTAAAAGGAATTAAGATCCTTTATTACTGTTAGCTTCAATATATCAACTAATTGTAAGTTCTTATTTCTGTTTCGTGCGATAAGCTATCATTTTTACCTGCACGTATCTTGCGAAGTCTTACGCGATAATGCCTGTTGCACTGTTCAATTAGAGGCTCGAATGTTTTTCGGTTACTTTTTTTTCTATTTTTTACTATTTATTTTTAGCAACTCGGACGCTGTGGAATATTAAACGATGTTTGTGGCTTCTGGCGTTGAACGAACGTCATGCTAGACGAATTGATATTTTGAATTACTTAAAAGTACGTTGAGATTGTGTTCAAGGAGTTACGTCATATCCGAGTACTGTTAAACATCGATTAATAAAATTTGAATATCGCACCTTGCTGGAAGGTAATAAATACGTACGGGTTTTACATTGAGAATTAAACACATTAAGATTTTACAGTACGAGAAATTCATCTTGAATATTATTATATGCTGGAATTCTAGAACTGTAGAACAATGCTCGTGTTTGTTCTTAATAGACATAAACTACATGCTACTATCAATGCTGCAAAGTCTATGGACTAATATGCACCATTATCACCATTATTCATTGGGAGTACCGTCTTTGACAAAGTCAAGGAATTGTGTCTTCGTGTCAAGAGATTAGGTCAAGATTACTTTTCGCAAGTTTATAGCATAACAAAGAACCTCATAGCATTTCGTATACTACATGTCTCCCCATTATATTTCCATGTGAGAATCTTCAAACACAACGATCAGCTAAGGATATTTTTTTCTCGAATGACGCAACAGTCGATAAAGTTTCGTAAAGTGACGCAAAACCCGTTGAAAGCCCTGGATGAACGAAATAACTGCCGTAACTGAAGTATACTCATAGGTATGACAATAGCGTCGAATCACATGTATATACGTACACATATAACGAGTACCATTGCATCACCTTCTAAACGAAATTCCTGTAAGAGAAATGCGTCGGGTCAGTATTGAAATTGAATGATGCAACCAAAATGAAAATACGTAAAGAGCCAGTTGAGTTTCAACAAGTTTTTCTTGCTTTTAAGATTCCATCTAGTCATCCTTCTTTATCACACAATAATCCACTTTCTAAATCGAGTTGTCTGTTAATGACGTAGGTTACGTTACGTATCGACTGGCACGAACAGCAGACGGCGACTCCCGATTGGTCGGTTTCACGGGTGTGTCTTGAGGCCCGCCATCTGTCGGCCAATGACGTCACTTTAGTTGCATTGAGCGAGAAGGCATCGTCCGACGCGCCCACGCGACTCTGTTGCGTCTTTACATTGAAATAAACTCTGGAAGCGTGGAAACTTGCGAAAGATCCATGGAAATATTCGTCGTGTTGTACAGTCCGATCCCTTAGAAATTGACGAACACTGAAACAGACAGGACTCAACAAGAGACACGTAACGGCATTTGTTCTTAAGACACTGGCAAAACAAGCCTCAATGGCTAAAATGTCAATCAAAATATACATTATAGATTGTTTCTTCTGCATTGGATGTCTTTATGATTAATTTTCAATTAACTTTGTTGTTACGAGCTGTTCCGAATTTCATAAGGATTACGCCAATAATGAATAGGAGCAGGATAGACGTTAGTCACGTAACTAAATACGTGACCATGGTCACGTGTTGCAACGGTTGGTACCCAGATTATTCATCTGTCTGGAAATTCTCAAAAACGTTTATCTGACGTAGGACGATTTTATACGAAGTCAGTTTTTTAAGGTCATGTCTAGTAATTCCACTGGGAAGAAACGTGACCTTTCACAGTTACATATATTTTTCTAGATACTTCATCGGTGAGCGTGCAAATCTTTAGCCAACGGTCTTATTGATTTTGTCGTGTTTTAACAGATAGATTCCAACAACGGGAGTAATAGACTGTATACATATATGTATATAGAAAGCAAACGATATCGATCAAGTAAGCCAGTCTGTTTGTTGGTCTAAATAACGACGAGAGCATCATACGGGTTTCAACTTATATCTTTTTATCGTAAATCTGTTATTTATTATTAATAATGTATTTAAAAAAAATATGAGGTAAATGTCACATAACGTTTCTAACACATATATTTGGATGTTGCACTATCTACGGATGAAACAAACCAGCTTCTACCACCGTTTGGAATCGACGTTAATAAGGGATGAAAATTTCGCGCTTGCGCTTTGTCACACCCGGTATATAGGCTCTGGACTTCTACGGCAGGAGGTATAAGCACTGGGGGATCGAACAGCTACCCTCAGAATAGGCAAGCCCGCGCTTCCCTCACGTCACCACAGGTGAGTAGGTGTTTCTTTAATTTTAAATAATTTTTTTTACAGTGTTTAATAAACTAGTCAGAGCCAAACGCCTATTACGACTTGGAACAACTGTGTTGTGTGATACTATTTACATGCAGTAACTAAAAGGCATGGGGTTAGGGTTCTACTTGGTACATAATGGCGAATATCAGTTCACTCACTTAATCCCTAAAGCTTATCAGGTACGTTCGATGAAGTGTTTGATGCTTTTTATTATATAAACAAAAATATTATATTCACAGATTATTTTAATTAACACATTTATAAGGAACATTTTTCTAACGAATATAAAAACATATTCAGATTATTTTTTTGCAAATTATATCGAGCCTAGAAAATCCGAACGCTTGCTGCAGCACGTAGGCCCAAGCCGCAAAGATTTCAACTAATTGTAAGACGACCATCGTCATTTCCGTTCTAGAAATTATTAAGTAAACTTTGTATATTGTTGAACAATTTTATTATCAGCAAATAGTGCCGTTATCATAGCCAATTGAGTAATTGACAATATTTAAAAATATTCCTATTTCTGATACAACCTTTAAATCAAGTATTACCATCCATCGTCACGTGTATATATAATAAAGAAAAATATCTATCCACAAATAGGATTGTTATTCCTTTTATAAATCATCACACAACTAGGATATTCAACCGTATTAAAAATAGAAATTTCAAAGATGACGTATTACTACGTATACACCAAGCTCGAACGGTTTATGGCACAAGCGGAAACAGACGCGCTCATCTGTGAATTAACCAATTCCCTAATGGACATACGTTATAACGCACATTTCACATTGAAAATTCTGCATATCGAATAATCATGAATTTAAGTTTGTAGACTCGTTTCTATTCAGTGACGCTCGGTGACATTTTTTTTTGTTAGTAGGTACACGAGAGAAGTTAAAGCCAAATTAACGGTCACGGAATATTTCAATGTTTGCCATTCGGTATATACAGTGTCTTGTTTCAGTGATAACTAGTAGGCCGGTTCTACCTTTGACCTCTAAATGCCCTTCCCTTTCCGGAGAACCTGACACGCTCACGCATCTAAAGACAAGACTCATTGTCGGGCCCCGACTTGCGTAATCCCATGCGAAATCATTCAAATCGTCTTACGACCAAACGCCAAGCGAAACGTTCTTATCTTTTCGAAAATTTTAATATACAATAGGCCTGGTACGAGAGTATATACAGTGGTATTGATACTATGTACCCACGAATACTAGGAAAATTTGGATCGTAATTATTTGAACCTTGTCAACCTACGGATGAAAAATACGAACCATACGAACGTTTAGATGGCAAACATTTAGATAATTGAAAAGTACGTAGTGATACGTATCATATGACGTGTATGCTATTTGGATCGTATGTAACGCGTTCGCAGTTTTGTTGGATCAATCAAAAATGTATTAGTTTTTATACATAACTTTTCGTTCCTCTAAACAATATTTGTTTGGAACAAAAAGAGGAATCTTGTATGCTGACATTCACGTATTCTGTAAGATATCTAGGGATAAAAATAAAATGTTTGAATATCGTGACTTTGCGAAACTCGTTATTCTCCAGAGAACGAATACTTAGAGAATGACGACTACCAGGGATTATTGTCAGGTTCCGCGAACCATTTCGTATTTCTTGGTACCTCGAGATAATAATGTATTCTCGTGTATGTATGGGTTAAGAGTGGAGAGTGGTCGCTGAAACAAGTCTCACGCGAATTCCAGAACAGTCCTGACTCCACAATTGAACACGCGTGTTATAAAATGTCTTCGTGCAGGAAAATTCGGCGGCAAAATTCGTTGCGCGATGTAAATATAAATTCGACTAGCGCGCACGACGATTCTGCGGCGACAATCCGAACTTCAGTAACGTAAATAGCCGATGATAGAAATTCGCTATATGTAATTGAAAAACTTGCGCGTCACGGGCGTGTAATGTCACGAGCGTCATTAAATAGATAGAACACATAGAACTATATGGCTAAAGGCAAATTATGACTCCGCGATGACGTCATGCCAGTTATATATGTAATATCAATTTTTTGAATTAACCCTAGTACACATTTTCTTTGGTTCATCCAGGACCTGTCTTGTTCTCCACTGGGCCAGTTCAAGCCTAAGTAGGACCTTGACGGGTCGTTGTGGAATTTCTTAATGAAATTTCTATCATGGAATCAAACAACCGATTCTATTTGATATGTATAAAAGAATACGTTTTGGGCAGCGAGACGTTACTTTCTGTGATGTCATAATCATTATAAATGACGTATAAAGAACTTCGTCCTTAAGCATTACTTCGTGTAACTGTACAAGACAAATTAATGGGTTTTGTTATTGTAAAACTACATAATCGATTATATACCGTTATATAATTGCTGTGTATTTCTACAAGTTTACATGTTTGCACTATACTAATATTCTAATCTCAGGCATTTCTGTTTCTTGGCTTGTTTACGGACAGAGGCACAGCATGAAAGCCGAAAAGGTATGGTATACAGAGATACTTAGAAAAAAATTATTTCCAAAATTGTATAGACATATATTTTTTATATATAATTCAAAAATTTTCACAACTAGTCCAAAGAGGATATCCACGAGGAGCAACCTTCGACGCCTACGGCCCTGGCACCTGCACTCAAAGTAAGTGAAGCTTCTTGAAAATATTCGACAAAAAATACTAAACAAAATATACAATATTTATAATCATTATATCAGTATTTAAGCTTTTTTTAATAATTAATTGTGATTAACAAGTCGATCAAGAATTCGTAATGCAAATAACCTCACAAAAAGATCTTCATTTCGAACCTGTTATCGTACTAATGTGTAATCAATATTAATAACAATGTAGCAACTACTTGAATATGTTACTTTTTCTTTTTTAACGCAGCTAAACAAAATCAAGGAGCGCGTAAGTCCTGGAACTTTTTCATTACTTAGTATTAATTATGTAACGCTAGGTGTCAGTCATTACCATCATCATTTATGGTTATATCTTGGCAATTAAAAATTTTCACGCAGAACAATGCCACGTGGTTAATTACGTCATTGTGCTTATTCAGCGTATCTATGGATACGAATTTCGGTTAATATCTGTTAGAAAAATACACAGTGGCGTATAACTATATTGACTAGGCATTATTATTATTATTCATATTATTAGAAGATCATTAGGTAAACAGTCTTAGTTCAGCTATTACCATTCACTATACATATATGTATCTAGAATTCTAGATTAGTAAGTTTGATATACCAAGGTTAAAAAAATGCGGGCAATACACGTAATTAAAACACCGTTACTCAATATGAATACTTTGCAATGAAAAATATTTCTATACGATCTTCCGTATGGACCGATTATTAATTTCATCATTTTGTAAAAATGAGTTCGGCCATCTCGAGTACCTGTGAGGTAATGTTGACGGAAATTAACGAATGTATGTAAAAGAGAGAAAAGATGTCCCGACGTATCATAAAAATTTTTCTATCTTTATATAGACCAAATTTTCGATCTGAAGCGTGTTAAAGTTTTTTCACGATGTTACGTACAGCCTTAAATGCTTTACAGTCCGATCGTTATTCTCAAGGAGAATATTCTGTCTCGTGGAGCATTTGATAACGGATAAAAATACGCAAGGAAATGGGCCATATTAAATTGACAATTGAACAAATAATAGTTAAGGATCTTTTATACAGATCTATATCCCTGTAAGCAAGCAATTTATTTTTCATGTACTTTTCATTTTCAAAAACTTTCCAAAGATATCCAAATATAAAATCGATGGGATTCTCATATATAGAACACATTTAGCATTGGTTGGGTATGAGTAGATAGTGTTTATCATTTAATTGACAAATCTTGTTACGCGGCTTTGCAAGCATCGTTAAATAAACGCTTAGCGTTCTTTAACCACTAATCGACAATAACTACGCGAAAATCATGAGGGGTGCTTGTAGTTTGGTATATTTAAATATTCAGTCATTAACTTGTATTTTCGTATAATTTATCTAATTTCAAAGTTACTCACGGCAGCCACCATCGACATTCCAGAAAAGCATGTTACTCGACCGTCTCGTGAGTCGTGAACTATGGACAACGGAATTATTCATGAAAACTGCGTTCAGGGCCAACTGGTTTCGCGCGTAGGTGCATAAACTGTCGTACGATCCAGAGGACGAATACTCATTAGATTGATTTTCACTGATTAGCCAATTACGTGAATTAATTAAAGACGTTATAGAAAATCATTGTAGAATTATTTCTTTTTTTTTATTTTATAACGAATGAATTCTAGTTCGTAAACATTTCGGTATACAATTAGAGAACAATTGGTAAATCCACAGCTAAAATCATAAAACCAGTCACTGACGAATTTGAATTCGTCATTTTCAACTAATTAACAGTTAATTGATTCTGATTTGCACACACTTGCGTATATCGTGTATTATTCTTAATTACGTCGCTAAATATGAGACTCATCTTACTGGTATACGTATATGCGTACAACACATCTGACGAGCCTCTGGTATTGGCGGATAATCAAATCTCTATGTCAGTGCTGCCTAAACGGTCATTATCCATAATCAATAAAGTTCACTTGGGCTACCCTCTATTATCACAAGGGCATCCAATAATCAATCTATTATTAAATTTTGGCGGAAATTTTGTCTCTTAAAAATTATAAAGTTAATTATGATAACGAAGAGTTCACTCTCTGTGCACCTTATTCGGACAATATACATGAAAAAGTAATTTTTAAGATGTCCAAAGCATAATTCTAGTAGACGTCTTAAAGACGACTTTTGGACGTGTTCTCCGAGTTGGTTAAAATTTATATGGTATAACGTTCCTGCGTATAGTTCGTCGAGAAGTAAAATCAATTTTGGAAGGGCCATCTTCGTATGACTTTTGAGGTAAATGAGTCCCCTCGACTGAATCTTTTACACGTGAAATTACTATACATTGTTAACTACCATAATATGTATTATCACAATATTATCAGTAGATGATCTGATATCACAGGAGAAATGTTGAATCGTGCCTGATTCCGGATATATTAATGGTCTCAAGAAGATAAGGGGTCATTTTGTTATTGGCTACTAGAAAACGCTGGACGTCGTACTAGGTTCAATATAAGTAATTGCAAAATTGAAACGTCATGAAAGTCACTGTTCATTAACTGGCAGCGTCCGGTCGTAGTGGGGATTTTATGCGTGTGGAGCTGTGTGTATTCAACCGTATAGAACTTACGAACAGGAATTGTACATAAACCACCGTCGGGTTCACGTTACCACTACTTCTCTTGAAAGTTTCGCCAAGAGACGCGTGTATCCTCGAACATCGGTTCACAGTTGGTTTCAACCTTCCTTTCGCGCACCTTCGCTCAAGAAACATTGAACAGCTTCACGCTCGACACACTCGCACTGGACGATTCAAAAAGGCCGTTGTTACCGGGATAAGAAAATTTCGAAGTGCAAAATATTTTTTTAGTTACTTTAAAGCAAAGAAGGAAAAATTATTTGACCTACTTCGGAGAAAAATTTTTTTTTAAGTGAACCACTAAACTTTTCCATCCGTTCAGTGAATATGAGTCGGTTGAAGGTAACTTTTTTATTTTCTTCGCTTCGTCCTTTTATTTTGTGGGCGGATGTATTTTAATCTACAAATGATAACTATGTGTTTTACTGAAAGGAGGGATATATTGTGTGTCTGATATTTTTTTCGCTCAAACAATCACACGCGTTATCAATGACAGACTAGAAAATGGTGTTCTGCTTTTTTTTTATTAATCCCATTGATCAATCCTGGTAAACAAAACGAATAGTGGACGATATTATTCTGCTGTCAATTATCCTTATTATTGACTATCCCTGGACTTGATTTTCTTATGCAATGTAAACATCAAAGATCGTTGCACTATCTGGATATGAATACGATTTATAATAGCGCAAATAATAAGTACGTACTATCGTTTCGAATGACGTCGCACTACGATAATCGGTAGAAAATTTGTCTAATGAAAGCAAAACTTTCCTACTTCTAAACGTCACTGATAACATTATTTGAATTTATGGAACGTAATAAATTAACAGTGAAACATCGTTATTGGTTTTTTCATCGGCTGACTATTAGTTATTGTCAGTGAGGATTTTGAGCGTGGCTGAATCATCATGCAGACACGTATCTACCGTACATGCATATAGGCTCACCCGTTATTTGTTCAATAAAAAATAATTCTATTTAAAGAAACTGTTTTAAGCAAAAACAAAAATAATGGCAAATTCGAGAAAGATGTAGTACAGTCGGTGCAAGTACATTTCGTCTATTCGATGTCGTGATCGTCATTGTTTCTCTTTCTATCTATTCTTTCCTCTCTCTCTCCCTTCTCTCTCCCCTTCCCCCTCTCTCGCATACACCATCTTCTGAAACAACACCATAAATTTGTCTGATGCGTGATCATTCTCTTTTATAGAAAATTTCAAGAATTAATTGAACAAGTGTTATATAAATTTAATAATATGACTTGTCTCCTTCTGTTATTCTTAGACGTATTATCCGTTCACGTGGAAATTTTAATTATATCCATTCGAGAGAAACTTCTGCTGAACAATCACTTAAGAAGAACATTCAGTCGGTTTACACTTGTCGCAGTAGAATTTGCATATATCCTACAGTAGAAAACACGAGCTATTTGTTCCACAAGATGAATTGTGCTCCTAAAAGAACGGTACCGTACCACATTTTTCTCGTGACTGTCGAAGTATGAGAAGATTTTTCTATTCCGTATAATACGTTTGCGGTGTAGCTGAAATGCAGAAAACGGTTGGCAACACGTCGCATCGTCACTTAGCGACGTAAGCGTAACGTACGAAGCTCAATGGCAATGATTGTTACTGCTCAACTGTTATAGCTCAACCTCTTTCTTGACCTAACTCGTGACATAATCGTCTTTACCTTGTTGTTTTCCCCTATTGAAATGTATTTTGATGTACGGCGTGACTTACCTCCACAATCTATCGCTCTACAACCTATGGACTAGCTATGTATAGATATTATGTCGAAATTTACAGTTCAGGTTTTGTCTCAGGCAACATTCTCGACTCCTGGCTGACGCCACTACGTCGTGGCAATTACTCGCAATCGACTTATCTGAAAAGTTTGACTATACCAAAATTTTACCATAATGAACGTTTCATTCTACCCTGTTCGATGTACTGAGAACAAAAGTTTAGACAGAAGGAAGAGGAAACCCTTTGTCCCGTTGACTAGGCAGCTGTTTGGTATGTGTAGGAGTACGAGGATCCAGTTATAACCGGTAACTGGTAATGCGATAAAAACGAAAAAAAGTACTGTTTCTACGCACTCTCTCTTTACACTTCTCATTATGTATTCATTAACTCAATTGCCAGAAACGTGCATAAAGTTCAATACAAGTAGCGGTACGATTTCCCGTTGCGCCGTGTATATACCTATATACATACGTATTCGTATTACAGATAACACTGTTCTATAGGACGTTTACTAGAGTTATGATAAACGGGCTGTACCGAAATACAGCCTATTGCCTGTGTGACGGAATACGTGATGTAGAAAGGAAGACATAAAATAAAGAGTGTCACATGTCGCGCAATATGACGTCATATGTGAGTCGAGTGACATTTGCTACGACACCGGGTTCTCGAGTGTCTTCGGTACTCAGAAAAGAGGCTCGTCGTAGATGAACGATGTTATAACTATATTTAACCCTCGCAGTTACGCGGAAAAGAAAAGAGTGCAAAAAACAATTGGAAACCACGAGACTCGTGGGGCGCATTACTATTTTCGGTACAGCTGCTGCTGCCCTGTGTAACGGAGAGGCTCGATTCACTTGGCAGCCAATCACAGAGTTCCACGCCAGACACACCTCCGTCTCGAAACGAACGAAACGGCTGGATCTTCTTATGGCGTCAGCATTCTATTCTCCTGTTTATCCTTCTCTTATGTACATACGAGATAATCCAATGGCGTAGTACCCACTGAGCGAATACCGAGTTCAAAAGTGATTCTACTCTTTCATCATTCCCTTTTTCATAACGCCAGCATTCTTGACTTTTATAGGTCTGCCACGGTTCCATGCGCATGCGCAACTTACGAAACCGTCTCCTTTTAAACATTGGCGTCGCCACTGTCTTTCCTTACAGATCCTATTACATTAAGCGTATCACGCTTCTATTGATATTAACTTTTAGATAACTATGGGTCATCAGTGTACTTGTAGTTTTTTGAGAAAAAAGTTTACACAGCGAGGAAACTGATTATCTCGTATTACATAATTTGGAAATATATTTATGAAACTTTGGAATATCGTTTTCGAAAGATTTCTCTCTACACGTGTCAATGATACATTCTTATTAATTAGGTCGAAATTCGATAAGAATATCCAGAATGGATTGTAGAGTTATACTCTATTTATTTAAATTTAAACGTATACATGTTATATGCATCTGTTAAATTGTTGGATCAGGTATGGCTGGATGATTCGTCACTTTTTTTCTCAATAGGATGTTTAATCATATACCGTAGAAAATTCCAGGCACCCTTCCCTTCACTCTTCCTTTCCACGTGTCACGGAGAATGGAATCTTTATGCGCTCGGGGGCTCGTCTAAGACTGACCAATAGGATCGCAGTATTCCGAGCGAGCCCCTACGACTTACACTACTATCGGCGAAGACTCGTCCCTGAGCTGATTTACTCCTTTTAACTGTCTCCTAGAAATATCTTTCTGAGAATTTCATTTTTTTTTTCTGTATTTTTTTCACCCATTTTTTTCGTTTCTACCTTTCGTCCCTGTTCGCATCGTCGATTATATTAAAGACGAAATTGAGCAAAAATACCGATCATTATTTTACGCACTTAACTGACTTTCAACACTGATAAAATTAATGCATAGTCATGCCCAATAATTGCTTCTTCCCGTTTGTGAATTCGAACTGTCAATAGTGAACAATTATAAGATATCGCAAGTTAATTAATACGCAAATATTTCAGTATCGGAATACAATAATTCACGAAAATCTCTTTATTCAATTTTTAGGCTCGCAAAGTATAGTATACAAACCATGCGATAACGATGGCGAGAAATTGTTAATCCAACCTTACCGTGCGGTTTAACATCCTGAAATTGTATTCTGATAAACAATTAAATGATTCAATTATAAAAGAAATCTTTCCTATGCCATGCTTCTTTAAGCGTGAGCAGTTACACATGAGTTTAAATCCGTAATCGTCGATGTTGAATAGACACGATGTCATTAACCCTCATAAAAGGTAATCGTCGAGTATTCATGACGCAATTATTTCCCACCGTTTCATTCGACCCGTAAAATAACATTAATACATCTGTATGTAATTCCCCATCATATCGTATATGCGTCATGTACATATATCTTATTAGGCAAACAGTTCAAATTCCAAGTAATAATCATTGGAAACGTAACGAGCTTGTCATAAGTATATATGTATATAAATAAACATTAAATTAGGTTATATATAATATAATAGTCAGATGACCGAGACGTTCAATTTTACTAAATATCAGTGACCAATAACAGATTTTTTTAATTTACATGAATTATACCATCGTTAATATGAGTCTTCTGGGACTTTAATATATTGAAAACATTTGTTTTTCAACATATTGGATGCTTTACGTAATTCAAGTTTACGTGTGAACAGGTGATCACAACATCTGCTGTTAACATATATTCGGTACTATTGAAATTTTCTTTTAATTTCTCTCTGTAAGCATTTTTAAACACTTTTGCCGCCGTATGGCAGGGTAACGATACGGTGATTGTATGTTCCTTACGGGCGGCCAAACATTCCTTGCTATAAGAGTGTTAAACGAAAGCCTACGTGCTACGTCTCACGTGCGACAAGAACTACCTGGATACATTCATCTCAGGTTCCTTAACGTCACTAAATATATTCTTAAAACATTCCAGATATCTAAAGATCCATATTAGTGCATATATATATTCGATATAGTATACAATAATAACATTCTCTCGAAGCCTAAAGTTGCATAATAAATATTCATACCCGATGAATATTCTTGAGGAAGTAGAAGCTTACTTTGGGGTATTGTATTTACGCCAAAACTGAAAAAAAATTTCAGGTACCTCAAAGTTTTGTTATGAAACCGAAAACGAGAATGATAATTGATGAAAATAATACCAGGATTTTTGTGACTCGTCAAACAGTCATACAAACGTACAGTTACTCTGAAACAATTATAAAATTCTTATTTATGACTTGTCTGCTATATCCTATATATTGACCTTTCGAACTTCCCCAACAATAATGAAAATAACACGACAGATGGGAACAGAATAAATGACTTTTCAGCCATCGGACTTTGTACCGTGTTGCGATTGCACGAAGTCGTGTACCAACTACGATAAACCCGCGCGAACTTCAATCATTTTCGTGTCGCAAGTCGACCATAAATGTGTTGTCGATTTATCAATTAATCGAAAAGTAATTTTTCCCCTTAGTTTTGTTTACACCAATGCGATAATATCGTGTTTGGTATTTTCATAATTTTATGCCATTATCGCCGCGCCTCCAGGGCTCTTATCCATTCGTTTATGCGTTATCCACTCGTCGATACTTTGTTATCAGTCCAGACAAATGTGTTGAGTGTAAAATCGAACACTCTGTCAACGTGTCACTTTACGCCGTATGCCAAAGTAGATATCATACGTACTTACTCGGCATTCTTCAACTTCTCAGGCGCACGCAATAATCTTACGAATACGCCTATGGTCTTTGCAGCTAGAACTGTTGTGTCTGTGAATACTGGCAACGTATAAGGACGTCGGGACGCCCTTCCACTCCAGTCGAAGTCTCCTTGGTCGTGTCCGCCATTTGCTGCCAGTCCAACGTACATTGCGTATGTAGTCGTGAAGCAGGCCACTATAAGAGCTTCTGCAGGGTACCAACTTACCAGCAGTCTTTGGCACGTGCTACGCGATATTAGAAAGAAAAATTTAGTCTCCGTTTTGAACAGTGAAAGAAGCGCGGTTATTTATTACATTTTAATTGTTTGATACACGGAATAATTATTTCGCATATTACTGAATTATAATTTGCAAAGATTTGACGTTTCGACGATTTTCGAAATATTGAGGACTCCACTTTATTTGCTTCACGTCGTTACTTAAATATCGGCTTCTGACATGCCTTACCTCAGACGAGCGGTAAGAATTTTACTTGGATTTTGACATTTTTATTGTTATGTATTTTCTGTATCAACGTTTTAACTACTGCGACTCAAGGTGTCATGCGTTAATGTGTGATAATATTATAATTTTGATTGAACGATATAAATCTGTAAATTCATAAATCTCTTTTGATTTAAGTCCATTCGTTTGCACAGCGGTTCAAGATATTTAATGACCGCTGAACCGTTTATTGGGCTTGAAGAAAGGTTTTGATTTGTTGTGGATCGATATTTTGAAACTAGTAATAATACAAAGTCTCATCGGTACTCTGTTTACTCGAAAATTAAAATTTCTATATAATACAGGAATATCGATTTTTCCATAAATCATAGTTGTATAAAATTCTATTATATGGTTTGATTGTTCAACAATTTGAATCCTTACGTAGCAGGCCGTATCTTAACGCCTAAGTCTCGGGCAACCATCAATACATCGCAGTCGACAAATACGATTCGAATGACACTCGAAATTTTACATATTTAATAACACAAATATTTTATTAAATGTAATCTGTACTGTTACTGTAAACTCACCTTTGGTCAATCGATAATCGTCAATTTGATTTAAAATATATTAATTACCGATGACTACCGTAGTCGAATATAATAATTAATTTCCACCAGTCAACTAGTAATTTCGAAAATTTAATTAATTACTATAACCATGTTAATACTGCAACAAACAAATAAATGTCTTGCGTCATATCCGAACGTTGGGGTATCTATTGATCCACCCTTAGAATATCTACGTACTCCATGGCGTTGAAGTTGCCTAATTTAATTGGTCATTACTTTTTAAAAACTTTCCAATAAGTTGTCGTAAACTCTAGTTCTCTGTAAAAAAAGAGCAACTTTAAATATCTGCTAAAATTCACAGATCACGAGACAAATAGATAAAATTATTTCTTATCAGGTTACCTGAACAATAATAAGTTTACGTTATTTATTCGCCACCCGTTAGAGAAATCATCATGGAAGCACACGTCTGTCCCAAGTAATGAAATTGACTCGACCTTTGATGAATTTAGTATTATAGTCTATATTTGGCCAACGAACAATCAATTAGCATCAACGAGTCCAATTGGTGTCACCATCGTCGATTCTTGTCGTCCGGTCTCGAAATACAATCATGACAATTGGATGATCAGTAGTAATCTCAATAGTCTTATGCAAACAAACCTATGAAACGAATCGTCAATAAAAGTTCCTTCTCTCGTGGAATGCAAATATATAATACATGTCAACCTTTCAATCCTCTACGAATCTAGTTTACTACGATGTACTCGTCATAGCGTACGATTGACATTGATTATTGACGACATTCTTTTTTTAATTCCAGGGTTTGAATGGCCATTTAGCATTCGCTATCGCAGCAGCTGCGCTTGGATCATCTTTCCAACATGGATACAACACCGGCGTGGTCAATGCGCCACAAGAGGTAAGAACACATTGTCGCTTATCAGGACAACGGCTTGTGTAATAATATGGCGGAATATAGCATGCAGCATAATGTCAATGAAATGACACCAAGTCAACAGCAATTGACTTTTGATCCTTGAACAGACGTCACTTTCCTTTAGGTCTGATATGCGACACATTAACGTACGTCTTATTAATTTTATAATAAAAACAAGTTTGTCTTCTTATAGCTCATTGAGCACTGGATCACCGAAATCAAGACAAATCGAACGGGAGTGCCGACCGATATATCGGAAGTAAAGATGATCTGGTCAATTGTTGTCTCGATTTTCTGCGTTGGCGGAATGATTGGCGGTTCTTTGGTCGGTACCGTGGCTGATAGATTTGGCCGCAAGGGTGGTCTTCTGCTGAATAATATCTTGGTCATTCTTGCGGTAATTTTCGAGGGTTGTGCAAAAGCAGCTGCCAGCTTTGAGATGATAATAGTTGGGCGATTCTTAATCGGTATTAATTCCGGTTTGAATGCTGGTCTTGCACCTATGTATTTGGCTGAAATATCGCCAGCACATCTCAGAGGTGCAGTTGGTACTGTTTATCAGCTGGTCATCACAATATCAATCCTGGTGGCACAAATCCTTGGTCTAGAGCAACTCTTGGGTACTGATTCTCAATGGCCGCTTCTACTTTGTTTGACGATTGTGCCGGCTATTTTCCAAATTTTCACATTACCTATGTGCCCAGAGAGTCCTAAGTACCTGCTCCTCAGTAAAGGAAAAGATATGGCTGCTCAGAGAGGTAAGACTCTTAACGCAAACAATGATACAGTACGTTTTCATTAAACGATATATCATTTCTCATAAACATTATTTTATTACAGGTCTGTCCTGGCTACGTGGAACTATTGAAGTTCATGACGAAATGGAAGAAATGCGTTCTGAATATGAATCTATGAAGTTAATTCCGCGAGTCACCCTTAAGGAACTCTTCTTCAATTCAGCTCTACGTATTCCTTTAATCATCTGTGTGATGGTCATGTTGGCACAACAATTTTCTGGTATCAATGCGGTTATGTTTTACTCGACGGAGATCTTCATAACGGCTAAGCTTGCAAAGGACTCTGCTAAATTAGCTACAATGGGTGTCGGTGCGATGAACGTAGTAATGACCTTGGTATCGCTGGTCCTGGTTGAGAAAGCCGGAAGAAAGACGTTACTTCTTGTTGGTTTTATTGGAATGTTCATCGATACTATCATGCTCGTCTTTTGTCTTAATTTTGCAGTAAGTATTAAAAGAACCAATAAGATGCACCAAAGGTTATATGGTTTAAAGATACCTTTGTCACAACTTTTTTTTTTCTTATTCGCAGAAATCATCGAATACGGCTGCTTACCTGTCTATCGTCCTGGTGATCATGTTCGTCGTACTATTCGCAGTCGGACCTGGAAGCATTCCCTGGTTCCTGGTCTCAGAATTGTTCAGTCAATCAGCAAAACCTGCAGCAACCTCAGTAGCCATCGCTGTCAACTGGATCGCCAACTTCATTGTCACCATCGGTTTCCTGCCACTTCAAATAGCTCTCGGGGCTTACGTTTTCGTTATATTCGCCGTTCTCCAAGGACTGTTCGCCTTGTTTATATACAAGAAGGTACCGGAAACGAAGAACAAGACTATGGAGGAAATAAGCAGCATGTTCAGGCAGATATCGTATCAGTGAGACAAGTGACACAAATCAATTTCTCAACCGGAATGCGATATTGGAATGAATGAGAGAGTGTAAAATTCATATCCTTTCAAAAGTTGCGACACCTGAGACACGTTATAGTGCTTGTCACTACGTTTTTCCGTGTTATTATCATTCATTTTTTCATCTCCTCCTATGGAATTAAATCAATTAACTGTTGCAGTACCATCGTTCGATTGCTGAAAGATTTTACTTGGATCCGCGATGATGCGCAAATTGCTATTTTTCTTTAGATGATTATAAGTGTTTTTCTTGAGGAGTCGAAAAAGTTGAATGCCAGGTAGTAAAAATCGCACTAAAGAAGTCCCGTTTTTGATTAAAGCCGATCTTAGTTCCTATTTATTTCCGGCACTGCAGATTCAGTTAACGGCTGCCCAAGACAATTACGCGTAGCGCACAACCGCACACAAAACACGTGTTGTACTCAGAAGGCAGTTTCAAGAATTTTTTGTCAAAATCATCGAAATTCGAATTACATTTTCAAACGAAGCGGTAATCTCAGGTCGAATTGATAAATTTCGAAGGATTTTGACTCTAGTCACGGAAAGATTTTTATTTTGCATTAATCGGTTCTTTATTTTATTTTTCTTGTTTCCTTTTTATTTTTCGTTTATCGATTTTACCTATCGTAACCGATTTTCATCAATTTTACTGATGGATAACCTTCGCGAGTTACGATCGTCTTCTCAATGAAGAGAAAGAAGAAAATATCGATATATCGTGAACGTATTACAAAATGAGTTACTAGGCTAAACTCACGCATCTTGATATATTTCGGGGAAAAAAGAACAAAATCTAAGCATGAAAAGAACAAAGTAACCCGTTGGCACTGTCCAGAGTTCATTCAACGTTTGATCGGAACTAATTTACCAAATTTATATTTACATTTTCTTCTTTGGCAAAGTCGTACTCCTGATCAAGGATCCAATATTTTAGCAAAGTGGATCAGTGTATTTCGATGATGATGTATACTGATCCTAATAATTCTAGTTGAAAGAAAAAAAAGATGTCTCATGACAGACAAACGTAAGTCGTTTAAATTTTTTATCTAGCGTATTTGGCTGAATGGAGGACATTACATCTTTAGCGTACAAATGTCTGTGTCATAATTGTAAATATGAAGGAGTATAGAATAATAGCATTGTATAGTATAGAAATAATTATATTTATGTATACAAATAGTTAAATAATATTTAAGAGGCATAAAACAATGTTATGTTCCGATACGGCAACAATTATTTTATTAAGAACGATAACGAAGTCAGTGCGTATGCTGAATATATCTCAGGAAATAGAAAGAAAACGAAACGACAGTTATTTAACAAAAGTATCAATTATTTTTCTCTTGCTTGAGATAACATTTTTTAAAGGTATTCTAGTTCAAACTTTCTTACCGTAAGGAGTATATAGAAAAACTGACAGAATACTCAAGAAAAATCTGAACTATTTCCATTTAATGTTATACTCTAGAGTCTCGAAATAAATTAATTAATTCATCCGCTAACTATAAGAAAAATATCATATCGCTATTTTACAATTTTATTTTAACCTGAGACGAATATTTCACTGAGATATTTGAAAAGACTGTTATCGCGTGCTGTAATTATCACGGGAAAAATTTTGGGTCACAAAAGCCTTTCTCGGGGAATATGACCTATTCCATTTAAAAAGAAATTCTCACCGTGTATAGTTGAGCGTGATCTTACAACAGGATATTACGAGTGTACAAGTTTTACGAGCGCCACATTATGAACTTACAAAATAAGTTTTTTGCAACACAGTTGTAGCATTTAGTTTGTAGAACGTTCTTTTATATTTGAGACCAGCATCTTTACAACATTTACAACCGTTTACTCATATGGATTGTAGCTTAACCAACTCTTAGTCCTGTAGCATGAATGTCATCTGTTAATGTTTCATCTATCAACTAATTCATGCACAAACAGAAGTTATCGTTTATTAAATCATTTTAATTTAATACTATTTGGTACAACTCAGCACTCGCATCTTACCTATCGCGTGTTACATAGATCTGTAATATGCTAGGAATCACATAATTTTTGATGCCAATATATTGTTGTCCGAATAAAGAAAATTCTTTACATCGTACCATTAAATGGTGTGTCAACATGATATATTCAATGAAATTTTTTTCAAGTTAAATCGTGTTTATATGCGTTACATGTCATGCTAACTTTCAAATTAAAGGACTGCCTGACGTATCGAAGAGCGGCGCTGCTAGCACATTTCGCCATTGAGTTTCGTACTGCTTTGGTCAGATGGTGCTATTATCTCAATTGAGATAGAGTCCCTCTAGTAAGAGTCCGGCCAACGGTGGGGCTTGTTAGTGATTGGCTCCGCCATATTATGGGCTCTTTCCGGAATAGAATGGTGTGTGTGAATACATATATGCGAGAGATTCGCATTGAGTAGTGTGGGTAGTGTTAAGCCCTGTACGGCGGGTTGCCTGTACTTGGCGCGAGACTCGATCGAGTCTCTTGATGGTAAAGATTGATAGTTTGAAAATCCGCGCGCAATGTCATGGTGGCGCCAAACAAGCCCTTAATATGGCGTCCCTTCCGGGTGTTGACCGGACTCTTACTAGAGGGACTCTAAATTGAGATTAGCTAGTGATTTGCCATCATTCCAGACGGTAGTTTAATTTTTCCTCAACGAAGTTTTATTTCAGCAAAATAATATTCTGTATTAATAGTAAGGAAACAAAAAGATGGATTGTTATCATGGATCCTGAAGTGGATAACATGCAGAGATATTGAATGCCACATATATCCTAGGATTACCGCGTGTGTAAAATATTTTAATGGACTCGGATGTATGATGATAAACAATTACCCCTGTCCACGTGTACCCATCAAATGAACGCACCAAAAATATTTATCAATCAGTACAAAACATTGCATAATCTACAAACGGCACGGATAAAAATTCATTGATTCTTCTTGACATCTATTTGTACGTATTACAAATTCACTAAATACGTAAAAGATCATTCGACAGTACATTTCTTGAGTAATTTATTTCTAGACATGACGCAACAACGTAGTTTGGCAGAGCGCGCGAGATTAGCACTCAACGTCATTCGGGATCGAAGCCATTCTTGTTCTTTGATTTCAGATGAGACCTACCGAAACCATGATAAACCTGTTTTCACGAGGTGGAATAGGTTAAACTATAGAATAAATGACATTTTTTGTATTTTAATAGATGTACCAGAATGACACAAGGGATAAAAAGATATATGGAGACTCTAGAAAAGGTGTAGAATTGTGAAAATCTAGTTATATTAAGTATAGAGCCTCGGAAGTCACATGCTTTCTCAAAGGCGGGAAATGGTTGGTAGGTTTATAAAAACATACGGCAGATGTCACTCGTGTCGAGAACGCCGTACGCCGCGGCGGCCCGCATCGTCCGCCAGTAAACAGCTCACGCGACTCGCCATCAGTGAGCGATAGTAAATATCCCAAGATCTTGGAACGTGGTGGCCCTGTTCGGTGGGCTTATCCCTGGCGACGAGGTACGACGACTAGAAAGATAAGGTTGAACAGTGGGCAGAGTGCGTCAGTGATTGCTGGAGGAGAACGTTTGATGAGCCAGGGGCGGGCGCGTGGTACGCTCGACGCGGCCACAAATGAACACGAGAGCCGCGACGGCGCCACGGAGGGAAGATGTCAAACGCCTCGCCGTCACGACTCGTGAATGGTGAAATCAAGCTCAGTACCGGCGCCGGCAGTGTGACGAGTGATTATCGTGATATCTCAGGGTCTACATTAAATTATCGTGAACTACGTTCATCGATCACGACTGGTGGAAACGAATTGGGTGGAGATTATCGTGATTCTCGTGGAGGTTCGCTCTCGGTGAGTGGAGGAACGACGACGGCGACGACGCCGGGCGTCGGTGGAGCGAGTGCACTCGCAGCCCGCGCGGCCTACAACATGGTCGCGGCGATGAACGAGCACCTGTCTTCGTCGTCGGCGACGAACAGCGCCCGCACCACCGTGCAGAACGACTTTCAGAGCGTCGCCGAGGATAGCAAAGCTGGAATTCTCAGTTTCCCTTGTGATTTCGATCACATGTACGCAAGCATGACTGATGCAGGAGCTTCGGCTGCTGCGACGGCCACTTCGGCACTTGGCGTCAGTCCTCTCAGAGGCAATGAAGCCCGACAAAATGACCTTACCGAGGTCAAACACCTTAAAGAACTATTACTCCTGCACCTGGATCTTATCCAGCAACAGTCTGAACAGATTGTCACTAAAGACAAACTCCTTGCTGCTCTTAGACAAGAAAATGAAACGGTGTGTAATCTCGTGCAATTACATCGAATCTCCTTATATCGTAATTCTTCTGTTTCTAACTTATCTTTGTCTAATTTTACCGTACTTTACTTTTACCGTACCATGGTTGTAACTACTGTTACCACTTAATATTTAGTTTTTCCACTCTTCTTCCCCATTTTCGATTTGATGCCATTTTCCGAAACATTCTTGAAAAACAAACGCGCACATGCTCGATTGTCATTCGACCATCAGATCCGTCAAGGTCAGGTTGATCCTTTTACTCGCAGTGTGGCGCTACAGTCTTTGACATATGAACACGCTGCGTACTTCTGGTTTGATTTAAGGGAACTCCGTCGGTAAATGTCACGGCTTGTCAGACACCTGCCACATTGGATTGCGGGTTTTTCGAATTCCTTCACATTTTAGAATCATCGAACATAGACACTTATCATGCTTTATTGTTGCTATGTTACAGTTAAAGCTACGCCTAGAACGTATGGACAGGCGAGTAAATCTGCAAAAGCATCGTACTGAAGTTTCTGAAAATTCAATCCCATCTGAACACGTTGGTACCTGCTCACCACCTACATTAAATTCTGTTCCGTCGACCAGCGAACATCACAAGAGTAATGAAACTGAAAACAATAACCCTCATTACAACGAGAGCTTTAAAATACGCTTAAATACTAGTGGAGGCATAACTACGGTCAAGCAGGATCATGGGGATGCTCATGGGAAACATGAATCCAAACAAGACATTGCCAATGAATCCAACAGGCATGAGTGGGAAGGAAAAAAGAAAAGAAAATCCGATCCATCCTCGTTATCCGGTAGTAAACGAAAACGTGGAGTATCATGTTCTTCCACGATCAGCAACGATACTTCGTCTACTATATTGGATAGCAAAAGTTTATCCCATGAGAATAACCGAAAAGCGGAGAAAAAGGGAAAGTCTCTTATGAAAAGGGAATCCTTTTTATCGACAGAGGAGCATTACTATACGTCAGTCGGTGATCCAAATTATACGTTGAACTTGAAGGAGTCGACTCCGCCGGAGGCGAGCAGTTCCCTAGAAGTTCCAAACTGGAGGGTAAAGATCTACACTAGCTGCTACACCATGGAGGGAACAGAGAATTTGGACGACGAGATTTTTAACAAGAGGCATTTGAAACTGGAGAACGACGAGAGGCGGCGAAAAAGATGGGACGTACAGAGGATAAGGTCAATAATCAACGATCATTTCTTAATTCCACTATAGGAAATCTTCGTATCTCTCGTTATTCTTGTGTAATAACGATTAGACGGTTCGTGAGATCCCACGAGATCTGATCGATGTGTTACCTTTGCGTCAACAGAGAACAAAGGCATATTGAAAAGCTGAAGCAGAGGCAGGAACGGCAGAATCATCAAGCAACGTGTTACAACACGAATCATACCGGACCATGTCCATCGGCTGCTGAAGAGGAAGCCATTACGTCCCTCTGGCCGGATGTGGATCAAATTCAAGGTCTTCAAGTGGAAACATTATTACCAGTCACTGCATTTGGTGCCCCTATTCCCAGTTTTACCCCCAGGTAAGCACGTTGATGCGTATCATAAAGTATATGGCTATAATCAAAGTAGCAGCAGCTCTTTTTACTTGTAAGACGCGTATAGTTTCTACATCTCTACATCGTATACATCACTTTCTCGTTGCAGCGAATTCACATTACCTTGGTTGCATACAACGAGGTCGAAGAATCGTCGTCCAAAAAGATCGACAGGTAGAAGAAAAAGTTCTAGGAGATAAACTTTTATTAAGTAATGAATGTTTTTCTTTTTTTCTAATTTTTTTTTTAAACACACATCCAATATTCAAAACCCCAGCAAAGTAGAGCTGCCCTCTCGTGGTTAGCCCTCCCTCCTTTTAATCCCGCGTGCATTATTCCTGCTCTGTAAAATGAGGCACCAAAGATGTTTTTATTCTTCTCTTCTTTTCCAATTCCCTCTTTTTCTAAAAAGAGACAATTTGCGTACTATACAAAGGACTAATGATAGACCCGTAATCTGACATTTTCTACCATTTTTTTCTTTTTGACGAGAGACTTATTCTCTGTTGACATCCAATGAATATATTGTTTTTAGATTTCGTTACAATTGGTATTTACTGTTTTATTTGCAACGCCATAAATATATATTATATATACATACACGTAAAACGATTATATAAACACATGATGTGGTTTTATAAATTATTATCCCCGTTCGGAGATTATTTTTGCTGTAAAAATATTGTAAATTCTTTCTTGCGTGTAAAGAAACATATCATTTATCATTAATTTTCAAGAATATCTATTAGAAGCACTTCCAAAAAAAAAACGATTTAAAAAACGATAACTGTATAGATCAGAGTCTAAGTAAGACGTACTTCGAGCAGCAGCAGGTTAAACAAAAAAATATGTTGTAAAGGTTGTTGTGTAGACGCGAAATGTATTTGTAGCGCAGACAGAATCTATAGTAGCCCCTTCTCTTTAGATCATCGTTCACGTCCTATGTAAATATATATACATACCATTATATACTATAAATCAATTGGAACAAACTTTTCAATGATAACTTGACATGCGTAAGGTTTCAAGATTTTCATTGAACTATTCCAATGATGCTACTACGTAACGCGCATTCTTACGGGCGCCATGATAAGTTTAACTTAAATTTGTACAATTTGGAGTAAGAACGGCTGAGTGTTATTTCGTGAGACATGTTGTAAAATTATATCGTACTTGATTGTTATCTTTCTTTTTTCTATTTATGGCGATTTAACGCGCTGGATACTTTCTCAAAATGACAGTCGCCGTTTCCTTAACGAACTCCATCTATAATTTTGACACTGTGCCCATATAGAACATACTTTATCTTATTAGTTTTACAAAAGAGAAGGGCGCTACCCATACGAGCAAACAAACTACACAGGTGGATCCAAAAATAATGTGAAAACTTCTACAGTCCCTGTACTTATTGCAACATAAATTAAATTCGTACAAAATCGTTAATGTATAATCGTCCAATGAAATTATTTCAATTTTACTTTTACTTGGACTTGGCGATCGGTTATATCTTGTTGCCATTGTTGTTGAAGATTTTGTAAATAAATTTGGCATCATGAAATTTACATTTTGTGCCGACAATGGGAGTCCGATTGCGATCAATTCGTTTTGTCCCATATAATGTTCAAGAAAATGATCGAGGTAACGAATACCTACGCGAGATGAGATGCTTTCATTTTATTTTTACGATCTGCCTAAAATATACTATGTATATATCGCTGAGTATATTCTATAGAAATAAAAAAAATCAATATATAAAATATCAGTTTACTTCATTCTAACGTGATTCTCTTTATTTATAGGAAACATATAAAACCAAGCTCAAGAAATAATTATTAATATAGTAAACGTATCACGCTACACTTTATGCAAAATTGGCTTTGAGTTGTTAATTGCAAAAACAATAATACATCTCTCCTCGAGTGACATACAATTTTTGGAAACTTTAATCCACGCAAGATATTCCCACCTGGGTACTTATTTCTCGGTAAGTAACTCAGGCATCTAAGAGTTAAAGGTACTGCAGCAGCGGCAATTAATCACGTGTAATAAATGATCGTTCTCACTGTCATAAACAGTGAACTAAAAGGAATTGCATTATAATTGAAAGTGCACTGAGTGGATGTGGAGAAAATGGCAAAAAAATAAACTAAATCAAATTAAAATTGGAAAATTATTCACATAGACTTAATTAAAAATTGAATAACGCACACGCGAGAAGAATGCCATCATTGTTCAGGCTAATTTAATCGTTAGTATTTAATAAATATATGTAATAAATATTAAATTATCAGATTATTACATTCGGCTGTCGTTCGGTTAGGCAGTTTGCTGGTCAATTCATATAATCGTTGATACGTTTATATGTAGATCGTTGTTTACTCCTTCTATATACTTTTAGGTCCATAAATTAATAATTTTCCATTATCGAAATTCTAGATTATCCTGAATTTTGTATTCGATACCGAATTTATATTGGCTTCAACTTAGAAGCATTTCCTGTGTACAATGGACGGTCCTGACTCATCGTATTCCTGCTTCGAGATCCACATCTGCTGGAAGGTGCTAAGACTAGCAAGTATAGAACCACCGATCCAAACTGAATATTTTCGTTCAGGAGGTGCGATGATTTTGATCTTCATGGTAGATGGAGCCAGGGCCGTGATTTCCTTTTGCATTCTATCAGCAATACCTGGATACATAGTAGTACCTCCGGATAGGACAGAATTGGCGTACAGATCTTTACGTATGTCCACGTCGCACTTCATAATAGAATTGTACGTGGTCTCGTGAATACCACAAGACTCCATTCCCAGGAAGCTAGGTTGGAACATTGCCTCAGGACAGCGGAAACGTTCGTTTCCGATAGTGATAACCTGAAATAATATAACAGTCAGAATACAGATAAATATGACGATGTGGTAAGGTCTGAAATAGATGACTAACCTGACCATCAGGTAACTCATAACTCTTCTCCAGAGCACTGGAACCAGCCGCAGTGGCCATTTCCTGTTGAAAATCTAACGCCACGTAGCAGAGCTTCTCTTTGATGTCTCTGACGATTTCTCGCTCTGCTGTTGTCGTGAAGGAGTAACCCCTCTCGGTGAGTATCTTCATGAGGTAATCCGTAAGGTCACGGCCAGCAAGGTCAAGACGTAAGATTGCATGGGGTAGTGCATAGCCTAAGTGAGTGAGATTAATGACAATTAAAAAAAAATGTATCTGGAACAGCGAGTGCAGTTGCGGTAGCCATTAATGGAATATTTACAAACGTTAAGGACCTTGGATCTTAATCGTAATTCACTGCACTTATAAGGACCGTGACCTTGTATCACGTGAAATATCATGACCGAAAAAGGATTTCTTGAAAGGCAAATTAGAAATGGTGGTCATTCGTATCTCATCCTTGCTCTAAAAACTACTTTCCATTTATAGTCCTACACATCAGCAATGACCAATGAGAGATCAATTTTATTAATTGTCATACCATCATTTTTATTCATTGAATCATTTTGTTCTATCTCTATTCTTATTTTAATCCTATGTTATTCTTTGTATAAATAGGTCTTGGCTTACCCTCATAAATGGGAACAGTGTGCGACACTCCATCGCCGCTGTCCAAAACAATACCGGTTGTTCTTCCGGATGCATAAAGCGACAGTACAGCTTGAATAGCGACGTACATGGCTGGTGAGTTAAAAGTTTCAAACATAATCTGAGTCATTTTCTCTCTATTAGCTTTAGGATTCAGGGGCGCTTCTGTGAGGAGTACAGGATGTTCCTCAGGTGCGATTCTGAGTTCGTTATAGAAGGTATGATGCCAGATCTTTTCCATGTCATCCCAATTAGTGACGATTCCATGCTCGATTGGATATTTAACGGTAAGAACGCCTCTTTTGCTTTGTGCCTCATCGCCCACGTAACTATCTTTTTGTCCCATGCCCACCATTATACCCTAAATAATGAGATGGCTGTATATAATAAAATCCCTTTGAAACTTTAACGTATTTCTAAATATTTGTAGGGGCAAGGAAGGATGGACTGTACCTGGTACCGAGGTCTTCCAACGATGGAAGGGAAAACTGCCCTGGGTGCATCATCCCCAGCAAATCCGGCCTTGCACATACCAGAGCCATTATCGACAACCAAAGCTGCTACGTCGTCGTCACACATGTTTAAACACTGAAAAACCAAACGGAAACTCTTAATTATTTATTTAATGATCGATGCACGAAACTCATTGTGGCTTTCACTAATTATTTTTCTAACGGCTTACAGGAAATTTTTAAACTGGTTACTAAGAGTAAGAAACGGTAGACACCGAATGACTAGACGATACACGATCTTCACGCAATGTCGATCCCTGGAGGATTGTGCCAGCCCGAAGAACCTGCGTCTTTATATGAACTTCCCTTCTCTCGTGTATATTCTGCGTATCAGGCAAGTATACGCGCACATGGATGCTCTATATATTCAGGCGGTTCCTATACGGCCTCTTAATAATAAATTAATGCCTTTTTAACATTCGCCTTGCCATTTCTGTGCAAGTTGACTGTGCAAGGCTCTTTACGTTTCGAACCTTGACTGTTTTCTGACAGACTTAGGAATCGTTCGTTTACCAAAACGGCTGTCGTAGGACGTACGCCATCCGCGTGATAAGTATCCAAGGACACTTCGACTCGGAAAATGCCATGGATTTTCTACTTTCCAATATCTAAATGGATATTAAGGCGTATTCATCTTGGAGAATTAAATAATAATAGGTGCGAGTGAGTAGGCGCAGAGAAAAAAAGACAACAGAGCATCCACTACCTTTTTCGTCGATTCCAATTAGTTAATTGGACGTTTAATCACGTCCATTGAACGTACCAAGTTTTATGATAACCAGAGCGTGCAGTGCTTCTTATTCTTTATTTTCATTCTACTTTTTCTCTCCCTTCCTCACTATTTCTTGACTGCATGAAGTTCGCCGACAAATTACTGTGATTCACCTTATGCCTGCGGGGGTTTCTTTTGCGATTCAGTGACGGTCGGGCAAATAAAATAATACTGAACTTCAAACTGATAAGTAGTTTTCTTTCTGTACGGTTTATTATGCGTGCATTTCTAATCGGCGGGAATAAAAAAATGTCTAATTGCGGATCTTTGACTATCCGTTATCTAGTTTTTACTATTGGTATTCCAAATAATAAGGAGTTTTCGTAGTTCATGGATACTGTGGGTTCGGGGAGAAATTTATTGTTTCATATGTTACATCCAAGATGAAAGATAGCGACTAAAAAGTCTTCAGATTTTATAAGTATATATATCCGTATATCACGCGATTTTACAATTCAGTTATTCGTGCCGTGGAAGCATGATCTTGACCCGCTTCGTTGAACGCGAGTACAAACTTAAGTAGGATAACAGAGTAACCGGAAATTCTGTGCAAGTACCTTTAATGATGAACGAGCAATATAGCAGGGTCAATCAATGATTAATAATAAATTATCAAGTGTCGATAGCGTAGTAAATACTAGAGAAGCTATTTACTGCCTAACAAGGTGTCTTGTATACTGAAGGATAACGAGTAGGGAGAAACTTTATTAATGTCCTACCGAATATGGTGAAGTTCGTGGAATGAAGGTCTTAAGCGATGACGATTCTTAGAGAACTTTTCCAATGAAAATGAGGTTTATGTTCGCTTTTAAATTTCAGATGAACTCAAATTACAATCAAAGTACAGTAGAGACAACAGATTATTAAAAGAAGAGTAAGACGATACTTAATTAGAAGACTCAGTGAAAATTAATACTGGGAATGAAATATGAATATTAAAAATTGAGAATTGAGTATATGTATTCTGGCAAAAAAGGCATAAGGTCAATAGAAATAATTAGTGTTAAGTATAATTACTGACTAATTGTATTAAAGTGACGATTATTGTGACACATTAATGATGAGATAGACAATGCAGTAAATTGCTGGAGTATTTCAATTCAGCTATATATTGTGATATGTGCTTTAACTCTGTATATATAACAATATTGTATGGTTAAGTATGTAAAAGTATATAGGTAAAATATCAGGAAGATTTATTTGAAATATGTTAGTATATAAAAGTTTCATTTTATATGTAGGATTCTTTTCATGACCGCAACGTTAACTCGATGCAAGGCGCTCTTCCGTAGAATGGCCATAAGAGCGTCTTTTGTAATTGCTGTATTATATTCCTTAATTAACCATTTGGTTAATAGCACCTATTAATTAGACTGTGAAATATATAATACCTACTTCTTCATCGGTGTTACGAATTTTTTTCACCCACTGGTAAAAAATTCATGTTAGAGTTAAATTGCCGTAAATCAAAAATATATCGAAAGTTTTCCTATCACTGTTCCGCGATGCCGATTAGTTCATGACAATGTTTGCGCGTGAAATTATCGCGCGCATTTCACAGAAATGACTGAAGTTCAGGTTAAACTTAATTCGACGTTCTTGCCAATCAGCGGATCTGATATTTCTACTATTTTATTGTTATGAAATGTAATGGATTCCCAGACAGCATATGACTTCCTCCCAAATCCCGAATATCTCACAACTGCATTGACAACCTTAGGATAACCTTGATATGCCCCGCTTCGGATACATATTTCATTAAGAACATCCTTAGGATATCCTCAGGATCGACAAGATGCCCTGTAAAAATTATATAAGTTTATTTTTATATATCTTTAGAGTCCATTTACATAATATATTATATTCATATAAAGTTCTGAATATGAATGAGGGTATATTCCGTAACTGAATCAGGATTGCGGTTATTAAATTTAAGCCCATTGAATCCACTGATTTCGATCATTAACAAAATCAGTCGATGTCATGCAACTGAATTAATTAACCGCATCGTGGTTCAATTACGGAATATACATTAAATTAGAATCAGCATATAGTATAATAGCTTAACCGGATGGTGGGACTAATTTGATAGAGAATAGCGCGGCGAATACGTACGGAGACTCGACATAGGAAAGAAATATTTCTCTAGGGTAGGTATAAAAACCTCCTGTAAAAATCCCATAAAACACCATATATTCGAACATTTACATCTCCTCAGGATATCTACAGGAAGGCCCGAGACCTTATCAGAATGTCCTTAGGACTTACGGAATATCCATTTAAAATATCCATGGGACTTCCTTCAGACGTCCTTGTGCTGTCTGGGATATGTATATTATATTTCACCTTCTTTGATAGAAAGTCAACTATTTCAAGTACATGAACAAAATATATTGCTATAATATTCAATTCCCATCTATATGATTGTTTTATGAACTTTCCATAGATTTCATTTCGATAATTAATTTAAATCTTTCGAAAGTTTCTTCTCTCCATATTAATATATAACACTGTTCGCGTGGCTACTCAATTATTCTTCGGCAAATTGGCTGGAATTGTTTCATTCATGAATTCGTACAATCTTTGTATTTATAAAAAAATCGTATTTTTAATTCCGAATAAAATATTGTTAATATATTTCGTGCGAATTGACACATCAATTGTATTATTGACAATGATTGGAATTTGATGAGTATATATTAAACAGCTACAAGGATATTTTCCTGTCAAGAGAAATACCGCTATGCTACACTATTATGCTCCGTGATAATAATTGGTCGAGGTGGCAGTAGAACCCACGACGCCGTTTAGTCAAATATTTCGATATATCTCACGAAGTACTGTTCGCTGGTTTAGAAAAATAAATTAAAAAAAAATAAAAGCAAAGAATTATTAAACCAATAATTTATTGTAACATTGAAGCATTTACAAAGGATACGAGAGACGCTTAGCCATTTTGAGGTTAGGCAAGACTATTCTGTTCTTATAAAATATCAAAAAGTATATCATGTCAGGGCCAAATTCAATTCGAGTTGCAGTTATATGTTCAAGCAATATGAACAGAAGCATGGAGGCTCATGCTTTTCTAAGGTAATAATCAGGCTGAAATGAACTTGCTCCAAAATTGGAGACGTACACTCCTATAATACTTTCCCATCTCTAGAGGTCATTCTTTTTTTTTCCAGTAAAAAGGGTTTCAATGTCAAGTCTTTTGGTACAGGAGATAAAGTAAAATTACCTGGAAATGCACCAGACCGTCCAAATGTTTATGATTTTGGAATGTCCTATGATGAGATTTATAACGATCTCTTAACGAAGGACAAACAATAGTATCCTTTGAACAGCATATTTGACAATAATTTTGTTCTGTTTTTTTATTCGACATTATCCTTAATATATTTCCTAGCTACACACAAAATGGTTTGCTCCATATGCTAGATCGAAACCGTCGTATAAAGCCAAAACCTGAGCGGTTTCAATTATCGAAAGATAAATTTGACATTCTTATTACATGTGAAGAACGTGTGTATGACCAGGTAATAGAATGTATGGAATCTAGAACTCCAGAAGATAATCAACCAGTTCATCTGATCAACATAGACATTCAGGATAATCATGAAGAGGCAACCGTTGGGTCATTTCTAATTTGTGAATTGGTTACTGTGGTATATATCAATTTTTTATATTTAAACAAATGTGATTTCATCGAATAATGATTATTAATCTATCAATTAATTTCAGTTGGCGAATAGTGACGATTTGGACAACGATATAGATGAACTGCTCCATGAATTTGAATCGAAATTTGCGCGAACGATACTCCACACGGTAGTATTTTACTAAAAAATGAAACTTCGATATCCAGGACCTGGCGTCATGGAGCTTGAGTTAGCTTACTACTAAATTATGTATATTTAAATTTAATTCGGTGCGACATTTGACAAAATGAATTATGTTGGCCGAAAGTGACTACAAGCGGATCTACAATTTTGGTTCAATGAAGTGTATCATTAACAGCAAGACGTAGCGAAAATGTTAACGGGATTACATGTATCGCAAAAAGGTAAAGGACAATATACAAAACAATGTAGAATGTAAAATAGTTTAATCTGAATACGGATAACGCATTTACAATATACGAGAACAAGGTGCTCCCTAAGATTGCATAGACCTTATGAACGTGAAGTGTAAACAAAGAAAGTAATCTTGAGATATTATCAAGAAAGAAAAATAGTGTGACAAAATAGTGAAATTAAAAATTATGTTATGAACCAACAAATTCTATAATAATAGCAATTGAAAAATGAGAATTTATATTTCAGTGCATGATGTACGCTACAAGACGTATTAAAAAAACCATTTCTTATTTTTCAAAATCAGTGCTGATCTAAATAGGCGTACAATCTTCTGGTCTTTTCCCGCTTTTTCTTATTCGAGTGTTTATTTATCTTCTTCCACGGTTTCTCCTCAAAAAAGACACTTTGAGTGGATTCCGTAACAGATCCCGCTTCGCTGAAACATGTAATATTTAATTGTATTTATGTGACCAAATGAATTTTTATATCCATGTGGATCCACGCGGTCGTGCCTCATTTTATGTGCCCATTAAATATTTTATGAAACGTGCACGCATCCTATCTCAATAATTTCTTTTTTACACTAATACTAAAAACCTCATGTAAGTATAGAAAACTCATGCACAAAAACAGTTGCATGTGAACAATGTGTCGAGAGCAAATGTTAATAATATATAAACATAACTTGATGAAATCACAGACGATTCTAAATAAAGGCATCTTCAAGTTAAATGTACCTGATACTTGAACTCTTTGGAACACCCATAGTTTTACCCAGAACACCTTTGACGTGGACGCCAGGGACGTTTTTTTGAAAGAAAACTTTATCCAAATCTTCTGTTGTTATTTTACTTCCTTTGACGGCACGAACGGCTCTAGGAGGTTGTTGCTTATTTGCTGAGTAAATTCTTTGACGTTCAGGAAATGTGTGAAATTCTTCTTGTGATCTGTTTGGTGGTGCTAAGCAGTAGAGCAGTCTACCATTAACAAAGTCTTTTAACAAGTAACGAGCGGAGCGTGGATTGTCCGGTTGGCCATTCTGTGTCATAAAACCTCTGTTATCTAAAAATAAAATACAAATTTGTATAAACTATCTCCAATTAAAAAATTATTTTAAGCATATATAACATAAACATACAGCCATATGCATTTAAAATTTCCTCTGCGGTAGGTGGTCGGTTTGGATCTTCTCCATCTGAGGGTGGAGGCAGCATAATACCGTACAAATCTTCAATAACGTGTCTTGGTATTAAAGTTCCTAAGAGTGTGACGGCAGGAACATGATCACGTAGCTGATCAATTGGTAATATACCGTTTAAGATCATCTCTGCTTTTGTACAAATAAAACTGGGCATTACTAATCCTGGGCAGTCACATAATAGCAAATCTTGGTCTAGGAAGAGTGTTTGGAAGTGCTTGGTCTTGCCTGGTGTTGCAGAGACTGATACTTTTTTATTCAGAAGTAATGCATTGATCGTAGAACTTTTGCCAACATTTGGATATCCCACCAATCCGATAGTTGTCACACCTTCTGTATAAGTTTTACGTTTATAAATTGTTTTAAACAGCGAGACTAATCCATCTCTAGTCAATAATTCTGAAGAATTCGTTATTTTCTCTGAATCTTCAGGAGGAGAGGCTATTGTAGTTGAATCATGCACTGCATTTTCTAGTATAAGTAGTTCAGAATGCTGTCTAGTTACTTCATTTACAATGTCAACGTTATTTTCACTGTCATCTTCTGTTATACTGAGTCGCTGTACTTTCTTGACATCAGTTTTTGAAAAACCGTCTTCTGCACTTTCATATTCAGTCTCTGAACAAAAATCTGAATTATATTGAGACTCCTTGTCACTCTCTTCTTCATCTTCGCTGTCAGTGAGGTCATTTTTCCCAGAACCTTGATCCTCATCTTGTTCATCTATTCGATTTTGTTTGTCTGCAGCCAAACTTGCTGAGAAAAACGCTACTCGAATGTTATTTTCAGTAAAATAGTCGGCCCATGCTTGTCTTTGTGCGTCTGTTAGAAAGTCTGCTTTATTGACAAGAATCATATTCATCTTTTCAGGATTGACTTCTTTTACGTAATGTTCCAAATCCTCACAACGGAATAACAGAGGATTTCGTGCATCTACAATCTGGACGATAACATCACTACGTTCTACGACCCTCCACAATTGTCTCCAAAATTCCAAATTCTTTTCATAGGGCGTCAAAATTAAGCCTTCTGGTTCCTGCAATAAAGCTAATCGTCTTCGCCATTCTAAAAACTCTTCTTTCTCCCTAGTCTGTAGTTCATACGCTGTAGTGTTCTGGTCCCATTTTGGTCTTCTTGGTATTTTAAGTAGTTTTTTATTTTTTGCATGCGACTCGAGTACTTGATCTTTTTCATCCTTTGAGAGAAGGCCAATACCACTTTTTGAATTAATGAATTGGATATTCAACTTCTCAGCATGGAACTCTGTTCCTGCTAACTCAGCGGTGGACAAAAATTCTTGAAAGGAACTTTCTTCGGTAACAGATTGAAGATTGAGACGACCCCAGTCATAGCCATCATCAACTTCCGCGGTGTGAAGCTGTCATCACAGATAAATCCGTGTAAAGTAATTTTTTTACAGCAGGATCCCTATTTGGGGTTAAGTTAAGAACATTACCTTACCATTGATGGATCAGCTACATTTCTTCTGGTCTTTGATGTACCGAAACGATCTTTAATTAAAGCTCTACCAAGATTTGCACCTCCGCCTTTCGTTTTTTTGCCCATTATGATTTCTTTAAAGACCCGAAAATATCTTGTTCTACAATTAAGTGATGCAGGTTAAACTAGATTAAACCAATAGTCAACCTATGTCAAATGCTATACGGATGTAACATGCTTATCACAAACTGCAAAATACTTATAAACTAATTTTTTTAATCATAATAGTACTTGATTATGATCTATTGGCATAATAATTCTCATTATCCTTTTTGGAATACTTTATTTTCATGCTTATTAAATATGTTCACACACATAGTACTAAATTTGGACTTGAGGCTGAAAATATTACTTACGTTTAAGACCATTTGCGCGGTTTACTTTTAACTTGCGAATTCCTTGGCTATTTTGATCTTCTTGCAAAAGGATTTTTTATTCTTAAAAGAATAGAGATGCACTCTTTAAACAAGGATAAATGCAAGTCCAATTAATAATTTACAAACCAATGAAAAGATTCTTACGGATGTGTGAATTTGTAACATTAATTTTTGAAAATTTTTTGTTGAATATTTAAATTACCGACACCCTCAAGAATCCAACGGAAATCAGCATTCTTAATTCATTTTTTACAAAATCAAACAATAGAAAATGAGGAATAAAAACCATTTGCCACTGTACATCTGTCAATCTTCCCGAGAACAAGAGACATCATTTCTCAGTAACCTACAGTCAAACGAACATGACTTTGAACATCATATGTCAACATTTCCAATATAAAAATGTCGGACAAACCATATCCAAGAAATAATAATTAGATCACAATGATAGATCTCTCTGTATCATTTAATTTTATTGTTAATGAATAAGTAAACTGCTGCGGTTGAAACGTTTTTTTACGACAAGTACGAAGCTTGTTCATTTCCAATGATCCGTGTATCCAGTTCGTTCACGCTATGAATCAATCAATATCTATCATTAAATTCTCACTCTCTCCGTCTCTCACGCATTCTCATTCTCTCTTAGCGCCCTCCTTAGGATACTAATGAAACAACCATCCGTCGCAAGGCAGCTTGTGAACAGTTTTGTCTCAGAATAATAATCGATGGTCTTAATTGTATAATATATATTACAATGTGTAATTAGGGAGGATAGTAAAGTGAATACTATGAGGAATCCATTGATGTTACATTGTCCCCAAGAATGCTACTGTAGTTTCATGCAACAAAAATGGCATAGAAACAACAAAAGCCGTCATACACTTTGCTATACACATATCCGAGACAATCCGAGGCTCTTTGACTCCTGTACGGTATCGTTTTCATAACAGTCGAGGTGCCATGTCGTGAAATTTCAAATTATGAGAATGACAATAAGCGTTTGTATTTTAAGGCCTTCGACGTAAAACGCTGCATCTTCCCAAGAAATTCACGATCTCATCGAATACCGTGTACCATTCGAGATGTAGTAGGAGTAGCAATAATAGTATTAATATTATTATAGTTCCATGGAAGAAAGAAGTTCTTCTTCACATAGTTATTGACGACGCGCCGTAAGTCGTACTAATTACACAGTCATCGAGTAATGCTCGACATTACTTCAATAATTGTCTCTGCTTCTAGAACCACTTCCGCGGGATTGATCGTTATCGCGACCTCTACCTCTATTGTAATTATTTCTTCCCATGTTATCATTAGACCCACGATTCATTCCTCTGTTGTGGCTATTTTTACCACCGCCACCTCCACTACCGCCGCCGCCGAAGTTTCCAAAACCAGAGTTATAGTTGTTGGGTCCACCAGACGATTGGGATTGATTCCCGGGATTGGGTCCTCTGAAGTTCGATCCGAATCCTGTCCTGTCGAAATTTGACGAATTTCCAGGGTTTGGGCCACGGAAATTAGGCGGCCCTTGGAAATTATTATTAAAGGGCCCTGCATTAGGGGCAAATGGTACCATAGGATTTGGCCGGAAGTGTTGATTAGGTCCAAAGTTACCGTTGGGTGGCCGGAAGTTTGGTCCAAAATTACCAGGAGGTGGTCCATTTGGCCCGAAACTTGGAGGCATGTTAGGATGATGCATCATATGTTGCATGGAACCGTCCATGTTCTGCATATTAGGATGCGGAGGCATGTTCGGATTGTTTTTATTCTGCATATTTGGATGCTGGGTCATGTTTGGATGAGGAACCATACTTGGTATAGGTGGTGGCATATTGGGATTGATGTTTTGCATGTTATGATGATTTGGCATGTTGCCCATGTGCGGCATGTTATTCCCCATGTGTGGCGTGTTATTACCCATGCTTGACATGCCCATAGGCATACCGTCACGCTTGTCAAAATTGCTGCCAGGAAAATCAGACTTTCTTGAACCATCAGGACGGTTTTTCTCATCGTCCCAACGAGATCTACCATCGCGCTCTCCATAAGGATCCCCATCCGAAGATGGTTTTTTCATTCCAAAACCGTGTGACATTTGCCTGAAGTCCTTATCGCCATAACTATTTCTCATATCATGATCCGAATTTCCTGACAGCCTTCCGGGACCTCCAAATCGCAAGTCTTCGTCATTTCGATTCATCCCTCTCATGTCACCTGCCGCCATTCTTCTAAGATCCTCGTCCTGAGAGGAATGGAAACCGTCTCCGCTCAGGGCGTTCGATTTTAAAGAATTTCCCACGTTGAACCTCAAGTCCGTATCGCTGGATTGTGAATCCTCTGTAATAGAACCACCGAATACAGGTTGATGTATTTTAGAAGTTCTATCACTGGCTCCCCCATCGCTCCATCCAATGAGTTGATCGAATTTACGTTTTCCACCACGATTCAATGTCTTCAGTAATTCCGGATTCTGTGCAAATTTCGAACTAGGCAATGGAGGAGGAAGATCAATGTCTGGTACTTTCGTATAATCAATATCTCCGTCGTCGTGTAAAAATTCATCAGCCTCGTCGACATCTTCTGATGGACCTACCACGTCACGTAGTTCCTCTATTTCTCCAGAAAATACTAACTTGTTTATCGCATCGTTTCCTTTTCCAATTGCCTCAGCCAATTTGGAGCCAGCTGTTAGAAAAGAAAAATGACATTGTCAATATAATAATTACGTCAAAATTGCATAGAGAAATAACTCACAGACACTTACGTTCAACCGGAATCATTTTTCCATATAAAATTATAGCATTTGGAGCGACTTCATTCAAAGGTACAGCCCCTGGTGTGGTTTCGATAAGTTGATTAACAAAAGCATTAAGTGCTTCAACCTGTTCAATATCCTCAGCTTCCATTTCGTTCCATTGCGCTTGGAAGTTTCTAGGGATTGGTTTACTGTACGGGACCTTTTTATTAGCAAACTTTTTCCCTTCATCTGCTGTATGATCCAAATCCAAGCCTGGGATTCCACTATTTTTATCTTCTGGTTCGCCTTCAACACTGATTCTATCCTCAGGACCCATACCAGGAATGACTGCGGCTTCGTCAGCTAATAAAATAAAAATATGCAAAATAGACAATATTGTTAAAAAATTATATGATCTAAATGAAGGTCATCATCAACTATTCCCTACCGATCTCATGGTCATCAATGCCAGCAGAACCAGCTGGAAGAGTATTTAGATTATATTTGTCTCTCATTAAATCTCCTGGCCGATTTCTTGTCCAAAACTTTGATGTATGATCATTGCTTCCAGAACATAATATATGCCCCAATGGATGCCACGCAAGAGTCCAAACTATACTGTCATGCGCTTGTTCTATAGCGCCAACCTCCTTATCCGCGCTTAAAAACAGAACGATTATCATTAGCGATTGAACTTCGTTATAAGTAAGTTATATACTTACCCAACGTGCCAAAAAAGAATGGCCCCGTCGCTACCACCACTACAGAAGAGACCCTCATGACTCGGATGCCAAGCAACACTGGAAGCTTCCTTCTTATGTCCACGAAACGTTTGTACCTCCTGGCTCAGATTCCTGAGGTCGAACAATTTGAGCAAGTGGTCGCGCGAAGCTGTCACGAGCCAGTTACCATTCTCGTTCCATTTGACATCCATTACCGTAGACTTGTGAGCGTGCAACGTCGCCAACGACTGACCAGTTTTAGGATCCCAAAGTTTCACCGGCTGCTGATTGTCTTTGCTCCCAGAGATGACTAGACTCTTCTGCGGATGCCAATGGACGCACTTCACATCCGCACCATGACCTGGGAATAGATACCATGAGATCCTAACATTCTAATTGATACAATTAAAAAATTATCTAATACACAAACAGGCAATACCTGGACAATGAAACGACTATGTATACTATTAAATTAAATATCCAATCATAATTAAACAATACATCACGCTCTATGATCATATTTACTCTGAATTAATATAATTCTGCAAACAGGCACATGCCCTTATATAAAAAGCGCACACTAAAGCCAACTTATAATTCGAATTACGTTCACCGGCGAACAATGGCAAATATTTGGCCTAGTAATCTCCACTTAATGACTTAGAAACTATCAAACAAGGTACATCTTGGCAATATTGAAGCGATGCACTTGTAGTTCGTTACGCTTCATCCGCGTCCAATACGTGGAGTCAGGTACCGTAGTATAGTCTACACTAAGCAGATCCATTCCAGGTGAATGCAGCAATGCGATATGCACGTAAAGAGGATAAAGATATACCCCTGAGAATTCGTTCCTCGTGGCATCGTAGGAAGTCCCAGATTCTGACGGTGCCATCGTCGCTGCAGGTGGCCAGCTTGTGATCCGTTGGGCTGAAACTACCCGCCCAAAAAGACAATAGTTATATACCACAGAGCGCTGACAAGTTTATAATGAAATTTCTTTATTCAACATCATTTATTCACAGCAACTTAGCAATGGCATTGAAGTAAGAGGAAGCCCTAATTAGATGCAATCTTTATTACATTAGTAGAGCACGAGAGACGGTAAGATTCAGACACGCTTTATTTACATTGTCGGCATCAATAAACTTTTATATACACGTTTCTCCCTCTTTTATCTAGTCGCTAATGGATCGCAGATACAGGAATAGAGACTTGGGGAAGTTCTTTATTGAGAAAAAAAATGAAATGGCGCGTAACAGAGTCTCGATTAGAATTCAATCGTGGCGAATATTCAAAATATCGAGTGCAGCGCAATAACACCTGGCCTCGTAGCAATCACGAAGAATTAATACCCATTGTCGATTATGATCATTAATATTAGTAATAATATTCAAATTCTCTCGGTTTTTCGTATACGTAATCAGAATACATTAAGTGCATCCAAGCTGATATATTTCTCAAAAAATAATAAACACGTCTACAGATCTTCTGTACTGGATATGGAAGTCAGTCATCTAACTAAAGAAGATGCTTGGAGATTTTTGTATGTCATTACAGTAGTCCTGATGATTAAGCGGAATCGCCATATGATGCTAGAGCGACAGGACGTACACTAATCCGACATCCGATCGACGAGAATCAATGAGAAGAATATTATAGAACGAAGAGGGACGAATGGTGTTTATGCCGATAAATAGTTAAATATAAATCAACTGAATTAAGTGGGATAATCGTTCTAAGTACGGATATTGGTATAGTAGAAGGATAATATAATGAGCAAGGGTGTAATATGCGTGTTCATCTGTGATGTTCCTGGCTTAAATATATATAAGAATGATATTGAAGTGGCATTAATTGGAAGTCTTTATTTAGCGAACATAGCCGAAGGAACGTGATGTAAACGTCATTAAGAAAAGGAGCAAGTAGATATAAATATTGTAAATAAACAAAAAACCATCTCCGACAGTCATATCTGGCACTCAAATAGAATCTGTGGCTCTACGAGAGTCGTGGATCGTCTCGTTGACTTGAGGCCTAGATTACACTCCTTTGATGCCACATGACCACCGGAGGATGTACCAATAGCGAAATTGTTTTTCTCAAATTTAGCATTTATTGCACAAAAAAATGATCGAGGTGTACATGAATTGTATTTATCTTTTTTTTTAAATATCTCTTTCTTTTTTATGTTATTTCACTCTCTCTCGTTCTCTCTATCTGCGAAGGACACGAGCAACACAAAAACAAAGAAAGATAATGCTTTATTGTCAAAATCATTGCGATACGCCAAAGTTTTCATTAAACTTTATTGATACTTGGATGATGTGAAGAAGGAAACAGGATTTTTTATTTTTATTAATCCATGGGAATCTCGACTGGGTGCTGCTTGTATATATTTGTACTTTTTTTTTATTATCTTCTTCTTGTTAATTCTACGATACATCTTTGCCCAATATCCTTGCCGTATTAACTCTTTCACCCGAGAGCCGTAAGAACCTCCTTTCACGAGTTTGGGCTGATGTCACTTGTTGCACGTTGTTCCTCAAATCGCGAATAGTTCGTAGATATAACGATTCTATGGGATATTACGTGTTTCGTTTGGATACAACCCGGTTATAGTTTTAATAGCGAAAATTCTTCAGTGGTAAAAAGAAAAACGCGTAAAAGAAATTCGATAGGGTCCCTACGGCTCTAGGAGTATAAAATTATAATTAAAGTCCATGCGATTACGTGGTGATTTTAGTTTTTATCCACGCCTTCAAATTTTTTCTACACAAGACTACCCCTGACATTAGAACTCTAGAAACTAGAAAACTGTAGGAATAGAGCGACCCGATTGTCAAAACATAACACTTTTATCTGATTTCGATTTTTGTGACTCTAACGCATTCCTTTTTTAAAAAGATTTCTCGCCGTATTGAATATATTAAAGAGAATCCCCAATAACATCCTAAACGAAGATATCACTTCCGGTACCTACTTGATCTACGTTTCATCGGATGTCAGCCGAAAATATCACCGAAAATCACGAGTGACAATGCTATCTTTTATATTTTGTCATCTTACTTAAGTATGTGGCCCACGCATCACCTGTGTACCCATATAAAGACTATCAACGCATCAGGAATGACGTGAAACCAGAAAAGGAAGAGAACGAAAGCCACGTCCAGTGTCCTAACTACTGCGTGAATAGACGGACTGCCGACAACAGTGCCGCAATAGACGTAAGGACTAGTGTGGTGGATGATATACCTGAGTCCTCTAATCGCTTCTTTGTGCGCCTGAAACATCTTGACGTTGTTCATGTTGCTCTGCCAGTACTTGACGTAGCCCGCGTGGTCTCCTGTCACCATCCAGCTTTCATTATGGGACCATACCATCGTCCTGACCGGGCTGTCGTGAGCCTAAACAAAACAAATGGATACAGCTATTTACTGATTTGTTAACACAATTGAGTAACATGAAACTGGTCAATTTTTAATTCCGATATGGAAATAAAAAAGAATTCATTATGACTGTGATAGCTGTCAGCTATATATAAATAATTTAGTGATACTGGACTATCAAGAAGATTAAGTAATGATTCGGTAGTTAAATACATCTTTTGGTATGCTGCTTCTTTAATTTTGTTTATTGACTGCTGTACCTGTAGAATCGTCTCGAAATTAAAGGTAAGCCCATTCCAGAGTGTAAACTCTCCGCTAGATGCTCCAGTAACGAGACGCCTACCCTCGGGTGTCCAGGCCATGCAGAAAATTGGGCACCGCATCTTATTTGTGGCCGTTTTCACAAATCTGGTTGTCACTGCATTTATTGGATTATCAACATAACTTGGTGGTGGAAGCAGGTCAGGGTAATATATTACATCAGGTTGGAGAGCACGCCGGTCTCTGTAGTCACGCTGCCATACTCGATTCTAAATGTTAAAAGAAATATATATAACACGAGTGCACAAATATATATAACACGATATAGGATCTATGAGAGTATTAGATAAACATGTACGATGAAATAAAATAAAATTTTTATAGTTACTGAATAAGAAGTTCGGAATTACCTCCAAGCTTTTAATAATAGCTGCATTGTAATCAACAGTTTTGCGCATTACAGATTTCCTCAGCCTCTTGCCATCAAATTCATCTTGTAATGAATCTTGACCACCAGCCACAACTTTTGGAGCATGATATGGTCTAAATGGTTTAAAAAACCCACGATTCCCATCCCTGTGATTAGCATACCGATGTTGGTACCCTCCAGAGGTATTAATTGTAGTAAGGTTTGGCGGTGGGGCTGATAAATTTGGAGTCGCAGTTGGAGGAGGGACAGACATATTAGGAAGATTTATTGAAGGGGGAGGATTTGCAAACTGTGCGTTCCCAGACATGATGAAAAGTTAATAAATAATTTACAAGGTTAATTTCAAAAATGATGACTGAACTTTTCACATGAGTGACATTGAAAATTCATATTAATTAATGCAACAGCTTAGGGAAGTTGTAATAATGCTTCCATCTTTGCAATAGTATCTGAAAGCAAACAAAATATTTATTATAATTTATTCAGCTGGGTAGAAATAAACACCATCTTTTTAAAGAATAAACATATACTTGATTTTCCAACAAAAGACTCAAATTATGTGTACTCATTAACTCGTATAAAATATATGAGCAAAGTGTACATGAATATTTAAAGAAATGATTGACTGTGGAGCCAAAGTAGTACATGATATAATTTTTTTCATGAAAAACATAAATAATCCTATCCTATTACTGATAATGGTAAATGATTGTTCAATCAACTGAACTGCATCTTTGCGGAATACAAGTTTGAAGGTTAGTCGACAATACTTATAAAAACGTGTGACTTCACTAAACTAAGTGAAATTTATACAAAACAAAATAAAACAATAATAAACGAACTTTAATAAGAAAAAAACAGTAAAAAACAACCTGCTGCAGCGTCGTGGTAAAGTTTCGTTGAGGAGCACACACTCGACAATAGTAAATCGCACAGAAGCACTTTTCGTTGCAGGGAGGCAAAGCGACTTTTGCAAATCAGAGCACTACCTTACACTACAATGTAAATGAGATAAATACACAAATCGAGAAAGTCTTCAAAATCTTTTACAGCGTCGATGGATTAAAGAGAAATAACGAACAGATCGTATGAAAATTGTATGGTCGCCGTAGACGCCATTATAACTCTGAGACAGACTTCCGTTTCGCCCATTCTGCTTCCGCCGGCAACGCAGACGCGTCAACTTCAAATGATTCTTTACCACATGAGATACAAGAGAACCGTCTTTACGTAGTCTTTAAATATTATGCAGAATTATTTATAGTATTTTATTCCGAAATACATTATGATATGTCTTGCACGCACCTACATATACGTGACCATAGACAACTCTGTACTTTGTGTAGACTGATGTGCTGTTCTGCAAGCAATAAAAGGCTTCCGTTTCTGACGAATGATGATTAACCCAGTGTCTAGTGGAAAACGCTGAGAATTAGAGGTACCGTTAGGTCGAGCAGGCTGTATCGAGGCGTGTGCTAGAGCAATTGGAACCACCGTGATAGAAACGGTGCACATGCATCAAAGCATAAACATGGCGAATGGACGTGGTATCGTAAAACTTGCTCATCATGAACAACAGGAATTATGTCGAACACGTGCTGCTTATCGGCAAGGGAAAAAGTTGACGGCTGTCAAGGTAGCAGACTTGTATCCTATACTACATGTATTGTTTATATTACATTTACAATAATTCTCAATATTTGTACACTGCTTTTACTACCAATACCAATAGTTATTTACTATCATTTGATAATTTTGTATAACCATATATTTCCGTATGTTTGTACTGTTTTTTGCAATGTTTCCTTGACGTACTAGCTCTGTGTAACAGGTTTATACTGTTAACGACGAGTCCCAACATCTGATGATATGTGGTGTACCAAAATTACACCTGACTGAGGAAGTGAAAAGACTTATGTCTCCATATGGAGATGTTAAAAAGATACATGTCGTTGCGGATTATCCTACAGAACAATTTACAGAAGTATATCATGTACATTATGTACGTATTCAGAGTGCCAGGTAGGTCTCAAGTTCCATAATTAATCGCAGAATTTATAGAATCTATTCTATTAATTGTTCATTGTACTGTTTAGAATTGCAAAACGATTTGTGGATGGTAAGAATTTTTATGGAGGTATCTTACATGTCTTTTATGCTCCTGAATTAGAATCTATTACTGAAACAAGAGCAAAGCTCATACAACGTCGCAAAGATATTGCTTCAAGAATTAGAAGACATCAGGAAGATCCAATAAATCCACAAATTGATCTATTTGTGCCCAAGTGAGTTTTGAATTACTTGAAATTTTGTGTACAAATGTATCACTATTTTCTAAAACACAGGGAACAATACCAACGAAAGAAAAAGATGCCTACTTTACCATTGACGGAAGATCGTCTGGCTCAGAATTACCCTGGGGAATCATTTACTACAATCTACAATGGAATACCAAGGGAAATTGATCCCAGACCTGTCTCTGAACCCAGTTTACCTTCAAATTGGTCAAAGAACCCAACCAGACCTATACCTGCACATGAATTGTTGCAAAGTCCTTATCAGTTGTATGAGCCAATTATGAGAGAAGCTGGTGTTAGAGAATCAAAATTATTTTCTAATGAAACGAATTTTGGCAAAAAGAGAAATTATAAAGGGCATATTGTTGAAGAAAATGCCAAAGTAAAAATTGTTCGACCACAAATAATAGATACAAGAAACATTGCAAAGAAACCTGATCCCAAAGACAAAAACATATTTACTAATGTGAAACGTGTCGAAAATGGAATTACAATTAAGTTATTACCAAAACATCAGGATGAAAAGAAGCGTATTATTATAAAAAACTCCAGGTAATTTTGAAAGACCCTAACAAATTTTCTAAGATTTATTTCAAAAAACGTAATACATAAACATTTGTTTTAATGTTGTAGTATCACACACTTGGTGCAACCAAGTGTAAAACTTCAATCATCGATTGAAAATGTTAAAAGTCAAATACGAGAAGCCATGGCGAAAAAGTAAATTACGGGACTAAATTATAATAATTCAGTAAGCACTATTGTACATATATAAATGTTTATTTAGTTTTTTTATAAATAAATATTACAATGAAATTCTGATAGTACAATAGTATAAAATACACTATCCTTATCCTTAAATGATTGACATTCTTAATTTAATGATTACATAAACAATTAATTGAGCTAATTATTGAAAATATGAAATTGACTCCCTTTTGTTAAGGCACTTAGATATCTTAAATGTACTACTTAATTCCATAAATATACATAATTCATTATTACCTTTTGCTTAAATGATTACCGTAGAATCAGGATCCCAAAGAATGCCATTTTGTTTAGATTTGGTGACATATCTTTTATTATTAGGTGGTGTATTTTCCTGCTGTACTTTGGCAATAAGTGTCTTGTTGCGCAATATTGGCTGTGGTGACTTTGTAGGCATTAATTGTTTTTGTGCATTATTTGATCTATTTCCCAAAGGCGTACGATTCTAGAAAACATAAACCATTTTACAATATGTTAAACTAAATGAAAAATCTGAAACTATAAAAAGAGACAATACCTTCGATACCAGACTGATACTCTTGCCATCAGGGGTAAAGGCTTTCCAGTCATCAGTAACAATATTTTCTGAATTAACAATCTTCTTCTTTTTAGTCAACGATTCGGTTTTCTTTTCAACTTTCTTTATAGGAGAGACTTTAGAGTTTTTAATTAATACATTATCATCAAACTCTATGATAACTTCTTCCTTCCCTGTGGATGTACCAGCAGATTCATCTATTGATTTCAAACTTTCCATATTTTCTAGATTCAAATTTTCTGGAATATCTGGCGATATCGAATCTCTCCAAATTCTTATTTTATCTTCATTTTCAGTAAGTAGCTGCTTCTGTTCACCAAATTTTCCAGCCATAGCTAGTACATTATTAATATTATCCTGTGCCGTTTTGATTACTGTCTTCTCTGATATTACCACCGGAACCATGTTCTCTAAATTTATTGTTGATTCAGGAGTAATATTTGGGTAAGATTTAAATACCGACTTATTGAAATCTGTAGGCACTTTAGCATTAGGATTACGGATTACAGTAACATCGTCTTCACTGTATGAAATAGTCTCAGTGCTAGCACTGCTACTGGAACTAAATGAATCCTGCTCTTTGGGCTCAGCAAATAGTTTTTCTCTAGATACTCCATTCTCCAAATTTTTAATAATATCCGGCAAAGCCTGTATCTCGAGAATGTGATCAGCAGTGGTTGTTTCACAGTATGAAAATCTAGAATTGTGTGAGACGTCAGTTGTGTAACTGCCACGTCTAGTCAAATTCTCATGAGAACGTGCCCTCATGCGAACTAGAGATTTAGATTGAAGAATCGGAGTTCGACTGAAGTCCACAGCTGGTGATCTTGGATCAAGTCCCAGAATTTTTTCACGTAATTCTTCTATCGGAGTACCGCTACCATTTACGTTTATTGAAGGAGTATGAGTTGGTCGTGTTTCTGCAGGGGTGGTCTAATAATTGTATAAACAGGTACAAGAATTATAATATATGTAAATAGACAAAAGGCGAAGAACAAAATAGTTGAAAAAAAAATTTACCAAAAGCGTAATTGGAAGAGGTTTTAGAATTGGTTCTTTCTTTTTTGGTGTCCACGGTGGCATTACTATATCAATGTCAGTCTCTAAGTAAGGCTTAACTTGTAAATACTTAGGTATGGCACTTATTGTGTGTTTTGTTGCTGAAGGCGTACAGTTTACCTATTAAAAAATTTACTTGAAATCCAAAAAAATGTCATATTATCCATATCGTTTTATGAATAATAAAATACCTCAATAGGCGTTCTGGATATTCCAACAGTAGCAGATCGGGGATCTACTGGCAATGTTCTTTTAGTAACTGGAGGTGTATGCATTACGTTATTCTCCAATATTACATTGTGGATCTGGGGCTGAGCTTTAATTTCAGAATTATGTTCTCCTTGATGCATGAAAAATTTACTTGCGAAATTCCCCATTGTTGCTGTAAAATAAATTTTATTCGGATATAAAAAGATGAAATTAAAATATTACAGGAAAAGGTATTTTTTTGTATTCGTTTCCAGTATTCTAAATTAAATAAATGAAGAAAAGATGATGTACTAGTCCAATAAATTTTTTTTATAATTACAAGAAATATTTCAAACTACATACTTCGAACTCCCACACAATGTCCAGTATTTAAATCTCCATTAACCGACACCCGAGAAACGGACGAGTAGAAGATTATTCAATAAAGGACCTACCTTCTTATCATGAATAAATACAAATACCTAGGAATTACTAATTATTACAAATCGACTTACCGACAAATATAGTTTACATAACTTAGAAAAACCTAGATTTTCTGAAAACAGTCCGCATATACTTTGAAAATTGAATTAAGTGACGCTACTGCACGAACAAGCCCAACAGTACTGAACTGTACTGAACAGTACCATACGCACGTTGACCAACACGTGAAATATAAAATTAGCACTTATAGTAGGAACAAGTACCAACAAAAATACACAAAATGATCCGTAGAGTAAAATATTTCTTGTCAAATTTCACAACATAGATGAATGTTATTCGTCAAGATTGAAGATAATGGAAAATATGACAGCCTGACATCAAAAAGTAAATAGCAATGATTTAATAACATTAGCAACTAATACAGAATGGAGTACTTAGTAATAGTACCTATTCATTTTCAGGCAAATGGATTATTAGGATTATGAGTAAAATGCTTGCATTCCTACAGAATGTAGAAGGAAACGATTCCAGATCTGAGAATACTGCTAAAATATGTGGTACATCTTTAAAAGCCAATGCAGATCCTGTACAGAATCCTTGTCCATTGGATGTCAAACCCAAAGACTTTATATGCTCAGTTTGCGGTGATTGCTTTGCAGGAGAAAAACAATTTTATGGACATTTGCAAGCACATACAGGAGAAATACATTGGAAATGCACTCAATGTCCAGAGTCCAATGCTGGTTTCGATTCTCTTTCGAGGCTTAAGATTCATGAGAATGCTTGTCATAATATAGTTAGACCTTTCAAATGCAAGCATTGCGATTTACTTTTTGACCGAGGTTCCCAGCGAGATTATCATATGAGAAGTGTACATTTTGGTGAAAAATCACAAATATGTCAGATATGTGGTAAAGGATTTTTTCGCAGAAATGATTTACGTACTCATCTGAACATTCATTTAGGTACAAATCTTTGCATTTGTGAAATTTGTGGAAGGAAATTCAATCATGTATCAAATCTCATAAGACACTGTAGAATTCATGCAGGTAAGGCAGTACCTTGAAGTTTTTTAAATATAAAAAATCTGAAGTACACCATGAAATATCAAAACATTTTATTTTTAGGAGTGAAACCATATCCTTGCTGTATATGTGGCAAAAGATTCACACAAATTGGTTCTTTGGCAAGGCACAAAAGAATTCACAGTCGAGAACAAGATAGTATTAAAGCTTGCTCAATCAAAAACCAAGATAACGCGCCTTTCGATCTTAATAATGAAGTTTCCAACAAACATGATGTAAATATCCTGATATTTACAATTGAAGAATAATGATAATTATGATTTTTTTTTAATTTCAATACATCTATCATATAGCTGCAAGGTGTGGAGCCAAGTCAGCATAAGCCTAGTAAACGCCAGCACTATTGCAAAATTTGTGGGGAAAGTTTTCAATTCATATTGCTGTTACGACAACATGAAAAACATCACTTGCACAGTGCTGAAGATTTGGAATGTAAAAGTTGTGGAAAGGTAGAGGCTAATTTATTCTAATTAACTTTACTTTAGATATATTTTTGAATAATTGTGCCTATTATAGACATTCCAGAAAGTAGAAGAAGTCAAGGAACATTGCTGTCGACCGCTTTCTTCTTGTGATGTTAAAGTCACAGAAAAAATTGTTAAGAAGTTTTCGAAATTCATTAGAAAGACAGAACATTTCAATGATCCAGCTGATGACTCTCACGGCGCTGAAACTATTTTAATACAATTACAGGATGAAAGAATAGAAAATACTGCAACTTCTAACATATCAATGAATGAAATCAAAGAACAACCAATCCAAGGACAACCTATGATATACTCAGCAACAAATCAGGTAAAGAAATGCACATTACAATTAATGATTGTTAATATGTTTCTAATTTTAAATTCCTAATCAGGTCACCAATTTTAATTCGGAAGAAGCTGAAGAAATACCAAATGAAATATTACAAGAACATTTGATGGAACTTGCTGGCAAAATAAATACAATAAGCATGGCACCAGACCGGGATGCTAGCATCAATATTTCTGATATACTTGAAACGTACAATTGCGAGGATGCAGAGTTTGGAACTGATAATGATATGAAATCGAAACCATATGAAATCCAAAATATTGGAGTACAAAGTGATAACAATTTTTCAAGAGAAAATAATATTATTTATATACAAACATTAGGCAAGGATGGGTTTGCAATTTTAACTGATCATGAAGGTATAATGAGAAATGTATCCTTAGACATAGTGCAAGAAGCAAATAATACGAATTATCAACCTAATATAGAAAATTATCATTCTGATACGTCAGAAGTGCAAATTTCAAAAAGTACTGAAGTGCCATCGGTAACGACGCAATTATCATATGTACTAAAATCATTTGATGAAAAATTGATCAATCAGAATTCTAATTCAAATGGATATTGTGCAATTGATTCAATTCCAAAACTGATGATGTCACAAGAAAAATTGGATTGTAATCCTTTAAATACGGAAACCACAACGAAGATAGATCATTACCATAATTTAAAAGAAAAAAATCAGTTCAATATGGAAAATTGTTATTCAAATACCTTAAAAAACTGCCAGTTGAGAATACTCGAATTGCAAGATAACTCTGATATGACACTTGCGCATGGGAATCATGAATGTGCAAACGCTGAGCCGCATTATTTGTCATCTTGTGATGATGACGCAGTATCACAACCATTTATCCCAAATACTGGCGCAATGGAATCGACAAAAATTGATGAACAAGTGCAAAACCTTGTCAATTTTGAAAATATTGTTTTAAATCGGACTGACCCAACGTTGCGTTTAGTCCAAACTGAAACTGGAGAACAGTTTTATGAGTTAATACTAAATGATTTGACAGATAAAATACCAAACTCTCCAAACATTCAAAGTTTACCAGAACCTGATAAAACCGATGATATGTCAACCTCCTGTGACATATCCAATAATATAGAAACAATGAGCAACGATACCTCCAAACAACCTAGTTTACGTTTGGTACAAATGGAAAATGGACAGCAGTTTTTTGAAATTGTGAGGAACGATTCCTTGGAATTGGAAAATTTTACATCACCATTGCACGAGCCAGAAACTTTACAAGCAAATAATCCTGAAAATCCCAATGAAATTAATATCAACTTACAGCCGGATAATTTTATTGAAACAAATAATTTAAAACATAATGAAAATAATCAATATCTCTTCGTAAATGAAAGTCAGAAAGTAAATTCAATTAATACCTTAACAAATGATACAGTTACTGTTCAACATTCGAATTTGGAATTCGTGAAGAGTGATGCGCAGTCTGATTTTCAAAGTAATGATCAAATAAACTTTACTGATTTTACAAAAACTCATTTTGACAATAGCGCAGAACACTTTCTCGAGCTTGTACGAAACGTTGACAATGGTCAAACAACAGTTCCAGAACAAACAGATCGACCTATGCCGATAGTACGACTCATACAAAATGAAGATGGCGAACAATTTTTTGAGTTAATTCACGATTCCTTACAATTCGACAAAAATCGTCACTTAGAACTACAAAATGAGAGAATGGATAGAAATTCTTCTGCAAATGTTCAAGGCACAAACACATTAAATAATCCAGACTGTAATAAATCAAATTTTTTAATTTGCTTCAGAAATAATTTAGAATTCCGACCAGTAATGAACATTGATCCAAATACGACAAAGGAACTTACTGGCGACGGTAATGATAAATCAAACACTATCAATTTCTATATAGATTTTAATCCAAACAATACTGCAGTTACAGGAAATATCATAAAAGAACAAAAACAAAAATCCAAATCCTCCGTAAAGAAGTTTCAGTGTTCTGAATGCAATAAGAGCTTCTCTAGTAGCTACAACTTTAAACAACACATTGGCACACACTTTACAGATCAACAAAAGTTTCAGTGCAAAGAATGTGGAACCCAATTTGCATGGAAATCAACATTGAACAAGCATATGGCATTATATCATAGACCGGATGGGCCACAGAAATTTGTTTGTGAAATTTGCCCGAAAGTATATAACACTCTTTCTCAAGTGAATGTAAGTACTTTTTACCTGGATCCAATAATTAATCCAATAAGATGCTGCTACATAACATCTTAAAATATTCTCAGGAGCATGTGAAAAGGGACCATTTGAAAGAACGGAAGCATGTCTGCCATTGTGGTAAATCATTTTTTAAGAAATTCGACCTAAAAACACATGGAAGAACTCATACTAAGGAGCGGCCTTATGTTTGTCGAGCATGTGGAAAAGGATTTCATCATCAAAGTCATATTATTCGGCATGAACGTATACACTCTGGGGAAAGACCATATTCCTGTAATATCTGTCAAAAAACCTTTACACAATTAGGTTCACTGAAGGCGCATAAGCAGCGTCATCGTGAGATTCAAATTGATTTATTAGATTATCGATTAGATGAGGATGATCCATTAGCACTAAATGTGCTGTAGGTAGCAATGTCTTATAGAAAATTGGTTGTTGACTATTCATTTACTGTACATATACTTGTATGACCAGACAGCCGTTTCATATGTCTATCCGTCCGACGTTTAATAGGCCTCTAATGATATCTCGGACTCATTATTTTAGTCATTAAAATAGAAAAGCCTATTCTAGAGGGCTGAAGAAGCATTAGTTGATAAGAATGATTATATGTAGTGACATAAAAGTCTGGTTTCTATGTACTACTATTATCTGTTTCACTTGTTGTTTCAAAAATTACATGATTGTTAATAGTATTATGGAACAATATCATTTTTTTCCCATTCCATTTCATGTGATTTTAAAATACTGATATTTGCTCGCATATGCATTTACTGCTCTTGTTTACTATTTTGGCTTGCACGTAATCGGGGACAGGTGCCGAAATTTGGAGCAGAACTGTAACTAACAATTTCCCTGTTTTTATAAGTGTACAAAACAATTGCCAAAAAGTGCCTATAATGACGATAACTGCCTGAAAATCATAATTCTATTTCACTTTCTACTTTCTTCTTTATTTTAAATGTATGATTTTCTTCCATGGATTTTCTGTAACGATCTTTCTACGATCGCAGCGTCATAAATTATGTGTGAAAAATGAAGGTATTACAAATATTATTGAGACTGCGCACCATTTGGTTAAAATATAATGAGCAATCGATATTAATAAGAGTTTAGTTTTTGTAATTACTTGAAATTTACCTTGAAATTGAGGACAGAACTGGTAAAACAAGAATGGTATAAGAGTTCTTGTCTACTCGCTACTTGCAATTATCCGTGATAAAAAGATTCAAAGGAGTCAGAGGAAAACTCATGTAGATGATTGGACGCGGTAGGTAGCTGCTATCTTCCTATTGGTCAACAATATTTGTTGACTTCGTAAAGCGGTTGCACTACACATTTCGTTATTCAAATTTTTCATTTATTAAAAATACATAAAACACGGGATCGACAAAGTATCATAAATACCTCGTGACGGCACATACATATAAAATATTAAATTAATTTTTAGAATCATTGAATTCTCTGAATCACATGACTTCAACTTTCTGCTTCCAGGTAGAATTCCGTCTACCTAATAGAACCATTTGAGATTTATGAAACCTATTTATAATGCGATTACGCGTTCGGCCCTCCTTTAGAAAATTTATTAGTATAATAGATAGATATAATAGATTAGTTTCGAAGTAAGACAATAAAATTATAATATATTTCATTTGCGAAAAACAATTTTCATTTTATTTGTAAACGCATACATAGTTATCTTATTACAAACTTAACACTATTTATTATTTACAGATTTAATTGCAGACGGACATGTATTTAATGAATAATATCCTTACGATTAGAAATATTTACTATGTACAGTCAAATCTGTCAAGAACCTTCCTATAATTCAACTCGCTCAAGAAAAGTCGCTCTGGCTCAGGTTCTGTGTTTGACGAGAAATAGAAGTAATTAAAAAATACACAAGATTAATTATTATGCACGTTTTATTAGTAGTATCGATTGCACGCAGTACATTTTGTTTCTTTGTTTTCCGTACGTACTACTCAATATATCTAGACTCACTATACTTACGACGAGTATAGAAATATTATTATAAACAGGTACAAAATCTACACTATTTCATTTTTATATATCGTCTTAAGCTTATGATCATTTTTGTTTTTTTTTTCTTCAGTTTCATATGACAGATACAACATACTTGTGGATCCTGGTAGCGGTACTACATAATACGTAAGATTAATCGATGTTTTATAATTATAGTCTTTTCAGATGAAGGAACAAATTTGACATACATGAATAAATATGCATTACTATAAGAATTACAATTTTCCACGAGAATTGTCTAGGAATTTTACAAATTTTTACAGAAAAAAACAATATCGAGTCAGGATACATTAGCAGTGAAAAGGTCGGCAGTCGCTTTTTGTAAAATATAAACTGGAATCTTATAAATAAGTGAAGGAATAATGATGATAATAATAATAATAAAGTTAATAAGGATGATTAATAATTATTAATTAGAATACTAGCAGAACAACGAATGTTCTTCCTTTCGGCTATGAATGTTATAAGTGTTAACTATCTAGTACACAATGTATATATCGTAAAACTTTAGGTGTTTACTGGCTTTGGCCATTATTGGCAGTGATGTTTTAATGTGTTATATACAAAATTGAAAATTATACGAGATATTTTTTAAATAATATTTTTCAAAGTAGACTCTTGCAGTAGACGCTTTGACAATTGGAACAAATGTACAAAGCAGCCTGTATCTTGTAAAAGCACAGCCTGCGAATTTTTATAAACAATATAATATTATTCAAATCTTGCGGTTTCAACGTCCGCTCTTATAATTTTCATTTATGTATGTTATATCGGTTTACAGTGCAACTTCTTAAAATTCTGACCTCATGCGCATATTTAACTTGCAATGTATAGCCATTTTTAGCGAATTATCGATGTACTTAAAGTCTATAGATATTCATAATTAAAACTTGACATTGTTTGCTAGTCTATCTTTTTACTACGTGGTGCATCTCGTCGTTTTTCCACTCTTTGGTGAACAGGGCGCAACACGAAAAAAAAGGTTTGAAACATATTTTTAAGAAAATTTCAATGATTCACAACTAATTCTCTACTTTGATCGTTCATCATTATCATCAGGTATACATGGTTGTGTCATGTATATGGCTCAGTGGGATCTTTGATTATCCAGTACTATATATTTGTTAATCATATGAATAAAAAAATGCTGTATTTGTTCCCTAAGAACATTTTGCTATTCGCATAAGTATGAAAAAAATAATATAAATTAAAAACTAGCAGTGTGTATTCTAAGAGATGAAAAGTATTCACAATCAAAATATTGCCTATACAAAACGCACCTCTCGACAGATCAGACCGTATTTGAGAATGATTGAAAAAGAGAACTTACGGTTAAAGACTAAACTTGTAAAATGACTCTGTCTACATTGGCCCCACTTTGTTTACGATTTCAATAGAAACTTATATTTTTAATCAAAAGTGATTGCCGATACAAATGGGATATTACTATACCGATTATCATTAGAGTATCGGTATCGTTCGCAAGAATCAAAATATACATCCTTGAAAATACCAAATTCTGAAATATTATGAAGTGAATATTACTTCAAAGTAAAATCACAGTAGTTACATTTTGACCTAAAAGATATACATACGGGAAATACATTTTTAGTTAACATAAGGATTAATTAAGAACATTATTTTTGTATATGACGTGAAAGTTGCTGACAGAGTAGGTGCGTTAAGTTGTAACAAAGTTGTGAAATTACACTGAACTATTTTCTTGAAGCTTGTGAATATACAATATCCAAAGGTGTTTAATAGTTTGTAATAAATCATAGAAAAATGCCTTCTTCTGGCACCTAAATTGACAATTGGAATTGGACTTCACCGGGTTGTTCTATATACACTTGTACAATTGCCTTCTGTAGTAATACATCGTAGTAATCTCTTTTGTTTAGTTGTTTATTGAAGAATTTTCAATGCTGCGGAGCGCATGAAAAGTCACTGTGCAATCTACAATTAATACCATACATTCTGAATATTCGAAACGGTAGTAATACCGAAGACATGGGTGACAACGCTCTGCCTAACAGTCGTGCACTTTATATTAAAAAAAAAGTCCTTAGACAATTTTCCTCCCTTTTCCCTCATGAAATACAAAAAGAACATATTAAGTAGGTTTAATGATTTTTTTCTTTTTTTTTTTTTTTTTTTTTTTTTTTTTTTTTTTTTTTTTTTTTTTAATAGAGACTAACTTATGGTCGACTCTTAAGATTATTTCGCTGAAAAGAATCTAATTCCACTGGCCTAAAACTGGATGTTCAATTACGAGACGCGTTTCACCATAAATTTGAATTACAAGCTAAAAGCACAATTCATCAATTTTATACTTAAAATTAAACTAGATGTACAATTCCCAACTTGGCTATGCTACAAAATTTTACAATCCAGATTCTCCTATAGCTGTCTTCTTTGTACTCTACCTGTAAACAAATCTAAGTAATTTTATTTTTTTTTCTTCAGGTATACAATTGCAAATCATTTACATTTATTATTTAGTCCGGCAATGTATAAAAAGTATAATACATCAGTCTGGCCAACGGGCTGACCAAATACTTATTGATCTATAACGTTATCTTAGTATTATTTTTTTGTTTCATTTAGAGCAGTCAGGCATCTACAATACCCTAGACAATGATAATGAAAATGATCACGCTATCACTACTGGTGGGAAATTCTAAAAGAATTGGTCTATCAATAAGCCATTATTTACTGCATCGCTTGACAAAATCGATGAAATCTCAGCAAGATAAAAGACGTACTTCATTATCGATGCATTGGACACTCGAATTTATGGTCATGGTTTTCTTCAGAATTTCTATTGTACGGTGATCATAAATATAGGTGGGTTGTCTTAATCAACGTAAAATGATACTAGGTTGATGACTTTAGTAAATACAACACCATTAATAGAGATTCCTCGAGGTGAGAAGGGGCGTGCATGTATGAGAAACCAGTCATGCTATTAGTAAAATCAACCATGATTCTTTTTATCAAATTGTCAAATCAAAGTAGACACATAATTCATCATTTTTGTGCGAGACTGTACAAATTTACGATACACGACAAATTTTAAAAGAAGCAAATAAATGGTGTTGCACCGTTATGGAAATACTCGAATCTAAATGTATGTCTGCTTCATACTACTACTTATCACATACCAAACTACACAAATGTTTGCCTACGATTACGTCGACCCCCGAAATTCAGCGGTCCTAGTATTTTTAAGAGGCTTTTGAAAAGGATATTGCAAAGCTGTCCATTTTTTAACTTCTCATTAGCTTAATTAATATGCATACATATTTCAATCGTATCATACTTTGAGATGAAGTTAACGGCTGTCTCAACCACGACATTAATTTTCCACGTAAATTATATGTGTACACGACGTATGTATAACTTATGTTATCCATTTATGCACATAATTTACGTATGAAGTATTAGAAAATGTTAGCTCATCAAGAAGGATTCTCATAACGTGAATATATGGAAATACGTAAAAGGGCAATGCAGCATATGCACGCAACTTATTTTCATGATAAAAATGACAAAAATGAGTTACGTGTGGAGATATTAGCTTTCCAGAAATTTGTTTGATTCGTTGAAATCCATACTACTATTGCTAATCACAATAGACATTTTTTTCAGGTGTGTGACCTCCTCCGTATTTCCAATAATTTGAAAAATTACATTAGAAGAATCCGTCTCTCGCTTCAGATGATCGAGATGTAAAGATAAAAACAGAATTCGGTAATAATAATTGATTTTCAGAAAACGTTAGAAAAAACAGTTAGTGGTGTCAGTTGCGCGTTTGTATATCCTCTTTCGAAACCTCCTAAATACTATTTTCACACAGTTATTACGAGTACACTGCTAATGACGCTGAAAAAATTTGTATAAATGTATATTCCTAAATTCAATCGATTTTAAGAAACGATCCTGTGGCAGCTCCTGCTCTTAAAAGTAGAGGTGCTTTCCTTCGCGAGGTGGTAACAGGCTGATAAACATAATTTCCCTGTAATGTTCCTGTTAATGTTTTTTGTCTCTTCGTAGAAGGACTCAACTCGTACTCGTACGCCTCTTGCTTAGAAATATTCAGTTGCATATGTAAAGACTCCTTATTATCCTCGATATCAATTTCGTCATAGATGTGTTCAGTAATATCGATGTCACAATCCTGGCTGCTCTCGTCGTAACTGTCTGTGACCGAATTGGCTGCGACGTGACTGTGCACGGGTTCGTCGAATACCGCACTCTCTTCTGTGGTCTCGTCCCCTGAGCTTTCAGCCTCTTCTGACAATTCACCGGTACCAACGTACTTCATCTCTCCCCTTTCAAGCAGTTCCAAGTGATCTGGATATATCATGGCTTTCTTTATGGCCGAAGGATCTTTTCGCGACCACTTCTGTACTTCCTCGTCCATTTTCGCGATTTTCGCTGGATTTATTGCCCAGAGGCAACCTTTCCTTTGATTTCCGTTTCCCGCGGGCTTCTCTATTTTTTCGAAACATTTGTTCAAAGATAGATTATGCCTCACGGAATTTTTCCAGCCGTTTGGTGCAGTCTTGAAGTATGGAAAGTGCTCGCTGTAACATAAAAGGATAGAAGGGTTTTTAATGGGAACTCTCATTTCATTATAATATGACATACAATAATTTTTTATGGATTTTAAGAGAGAATTATTATACTTGATATAATAGTAATTGGAGGTATTATATTTAATGTTGTTTTGACTATACTCAGCGAAAAAAAAAGAATTTTCATTACTGTAATTATGAAAATAATAAATTTCACGGCAAGCAAATTTTTAAGCATTTATAATATCTCAGGCGAAAAGTAACACTATGTTGCGGAGCAAGCATGGTAAACAAAGAAAGGGGCCTCGAGTTTCTAGGGGGACTGTACCCTGGCATGCACCTGGTACTCCAAGGGCCCCATACAAAATGGCAGCTTCCCCCTTATAGCCTGGGAATAAAGAAAGAAAGACAATACTTTTCCCCCTTGTTCCCAAAGCATAGGAGGGCTTCATACCGCCCTTGCTTCACGGGCCAAATGGCCAAAACTAAATGTTCGGATAACGTTCACAAAAAAATATGTATCTTCAAAATGAAATAAAAAGTCTGAAAATAGTTTTTTTCCTTTCAAAATTACAGAATACTATGTCAAACAACTACGCACTTTAAAAATGACATAGAATCACAATGAGGCAATAAAAATTTAATTATAGCTGAAAGAAAAGAAAAACCAATAAAACTTACCACATAAAATTATAGATCTCTGAGACCGGCAAAGACCCCGTTTGACTATTCTTGAGTGCCATTGCGATTAAACAGGAGTACGAATATGCTGGTTTTGGGTACGGCTTGTCGTCGTAATCTGACAATTCGAAATCCTTTTCTCTCTTGACTGTTGTGACCGTCGTTGCGCTCGGACTATGAATATTGTTGTTGTAAATTTGTTTCCTAACATGTTGCGTAGGATTTGGACTCTGAATGACTTTGAAGTTTTGGAGCCTTATACTTGGAATCGTGTTAACTTTCTGCGTGATCTGTGGCTTCGTTATTTGCGGTGATATCGTCTTGGCGGTGGGATTCGATGCGACTAAACTTGGTTTCGATTTCAATGACGTTACAGGTTTAGTAACCTCTTGCTCGTCCTCGCTTTCCTCCTCATCCTCTGTCTCCGTTATATCATTTTCATAACGTTCGTTGTCGTACTGTTCATTCTCCGTGTCGTTTTCATTGTCGGCCTCTTCCTCGTCTTCGTCCTCCTCAACGTCGACCCTCTCCTCCTTAATTTCTTTCTTCGAGAATGCGAAATGACGTCGATTACTATTCGGTGTCGGACTACGAAATGCCATGTGAGGCATCACGGAATTCGGATTGACCATAATGGACGCTGCATCTCCGCCACTGAGGTCGAGGTTGAAGTTACTACAAATAGATATTCGAAAGAATGTTACACGCGTCTCATTATTTTTAATTAAATAAAAGATTAGCATTCGTCGTGTTGGCGTAGAGCTTTCGCTCAGAACTGCTTATATAGCAGTTGGATCAATGCGGAGCAAATTGTATTATGATACGTTTAACAATAATATTGTGCGCCAGTCATTGCAACACGTGAGAATTTGTGGCTGCGTACTGCAAGCCACACCCGTTTTACGTGCCGCAACTAGTCACAAATTAGATCACGTATAAGTTGTACGAAATACACTCCTTGCTATTATAACCAAACTCTCAATGACGGATCCGTTATCATACGTATACGACAATCTCTTATATCACTAAGAAAACATATTCCTTCATTATCAAAACAAAATCCAAGTACAAATCACTTCGTAATACAATCTCAATGTTTTCAAACATTGTGAAGAAAGAATATCGATCCTCACCTGTTCGAGCTATTACTATTTCCATTAAGCAGGCTGGTAGAGCCGAGCCAACCGTTAAGATCATTCTGGCACCCTACTGGATCGTCATCCATCTCTAAAGGAGACAAATCGGTAAAGTTGAAACCCAACTCAGGATGTCCTCCGATTACACCTTCGGTTTCGCACTTGATGTCCACGTCCAGCATCTCCTGGAGGGAGAGGCTGTCTGTACCAAGATAGTAGTCCATCGTGAGCCAAGGGTCCCTGGTCGGTCCCTGATCCAGCCCAGTGCCGTGTCTGCTCTCTGTATCCAACATTCACACGACTGCAAAGAGAAACATAAGATTGTTCAATTAATCGGTTAGAAGATATAACGCTTGTAATAATTAATTAACCGTTAACAACATCCTATGACCCACAGGAGCGTTATCGTCGTATTAATGCACAAATGCATTAAAGCCTGACCCGTTCTACTTATGTAATAAAGAACGGAATACTTGGAAAGGAACTAACCACGATGGAATAGGACTCTTCTCAAACTAGAGTATACCTCTTCTTATACATTATATTGTACAAGAGTAAACGCCATGGCGGTTGTATCGCAACAAACAGGAATTTCTAATGCGACTTCATGGCATCTCCACAGTGTTGCCATTAATTAAATATCATGAAAAGGGATTTCGATTTTTAAGAATCTCTCGATCGTCCCTGCGACTTTGAATTATACGTGTAAATGAAGTTTTACAAAGTGGTTCAACACAGTACCGTCATGCCCCGTGCTCGGATGGCTAAGGTAATCTCGTAATATTATCTTAAGGCAAGGCCAATAGATTCTCAGGCAGCAAAGCATACATGTGACCTCGCGTGTGGCGCACAGTGAATGTGAGCGTACAACGAGGGTCTTGAACTCACAACCAGCTTGTGGGTGTGACTGACTCATAGTACTATAGCCGATTTACTATAGAATGTGTGGAGTTCGTAGTACTCCACGAGTGACTCGGCTCTGGTGGAGTCCTCTACGTTCCGCGCAGTAGTATAATATGCTAAGCAGCAGCAGCAGCAGCAGCAGCAGCAACAGCAGCAGCAACGACAGGAATCAGCAGCACGGACAGAAACAGCAGAAAAGAGGACCTCTGGAAGTCGATGCTTTACTACGCATACTAAATTATGAGTCTGCAGCAGTACTGACCCTGGTTTCTGAATATATTTCAGTGTCGATGAGTAAGAATTTCCAAGTGAATTGAAAGAACGAAATTACCACAACATAATATGAGTTGGATCATTTAGGCATATAAAAAGACCTTGTACGAGTTGATCATTATTGATTAATAGGGTAAACGTGGGTAGCAGTCTCTGTATGGTAATGGTAATTTTGACAAAAATATATATTTTTTTAATAACACAGTATATGAATACGCATTGCTGTGTCAAGTGCATCGGATATCGTTAAGTAATGGAGCACAGAGCTTGATACTATATAAGTTCATTCTGATAAACTAATAGCAGTCAATGAGAATTCTTTCGATAAAAACTCGGGCGAAAGAGGCGGTCGACGTTAAGATGGCACGAGAGAGAAAGAGAGGGAGAGAGAGGGAGAGAGAGACAGCCGGTTAGCTGAGTACATACATTGCTTTATAGTCGGGCTACCACCATCATGGTTGGGCAACACACATTTTAGACAGCCAGACTCCAAAACAGACGAAAATAAAGCTAAAGAACCAAGGAACCAAGGTTGTTCTTGTTTGGCGGGGGCTCACGGGTGAAAGACCAGCCATTCCAGCGAGCGGATGCAATCCTGTACTTACGACAATGAAATTCTTTTGCGATTAAGAAGCAGCTAGTAATAAATTTCATTTCACGGGGTACACTTCTATTTCGAACAACTGCGAAACATTGTAATTTCGCGATAAATATTTGGCATCTGTGGACCAATTAAAATTACCATCGATCCTACAATGTTTATCGAAATTGAATTTTTGTATGGAGTTGCACCAAAAAAAAAAAGAAATACTGCTGGAACCTCCAATGTGCTGGAATTTCGACATACGAACACCTGCCAAATTTCTTGTAACGGTATAACGGCATATATTTACTGAATTTTTAAAAATAATATGCTAACCAAATTCGAACGGTGCCTATATATATACTAATACCGACAACTTGATTCTTTTACAAAGCAAAATCATGGATTTTACTTTTTTATGTTGGCAGTACGACACATCAAAGACCGATACTAGTTGTATAATACTATTGGTAATCTGTCAGCGCTTATCTATGTAAGGCTGTTTCAGTCTTTTGATGCCTTCGTAAATCGTTTATTACAACCTATCTCGAGCGGGATCCGTTAAAAAGTCTGGTAAAAGTATTCGCTGTACGTGTATAAAGTATTTTCGTCAAGTGCCTATCAATGAGTTTCGTAAACCCGTAAAAAAAATGGACCCCCTCGACTTCCGAATCTTTCGACACGTAAGTATTCTAAGGCGACGCCGAGAGCGGTTCTTCAATGTCTTTGTCGAAAACTTAACCCTCGTCGTGGCGCGACAAAGAAACAACCTTGAAAAAGAAGGTCCGCCTACCCACGGCAATAACGCATAGTATCAAACGGCCATTTCGAGAAGTTCCTTAAAATATTATAAGCGAGCACCCGGTTTATCGGTTGGCAGAGCCTGGAGTTTCCCCTCGTTAACATTTTTTTTGCTTTCACGTTTAATTTCTTTTTACTTAGCTCCCTTCAGCAGCGAACCCCACGGCAAACGGTAAGGTACGACAGTACAAGGCGGATACACGTGAATTCGCTGGTATGGCAAAACAATTGCAGCAATTAAATCCTTGTGAGGTTAATTGCACCTAGAAGTTGATATATAACATGAAATAGTAAAATTGCTATTTCCAAACGATACGGCCCTGGTTGGGGCGTGTTTAGTAAAATGCACTCTTCTGTCCATTCTAAGAATGTCCTAAAGCAATAGATCTTAAGTCCCTCGAGCTATTCAAGCTGAAATCTTGGTCAGGTCATAAAAGGGCGCCCATGAGTCCTTAAGAATTTTAAAACTAACTGCCAGTCCTTATTTCAACCTCTTGGACCGACCTCTAGCGTCATTAGGATTAAGAAAGTTCGCCAGGATTTTTTCAAATGGTTTCTCCTTACGTCACTTGAAAATAGTAAATAAACTCTATGTAAAAAAAATTGTTCCACTACCCCGCATTCTATCAAGGGTAATGCTGAGAGAAAGTTCGACAGGATGAGTGAGGTGCGCTGCAATATCTATAAATGAAGAAAAACAACAAAAATAAAAAGTCAAAAAGGGTATAAAGCAACATTCCAAATACAACGGATAGCAATGACGGATGATGGTTTTTGTAAATACTCGAGCAACGTCAGGATTGGACGGCATGCGTGCGCACGGCGGGTTCTTTGTGATCACGAAAACCGGTTTCATTCGGGATCGTAGTTATGAAGTGAATCGAATGTGAACTGGGTTTTCTAGATGTATTTTTATCGGCGTGATATTGATTTGTTAAGCGGTAACCCAGTGATGCTAGGATCCTCGGTATTAAAAACGGTTCGATACTATAAAGTAACTGAAAATATATTAAATTAATAACAGATACCTTCAACAATAACACACGACCGTTAACCCGTGCCTACGTATACACAGTCGCCAGGAATTCAATATTCGACTCTGCGGCGTAGGGCTTTCCTAGGAGTCGCGTGTACAACGAGACATGTAATGGCAACTCGTGGAAGCTTTATAGAATATAATAGTCCCGCTATGGCATGGAATATTAATAATATATCGTACCTACCAGCGAACATTGGCCAAGAGGGGTTGTGAAGTCACGCCACGCTTATATATACTATTCTATTGACACTGTACATATCTTAGTTCGGATGGGACACGTGTTTCCACAATTTCAAGACACTTCCCGTCGAGTTCCAGTCCGCATCGTTTAACTTTTACCAAAGACAGCTGCAAGAGGAGGTTCGTCGGTTTCGACTGGTTGCACGCACTCACAACCCTCCTAGTAGGATTACATCGTGATTACTCACTCGCTATCACTTATTAAATCACTTGCCCACAAACCGTCCTCTGAGACAATGCAACGAAAAATTTGATATACAACGATACAATGTAATCGCGGCTTCAAGTGTATACTTTTCAAACTTACCGTGTAGTTCGTCTTTGGTACAGAGACGACCGTGTACTATTATTGCGCACGAATTTTAAAATGCATTTATATTAAATACAAACACCATTGAAAATACCGCAACTGAGCGGAAGAAAGTGCACACCGTTCGTATACTCAGCGACACGTAGCAAACTATTCGAATTAAATTCTAACTAAATATATACATATATAATGTACTTTAAGTTTAATAACAAGGGCTGGGAGATCGCACTCGTCCCTTTTTACGACATGGTAACTAGAAACTCAGGTAAGAAAAGGCTAATACTACTCAATGTCAGGTAGCCCAAGACCCAACGGTTGGTTGGCGGAAAATTCCAATCGGGTAAAATTCGGTGCGCCTTGAATAAAGGGCAGGGAAGGTCTGGTAAGCGAAACAAAATAAGTGAAACAAAACTCCGGCAGTCAACGGAACATCATGAGACGTAAGAAGGAAGAAGGAGCAGCTTGAATAACGGCGTTGGACGGTCCTACCGAAACAATCCTGGTCTGATAATGAGAATCGGTATTAAAAATGGTTATGGGATAACCGTCCAGGATCTCCCATTGTCGCCAATAATTTCTCTATCAGATGAAAGTCATGTCGCCATTGAAAGGGATGAACGAAAGAGGCTTCCCGAGGTAGACGTCCGAATCGCCGACCAAGGGGACCTCCTCTATTGCACGCTTATAAACACTCCGGGTTAAACCATACAACTCCAAGAGACAAGGGTTGGTCTACGAGGGTGGCTCAAGTTCAGGGAAAGATGCATCATCTGAAAGAACCGAGCTCCAGGTCCTGGGCTTTTTCCAACGATTGAAAGGAATAATAGATTGTTGGCTACAGTTAAGTAACAGGCCTAGTGGCCTTACGGTTACCGGTCACCATCGTGCTGAAATCTCTTCCGCGAGAGGCACCTACGACTTTCGACAGGGCAGCCCGACGGGGAGGTAGTTAACCTCGTTAACGCGGAACACTTTGAACATGTCACGAATAATTCTGTTTTCGTTATTTACTGTAAGCCGGCCGTAATAATAAGGGCCTTGCGTAAAACGCAAGGGACGAACGCCGTAAACACCCCGTGTTGCTACAGTTTTCAACAGCCAGGTATATACATATATATTATGTAAATAGACGTACAGTGAAAACGATATTCCTATTACATACGCGTATGCATATACACGGTGATTCAAATGTTCAAATATGGATACCCAAATTCACTGGATTCAAATGATTTTTCAGAGAGTCAAACGTTCTGTCGCGAATTGGGCGTGTTCGATGCAAATGGCGTCGCTTTACCAAAAATAATACGTAAATTGACGCTAACTGATCGCCTGCAATAAGTATCTCGCCGGAAGTTCTCAGACACAGAAAATATATTTACTAGGAAGCATATAGGAGCAGCGTTAGTAACACGAACAAGCCTCTTGGCATAATGGAAAAATTACTACACGTATTAGCCGCATAGCGAAAGAGTATCAGAAGCACGCTGCCATGTAATTGGTAAATTCTAAACTTGTCCATGTGCAATCATACGTCTATGGTGTATATACGTGGACGGATAAACGTTCTCAGTAATTTATTATGAGGCTCTGTACAAGCGTTGCAAGCGCAACTGTAAACGAGTCTGTCTAGATCTTGTGATGGACCAACTATACATATCTCGTTTTGCGCGTATCGATCTGATATCCCCACCCGGGTTGGTTGCGCGAGACAGTCTGCACCCTTCTCGGCGTGTATAGAAAGGAGAATGGGGAGGGGCCCATTTGAAAATTTAGTGGGGTCGCATTTTGATATCGTTTCCACGTAATCGCTGCCATTAATTATCATCGGATTAATCATATTTTCTAATCAAATATCGTTCGCTACATATACACCAGAAATTAGTACAAAAGTCTATGGTACTGTCTTGTTTACTTTTAGAAGTACTTGAATATTTCAAAGTATATATATAATACTAAAGTATATATATAATACTAAAGTATGTGTGTGTATGTATGTATATATCGTGAATAGTCTATATAACATCGATACGTCGAGGCTTGGCTAACATTGTCTCTAGTGGAAATGTCTCACGTACTAACCACTGTACGTCGCCCAGCGTTGACGATCACAAGGATAACGATGGCGAGGCTTAGGGAACTGCTGAGTTTTCCGCTTGCAGATATTGCACAGCCTGTAATGTAACTACCAACCACTGTTATAAATAGTTCATACAGTGTAACGTCATTTTGGTCGCAGTGCGCGGTATACAAGACTATCGATTTATTCAATAAACCTGTATGACGTTAAGGTTGTTCTATCAATTGCAAAACGCGATTATTATGCTGCGTTACTGCCGGCGAATTACGAAATTTCAAACGTCCCAACAACGGCCTCCATATTTACGTTGTCCGGGTCGCACATTCTCGTTTAAGCGGTACATTTTTTTTGCATATCGTTGTGGAAAAAAGGGCGTACTTTACGAGCTGCATTTTCAATACGAGTTTCTTGGATTATTAAACAGAATGCGTTACGTTAACGTAATAAATTAAATGTAACAGGCTACTATGCCAGACTTTGTCTGTATTATATACTATCAAAGTCCCGCAATAGTGACCACGGTGTATTTACGTACCAGCGGTAAAGAGTCTGATAGAGAAAAAAAGAAGTAAGAAAAAATGCAAAAAGTTGAAGCGCAACAGCGGTGCTAACTGAAGAGTGTATGAATATATATATATATATATGTGTGTGTAACATGGCTAAGTTATAAATGGGATTCGAAGTATATATAAAGAGAAATGGAACAGAATAGAGTGAGGCATTCAGTGCCGAGGGAGGAATCACGTTTAAAATACCTAAGTACATATTTGCATAATTTAATTACTGTACGAGTTATATTCGGTATTTTAATTATAGGAATTATTGAGGAACCCTGACAAATTTAATAGTAGTGCAATGCTTGACGTTGATGTAGCATACAAGTATTTTCGTAATTCAGCCTTACGAAAAGTCCAATCAAGAGCAACAATATACGATAGCCAGAAGTTCGGCTTAAAGACGTCGCAGTCACCAGTGGAGAATAAGAATCGTTGAATCGTCGCAATTACGCAAAAATTATCTTTTCTCCTTCTATGAATGGCAAACTTCTTCAGAAACCGGCAATAAGTAATAATGTGGCAGCACGAACGTGTTAAGGGTATATTTCGGTTGAGCCTTTAGAATATTTCCTGCGGTGGGCATATGGCGAGGGGTAGAGTTCCCAGAATGTTCCCACGGTCAACAGTTTTCCTGGCGCGGTACATACGGAGAAGGGCTTGGGACTCCTCCGCCCCTATTGTTCGGAGTTTTTCCAAAATGGCACTTTGAAAAAAGGAAAAAAATTTTGTTTACTCAACCATAAATCTTCGCCCGTGACACGTTTTGAATGCAGTTCCGTGAATCGCTATAAGTTTTGCAATTTTTCTATGTAAATATTATATAATTAAAAATTCGTATTTTTTTCTCTTTCACAGATAAAACTCAAACATCATGCATTTCAGTATATACAGCACTATAGAACTGTCCTTAGACAATTTTTTTTAATGAAACGTACTTGTCTGGCAAACCACTATATGTATCATAGAGCTCAGTTAATCATATCAAATTAGAAATATCATAGTATATTCAAACGTTATCAAGTGTAAACCACATAATACTGATAACATTCTAAATACGAGTGTACTACGGAGGATCTGTGAAGTTTTACGCGGGAAAGTTACGGTGCAGTTATTTACTTGTCGCCGTAACAGTTTGCAACACCGAGAGTGAGAAGAGAAAGAGAAATATTTCTTGTAGAAAGAGATAAAAAAAAGTAAAAAAGGAGAGCATTTGGAAGTACAACGAATAATTACGAAACACGAAATAGATTGAATAATCCATCCGTCATTCTTTCTAATTTCAGGTTTACATCGTGGTAAATAAACACGGTATTACGAAACAAAAATTCAATTCGATTGACTCGCTCATTTTCTTTCATTCCCTTGTTACAATAATCTGAGCAAAGATGATAATATTAGCAATGCTTGTATTCGCTCCATGTAAATATTATCGAGTTTATTAACCGCGTGAAGACTGCATAGGTGTAAAATATGTTATGCGTTTAACGTTTAAATTACAAGAGTTATTAAATATCGGTCATCTACGTCTAATCCGGCAGGAAATTGAAAGAAGGACTTGAAAGCTGGTAAATCAAGCGAGTAATCTTAGTTGAAGTTTATTTATTGATGGACACTTCCTTGTTTCAGTTAAAAATTAGTGCATTATTCGTACTGCGGAACTTTCGTGAAAGATCGAATAAATTTTAATGAGAAAACTGCACGGAAAAATGAACCGTAAAAGAAAACAAAGCAAAGAACAGTAACGAATCGAATATTTATTGAAATTGAGTAAACTATGTTGTAACACCATGTTAAAATGTCAGATATGTTTAAGCGGGAACATGCAGTCAGAAATGTTTATTTTCTCGAAGATGCACCGTTCCCGCCGAAATTCCTTATTCCTTGTTAGACATTAGCCAGCTACGTAACCGTGAATAATTTGTAACGGTTATATTCTTTTGTTTATCTTTAACCGCGGTATTGAAAATTCATGGTTGACAAACGGTTGTCATGGCCACGACTAGCCAAAGAGGTTGGTAAATCTGTTCAGCGTGGCGACAGGGGATATAGAATTCCCGCGCCTCGCGGCAAAATATCACTCGTCTCGCCTAAAAATACCGAGTCGAACGTCAAATTCGTTTGACACGTAAAACATACACACAAAGTTTAATAACGTCAGCGTGACGTTTAAGCCAACGTAAATCATTGTAACAGAATTGCAAGATACGATAAGTGGTTGAGCAAATGATGTGCGGCCGGGAACACGGGTACCCTGACACACAGCGAGGGTCTCCGTCTCGGTCGCGGCGGCGGACCGGTAGCGCACGATTAATTTCTGGGAGAACTCGATAGAAAATAGGATGAATAACGCACGATTAAACGTAATAAGACCTACCGTGTGTTTAACGAGCCTTTGAGTACGTCGTCCTCGCGCCCAAGCACCACTTTCACACATATATTTACGAGGAAATTATGCGATTTTTGGCAGCGACCATGTATAAACGGACACCGACACAGGGCCCCCTTTACGGAACTGAAGTAACGTTGACGGTAGACTCATGAACAAAGACCACGCACGATTTCAAATCCTGTTGCGCCTATTGGTCGGCCGTAGTCACGTGGCTTTCCCGCCTGTACCCTATTGGCTAGTCGTGACGGAGTGTGAGGTCATTTTAAATCGTATACCAATGCACATGGCTGACAAAGGACTTTTTATCAGACGATTTTTAACGCAGTTCTAACCTTGTTTAAGCCTTTCTCATATCAGGGTACTTCGCGGCACTGAGATTCGCACGAAACTACCGCTTGAACATGAAATAACGACCGTTTATCCAGGAGATTTGACAGGAGCTGTCGAGCATTCCTACCTACTGACTTCCCCACTTCAAAATGGCCGAATCCAAACTGTAAACATAAACTTATGAATTCTTAATATTTCTCGTTTTATTTTGACTTGTGCTTCTCACTAAAAAATGGCAAATATTTTTTACTGTATTTCAATCACGAAATTTCTCGTAATATTAATCGAACTGTCGGTAAGAATGAAGGATAATAAGTAGTGGAGTGGCGGGCGAGTCGATTATTTTACGAGAGAGGGGAGTTAGGTAGCCCCGTTAAGAATGAACCACTATGCACGATAATGGCGGGAATGCACACACACACGAACGCACACATGCTTCTCTGTCTCTTTGACGTGAGGAAAGAATCACGCGGCACTGTCACTTCGTACGTAGCGTCGTTGAAATCTCTTCCAGAAAATAAACAACCACATAAACTCGGTCGATTTTTAGCCTAAATTCTCACAGAATGAAAACAGCAGTACTTTTCTGTACGGCTGGGGTCAATATGGAGTTCTTTCCTTACAATTTTTTGTATATTTTTAATTATTTTTAGATAACATCTATCACTGTAAATAAATTCATTCATTACTATAATGTTCTTAAAATATATCTTCAAAACATACGTAGAAATAACGACGTAAACGTATTCCAGATGCCCGTATTAAAGCACTAACTTGACTTCCAGTTCCAGACTGCACTATTTATTGTTTCTCTTTTTCCATTGTTCTCGTGTGGTTTCCATCTTTCTTCTGGTAGAATTATAGGCTTATACGAGCGGGTAACTATTCTATACGATTGTTATCACATTCTCGACTTTTTCCCCTCTGATATATCACATTACTAATCGACTCAGTATTGCCGGATAGTTTGAAATTATAAATTTACGAATACGTAAAAATTATATCCCAAATGTTTCAATAAGATAGTTATGCAAACCAGTTTTTTTCTTAGTTGAAATAACATTTTTTGCATTGTTCTTTGAACAAAAAATATATCAAATACGTCTTCATAACTTTCATGCAGCCTTCTTGAATATCAGTTGCTTCTTAAATTTGCATTGCAAATTAATATAAACATATTCATTTATAGTAAATTTAGCAATAAATATCATTCGTGTCCAAAATATTTCACATATAATTAAAATAGCACCGTTCTTTAGAAACTCTTCCTGTAGCTGTCTTCAATTACAGCACTCAGTGCTCTTCATAGATTCTTGCTTTGCACATTACACTATATATTCTTCTTTTAAACATTGCACTATTAAATTATATAAAATTCAGAAGTTTTCAAAATAATGCATTATTAACATGCTTCCAAAATTTCATTCGCCGCTGTCAATTCTGGTCATTCACAAGACTTTTAATTTTTTAATTATATTTGTCAGTCCAGCAAATGTTTACGGGATAGATTTTACTTGTTTTTATTGCACTAATTTCTATTACTCACTGACATTAAAGTTCCAATAAAATTTGCATCAGGCATCTGATTAGTCACTTCATATGAATATGATACTGATCTTTGTTCCAAATATATTACAAGCAATAGTATGATATTGCACTGATTTCATTATTCGTTTGTTTCTTACTAGTTATCTTTAAACATTGCTCACAGCTGGTATCAATTTCATATATATCTCAATTCCACGCAGGAACACATCTTTGTTTAAGTGCTCATCGTGGTCATGCAATAAGATTGTTGTATTGTTCATTGGTGAAAAACCAATTGCAGGAATGCCAACCTGTAAATAAATTGTAGAAAAATATAGAGATTGTAAAAAAAATTTTTAAAACGAGCCTATCATCATCAAAATACGCATGCATACATCTCGTATATAGCGGCTGTCTGTTCCTCCTGGGAAAATTCCAATATCCAGATTTAATCCAAGCTCGTCGCAAGATTGTTTAAAAGCAAGCCAATACGGATTCGTGTTATCCAATTTTGTGTTTTCAACAAAGTTGTTCTTCTGCTCTGTGGTGAAGTACACGCCTTCTCCAGCTTCTTTGCACCATCCATTGAGCATATTTTCGAATTCCTCATGATTCACATCCGTTGCAATACGAATATCGAAAGCAACTGTTAATTCAGTCGGCACTACGTTGGTTTGAACACCACCCTGAAATGACATCGTAATACTAATAAAACTCTTGCGTGCAAAATATCTATTACGCCAGACAATACAAGAATCGATGAACTAAGTACTTTGCAATTGAGTTTCTAAATCTTTCTCTCGATTCCATATTTTTTGGTATAATAGAATAACACAAAAATTCTTGCAAGTCTAAGAAAATAGGTAACTTACCAATTTTGACATCCTAATCGTAAAGACATATTATAAAGAAAGTTCATATCAAATTCAATTAGAAATTATTAAAACGTGTAGAAGCGCAAGCCAATATTACAGATGATATTAAAGAATATAAAAATTTCCATCTACCTGAAGCTGTGTCAGATTTACTGTGGTAACATCTCCCACCTTGAGTTTCGGGTCTTTTAACTTTGCCTTCTCCTTTGCTCTGAAGTCCATGAATTTTTCAATGATAACTCTTATCTTTTCACCAGCAGTGTTATCCAGCAGAAGGGATCCATGTCCAGGAGTTCCAGGACAATGAACCCAGACATGCCAAATAGAGCGTTCACCATAATACATGAAAAAGTCATTGGTTGGTGAAGCAATACCCTCATCCAGAGCAAACCCAACATTCAATGACTTGAAGTCTTGAGTATGAACAAATTCTTTCATACACAGGATACCACCAATTTCCTCATCAGACACAAATGAAATGTGAATGGTCCTTTTAAAATGTTGTCCATTCAATTTCAATCGTCGAATAGCTTCTAAATATTGAATGCCAACACATTTCATGTCTTGACTACCACGAGCATAGATGTTTCCTTTCTCATCCATATGAGCACTAAATGGGGGATATGTCCATTTTTCCTGAAATATTTTTCAACTTTATTGTTATAATGTTCATGACTCTGGATAAATTTCATCCATTGATGTTGAAAAACTTACAGCAACAACAGGCACAACATCCATATGACTGTTCAGGAGTATGGCAGGTTTTGATGGCTCTGTACCTTCCCATGTGATAACCACAATTGGCTTCTTTGGATGCACATGGTAAATCTTGATTGGCAAATCAAGAGATTTTGCCTGTTTCTCCAGAAACTTGATGCAGTCATCTGAAAACAATACAAAAAGAAATTAAATATGTTCAATAAGTCATGACTAGCAGTACTTATTACATGTTATTTTGTATTTTAGTTAATAACACAAATTTAAAGTTTTATTTGACATATACAAGAAATCTCATTGCAATAATTCAATATACTATCTTTTTTAAAATTGAAGCTTGAAAATACCTATTTAACATGGAATATACCATGAAACATTGTTATGAAGTCAAATTAAAGTAATGACCCATCAAACTGTTTACAAAGTTTTATCTACTTCAGTTAGTTTCTAGTACAATGTATAAAATCTAGGCCTTACAGTCCGCCATAAACATTACATTATGAAAATTATCTAAATGCTACTATAAGTTCATCTTACGTAATATCAGCTATATAGATAAAGTAAGAAAATCCATAAGCTCTAACAAAATATCACATAATTATGACAAAATTTGAATATAAATCACAGCATGATAGACAATAATATTGCAAAGCAATGTATCCCTTTATCATATATGCAGGATGACACTCTAAGGCACTAAAAAAATAAATAATTCCACTTAATTATTTACAATTGTAATAAGATCTACAAGAATAAAAGGCAGGGTCGACATTAAGAATTAAAGAAAATCATGTCATAAATTGCAATATAAATTTACTCCTGCTATGAAACAAAAGTACATACTGAATGATAAAGTAAATGGAGTCAGTTCCAGTCAGTATCGTGAATGTACGATAAAATGAAATATAACGTGATAAAACGTGGAGGCAAGTGAACCTCAGATAGAAAGAGCTACAGAAAATAAAACCAAATATTTCTAGAATTGATGTAAAAAAAGTATCCCGATAAAAAAGACACGCACGTACCCAAGAATAGAACGACCTTCTCAGTAGGGGATATTCCTGACCGTAAGAGTGAGACAATCGAATAAAAATGATGAGCAGTTAATCCCTATATATTGCGAAATACATTACCATCCCGGAGCGTTGTTTATACCGGCTATGTAAAATTAAAAAATTAGAAATATCACTGCTTGCAGGGTGGGGCAGACAATGGCTGGATAGCGTCTCCGACGCAGCGTCATTTTTTGCATGCAGCTCTTAAGTAACAAAAGAATAGTTTTTTCCAGAACTACATTGCAGAGGGTACATCATTGATCAGAAATCCTATGACACCGAGGCACGTCCACGTCAATAAAAAAATTAATTTCTCTAACAAGGAAACGCGTCGTTGAGCGACCCCATTCACGTACGCGATCCCACACATCCGCAGTTTTCAATTTATTTCCAATTTATCTGCAGCCTCTGATCCTCGATTTCTTTTCCACGATCCTATGCTTCTTACTAAAACAATTACAGTGTCACTTACCGTAATTTACGTCTGGGTGTATCGAAGGGATCCTCAGATACTCGCGAAAATTTTCTACAGCTGTTGTATCCAGCTGAGACTTGGATGGCAAGGACATTGCGTGGCCTGCTGATCGTCGCGTCAGACGCCGCTAGCTCGACTGTCACAGCAGACGCCTAACTCTCGGTCCTCCAATTGCGATCGCTTATCATTGGCTACGTCACAGAAACAGACCAATCACAATCCCAGAAAGGAGACGCGGGACCGCGCGCGTGGGCTTCTTAAAAGAATCTACGATTCGAATAGACTTCCTCCCGCGATGAGACGTCGATTCTTTTTTTTAATCATCAAACAAGAAGGCAAAGCTACGTACCTAATAGGACTGACACTTATGATGTTTTGATTTTTAAAACTGGAAGTCTTACTTTTCAAACTTCATAAAGAATGCGCTATTTGGCCAAACGCATAACGGAGGAGGGCACGTAAATCAAATTGCCTTTTGTCTGATGAAACAATTGCTAACGATACGTACTGAGGTTGAGTGGTTCAGAACATTTAGTTATTATTATGATAGTCACTTTAAAGAATTCAGGTCGAACGTGACGAGAATGCCTGCCTGAGAATTATATATGTAGTCTGTCTTGCACACGGTACAACTAGGAAAGAGATAAGAATCAGAGTTTCTCATACAATTTATAACAATTAATAATCTCATACTTTGATAAGATAGTATTATCTTGACTGACCAATAATATAAATTATTGGACATGCACCCTCTGTAAAACAGGATTAATTGAATTTCTCATTTAATTACAGACATAAGAGGATACTATGTTATAAGAGGCACATCTAATCAAGTACACAATGCATTTAATTCGTAAAATGTATTTCGATTTATTAAATTTCATGTATGCCTAAATATGAGCTCTTTACACATTATGTCATACTATGTCATATTCAATGTTTGATATCGAAGAACTCGTTACATTTATTAATTATTAATATGAATTATTGTATACCATATAAGTGATATAACATGGCTATCTCTAGGCACATACATATAACAGCGAATTGCAAATAAAAAATTATGTATTTTTATACTATTTCAAATTTATATATATATTTTTAAATTTATATATTTATATATACGCATATATATATATATATATATCATATATATATATATCATATACATATATATCAGTTACATACATAGTTTTTATGTACAACATTTAAATGGTTATTCTAATTCTTATATATAGTTTCTTTCATAGTGAATCTTATTGTTACGAGCGTTATTTTCAACGCTTATCGTACATAAAATTATTGTATAATAGCTGAGCCATAAGAGAATTGTACAGTTGGATATGATAATAATAAAAATACGCGTATAACAGAAGCAAAGCAATTGTACTAACATTCGTTCTTTCTTTTACGATTTTCAATTTTTTCGACAGTACGAAGAAGACAAGTGTTCAGAAACTGATATTTCATACGTGACACCGACATTACAGTTATTTTACAAGATAATATTTACACGTTTCATTGTATATTCGAGGCCGTGAGATTGAGTTTTACACACACTTCGAGATGTTGCAATCTTGTCCTAGACGATAATTCACACGATTATCGGAATCTTATGGAGTGTCATTAGTTAATCAAAAAGAAGTTTAAATACAACGGTTGTTCACATGAGTTGGAGCGTGAAGTTTGTTCTATTAATAATGAAGAAACGCAGCGTTGTTGTACTCTTCATTTTAATACTTATTATTTGTTCGTTACGTACAATAGACTCACACTTGATGCGTGCTTAATGTAGGTACAGTTAGAACGACCTTATTGTATTTTGAATAACGCGCGACAAGGCGTAATCGCTGTTGTTTCTTTTTATGTTGAATAGATAAAACGAAAACGCGTACAATTAATGTTGGTGTTAAAAACAAGATCGTTATACATATACGCACGTTTTCTCTAACTATTATTTCATTATAACGACAATCATATGTTATTATACTCATTCGTATGTTCAATCTACCTATAACAACATTGCGTCCGTTGTAATTGAACGGTATTGTGTATAACAATGCTCCTGTCGAAAGCGAATATCAAATGAAATTAATTTATATAGTAATATAAACGATCCATCAAAACTGAGCAAGAGCGGCCATGATGGCAAATTGCGCTCACGTAGAATTGCGAACACTTGTAGAATGTTAACGTGTAATACCAATTGTGTAATTAGAGCATTTTTATTATGCGAAAAGAGTTCGTTGTGTGTTGTTGTTGTCCACTGTATGCCGAGAGGAAATGAGTTAGTCAGTGTCTTGTCTGACGTGCAAAACTTATTATGTACAAGTGACTTTACAATGTGTTGCTGCTACTGTTGTTGTTGTTGTTGTTGTTGTTGTTGTTGACGAAAGATTAATCTTGACGTTTACATATGTAATAAAATCTGTATATTTAATGTATTCATTAAAAATTACTGTTGCGCGTCTTAAGTTTTTTTTTTTGTTTTTGAAACAACGATAAACGTCTGGTAAATTTTTTGACTTGTTATGTAAAATGACTGGTAGTAAAAGAATGAAAAATATTTATACAAAAGTCAGAAGGATTTCTTCGAGTCTCGACACTATGTTCTTGCTTTGTTTGGATGATGTTATTTTTCTTCTTGCACGCAAGATGTGGAAAAATGTTATCGCTCTTATCAAAGTGATATAAGATTTTACGAGAACGACTTATATAGAGTAAATATCGAATTGTCTGTGAAGTTTTATTTCTTGTTGAATTGACTACTGTCTATATATATGTGGTTGTTGGTTTTAATTATCAGTGAATAAACTGTGGAATCTGAGAATGTTACTGTTGAGATATTACAGAGCTTTAATTATGGCCATTGCTGACATATTTATATCTTATTCATTAAAAAGTGTATCCGGTAAATATTCTAGATATGGTAGCAGCTATAGTACGACGAATCACAATGTCTTTACGTTTTCACGGATTTAATATGTGGCCTTTGAACGGATAGATTTAGTACTTGCTATCATTGAACTTAAATAAGACTCTGAGACAGACGAGGCCAGACAGAAGTGCAAACTGCATTGCGTTTGCAATTATTAAGAATGAAACTTTTTAATTGGCCCTATCTGTAAGAGACTTATTACTTATGTATAATTAACGAAATAGCTACTTAAATTATTTACACATATACATACGTTTATAATTGTTTTAAATTTTGTATTATCAACACATAATAATTGTCTAAAGCTATTATGCACTGGGTAACCTGTCTAGCTAGCGTGTTATATTAGTGAAAATATAATCGTATATTTTCGGATTAAATTGCCCATAACGAACGTACGAAACAGATTCATTTCAACGTAACAAACTTTCAATGCATGTGCAAAAGTGGAAAAATATGAAAATGCAATCTAGGTTTTGATGCATTTCAGAAAGTCAGAGTAATTGAAAATATGAGACGTTTTTGTGTGTCTTATGAAAACTGCTCGCGATTATTATTTTTCTGTCTCTCTCTTTTTTACACCTCACTGACTTCGTAAAATGGTCGAAAATGTAAGAATTTGAGCCATTACTCCGCAACGCTTCTACCCGGTAAAACCTTTTTAGCTGTACTCCTTTCCTTTTTAAAATTCTCTACAATCTTCCTGGCCATGCTAGTTTATCGTAGTTTACCTTTAACGTTTTTAATAGTTACACTTTTTTTTCTTCTTACTGCTCATTGAGTTTTGTACTTGCATGAATGTTAAGTTTTGGGTTCTACGCAACCCTTAGTTTAAGAATTTTTTTGCTTCGCATTTATTTTCTTTAGCACTTTTCGATAACAGAAATATATCTTTCTCTTTCGCTCCTATAATCATTTTTTAACTATTAAAAATAAAAAATTCAACCTCACACGTTACTTCCGCCTTTTTTTTTCGTAAAAATAAGTTATACACGTAATGAATTATGTCATTACGAAATAGTTTTATAATAAAGACAAAGTCTCGGTTTAAAGGTCGCGTGTAAAAAGTAGCAGAATTTTATCGTAAAATCATTTAAGCTTAAAAGTATAAGGCGACAAGTCTTATGGAAATCCAAAAAAAAATGTTCAGTCTACAGAATCAATTATTCGCTGTACACAAATTTTGGTACGCCTACAGGCACGCAATTAAATCAACTCCTGTGACGATTACATAGAACAACAATAGCAAAGACCAAGTTCAAGTGTAACTGGAGTTATAAATTACCGAAAATTCGTACCATGTAAGCAATTGTGCAGCGTACAGCGTACACTATCAAAATATCCAATTGAAACTCAAAATTAAATTTCAACATGTACCGTTTATTATAACTAATCATCGGGCAATTTTACAATCAAATATAAAATATAGAGAATTCTGGGCGCGACGCTGTCATTTTTTTTTTAACAGCGCAACAGCACTGCGCCTTGCTTCCCTACGTGATATATGTCTATATATCGATCTACAATAACTACGATTAAATATATAACTTCATATTATTATATTATATTATGCATATATGCAAATAATATTTACAGAGAAGATGGACAACGCAGTTATCAAGTATGCACGTTATATATAATATTATTAAATGTATAGAATATCAAACTGAAAATTGGAAAGTGCTCTCAACAGTTTGGCTATTTCAAATTTCTGTTAATAGTAAAAAAAAAAATGAAAAAAAAATAGAAACGAACTAATGCTATAGTTTAACATATTAGGGCACCATTCCCGCGGTATAAAAAGTGCACAATGTACGACACACTTTTCGTTTAGTCGTACGAGAGAAAATTTCAACGGCTCTTTTATTTATCTCAACACGTGCGAATAAACGTGTGGAAATACGAAACCTAAAATGCACACTGTTAGTTCCATGAAAATACTTAACTAATGCTTTAGGCCACACAAATACCCGACAATGTTATCAGAACTGTCAAAAAGTATGCAACCTCTTTTTTTTTTTTATTTAGCCGATAGCAAGGAACGAGAGCTTGATTCATTTTTCGTGCATCTCGTCACTGCATATTATTCTCGTTTACGCTCGTATTCTTCAAACAAATCTTCAATCTTACCTTAAAGAGTTTCATTCAATATACATACTGCTATTTTACGCTGGATTCAATAGAACATTCGTGGTTACTGTATCCTTCACTGTGAAACACTGTAGAAACAGGTATAGCATGAACTTCATAAAATTCTATCACGAAATTTGCTCCAGTATTTCCGTAATTATCCATTGACAGAAATTGTCATTTTTATCCGTCGCACCTGGCGAATCAGTAGCTGAAGATATACTAGGTCCTTGTCAGTTATCCAAACGGGTACACCAACGTCAACAATGTTAACACTCAAGTAATCGGTGTCATAGAAAGATTCGTCTCAATTAAAAACTTTCTAACGATACTACCCTCAACACGAGTTACGACCTGGGCGTCGTGTGGTTGAAGAATGGCTTCTGGGGTTGCGGTAGCGGCGGTGGAAAAAATGGTGGCCCGGTTGGCGGTGTCACTGGTGGAAATCTAGGTGCAGGTACACCAGCTGACGTCGATGGTACAAACTGAGGAGGATATGGATTTGATCCTGGTGGTGCTTGTGGTACTAGAAACTGTTGACTCTGGCTGGTGGTTGAGGGCTGTGGTGTTACGGCGCTTGGATATATTGGTTGAGGTATCGCCTGCGTCAGCGGGAAGGTCGGATATTGGACAGGAACAGATTTCGATTGGAATTGTGGATAATGGATGGGGGCTGAACCGGGTGGTGGGATATATGGTTGTGGTGGTAATTGTGGTAGAGGATATATGGGTGGGACAGTGGTGATAGAAGGATGGGCGGGTGGAGACGTTTTGCGTGCCTTCAGTATTGCCTCCGCAGACAATCCTATTAATTAAAGAACGAAAAAGTATAAATAATATATTTATTGTGATATTCTTGTTATATATATGTATGTTTATATTTATCTTTACCTTGTTTTCGTGCTCTCTCTTCTTCGTCGTCGCTCAGGAACAGTCCAAACTCTCGTTTCAGCCTCTCGGTCAAGTTTTCTCGTTGACGTTCGACCAAAGTGGGTGCTGCGGACCAACCAATTACGCCTTCTTCAGCACCTGTTAACAGATTCACGTAACCACTGCAACTAAACGTCATGACCTGCTTTTTACCGAGCGTCAACGTTTTAGCGGACTCTGTATGATTTTTCGGTTGTCTTCTGCTTGCTATTTTTTGTCGGTACGTTTCTTGATATGGTTTCTTACATATTGATGAGTAGAGTCGTTTGCTTTTTATACGTGGAATTTCAAGCGCTGAAATGTCTTATTACCTTTTTTCTCTTCACCGTCAGGATTTATGAACAGTGGCAAAGCTGTCAGACTTGGAATATCAACAGATGCTTTCACGCCTTCCTCGTCGGAACTGAGTGAAGATGTTCCACTGCTTGCACTGTCTGATCTTCCTCTTGCGGTACCTTTGTCCGAGGACGAAGATGCATCATTCGATGGCTCCGGTTCTGGCGGAGTACCACCTGATGATTGTTGCTTGCGTTTCCGGTATTCCGATATCGATAACTGTAAAAATCAAATTGGTATATTAATGATTTTTTAATTTTTATTATAAATTTGAACAGACACATTTTTATTACACATTTACCAAATCAACTCAATACATGACATTTTTATTGCAAAACTTGCATTACTAATTTGAAAATAAAAAGGGGTATATCTTAAAACAAAATTTCTACTAGACTTCATTTCAGATATTTTTATCATGCTTCAATGCTATACTATTATTTAGATAAGATACAATTTGGATCATGCCGAATGTTGGAAAGTTGAGGTAAACGAAAGTAATAAAGAATTAGGCTTCTATTCTAAACAAACTCTACCACATTCCTACCGTTCTAACCTTGCGCTTGACTGGGGTTGGAACTTCAGGTCTTAATGGGGGTGGCGCTGGCATGTCGGTTGGTATTATAGTTCTTGGATCTTTGAGTCTCTTGACTTCCTTGGACATAGGATCTTCCTCTTTCACTGGAGGTTTCTCATTTTGCCCAATTAGATTGTTATTCTTCAACACCACTTCCTCCAGTTTCGTACCATGTCCCGATGATATCTCAATAACTTGTTCTATATGAGAGGAAATGTTGACTTCAGTTATAAGTTCAGGTTTCACCGGTTCCGGCGGATCCACATCAATCTTAGCTTCCAATAATTCCCTCAGAGCTGTAGACAGTATGGATTTTTCTTCTCCATTTTTCGAAAGCTCTCCACTCTCTAATTCAATGGTGGACTCTATAATGGATGCCTCAAAATCTAATGTTTTCGATGGTTGTACCTGTTCAGGTTTCTTACGGATTCTTTCACTTAACGGCGGAATTGACTGCAACAATTTTGGAGCCTCTGGCTCTGACGATTCTATGTCGATATTCGAGGATGTTGATTCGAACATGGATTCTTCAGAGAGAGTAAGCGACGTACAAGTTGGATCTGATTTTGGAGGTTCTGGTTCTTTATTACAGACAATGGTCTCTTTAAGATCTATCTTCATGAATCCTCTTTGTTCTGGTTTTGTTTCGAACTCTTTAAACGCTCTCTCCTCATGACGCATGTCAAAATCTTTAAAGGATTCTTCATACTCCTTCAAATCATCAATATCGCGATCCTCAGACTCAGAATCTTCTTTAGAACTCTCCATTAACCCTTCGATACCATCCATGCTTTTATCTTTTTCAGAACTCGTGTCGACCTTTTCTTTGTAGTCGTTACCGTCATCACCTGTAATTTTCTTCATTTGTGCTTCGACATCAAATTCATCAATTGATATAGTGTCATCGGACTTTAGAAGTTCGCAAGATTTTATAATATCTGACTTCTTTTCATCATCGGATTTGTCATTTTCATTGGTGATGTTAACAATTTTATTGAGGTTGCCACCAAATTCCAATCTCAGTTCAGCGACACGTTCTTTCAGAACAGCATCCGACTCCATTGCTGCAATGGGTGAACTGAGATCTTCCATTTCCGTATCCGCTTCATTCTGATCGACTATTTCCACAGTACCTTTTTCCTCTTCCATTGGAACCGATTTTTTTTTAGAGTAAATTTCTCTTTTTACTTGTTTTGTCATCTCGATGTCTGTTTCTTGTATTTCCTTTTTAATCGACTGTGATTCGCTTTTAACTGAATTTTTAGTATCGTTTACAAAGAGTGATACATCTGTTTCTCTCTTTATATTTAATGCTTCAACTTTAATCTGATCCCGTAAGTCTTTAAGAGATAATTCTTCGTTGATTGCTCCTGCTTCAACCTTCACTGGCTTTATCTCTTGCTTCACTAATACATCCGCTTTTTCATTTTTAACACATAATGTCGATTGCGGAATATCTAATGTAACCTTATCAGTTTCATCTGTATCGTCTAAATCCATTGGTTCCGATTCAGAATGAACTTCCTCTTTCGTTGGTTCACATTCGTAATCTTGTTGACCAGAATGTTGTTCCATATTGGGAGACTGTTGCTCGATAAATTCATCCTGTATGATGGAGTAATAATAAATATATGCACAGTAAGAATGTACCATAGAGTCATAATGCTATATTAAATAAGCGAAAGTACTGAAAATTAGAAACTTACCTCATTGGAACACAGTGGTTTTGAAATAGATGTAGGATCCGGTAAGAGCATAGTCGGAGTTGTTGGTGGAGTATAATTGTCCGAGGAAAGACTTTCCCTGGCAATTCTCCTCTTCTTCGGCGGTGCTACCATTTCACTGGGAGGACTTTCAGGTCGACTGTTAGGAGAGTCACATTCCTCAGAAATAGCTTGTCTGAGCCATCTTTTCTTAGCGGACCCAGTTGAGCCCGAGCTCAGAGAATTCCCTGACACGGTTTGTCTACGTTGCGGTGGTGAATCGCATATCCCAGATACAGAGTTGGCCGCCTGGACTAGAGTAGCCAGACTTTTGGCAGCGTAATTCTGCGTCAAGAATTCCGGAGAAGGATCAGTGGGCGACAAAAAATCTGTAGGTCTGGTAAGTTGACTGATTGGAGTAGTTAGAGGTGCCGGTGGTAAGGCTGGCAATGGGGAAACCTGGGGCATATGAGTCTGCGGTGGATCAGGAGATTCTTTAAGCCACTCATTCATAAGAACCTTCTTCGTCTTGGGGAACTTGAATCCTGGTGCCAAAGGTCCAACTGCTGCGGCCACGAGTAAGCAAGCCGAGGACAATGGTGTAGACGGAGTAGAACTTTGTGAGCTACTACTGGCGCCACTGTCGCATGTTGGACTTTTCACCGGTGTCGGCTGTTGAAGAGGTGGTGAACTTGGTCCAGGAACATTCGAGTTGGCCAAAGCTAATAATAGACCAGCTGCAGTGGGAATTCCTTGATGTCCAGCTGGACCAGGATTGATCGACTCGTTTCCATCCTTTGTTGGCGTATGTAGATGAGAAGCGTATGGTATCCCACGATTCGGTGGACAATTCTGATTTGGCAGGGGTGGAGACTGCATAGAATTACTTTCCTCTCCAGAGGATATATCAGAATCGGCGGAATTTAATCTCGTCCTACGATTACTCTGTGATTGGGAGCTACTGGTTGTTCTCGCACGACCCTTTCTCCGTTTACGCCTTACTGTTCTTTCAGAATTCTGTTGCTTCGTTTTGGACTGTGGGATTGCGCCATGACTGTCTTCGTTATCGCTATGCGTACCACCAGACTCCTTCCTCTGTGCATTTCTAGCTTGGACCTCTTGCTTCCTTTGTTCAGCTTTTTCCAACCTCTCAAAGGCTTTCATAATAGCCTCCATTTTCCGCTCTTCTCGAGTCATCTTTTTCTTATCCTTTTTCGTTTCCTGGGGTGGAGGTTGTGTCAACACTGGAGAGGTCTGCGGTCGTTGCACTGTTGGCGGCTCCTCTTTGGTTGCTTGTCGAGTTACAGTTGCACTACCACTGGCATTCGGTATAGTCTTTTTAGGTGGTACTGCTGCGGGCGTCGGTGTCGGGGCTGGTGTTGGTTGCGTAATACTTGTGCTGGAAATGGCCGATAAAGAGTCGCTATCCTCGCATATTGTATTTCGTCTACCTCGCCGCCTTCGCTCCCGGCCACTGTTGATATATTAAATATACAATTTAAAAGGATAATTTGCGGAATTCTGAAAGTCATTAGCAATATTATATTAAGCTACTTACTCGGCATTTTCTGCAAGGGCTCCGTTACTTCCTCTTCTATTGAGTTGTCCCATAGAAGCTATCTGACAGTCTCTGGGATTGTTGCAAGCGCACACCACGGGAAGTAAAGGCGAATTTGGATTCGGCGATAGCATCAAATCATGTTGTTCATGGCGAATCGTAATCTCGGCATTCTTTTCGATTGCAGTGGTCGTCACGATGTACAGATGAAGGGTGCCCTTCTCTATGCAATGCTTCACCTCTGCGTTGGGTTTACAACTACGACGCACGAACCTGGCGTCATTTCCATAGGTCCGAGTGTCCACGCAAACTTCAGTGCCGTCTCGGGGCAACCGGTAGAAGAAGACGAAGGGTCCAGGTCTTTGAGCGTGCTGCCTACCTTGAGGATGTGATGGTCTATGCTGTGTACTCAGCATGTACTTTCCTCGTAATTCAACAACCGGTGTATTTGGTGGAAGGTACATTGTCGCGACTAAGAACTGTTAAAATAGAAGGAATAAGCAATTTAGAAAATGCGACTAGGTCAATGTAAAAAACAGTACTGTATGCACTGAGACGTATTACGCTATGGGATATCAACTTACTCGAAGGTTATTACTGTGAACGTTGAGCCTACATTTCCCAGCAGCCACGGCATTCATATTACTCTGTCTGAGGTCACCGTGAGCTCCATTGACCTTTATACTCGATATTCTGGCTCTTAATTCAGGACTGTAATGGTTAGTTACAGCCTCTTCGTATCTTTCTATCCACTGTCTAAGAGGAGCCATATTGGTGCCCCAAGCATCCTGAGTATCCTCCTCCCTATCTTCGAGGCTCATCCTTCGTTTGGTTTTTCGCTTGCCGGGACCTCGCTTCACAGTTTCCTTTTTACGAACTGCACTTGACTGTCTAGGATGGGATTCTCTTCTTTGTCTCTTAGCGACATTATTGTTGTTGTTGTTGTTACTTAGTCGCCTGACTTGTGGCGGAGGATCAGATTTTCGTCTGGGTACTTGTTGTTGTGGTGTTCTTTTCTTCTGATTGACATTCACACCTACGTCAGTATCTGCTGAACTTGTAGACGACGTGTCGGATGAAGTATCCGAATTGAGCAACTCCTCGCGTTTACGTAATTGCAACGCCCTTGCCCTCTGTCTGTCCACGCGACGTGGTCGACAAATTTCACAGAGATATTCATCAGGAATGTTTGAGCGGTCTATGCCCATACAGTCGACGTGTTGCCAAACCCTGACAAGGAATAATTTATATTTTCACGTAAATATATCACAGTGAAAGTGTTAATCTAACTGCGAAGTGAAAAATGATGCAGTCTATTGTGCTATAAAATAATGAAAAAGTTCTTTTTAATACGTACAGACAGCGGTCACAGCATATCATGTAGCCATCGTCGTGTTCGAAATCACTGAAAATGAAATAATAATTAGTGCTATTTTTTCTAGATTGTTTATTAAGTTTGAATATAGAATGAGGATGCTGACTTACCAAATGCATCTGGTAACGCTGTTTTCATCATCCTCTTCACCCTCGGCAGCCGTTTCCGTTTCCTCGCCTTCAGGTTCTGCTTCTCTTCCAGCTTCGCTACTAATGGCACTTGCTGCATCATCCTCTACGTTGTTACTTGTCACGGCTTCAACAAAATTTCAATATTCATCAGTAGGTATGAAGTGATGACATAGAGAAACGATTGAGAGTGCATCACTCACTGAACCCGGTGTAATATATTATTTATATACAAAATTAGGAATGTGAATTCGAAACTTCCCATGAGAAAGAAAATTACATTAAACACTCGAGGAGCGGCCAATGTAAAAAAATATAGGATTTTCTAAATCACGTAGTTTCAATAATTTCCTGGCATAGTGTAAATTACTTCTCTAAAGATTCATAACTGGAAACAATGAATCTCATTTGAGGAGGATTTAACAGAGAATAATGTGTCTACAGCATTATCCACTTTGATGTATTCCCGGAAAATATGACTTACACGAATAGTACTGTATAATCTTACCTTGACTATAAATGTAAGGATGCTGAGCGGTTACCGTGGCGCTTCCAGCACCGTTGATTGGCTGTTGTTTCACGTGCGGTGGTGGCGACGCTGGTGGAGGTGTTCGTGGTGGAGGTGCTCCATAGTTATGGTCTTGAAGAACAAACTGGAGACACTACAATTAGATAAGTGTTTGTTCAAACCATGCAACTTCACACACCGTTACCGTAGAAAAAGTAGAAGTGAGTATCAAGCAGCTTAGATTACACGTCACTGAGACAGAAAATATCTAAGGAACTACAAGAATCCCAACTGCATTTTAGATATGAAAAGAAGGAATAAACAGTACCTCATAAGGAAGTGGCATCCTTCGTACAGGGGACTGCAGAGTGTGTTGAGATTCCTCTTCCTTTGGTGAATGAAATTCGGTTTCCGATCTAAATAGAAAATATTGTTTTTTATATTTAGATCAATTTATATAACTAATATTCTAAAATAGAATAACTCACTTGTTTTCCATATCTCTACGAGACTCTCCACTAGTGACTGGTAACAACGTTTTTATCTGCCCTGATTGTGGTCTGACTTGCTGTGTATACTGAGGCGCCATTATAAGTTGTTTCTGCTGTATGGTTTGCTGTTGGATCTTGATAGGCTGATTTTTGTGGACCAGCATACTTGGTCCACTTGTTTGTTGAGGGAGCAATGTTTTGATACTTGTCTTTTGGGTGATGGTTGTCGCAGATCCTTGAGCCTTCAAAGCATTCATGTTTGTATTCAGTGACGTCTTGATACCAGCCATTTTCTGCGCATGATTCCTCTGCGTGGGTTTCTGCGCAGGTATTGTTTTTATACAACCTGGCTGCTTTTGCGCATTCTGAGGACCGATAACGTTTTGCTGTTGTTGTATAATTTTTACAGGCTGCATGTTTGCGTTACGGTGTATTGGTTGTTGCATTGTATTTTGGGGATTTAAAGGCTTTACGCTGTTCGTAATTTTCTGCGATGCTGGCTTCACGTTTCCTGGTTGTAAATTTTGTGATTGATTTTTAGCTGCTCCTACACGGAGAACCATATGTTGCTGCTGCTGTTGCATTTTTGAATTCATAGTTGTCTGTGCTCGTTGATTATTCGATATAGAAGATCCAGTAGTTATCTTCTTTTGTATGTTGGAAACAGACTGACTCCTTTGAATTTGTGATGCATTTCCTTGTTGTTGCTTATGTGTGCTCTGCTGTTGTTTCTGCGTGTTTTGCTGCTGTTGTTGCACAGGCTGGTGAAGCAATTGTTGTTGCAACTGTGAGGACTGATGCACGTGAATTTGTTGGGGCTGAGAGACTACTTGTTGTTTACTGACAGTAAGGAGATTGGAATTTTGTTGCAACTTTGTGATGTTGGGAACGCTGCTACTTTTAGAAACACTCGTTGCACGTTGTGTTTTATTGGAATTAACCGCAGCCAAAGTTTGAGATTTCTGCAACCCTGCTATACTTTGCGGCCTGGGTTGCTGCGTTGACTGCAACGGCTGTGAATGCTTTTGAGTTTGCTGTGAAGATTGCTGGTTCTGTTGCTGTCCAGACATTTGACTCTTTTGCATACCAGCAACAGAGTTTACAGATTTCTGTATATTGTTAACAGTGACGGTTTGCTGCTGTCTCTGGACGGCCAGCGTCTTTTGAGGCAGTCCTTGTACCTTATGCAAAGCCTGTTGTGACTGCTGATTTCCCGATTGTTGTTGCTGTTGCACTTTGTGATTCGAATGCACCGTAACATTAGTAATCGGCTGAGACATTATCTTTTGATTATTTAAAAGCTGTTGCTGGCTCTTCTGGGAACTCGTGACATTGGTTGCTTGTGCCTTTTCCAAATTGGATGAGTTCGTCTGCTGAACTCTTTGCATATTCGCATTGCTCATTACCTGATTCATCGTGATCTGTGTGCCTTGGGTGGACGAGGTAAGTACTTGCGACTTGGGCGCAGTTTGCATCATAGACACGGGATTCCGTTGCACGGTTGCCTGACTATTAACATTCGTAATCGTCTTAACTTTCTGTAAATTAACTGTCTGGGACTGTCCTCCAACATTTTGCGCTTTCAAATGAATCCTTTGGATATTCGTCATCGAGCCTGACGGGCTAATAGTCTTAACCCCTGTAGTATTTAACATCTGTTGCGCGGAAACTTGCTGGAATTTCTGATGAATATTACTCTGCAGATTTGCTATAGTCGTCGTTTGCGTCTTGCTCTGAACTGATTCGGACGTAGATTGAATTTTCACCTGCTGATTGATATTCTGCGTGGGACCCTGAAAAGAATAAGAATAGAAAACATTGTTACCTAGAAGGAAGAACGAAAAACCCAGCATGGTTTAAGGGGTCTCCCACGTCATGGCAAAGTATATTTACCGGTTGCGAATTAGGGTGCACCTGATAATTCGAGGATGACAATTTCTGTGAGATCACGCGAGTCGTTAGAACTTGAGTGGTGCTCGTCTGAGAGCCGGTCATTTTCTGAGCGTCCCTGCTAGCTTTGTTCGCCGGATATGTTACAGTAACGGGTTTCACGCTGGAAGATGTTGCGGAGCATGTCGAGCCCGACGTGGTATTCATTGTCTTAGAGTTCGGCAGACTCTGCATCTTATTGTTGTTACTGGGAATCACGGATTTCGGTAAGCTGGTACCAATCGTCAGAGGCGTGGGTAATTCTTGTGCTAACAGGGAAGGATTGTTGTTCTCTGATTCCTCGGGCATCTCCACTGTACCTAGTTGAAGTACGAAACTCATGGTGGCTGCTGCATTCGATACAAAATTGCCAACTCCTTCCGTTGCAGTTCCATTATTATCAGTGGATTCATTTTGCTCTGCCGGGGTAACAGGTGGAGGTGAGCTCGTGCCCGGGGATAGTTGTTCCCCACCTCCGCCTGTTCCACCCCCGGATAACTTAATCACTGATGGAGTCGACGTTTTGGAGGCCTTACGATTCCGTCAAATAAAAACTTTACGTATTGTCAACGTGATGGCTCCTTTATTCTACAGCTTGATGGGGGCCCTCTTCTTCCCTCGAACTATTTGAGGATCTCGAGACAGTGACTGAAACATAAACGGAGAAGAAACGTATTAGAATAGAACAACTACCGTCCCTTGGGATGAGATTAAATTTTTAAGTAATATCTACGTCACTGAAAATTACCATTCGCATAAAATGCAGATGGCGCTGTAATAGTCGTCGCAACGACTTCATTTGCATTAAAACTGTTACGGGTTCTGTCATATTCGATTTTATGATAAAATTATCTCGACGGCAAGGTACGTCCCTAGCACGTCACAAACTGATGTCTTATCGAGTTCTCTTCACGCAGTAGCTGGAATGTAAATATAAATGAACCTATAAGCGACAAAATACACTGAGAAAGAGGAATATATCCTTTTTCGTAACCAACATATGACAATCATCAAATGACTCGTTCCTAGATCAGAAATCCCAAACATCTGTTACCTCGATGATTGATGCTATTTAAAAGAAAATTCAGCTATGATTATTCAACCTATCGAACTTATAGATAGTAAATATTCAAGTCATTGAAAAATATCTCTGATGAATCCACATGCAAATTACGAAATTTATTATTGATCATGCGGAAGCTATGAAAGTTCTATGAACTGTGGATGTGTATATATATGTATATATATATCGTGCGTACGTATCAATAAGCATTCACGCGTCAGATTCGAGAAACGAATCGATAATATTTTTTGTCGTAAACCATATATTGAGCGATCACATCAACCAATCAGTTACATTTCACAAATGCATGACAGCAGAGTATAGGAGTAGAGCTGCGGGCATGTTCCTATTATTGACGTGACTCAATATTGCGTGCAGCACATAAAACTGTATATCCTCTATAATAAATGGATAATACATTCTCGTTGGTCGGTGTGCCTAAGATATTTAGTTGCACGTAGTATCCATGAGTAGGTTTGAATTATTCAAAAAGCACGTTGCGAAGCATAAAAGGTTATCGATTATTGAAAAATTCTGTATTCCCTAACTGAAAGTGTATTTTAACTTAACTTTATAGTACGAAATTTCGAAGACTTGTCGATCTGTGTCGACAGAACTGATTTTAACTTCTGGAGAAACGTAAGAAAGTCGCGGTACAAAACAAACAAGCCGCGTATCCATCTTTGAGCTAGGTGGTCAAATTTTAACGCTGACTCTGGGACACAGCTTTATCTGAGCATATACTTTCCATGCCGTTGTTGTCGAAAATCGTTTAAGGCGAAACTTATCTCGGTGAAATAAAAGACGGAAGTGTTTGCGAGATTCCCGCCGGCTGTAGATTGGACAACTTTCTCGAGCGGCCGGTCGCTCTTTCTAGTCGCTGGCCAGGACTCCGTCGCGGTCATTAATGTGATCGCCGCCATTACATTTCCACGGGGTTCATTATGCCGCTGGAAATTCCTTCTATACAGCCGGCAGGTAGAATTGAAATTTAGCCGCAGGCCTGGTGCGATTACGACCGCCAGAAGTATCAGACGTTTGTATTATGCGTGTTTTCAAACAACGACTGCCGCGCCTCCTCGAGTTACGTGAGTTTCGTCAACTAACTGAAAATTCTTAATACGTTAAAATGTCACCGGTGCACCTATCGTATTGTATTGCGTACCATATAGGTATACTCTGCAATTACAAATTTTAACCTAATCTCAATCTCCGACAGACACCACTACTAAAATCCATGATTTTGAATAATACTATATATACTTAGCAATAGAAAATCGCGCGCTGAATTTCAATCCCTTCGAAAAACATCGTTTCACTCAATGCACACACGTTCCACATTTGTTTTCCGTTAATGGTTAAAAATACACTAGCTAGCGAGCACGTATCAAGGTATACCTAAATATTCGTAATATAGTATACAAAGGAGAAAAATATTAAGTGCTGCCGGAATGTCGTGTCCGTGACTGAATTCGACAGTTTTAGGTCTGGTAAAACGACTTGTTTCAGGTAACGTATTAAACTACACAGGAAATCTGAATAAACATATACAACGTAAGTCACGAGTAATGATTCCTCATTATATCTTGGCTGTAATAGTCAAGAAAAAAAAGACACTTGCAGTGAACTCAGTAAGAATATACATATATACGTTGTATCCATGTGCAATTTCATTCTGTGTGAATGACGCATCCGCAACTATAAGCAGAGCCAATAAAGATTATAAAGCCAATGGTTAGTAAAGTCCTACGTTGTGCAGTTTCTTTGTAGTTTCAACAACCGACACTCAGGTGAGCGTCGCTGTATGAATATATTCAAGAAAACCAAGAGAGAATATACTAACAAAGCACAGAATCAGTAGTGCTCTTTTGCTCGGCTAAGGGATCACTAAGACATCGATTCGGAGTATCGTGTCGAGCTCGGGAGAAACAAAAAAAAGAAATAAACAATGAATACGGCACTTGTATTTGCATATACTTTTCATCGACTACGAGCAATCTATGATGCTAATTGCTCCCCTCTGTATTGCAATGCCAGATATACGTCGATACGTATAAAAGTATGTAAAGTCAATCTGTCAAACACGTTATAAAATCAAATCTACAACGACGACTGGAATAGTTGGCGTTATAACGTAAATTATTAACAATAACGCCTTGGCCAATAAGAAGAGTCGCGATAACGATTGGAAAGAAGAGGAAGGAAGAGAGGAGGGTAAGAACAAAATAAGAGGGAAAAAAGCAACCTGCAAGTTTTTCCTTCTGGGATCTCAATAGCTCGATTCACAATCGCGACTGCTATGGCTTGTGAATATAAATAAGCTGAAATAATAATGATAAACGCAATCCAAGGCCTCGTTTCTGCATAATGACTTCATTGTGTTGTCAACCGTGTGTCTTTTGCCGCCACCAGTGTATATCTTCTCCAGTTCGTATTAAAAGTCAAGCACAATTACCGACCTGTAAAAAGGAGTTCTTGTTAGTCGCGAAGACTTTCTTACCGACCGATCCGCCTGTTATACCGACGTAGGACGACGCTCTATGTTCGATTTCTGGTGGATTTATAAAAAACTTATGAGACTTCCTGTGAACTGATTTACCTGCTTCACAGTCCTTGGTCAAGAACTGAAGTAAGAGACGACCCTGCCCAGACGGTTAACGATAAAAGTATAATTATAATAAGTAAAAAGAAAAGAAAAACAATGGAGGGACGACTGTGTATAAAGACACGAAAATCGCTGAGCAAATTCCTAGAATTTTGTCGCTTCTTATGACGCTGTGTACATCTCCGCACGCGATGTAAGATTTATAAAAAATCGACCGTGAGACATTTTTCCAAGAACCTTTGTAAGCGAACCTAACGGTAATACTGAATTTTTCCGCTAAAACTTCTAACCTACAGAATAACCCGCTTTCGCATGATTAATTAATGGCGACGATTTCGACAGACGACAATCGTAGATAGGGCTAAGTGTACCGTACTTAAAAAAAAAAAAAAAAAAACATTAGTTGGTACACGCATAATTGAAATGACCTCCTGCAAGATTACTAATTGGCGTTTATGTAAAGCAATTTCCACCGTCCATCTTCTTTACGACACATCCTCACCAGTGATGAACGCTCGTGAAATACCCTAGAAGATATTCATACAAAAATAATATAACGTGTAACTAATAATATGGCTTCTATAAAAATGGAAACTTAAAACGTCATTACATGGTCTACTCATCAATCACAGAGTAAATGAATGAAATCCGCCATTGTGGCAGATTTTCGATGAACTTTCTGTCAATGTGAATATTTTCACACCCGATTGTAATATATTTGCGTTAATTGCACTTGACAAGGCGAGAATTCATTTCCCTCGCTCGGTCCATCCGCAAAGGTCGACAAGCCCTAGAGTTAGTGACTCTATTTATAAATATGGACTGACTATCAAAATCATACATCCCTTTTATCCCATGACATTTTATTACATCGTCAATGCATTTCCTGAAGTAGCGAGAATATTCTCAAACGTCCCCTTTGCGCGAATATCATTGCAAAAGCGTTATGCGTGCGTGGGGCAACGTTTCCACTGATATAACATATACTGTCCAAGTGAACGTATTTAAATGATACATATGCTATTATAGAAGAGAAACAGTACACTTGGCAGTGATTTCATCCCCAGCGTGCAGCAAGTTGGTTGTCAGTTAGCCGAGGTTATGACTCGGTGGCGTGCAGCCGAGTTTAATTTTAACCCAAAGCGTCGCAAAATGATTCACTGTCATGTTATTTCAGATGCCTTAAAGCGTCCTCCACAGAAGTAGCAGATATGCTGCATGTGTGTTCTCCGTATAGGGTCATAAGTAAAATTCAGCATAGAATAAACCATAAACAAAAGTGAACGAAGCGTACGCCGCCAGCGCCACGTCGACATAATTTTGAAGTTACGAAGTTTCATCTCTATCCAAATAAAAAATCCCTCGTCAATGGTCGTACCTTTCATTATATTTAGGGCACGAGATGCTCTTTGAAAAGAATTATGATAAGCGTTCCCAAAGAATTCTTAAGCAAGGTCTGACGTTCGTAAAATCACGCAAAGTCATTCAAGAATTACGCTTCCTACTAAGCATATAACCCTAAAGCCCGATTCACATTTGTCCTCGGCGATAGTTTCGTATCGAAGCGGATTGAAAACGACAGAAAATATAAATATAGATATAGCATGATATATAACCATCTCGCAGCATGGTAAGTCTGTATTCCTATCGTACGTTAATGCTTAGCTGTTTGAATCTGATGTTTATAGTTGTTTCGACTACGCCTACGTAAAATAAATGTTATAAAAATGTAAGTGCGTAGCGACAGTCGGTATAGCATCGCGAAGTGTCTATATTCCGATACGAAAATCGTACCACCTTGGCACTAAGCTGGCAGTCGTTAAATCGAGCGCTAAAAATTAGGAAAATTCCGTAACGCGGCACGTCGAACTTCTTGGCAAATTTCCACAGGCTGCATGCATGTCATTTCTCACGTCGTGTTATGTTATGTTACGTTAGCAAAAGGCAAGGAGCTTTGGGATATGTATCACTGCCGGTCACGAGTAGATAATAAATTATTCTCCGTCACCCGCATTAGAACTATGAACTGATTCTAAGACGGGTGTCTAACTCGTATACCGACCTAACATAAGCTGGTCAACTCCATAACCATGAGTCGGTGAATTAACAAGCTTCTAAGCGAGCGAGCAGGCAAACAGGCTCACTGTGTACGCTGCTGCTCCGCATCGCTTGTGTTGGCAGCAATGGGATTTGCAGCGACCTACTTGGCGTGCCTCGACCCTTGCATTGATTCAAGCGAACCAAAATTATTCTCGGACGATTATTGTTTGACAATACTGGAGCCCACCGTCGTATTATACTACGGTAGGAGAGTTTAACGTACGTAGAGGTTAGGATCGCCTAGTCGTGCAACTTAAAAGCTCGTTGACTTAACCAGTAAAATAATTAGAGTAAATACAATTTTTTGTTAATTATAACGTACTAGATCAATAATTATCCTAATGAAAGCTGTGAATGACCAATTTTATTCCAAGGGCGCATTGAACTTTATGATTATGGAGTAACCTGACATAAAAGTGAAAATAAAAACAGGAAATGAGCTAATACTGGCTATTAGGTATGGTCCTATTAATAACCCTAAACAATGAAAATATTCATGTTTCTCCAAAGGCAACAACAACATCAGCGGCTGCAGCAGAAACGGTTACAGTGACGTACGGGCTTCCCTTTGTAAGTGTAGAAACGCTGATCGCGTGTGGGAAACAACCATATACAATGGGTTGATTGCTGGACACCCGGTGAAATATGCCAGTCCCAGCCAATAACCGGTATTGCTACCCTCTCTTCGCTTTTCCACTGTCTTCTCCGAAGAGAGTCAGGGATTCCGTAATAGAGTGGGAGGAAGAGGGAGAGAGAGAGATAACAGGAAGAACGTTGGGAAGGGGGAAGAGAAAACGAAAAGAAGAAAAGACGAGGAGATTAAAGCTGGTCGAGAGAGCGGACAAAACTTGTTGGTGAGACTTGGAATAGATACAGGGTGCGTACGAGATGCTGGGAGAAAGAGCTTATCGACCCTTTAAAGAAATAATAACAATAATAAAGTGTTACAATCTACTGGTTCTTCACTTAGGCGAAGAATTACTTATTAAGGCAACTCTATGACGATCGTACAGCGGGAAGCGAAAATGGCCCTCCAAAATAGTATTGTAAATTAATGCTATTACACTATAGTAAGGCCATTATTGTACACTAGTGAAGCATGAAGCATCGTTCAAGATAATAAAACTATATAGGATTATTCTACGTTTATTCAAAGTGTATCAGTCGCAGGACTATACGTTTCAAGGACTCATTCGAGATGATTTAAAGTTTCATATGCGAGATAAGAGATAGAAAATTGCAATTACCCAGAAAGGTCGTTGCCTTGATTACACTTGTATCGGGAATATGTGTATAAGAAGCATGTGTCAAATTCAGAACGGAACTGAGCACGGTAATTACATCAAAAAAGTGAAACGAAAATGTCTGAGGGATTGTTTGAAAGCAAAGGGTCTCCCGAAGAACCACAACGTTAGCATAGAATTAGATGTTTTGGTGCAGCATGTACGAATATTCATCACCGAACGTGTAAATCACCCTATTCCTGTGTTGGGTGCTTTGTGAATATCTAGACAGTATCGTACACGATACTTGGTGTACGTAACTATATGTACGCGTGGTAGTTCTGCAATTCCCTTTTTGTAGTTCGCACCGGTCGATATGCAACGCCACAGGCATATAGCGGACGTTTCGTAAACTACAGCAAGATGGCCGCGTATTTTCATGGACATTCTTCGGCGTCCCACCAGGCTTCGCAGTCCTCCTATATTTTCACCCGACAAACAATTCCCCTGCCGACTGGCAATGGAGCGTTAGGTAAACCGTAAGCGCGAGAAGCGTCGATTAGCGTCGGCCATAACATTTCCGGTTGCTGTTGCCGGGACTAATTTTGTCATTAAAATCATTCAGTTCAGCGGCAACCTAGTAATTACGCCTAGCTATCGTGTATTGGTGCTGGTACAAGGTTCACCAAGCTAAACTACGTGAAACGGACACGGAACTTTTCGACTGTCGCTCAAACATCTCAATTTTAGGACAGCCGCCAGCAAAGCAGAGCAAGTAAGACAGCATACACTTCCACGAGAAAAAAAAATCACCCAGGTCTGTCATATCCGTGCTTAGAAGAATGAGAGTTCAGAGCATCACATGCGCGTAACTTTTAGCTATATGGAACCAGAAAAACAAAACGTCCAACGGCAACGAACCGGAAATCCTAGTAGTTGAGAGAGACCTAGAATGGATGAGCACGAATAAAGAACACGATACCGCCAATTGTTCTAAGAGAAAACAAAGAAGAAAAAAGGAGTATAAAACGCCTTTAAATCAATATTTAATTGTAGTCTCGAGTTGTACTGTAACTTTTGAGGTTATAATAAGATGCAACATTCACCAAAGAGCAGATAGTGCGTACAACTTGAATATATCACATTGTTTGGAGGCTGAGTACGCTGAGCATTCTCGCACGTATTGCTCCCGGTAGACAAAACGCGGCAACGTAATTCACAGAGAAAGGAGAAACCGGAGTGCGAGTAAGAGAGGCTATCAAAGAACGACGAAGCAAGAAGGAGAAGGAACGAGGTCGTCGAAGAGAAGAATACAACGAGACGCTACACCATTGTGAGCTGGCTGTTACATCCAAGGTTACGAATAGCAGAGTGGTTGCATGTGTACACGTTGCAGGTACTGGACCAGATTTTATTGCGCGTCAGGAGTCACTGCGCGCCGATCCGGATTCTCTTGTCGTTTCTCTCCTTCCGTTCGTTTATACCCACGGCCAATCAGAATGAAGTACGAAGGATCTGGATATAAGACGTTAACTCCGAATAACCTAAAAATAATACTTTGTACAATAATTCGTCTTCCAATTTCTCTATAAACAACTATAACCGTGGACATACTGTTCACGCGACACAAATTTTTTACAGTATCCAAAGATTCGACTGGCGTGAAAACTGTTTTATTAGCAAGTGGAATTTAAATAATTCTACCCAGGCTCCGTACAGTCGTGACCTGCTCGCCAGGTACACAAAGTGAAATAAGTATCCTAGAATTCTGCGACGTGTTACCACTCCGTTCGAAGAATGCCGTTATCGCTTTCTACCTGCAGTAGAAAGGATTTTTTTCACTTGAATATCGAGAATCGAGAAAAAAATCTTTATCATGAATACGAATATTATTTTTATCGAGAGCTCAACAGCTCAAAGGGATTGAAGCGACGGTCTTCAACCTGGACGTTGACAATGCGTTCTAAATCGCACTGATATAGAAGAGAGTGCGAAAGATAACCTATACAATAATAGCTAAGCCTCAAGCCAATAGAGCGACCGTTCGCTACGATCTTATAAGAGAACTGCATAATGCTGTAGGCTTGGCGGAACTAGGAAGCGTGGGTTAGAGGGGTTACACGATCTATTAACATTTCTCTCTTGCTCTGTCACTCGAGTCCCGTCAGTCACTGTTTTCTCTCCAGATTCGCGTTAACACGCGAACACCATGAAAATGCCGGAAAATAGTATCTGATTTCTGTAAGCCTAAGCGAGGAATCTCCATTCGCACGTAATTTTCAGATAACGATCGAATTTAATTTACGAACCCACGCGAAACTGTATAATAGAGTTTCTCGTCTATCGAGTAATACGTAAGTATGTAGTTGATATCGACAATCTTATTAGGATCAATAAAGATTATGGGAATTGCAGGAACTGCGTGGCGCGACAAGCCTCGCTTTAATTAGATTCGCATCGTTGTCGATTAAACGGAAAGTTTAATGGGACAATTTCATTGGACGAATTTCGAGAAGATTTTATGGGTTCCTGAATTGTGGACGCAGCCTAAGTATCCGCAAAGGGTTTTCAATATTTCTTTTCTATTAGGCAAAATCTATTCTGTGTAAAACAGCTTTAAACTTTTGGATGAAATTTTTAAATAAGACGAAGAAGTGACGTCGCCCACTGACCGTTGGCACACATTGCACTGGCCATGACCTACCAAGTGGACGTGCAATGCTAAATGGACACCTTCTTACATTTACTCAAGCCGGAGACTCGCTCTAATAATCGTAATTTTCTTTGAATCGATTACAAAGGTTTTAACTAAGAAACAAGCTGCTTATACGCTAAACCATAAAGGTATCATGGGAACCCGACCGTTAATGTATACAACGGATATTAAACATACGTCTCTGGGAATCAGGATACAAATATGGACACGTCGCGATGGATTAATTATTACGCTTATTGAAGTTATATACGAGGACGTTGTTCATTGTGCTTTAAAAGATTAAGAAATTCTACGAGAACGTTGAATACTCATACTGACACTATGTAAAACTAATCGCTTTACAGTCCTAGAAACTATTATTATGTTTCTATGAGATGCAGATTCAATTATTTCTACAAGTACACAGTCTCCTTTTTCTGGCATTCGTCGAAAACAATAATCATAAATCTTCTATGCAATCCTAACCGAACGAATGAAACTTACGAGCAATCGTCTGTTAATTCGTTCCCAAGAAGAATCCTTGTCAGCATAACAACACGTGCCCTTCTCGTTCCGCCTTCGTTGCATCATGGTCGTATACCATCCTGGTCCTTCGAAGGATGCAGATCCTGACGCCGTGTGACTCGCGAATATGTAGAATCTCAAGTCAGTTACTATGTATCTTTCACAGTGAACAGACTGAAGGGTTGTGTCATCGATCCAGGTTCAGGAAGTCCTCTCCTGGGATTTCATTGTACTGTTGACCACGGGTACAGTTACGACCTACCGCATGTCATAGCTTGAAATATAAAGTACGTCTAAGTCATCGTTCATTATAACATAGTACAGTAACGACAATTGTCTGTCATATGTCCAATTAATACTATATCATTTATCAGAGAGCAGTCCTGATAAATCGTCTTGGTCATTAGGTCCACAGTCATCAACCAAACCATCAATCCCATTCAACGTACGACCGGCAAAACACCCAACGCACTCTCCAGCGATCGGCCATTAAAAATAGTCATTGGTAGATGGCCGAGCCGCAAGCTACACCGCTGCTACCCTCTGACGGTGAAATTCATAACAAAATACACGTTCACCCTCTGTCCCACGTAAATCCACAGGAAACGGAATTAACGTGGGCGTAAGTGGCGTTTTTAAGTCAGTGACGTCAATAGGAGCATCCAATGAGAAGGTGGATGCGCAACTGGACTTAGTAGAGTGGTAAGATGCGTAGGGTGGTTATTATTCTCGAACGGAGGAATAAAGATCAATTAACACTATCGATACCCGTGAGCCAAAAAATAATGAGATATTAGAAGCTGTCAGGCAATGATTAACGGGCGCGATGATCCTAGCAATAGAATTCTTCAGGGACGATTATGATCAAATACGAAACATGGAAAACGTCCAAAGATAGCGGTGTGCAGTTTTTATATTTCTTTTTGTTCCTATCTTTTTTTTTTCATATGGTTGTGCTCCTCTGTTGCTGAACGCTCTTCCGCCCATATGAACTTCCTCTGCGGTCGATACAATTTCACCTCGCAACTGGCGAACGCTATCGTCACTACCACCCACCGTTACGGCGTCCATCTACGTACATTACGTACACCATCCTACGCTCGAGGGTGGCGTGCAATAAGAGTGGATGTGCTACCCATCTGTCAAAACCACCTTCCATTATCAAACTCCTACGCAAGCACCTCCAGCGCCCTCTCGTCGTGGAGGAATGTACGAGAACTACTATTTCGAGGTAAATTTGTAACGGAATGGAATGTAACTTGTTATGAGGATCCTCTGGGTATGTTTGACATTTTATAGAGGATTTATCTCTTTGTATAATTGACTGTAGGGGTTGGTAACCTGTTATGAGGATCCTCTGGGTATGTTTGACATTTTATAGAGGATTTATCTCTTTGTATAATTGACTGTAGGGGTTGGTAACCTGTTATGAGGATCCTCTGGGTATGTTTGACATTTTATAGAGGATTTATCTCTTTGTATAATTGACTGTAGGGGTTGGTAACCTGTTATGAGGATCCTCTGGGTATGTTTGACATTTTATAGAGGATTTATCTCTTTGTATAATTGACTGTAGGGGTTGGTAACCTGTTATGAGGATCCTCTGGGTATGTTTGACATTTTATAGAGGATTTATCTCTTTGTATAATTGACTGTAGGGGTTGGTAACCTGTTATGAGGATCCTCTGGGTATGTTTGACATTTTATAGAGGATTTATCTTTTTGTATAATTGACTTTAGGGGTTGGCCATTGATAGTAACGAACGACAGGTAATCCTTTTAGGAAATACGAAGACAGGTACTGCGTCATGATTTGTGAATAGACTAGGGACGGACGAGAAGGAACAATAATGTCTTGGTCTGAGGTCGTGTAATTTTGAATAGTCTTGTATATTCATAAACTGAGTAATTCCGCGAAGTGTTATCAATGCTGTATAGCTCAAATCGTTTAATCACTTTCAAATTATTAGATGTAACTGATAGTGTACATTATTTTGTATAACTTTAGTCAACTGCTATTTTTTATATAATCATATGGGGTACAAGGATACTCGATCCGAATCTCTCCAATACATACACGTTCATAAATTACCATCTTGAAAATATTCACCGCGAATAATAAAATGCCGGGGTTAAAAATTTACTATCTATGACAGCTAGTATTCGTTAGTCGATAAAAATGTAAATCTAAGCTATGATCTAAGTCTATATATTTCACGATCGATGGATCTCGAAGGTATTTTAAGCGTCTGAAACGTCTCCCGAGTTGTCTGCTCTAAGCGTTTGTTGTCAAAGTTGTGTCTAAATATAAATTACAGGAAATAAGACGTGCCAAGAGCGCAGGTACTCAGATTCGATAGGACGAATAATTAATAGCGGGACGCTAGTATCCGGTGTCTTGCCGTTTTGCACCTATTCTGTAAAATCGTGTGCCGGTAGCGTCGTTAAAAATCGATGAGTTTCAGAACGTCGCGGCGCAGGTTGTTTGAAAGTCGGGATGGACGAGGAGTCGAATGCAGGAATTTAGTATGGCAACGCGAAAGAGGGAATAAGAAGCCGCCGTAGCAGCGAATGAGTCGATGAGAATGGTAGAGAGATTGTGCAGGGATAAGGGAGGAAAAATAGAATGGAGAGAAGGACCGAACATCATGCGGGAGGGAGAAAAGGATGTATAGAACAAAATGGCGGTTGTGTCAGCTACGCTGGCGCCATCTAACCACATTTTTCTAATCCCGCCATGAAGTAGTTTTCGTTTACCGGACAGACTTTCTTGGTGAGGTTAGCGGCCTTATTCTGCTTCAAGAAACCTATAGCTTGCTGTCTAATTATGTTTCAGTTTAGAAACTATAAGTCGATTTGGAAGTCTCTCGATTCTCTACTAAATGCATAAAGAATATTGTTTCATGTTTTCTGATTTATGAATGTCACCTCTCTTTGATATTTTGAGTACAATATGTTTGATTATAGAATATTATTTACAATACTGTAAAGTTTATATACATATTGACCTTGAAATGTAAATATTTATCAATATTGCAAACACATGTATATGTTTGGTTTTAATTACTTCACTAAATGTGTGTGTAAAGTCGTACATCTAAGAAAATTATCAATTTAAAATCTAGGATATTACTTCAATAAATTAATTATTGTAATATATGTAAGGGAAAGCATATACTATAATCGTATACTAGCAGATTATTAAATTTATAATGTTACAATAAAGAGACCATCTAGTTAATATATCATAATTTTCATAGTATTCCTGCATGTTTAACAGATTTCTTGTATGTAATAATAAAGAACCAAGTTATGACTTATGAAAGGCATGTGAAAAAGGAATGATTGTAATACTTTATCATCTGTAAATGATTCCTTAAGGTATAAAATCAAATGAAGGTAAACGTGTGTAGCGATAAGAAAAAGAATGAAGTCTAGGAGGCAGCATTGCCGATTACACATTTTAATACTCACAAAATCATTTAGGGCAGTATTTTATATCTTGTATAATGTCAATAGTTAAAATATCATATAAAGCGTCTAATAATTCATATTTCAATGATGTATTATCCTGTCGGTAGAATATATATATATAGTTTCTTTACTGGAACGTAAGTCAATGGTATATGAAAATACAAATGTTCTATAAAAATTGATACTGTTAGAGTTTCATGAAATGATATTAACTTATCAATTTGTTCTTAAGATTTTCGGAATACCATACTCAAATTATACAATAAAAATTTAATATGTATTCCTTTATTTCATAACAATATTATGATATATAACACACAAAAAAAAACTGGAAGATTTTATTGTATTATGAAGAATAACCACTTTCAAATAATAGAGGTTCATTGAAATGTGGGACAAGATGCAATTTCTAGAATACTACACATGTTACCATTATTTGACATTATTACATATCTGGAGATCTATACACATGGATTGTTAATAATTTTTAAAATATTTAATATATGATTTTGAAGTTTAGATAAAAGCTATTAGTCAATATAAGTTTAGCATCTAAAGTTGTGTGTGCCTGATGTGGTTGACCTGCCCTCACTCACCATTTTACCAGCCATTGCTACCACCACACAGAAATGTATATTGCAATTTATAACTATTCAGCAAATATTCATAGAACAAGAATAACGAAATTATTAGTAAGTGCTAATTCAATCTTTGATGTCCCATTTTTATGAAAACATTTTAGGGTTACTTGGTTAGGAACAGATTATTACCCCATTGAGCTCCGAATTACTTTTTACGCTGATGAAATATTAAAATATCGAAGAGATTATGATATTTCATTATCAAAGAACTGATTCTTTTAAGAAAATTGACAGCAAATAGTACTTTATACGTCACTAACTATAAATGCCGTATTGCCGAGCGTTACCGTATTGAAACATTTCACACGCAGTTTCAAATAATATATTATATGAAACTGTTACATTCAAGAATATCTAAAGATTATGTCTGATGAAAATGAAGAATAAAGCGTCTCTTACCTTAATATGACAGGAATACAGAAGCTCACTTCAAACTTAGATGTAAACACAGGCATTTTTTAATGGAACTGCCATCAGGGCAGCGTAAATAACTGACGTGAAAACACTCATTACATCGCGAAGAACGTTATTTCACTGTTTCAAATTTAATTACGTTATTAGATACCGCAATAAATACAAGAATTCACGATCTCTTCGGAAAACATCCATCGAAAACTAAAGATGGCAGCCATTCTTCTGTACAAAACAAAGGTTCACATCCACGGACTCCCAAGCAACAAAGCCTCCAACCCAGATGATTTCCGGCGCTAATATCGACCCGCGACTTTTAATCACATCCTGGTTTTTCTTAAAATACATCACCTCCAATCATCATCTAAAGTTTCTCAATAACATACAACTTAGTTAATTCATCTAAACACTATTTCTATTCATCACGTATGGTCTAACTACTCTAATCTCATTTTAAGTAAATATCTAATGCACGTAATCACCTACAGTCGGCGCAAAAATCGAATTATTCTACATCAAGTAGCCCCATCTGGAATGGCCAGCAAGAAGATCCATTCACTGCCAACTTCGGATCATGTGAAATAACCTTTTGCGGATCTGCCATAATTTAAAGATTTGTGTTCCCCTGAAAACGTTATCCAATTACATTTCCTATTCAGATGAATTGAAAATATCGATCATCCAGTTGCCTTGTCAGTGAAGGTCGTTAATTAGAAGAAATAATCTTTCCGCGTAAGGTCAGCATTCAAATGTTTTAAGCAGCTCTGATAACGTTGGTACCATGTATTGCGGTGCAACTTCGCACAATACGATATCACTGTGATCGACTGTTGCTTGGGTTATTGATTTATGCGTACATATACATTTGTATACGGTTAATAAAAGCAGGAGTTGTATGATACGCATCAATGTGTAACTATAATTAGAGGACAAGTACGGTGCAGCAGATCGAATTGAGGTGTATTTATGATGCTAATAGCATATAATAGCGAATCGAGAGTTCTCTACACCCTTTTTTACGGCGATAGCCGTTCGTAACAAATAAAACAACCTTTCAGCGAAGTTCGCCGTGGAGAATGCCGCCAGATAAGAAAAAACAATCGAGTGGAAAACCTTGAACCCAAAAACGAGTGCTGAAAATAAACTCGGCATCGTGAATCGTTTCTGCAATCCGCACGTGCGTAAACGGTCTCCGGCAAATGCTAATGAGAAAAATGCTGTTAAATAATTAGCGCTATAATTGAAGTGCTGCGTAATTGCAGTTTACTTCTTCAGAACTTGCATGAATCATTATGAAATTTTTCGAAAATTTATTCATCTATTGAGACTGTGATCGCTACGTGAATAAAAAGTATATATATATAAAATTTAACGGTGACAGATGATGCATTTCTATTTATTTTATTTTCAGCAAACAGATATGGCTGACACAGATCCACAACTTAAAAGACTTTTATTACCTGCTGAGGAATCATTATTTGAACAATTATTAAGGATTGGCCTTTATATTGGAGCAGTCTTCCAAGTTGTTTGTTTATTGGCAATTGTGGTCTATCAAGCAGGTCCCTCTGATGGGGTTGCAGCTTTGAAGGTACAGAAATGTAATATGCAATTTTGTAGTTATTATTAATATATGTTGATAATTGGATATTACTTAAATTTTTGTTTATTCAGGATGATCCCAGTGACGTTGAATGTTCAGAGAATAGTCCACAAGTAACTCCAAGAAGGCCACACAGACCTAGAAAACAAGAAAAGAAAAAGAGACGTTAATGACGTCTTTTTTTATATCAACAACATTCCATTTCATATACTCATCATCCTCAAGTTACTCATAATTTATTATTTATTATACAAATTTGTATTGATATTATGTTAATAAATCGCTTTTACTAGAGTCAAATGAACCGATAAATGTATGTCCTGCACTATATAAAATGGAAGTTTTTAGTATTTATTATAATTACTGATAATGTGTATAGTGATGTGTGTTTTGTTTAGCTAATATAAATTATATAATCGAAAATATTAACTTTAAAGTAAGTAAAAGCGGGATATTACTAATTGTATTCATTATATCAGAGATGATATAATGAATCTCATAATATCATCTCTGATTATATTGTCCTATTTTTACACAACAATTTGTACTTGAAATTGAATTCAATTGGTTTGAATATGTTCAGTGCCACTGCAATGGCGCTTTTATGAACACCCATCTTTTCAGAATAAAGGTACTGTTTAGTAACCTAAAAAAAATATAGAAAGGAAACATCATAAAAACAACGCGAATATTTCATGTATTATGTAGTATTTGATTACAATCGCCTTAAACAATTATAACAATAATTGGGAACAATTCGAGAATGCCGCTTTGTAAAGAAGAATTATCGCATCATGATATTTCGGTGGAGGTTAGAACATTTATTGCTGGAGCAGCAAGATTTAATCAGAGTACAAATACTATCGACTTGGCAAGAACAGCTTTGTCTTTACTGAAAAATGTTCCTGCTACAAGAGAGGCAGTGCTCGAATATTTTTGCTCTGTTTTCTATGCAGCTGTTAGGAAACATGTTCGTCAAATTGAGGTAAGTGTTTAATAGGGTATTTTAGTTTGGTCTTAAAATTCAATAATATATTTTTACAGTCTAATAAAAGTCCACCAGTAAATGAAGAATCGATTATTGCTGAAATCCATGCTGTACTCAGTAGTTTCATAAATGGGAATCCAGAAGCTTGGGCACCAATAATATCAGCATGGTCTTTGGAATTATTAGGTATCCACTATTATTTTAGAGTTAATCAGTATCTCATTTTAACGATGGTTTTATATGAATGTGTTACATTGTAGGTAAATTGTCATCTGATTATGCAACTCGTGGTAACTTGACAGTGAATGCAGGAATAAATGAATTCCTTCAGCAATGGATGTCTTGTCGCGCAACACGCACTCTCATTGACATAACAGCACAATGCCTTCAGTGCCTAATGCATTCAGATACTGAATCCTGTATAAAAGCATTATTAGACACAAGTGTTTTGCACAGTCCTCACTTCGATTGGGTAGTTGCTCATGTTGGGAGCTGTTTTCCAAATACAGTCATTACAAGAGTTTTGTCTTGTGGCTTGAAGGATTTTTGTGCTATGGGATATGAGCACAATGTTCAAAATCCAAAATTAAACTCAGTCGTTGGAATACTTGGCCACTTGGCAGGAAGTCACTTTTACGATATAAGGACTGCACTAATTGATTTGTTCAACGTGAGTTGCTTTAAAATTCAATCCGTTTTGATGATGTATCTACAACATTGTATTTCAAATGTCAGTGTATTGTCATTTACGTCACAGTGGAGTCTAGATGAAAATCTCAATGCTGACGAAGATACAAAGAAACAGAAGATATCAACTGTACCATTTCTACTGAATTTAGCTTCGTTATCTCAAACATTACTAAAGGCCATAACTAGTAATGTTCTGCAGACTTGTAAGTGTATGACATCAAGCGATTTTCTGTAAAATGCTTTTCACACAACAAAATTCTATATTTTATTCTTTCAGTAAGACCAGACATTATACCTCAGCTAGCTTTGTTTGCTACAGAATGGTGTAAATACTTTGATAATCGACCAGAAGCTTTGATAGACTTGGCAGTTCATCTAGCTCTCGGATGTGAACAGGGTGCCTCTCAAATAATAAATATTTTGTTAGATACCAGCTTAAGCACAAGTAATGTAGGATATCATAGTGTTAATGCTGCCCAAAGTGTGAAAAACGTTTGTCGAGAAATACTCGAATTGATCCTACAAGAGATTGATCTACTAATGAGAAGTCAGGGTTCGCAATCAACTAATATTGCACTTTTGAGTTCTATAAAGCAGGATATTCCTTTAGTCATACCTCTGCTTCTAAATCCGCATCCACTACGTGTACAAACTACTGTGAGATTATTAGCCCTGCTTGGAGCACAAAGTCCAAACGTGATAATATCTTCAGCATCCTTTATGCTGAAAAAGGCACAAACAAATTTCCATTTAGCCGCATTAATACGACTTGTCGCTCATAATGTTATTACGTTTTCTGCTAATAAATCTGAAGTTGAAAGTCCTATTGTGGGTCATGGCTACTTCACCCAAGTAGTGGAGCAAGCAATTCGTGAAATTCAATATATGTCTTCGATGGAGAATGAAGATGGCAGACAAATTTTTAAAAATCTCGCAATATTGTTAAAGTACGTTATCCATGGTTTTTATAAAATGAATAACACGCAAAAAACCAAACATGATGTTAGTTATTCTTTTCAGATGGGAGAATTCTAACAAGGCGTCTATACTGAGAACAAGAATAATAACAAGAGCAATTAGGTCAAACTTACAACAGATTTCCAATTTGTTAATGAAGACGGATGATTTTGAATTGGCCAATGATATTGCTAAAATGTTAGATCTCCTAAGTGCACCTGATAAAGATCATTACATCCCCAGTATCGAACTTACCTTGAAGTTAACAAGAGCTATTGTGCGATACTTCTTTATATGCATTGAAGATAATGGTAAGAATAAGGTTACTATTAAGTCACAGAAAGTATTTGATAACTATCAACTAATACATTTTTCCAACATCTATAGATATTATCAAGAAGGAACGTGGTGTAAAGATAGTTTGTCGATTTCTTCGCGTTCTGACTCGTTATTCTCCATGTGCGCGTGTATTAGCTTTGAGGGAATTATTAAGAAATAGTATTTATAATGACCCAGCCAAATACTTTGGTGGAAAAGAGAAATTTGAACCTAAGATAGAAGATATGTTACTTTTACATCAGAATCACAAACAGGTATGAAAACTATCGCAAAATCTACATTACAGTAAATCTATATTCCCAATGTTCTTTAAAGGGTACAAGTGTTATGTTAGCACAGAGACATTCATCAGTATTTCATGCTGGAGTCATAGGTCAAGGACCCAGAAAGCCACCTCCAGACAATACACTTGACAAAGAAACTATAACATTGAACAGCATGCTTTTAATGGACGTAATTAAGGTAAATCTCTTAGCACTCACGAATTCACATAAAATTCCTAATTCTATAATCTATTACCCTGTATCACAGGCTTGCTGTAGTACACCAGAATTAGAACAGTATCCTGTCAACTTAGATGCTTTGACAATGGTCAGTTTACTATTAGTAGAACTAGTATCTCCAGACGTTATGTATAATGGATTACCATGGCCAGAGGAAGAATTTACAAAGGTAACTATTTCTAGTTGTTATGCTGTTAATGTTTGTTTTTTAAGATAAATAATAATTAAATAATCCATAGGTCACTGTAGAAAGAGATTTGCAGATTAGACGAACATTTAAGGACGTTCCTCTACTTTGGACATTATTGGAGCTAACTGCTCGATACAGACCTGCATTGGTATATTGTTCAGTTTTGTTAAGAGCAATTGCTGCAACGGTCATGGCTAATTGGAATGTTACTGATGGTATGTCATTAGCTAACGTGATGGCACTTGGACAGTTATTACCACCACCACTCGCTAGCATAAGAGATATTTTACCTGTTCTAGATCAACATCAGGTACTTGTTCACTGTACATTAATTTCTTATATGTTCTAATTTATTTATAATGTATGATGTATGTGACTGCATTCTTTTAGATTAACACTGTAATGAGAGAATGCGTATGGGCATATATGCATGAGAACGTGCCATCGCCAGCATTATTTACTCGCAATGAGGGTACCAATGTAGCTTGGCGCGATACAGACACCTCAGTTCCTAACATTCGTTTCACGGAGACTCTACGTCTCGTATTTTTATCAAATATTAATAATTTGGGTGCTCTTTATTCGACGCTTTTCTATACTGAACATAAGTGAGATATTCTTGGATGTAGAGAACGTCAGTGTAAAATAAATTTCTCAATTTGCATTGGATTTGATTCAATCGATGACTTTACGTATTTATTTAGTTGAGGAGCCTTCATATTTTTATAAATATATTTGTATATACACGATTATTGGGTTGTAATTGCGATTTTAAATAAGTAATGTTATATTAACCATATTTTGATCCTTTGGAAAATTTTTATTTTGCGGTGAAACATGAACTGTAAGTGTATCTAGAAAAAAGCAATGTAAGCTGCATTTTGCTATAGGGAAAGTTACATTTTTAAAATGTTTTTCATTCAATTCCAACTGTTTAAATAGGATTGAACAGGCATTATTGACTTAAAAAATTATACTGAAACAATTGATCGTTTAATCAAAAGTAAATTTTTTAGACATTTTTAAAAACTAAAAGTAACATAATCCATAACGAGTTACGTTTTATACAGCCTAAAAGATAACTGTGGATTATACATACTTCAATAATAAGTACTATAAGTGTAAGTAAAAGAATATACATTGATGATTGTACACCAAAGAATTTTCGGATATCAGAAAAAAAGAAAGACACAAGAGGTAATTTTCATTTTTTAGGCAAGATCGCATGGAATATGTGAAATTACATACATACTTTTGTAATTACGAAGAGCAGTAATAATGTATTTAAATAACTGTATGTACGCGTGAATCAATCAAATTGAACATTGATGATCAACTTTGTTTAGTATTCCTGATTTGAAATGACGCATGTGCAAAATCGATTCATCTTTTATGACATCAAAGTATATAAGTTGTAACCGCGTAGTCCATGCGTTTGTACCTTAAGGCAAACTTATTTGCCCTCATATTTATTATACAAAGACGTTCTCCTAAATACAAGAAAGAAATAATTATTTACTTTGTATTATCAATAATAATACGGGAATGAAGGTTCCTAAGATGAGCGAACACCGTTCTAATCAGTCGCTGTACGAATACCCTAGGTGGGCGCCTCGTCCTGTCCGAAATGATTAAAATGATTACATTGCGAGCAATGATTTACATTGATATAAAGATCAAGTGATTTCATTGATTTACACCGAATCTTTCACGATGTTCTGTATGTTATTCAGGATCTCAGACCGTTATAAAAAATTCATTACCTTTAACAGTTTTTACTATATGTATGAAACCTGTCACTTGAACAATATATTACTGTATGTAAACGTTAACAATTATCCAATTATTCATGCATTTGGGAATTATTTTTTAACGTACATCGTCAACAAAGTGTTATACTAGAACATACAGGAGCATGTTCAGAAACTTCAGTAAGTATAGCTGATAAAGAAAGATGCAACGTGCTAAAATTATCCGGAGTAAGGTTTCTGAACGCACCCCAGTTGGTGAATTCTTCCTAGGATAAAATCTTCATAATCTTATGGAATGGCGTTTATATAACATAGAAACCTAAACCCATCGATAAGCGGCTTCTTGCAAAAGAAAATGTAAGAAGTAAGAAGTAACACATACGGCTTCATCCAGCTTGAGCAAGATCCAATCAAATACGGATTTTTCATCATTTATAAACTGTGTTACTTGTTACGTCTTATGTTTCCATATGTGTGGAGCCCATCAATAGTATCAAAACTGAAATAAAGTAATGAAACAACCATCTACGTATCAAAGATATACATAGGTAGAAGTGTCTCCGGTTTCCAACGCTGGAGTGAACTCAACGCTTCATGGCATAGTACACCATATGGAATTTTAACTCATCTTTGTGAGGACACCTTGATAAAATTGGTTAATAATTTTTAAGTGTTACGAGGAAGTACAGTAACTCGTGGATGGAGAACTTGGATCCTTAAGGAAGACCAGAATTACTAGTTGTGCAAATACTAATGTGACTGAGGCTCTCAGCAATGGGAATACCAGTGAATCAATAAGACAAGACTGAAGGCCCATAGGTTTAGTACAAACAAGACCACCCACAAATTACTGATAAAAAACTAACTTGTTGGTTTTTTTTTCAACAGATTAGTAGGTATCAAGGGTCTCGAAGAAGGGATGTAAAGTTTGTAATAATCTTGAGTGTCAATATTTCTTTGAAATTACTGAATCAATCTTTGTTACCTTTGTACATGTCCTATATGTATAATCCAGTATAACTGGGATTTAGTTACAAAAAAAAGAAGCAGACAAAAACCTTGTTTTAAATTAAGAGAAATTGGTATACATCACCATAATGATAATAATATAATTTACAAGGTTTTTTCTGCGTAAAAAAAAGATGTGTAACTCTAAGAAATACAAATTTTAGTATGCAAGACCTGGAATCATTTCTACTCTTGATTGATGCAGCTTTTACTATTCTTTTTTTTTAATTGTTCTTTTAAACGTTTTTCATTGATCCAACAACTTTTGTCAATAAATTCTATTTGATGTGTACCATAGAATTTATCAATTTTATACATACAGTAATGTGTATCCTATTGGTAATTTGGTACAATAGCACGAATTCAGGATACAGTAGTAAAAAATATGAATTTCTCAAACGCACTCTGATATTTGGCTATGCCTAGTGAAGTTCATTTGGTAGATGATACCACTAGACAATCCAAATATGAATATGTTTATTCATCCTTCATAACCACGCAGGCCCTCACTCACACTTGCTTAACTGTCGCGCAACTAACATAGCCGACAGTGCCGGCTAGACTTGTTTTATAATAAATTATGCAGTTCGTGAGTATAAAAAAAATTCACTTTCAAAATCTAAGCATCCTGTGCTTAGAAAAGTAGTGTGCTCATGCCACCCATTTCACTTTGCTCTTTGACGAAGATTTCGAAGTACTGATAGATAATTGTCACAGCTAGTAAGATACCAGTACCGGATCCAATTGCGCCCAGGAAGTCAGCTAGTACAGACAAAGCTCCGATGCAAAGACCACCAAAGGCTGCAGCTGTGGGTATGTACCGATTTAATTCACGAATCATGGAGTTATCTCGATGACCTCTCATCACCATTTGTTGCTCCTTCAATTGTTTGGCTACCTGTAAGCCAAGGAAGATAAAAATAATTATCATATTTTATAATGCACCGAGTTTCAATGATCAAGAGCAACAGATAAAATAGTAAATGAACTTACGTCCTTGGCAGAGCTTCCAGAAACTTCGATCCAGGTCTTTGAGAAGAAAGCACACGATCCCAGCATAAACAAAATATAAAGGAAGGCATGTACGGGATCTTGCAGGATATGTCCGACAGATTCGGGTGGCGATAGGTAGTAGCAGAGTCCGCCAACTGGATAGGAACGTGCTGGACCGCCACCACCGACATCAGACCATACGCCAAGTAAATTGACAATAAGATTTCCCTGGAATTTGACAGCCAACATCTGCGAGATGACGTATAAGTTCGAGACGAGAGCAGATTGTAAGATGATGGGGATGTTGCTCGTGTAAAAGAGCTTGATAGGGTAGCTGCTGTATTGACCACGGTACCTCGCAGATTTGATTGGTAAGTCGACGCGGAAGCCCTGTAAATGGAAGTACAAATACTTTTAAATAATTTATCGATTTCTCTTTGTTTTATTGAAAATATTTATGCATTCCTATAAATTAAAAATGTAATGTTGCAATGATCTGTTTTAAAGAGCTTATGTGAAGTCTCTTTAATCCAGAATAAATGCATTTGCTTTCCTTCCATTCGCAGCCAACCCCATTGGTGCGAATCAATGGAGCGGTAAGAGTTTGGAAGGTAGTGCTCAATTTTTGTGAAGAAATTTCAACTTACCTGGAAGTATATTACTATGGCAAAGACGAGAATGGTGGCAAGTAGATTCATAAGGTTGGGCAGGTTCTGCCGGTAGAAGGCCTCACGAAGAGCGCGAACCTTATCCTGTCTTGTAGCTAACAGATGGAACAATGCAATTACGGCACCCTCAAATTCAGTACCCCGTCCTGTAATAAAAAATAAAGATATGAACTTAAGAATGTGTTATGCTGAAAATTTCTGAATGGTATGTAAAAATAAGGTGAACGTTACACAGTATTATAAAACAGGATTTTCATATTGAACTTACCAGTATTTACAGTAGCTGGAGAGAAGGCCTTCCAAACTATTGTTTCACAAATATTAGTAGCAATGAAGAGTGAGATACCACTGCCAAGACCATATCCTTTCTGAAGCAACTCATCTAGAAGAAGTACGATCAAACCAGCAACAAAAAGTTGGATAATGATCAGCAGACAAACTCCAGCACCAATTTCTGCAGGATCTCCATACATTCCAGTCATCACGTAGACAATCGCTTGACCAACAGTGATTACCATGCCAAAAACTGTTGGTAAATTAAAAAAATTAGTTGAAGTTGGCGAGCAAACAAAATATTATTGTAGATCTTCACAAAAATTGTAAATATAAACAAAGATGTACTCTACTTACGCTTTTGAGCTCCATTGAATAATGCTCTGTCTTTTGGTGTGTCACCAACTTCAATGATTTTGGCACCAGCCAAAAGCTGCATGATCAGTCCAGATGTTACAATGGGCGAAATACCCAACTCCATTAAAGTTCCTCTGTTGGAGGCAAGGATCACACGGATCCAATAGAAGGGATCTGCACTGTCCGAGGACATAATGCCGAATAGTGGAATCTAGAAAGAACATGACAGCTACTTTATTGCAAGAATTTTAGGTGACTATATTCATTTATTGAACAGATGGATATCAATGAAGGCTTAAGAATACCTTGAAATCTATATGACATACCTGACAGCATACTAAGAAAATGAAGAGTGTGATTGCTGTCCATAATACTTTTTCCCTGAATTGAATCTGAAATAAGGAAAAGAATTATGACCATACATGTTTTTCTCATATACTTTCTCTAAATTAATAATAGTCACACAGAACCAATATGAAATTAAACATAGAAACAGCTGGTAGGAGAAAGTATCTCATCCACTGATATTAAACACCAGAAAATAAAAGAAACACAATCAAACCTACCACGAAATACGGTAAAAATAACGGTTTACTCAAAATGAGGACAGGAATAGTCGAGGCAAACTCACCTTTCGTTCAGGCTTCGCTATTTCCGGAAGTATACCGCAAAACGGCTTTATCACCTCCAGAAATTTGACTAAGAAATAAATAAAACATTTATCAATAAATTCCGGCAGTCTCTTTTAAGAAACACGAAACTAAAAGCATGCAATATGTTTTACTATTTCGACAATACGTGAGGCGTTGATAAGAGGTTACTAACTTTGAAATTATGGTATAGCAATGAATTAAATTTGGCACATTTTTACAAGATTCTGAAAGAATACTCACTTCCCATGATGATTTTAATAAATCAATATCTTATATACTAAATTCACGACGTCTTTCACTGTATAAACAAGACAACTCTAGAGCTTGGACACTACCAAAGTGAGAATACGATGAGAGGTAGCCAAGCACTCCGCTGGCAAATGGCAGCAAGTCGTGGCTCTTGTCGCCGACACGTATCAATACGCCGCGATCACGTGACTTGATGATGTTGGCCGGCTATGCTTACAAAAATCACAGTAGATAGCGCTGTCGGCAGCGCATCCGTTTTTCATAGAAAACATTTGTGCGCCTGAAATCAGCAACCGTTTATACGCACGTGCTACAAAGTATAAATGGTTGCATAGCTACAGCAAAATTATACGAAATGTATGTATGTATGTATATTCCTCGATCATTATACATTAATCCCTACTCTAGCGCCGAAAAAGCTAATGAAGAGCACAACGACCTTGAGTTTTGCGCAAATGGATATGATATTAATTGCCAGCTTGAAGTGCCTATGCAAACAGTTGAATTACTTTTTAGCAAACCTGACCATGCTATCGAACAGTGAATTGATGCAGCTTTCAATAATATTATAATAATATGGTACTTTTCTTTACGACGTATGTAAGTCATGATTGTACATATTCGTATAACTGCCCGTGGTAACAGTAATTTTTAAAAATAGTTGTAATCGTTCAAATAAGGTTATATCCAATAAAGAACATCGTTAACGCATTGCAGGGATATAATTATAATTTACAACATCGAAGGCATAATATTACGTGATAAATGATCAATGTTGCTTACTCAATATCAAAATAGTGATATCATTACAATATTTCTTCGACGAGATTTCTATTTGTTATATATCTATGATTTCTAATATATTCAGAAAGTTATATTATATGAAACGTGAACTCCACGAAATAGTGAGATGCAACAACTGGTGCGATCATGTGTGACTATGCTTTTACCAGTGTCAAACGAGAATTGAAACAGTACATTGGTATAAATCTCCCACTATTAAAACAGGTGTATTTCGGCAAAAAATTTGTGTTAAAACAAATTGTCTCCCAATGTAAAGTAATTGACGTACAAGTAGTACATTAATTTAATTTATTTATGATACGCAGACAACCGAATAAATAAAATTTACTACAAACTTAGTGTCTACATTACAATGTATTCATTATGATTATCTACATTTGTTAATAATTCACAAGGTATATTTTAAATTGTCATCAGAACTCCTAAAATCGGGTCAAAAGTTTTCTTAGTACATTTTAAATGCATTCACAGCAAAACATGAACATCTAAGCCTTTCACTGCAAATATAGAGCAAGCTTTGGGCTCTTCTAATCTATGAGTTGCATTTAGTTTTATTCTTGACGTCGTAACGTAGAGAAGGTCCAATATAGGACCATCAAATATGACACTAGTTACTCCCTCGGCAGGAAGTTCTATGGATCTCAGTGACTTCTCTGTCCTTGCATTGACATTGATTAACTAAAAATTAATCCAACTTAAATAGTCACTAAGAATCACTATCAGATATAGAGTATTATCTGGTTTAATGTTCCAATACAAGTGAATATATAAGATCATATATAAATCTGACTTATTTTTTTCTGTAACAGTGAAAAGTTCATCGACTTTTACCAGATCAAAGTTCATCCTCACTCATTCATAAACAATATAAAGATAGTATGTACTATGTTACTTACTTCAGTGTTTATTTACACTGTCCGTGAAAACTACCGAGGATGAAAGCAGTACGAATACAAGGTTTCTTGTTGCCATAGTTACTATGTTCGTAGTCAGTTAATCAGTTCTGTAACAGGGAACGTACTAAGCTCGACGAGGAAGAAGTGCGGAAGTTTAAAATCAGAGCAAGATTATACCACATATATATTCCTCGATCATTATACATTAATCTCTCCTCGAGCACCGACAAAGTTACTGAAAAGCACATCGACCTTGAGTTTTACGCAAACGGATATGATGTTAATGGCCAATTTTGGTTTTTCTTTGCTTACCGTTAGCACCCAAGTTCAACAAATACGATATTACATGTAACGTACATGTTGGCTGTAATTTCGTATTCCCGTGCATAAGGACAATGTCACAGAACTGTTAACGGAGCTGTATAAAAATTTGTTAGCAATACATTATTTTGAAAAATTTACGTGACCTGAAATAAAAATTCGTCAATACTTATGAACTTGTAATATTTGAATTATTATATAATGAGAGGGTATTTATTTATAATAATTCATACGTGCGTTGCTAAGCGGGTTGTGTCAGGTGGCTAATGTCCTCAGTAGGTACGAAAAATCAGCTTGAAATTGGCATAGAAATTTTTAACGTGGTTGAACAGCTGGAAAAAATTAAATGCTTCGTTTAAGACACAGAAGACACGTGTTGCTACGCAGAAATATTTTCTCGATGAAATAGTAAAATGCATACTAAAGGAATGAAGTGTTCCTGGAGTACATTTAGCTATCGACATATTAGACATATACATTGTTACTATCGAAAAAATCGAATCTGCTGAAATATGCAAGAGGCCTACATACAGGGTTATTCAGCTCAAACGCGTCACTTGAAGTGACCGCGCTGATTTGATCCTTACGGTAGAACCTGCATGTCCAGATGTTGCTTTTAGGCTGAATAACCGGGTATACATATATGTAGCATTATATGCTGCCGAGGGGAAAAACACTTTAGAAACGTGTAATGTTAGGCTAGTTAAACGTCGAATGTTAATGAAAATGAGAATCGCAAGATAGTGTAAAATTTATTGTTTTACATATTTTTTCACATTTGCATAAGATCGAACTGCGAACTCGTTAAAGCAGAAAATGCACTTTATGTCCAAGTACAGATATACACTTCATGGAAAGTCGTTTTTTTCAAACTTTTATCTATATGCCTACGATATACTACAATCCAATACTCAACCAACACTTACGCCAATTTTCATATGCAAATCGGCCCAAATTTACTTTATCGCATTAGTGCGAGAAGAATGCACTAGTACGATATTTGCAAAAGTGGGCCGATTTGCGCATGCGCAGCATTTTTATCGCATCCTTGATTATAACGCGCCATTTACGCCACACTTTGGAGGCATGAAAAATAACGCTTTTCATGCATGAGTTACATAAAATATATTTAAGACTGTATTATCATAAAATCTTTTAAAAATAACATATAAAAGCATCATCTGGACATGTAGGTTCTACCGTAAGGAACAAATCGGTGCGATCCTTTCAAGCGAAGCGTTTGGGCTGAATAACCCTGTATATAGGCCTCTTGCATATTTCAGCAGATTCAATTTTTTCGATAGTAACAATGTATATGTCTAATATGTCGATAGCTAAATGTACTCTAGGAACACTTAATTCCTTTAGTACGCATGTTACTAATGCATCGAGAAAATATTGTTGTATGACAGCACCCGTGTTTTCTGTGTCTTAAACGGAGCGTTCAAGTTTTTCTGGCGTCATCTGTATGGTATCCAGCTTGTGGACGCAGTACGATGAGGTAAGAGAGGAATTTGGTGAGTGACTGTTAAGGTAACTCGATTGTACGCGTAACGCAGAGAGCACTATGGTGCAAGCAAGACGCTAAACCCTCGTTCACTGTATCTTTTTCACACAGTAAAAGTGCGAGCGAGACGGGAGTATGGCCCTGGATCATACTCGCGAACTTGATGGGGCAGCGTTTCCTCTGCTCGCTGAGAACTGTAGATGTTCGGATACCCACTGTTTCTCTTTTACGCACGAAGCTAGCTATGCCTGGACGATAGCAAGAGATTAGCGTTCGTCCCGATTCTATACTTTTTAATATAAATAATGCGAAATTTGAATAAGGCGGAAAATAGTACATTACGATATAAGTGTGAGAATTACGTACTTCGTATTATACTATTTTGTCACCAGGTTCTACACGACGAATTATATTTCCGGATTACTTGGAGAAAGCGGTTTACGAGAATTTCATGTAGTGACACTCATTTCTAGACTACACTCGTGGTAAGATTGTGCTAGCGAAAAGGAAGTTAGATTAGGTACGTAAATAAGACACGGGGTTCTCGTTACGCATTCGTATAACGCTTTCGTGAAAACAGGAATTGAAACATGGAACTGGACAGCGGTTGAGTTCAGATAAGGACCGAGCGGACTGAGGTTTGACTGTATAATAAACAGATACGTTCTCATTATAATTGCACACATAGAAGTTGATAAATCTTTTATTAATTTTTTACCAGATCCTATAAACTTCTCAAAATGATTCATTACTAACTATTATTTTGTTCAAGTATTTTGCTAGCACATTTGCAACCAAAATTTTTAATAATAACGGCGCAGAAGAATCTACTTCGTTTGCTGTAATTATTTCTACTTTCATTTCTTTCTGCTCTTATTTCTAAATTTAAAACACATTCTCGGCGAACCTTTGCTACGGAGTAAGTCAATCATTTTATATAGACACGTTGAATAATCTAAGAAAGTACTCTTTACTGGTATAGTATTTTCCCAGCAAATACAATATTTCATGTTTCGCACACGTTAGTTAAAATATCACCCTCACTTATGTAACATCAATGAACCAGTTTACGTTGAATGAATAAGGGTGATGTTATAACTAACACGTGTCACATGTAATATTATGTTTTTTTGGGTTTTGAATATTATTGATCTTCGCAGGAAAACCAAAGTTAAACATTAACATCATATCTGTTTGAGCAAATCTCAAGATCAATACATACACTATTCTTCTGTAACCATTTCGGACCTTAAGTAGGGGGTTAATATATAAGGCTGAGAGATATATAAGTCCTAGAATCTTGAGCCGATTATTCACTTCGTGGTTTTTCCTCGCCGAGCTACGATCATTTGCTGCTAAGTAATTGATTCACTGGCTAGAAGTGTACTTGCAATGGCGATAAGAAACCTTCGAGTATTCGCGTTACTTATGGTAGCCATCCTCGGTAGTGTTCACGGACTGTAAGTCAACAGTGGAGTAACATTTTATAGTATAATTATTTACGATCGAATTGGTATAACTGAATGTTTACATACTATCTTTATATTACAAGTCAACTTTTCACTGTTACATAAAAAAGGAAGTCAAATTTATAGAAAATTTTATATATCCACTTGCGATTTGACATACGCATTTGGTTCACAGAATGCACTGTTATTAATTTGGTGAAAGACATACTGACTGTGAGTTGAGTTGAAATCGTTGAGTGATTGTAGGAGTTCTCCTTGGTTACGTGGCAACTTTCATTCATAAAGCATCCTTTTACGTTAGCTGTCTGGAATGAGTGCAAGGATAAAGAATTTTGATTAAAATGAAAATTTTATTATTTAATTAAGGGACGTTTTTTGAATTGTTATCATCCCTTAACCAACGAGCTGGAAAAACTTACGTTTTCAACGAGATACCTCTCACTGGCTTTTAACAACAAAATTGATACGAACACTTCGAACAGGAATGGTCGCGCGATTCTGTTCTTTATTTGAAAAGCATTGGCCTCGGGTGTCTCGAACATTCCACGCGTCTGTTTATAAGATAACAGAAAAATAAAAAAAATATAACATATTTCAGTACAAAATCAGACATGTGCATACCTAGTAGAGTAAATAGAAAATAAACACTTGTACAACTAAAATAATCAAGGTTTGGAACATCATATTTTATTATCCTTTTGAACGTATATCGGCATATGGCTGTGAAAAGCATCTTTGGTATTATTGTATATAGCTTGATGAATGATAGAACTATGATTTCAGAAAAGGAAAAAGGCAAACGAAATATATTGTCAACCAAGTGACAGAACCAGTACAACATGCTGAAGGTCCTCATTGGGATTATCGTTCTGAGACACTCTTCTTCGTAGATATACATGAACAAAAAATATACAGATTGAATTCACGTGCTAAAAGCTTGACTTATACTTATATAGGTAATGTTTTTAACTCTAGACTTAAGTCCGTATTCACAACTCGCTCTTAAAGTCACTAACAGAGTGGCTTGTAGTTAAAAGTCACTAAGAAAAAATTTAAAAGCGCGCTATTAGCACTAAAAGCGAGTTCTGAATACGGGCTTTAGAATACAAGGATAGGAACCTCCATGATACTGTACAAAAATTACCCGAATGACAGTTAATATGGTCGTAATGAGTGATAACGAATAAATGTATCCTAGCAAATGGACCAGTTGGCGTAGCAATTCCTGTAGAGGATTCTCCCGATCAGTTGGTAGCTGGAGCTGGTACAGATTTCGTTTTAGTCACATGGGATGCAACTAATAACGATACAAATCCAACAATAAATGTATTAACCAAAGTCGATACTGACCGTACTGATACTCGATGGAATGATGGTAAAGTAGATTCATCAGGACGATTCTGGGGAGGTAAAGTAGATTGGTTTATGTTAATAATAATTCTAAAATTGTATGTAAAGCATAATTGAATAATTAATCTGTTGCATTTGATATTTAGGCACCATGGGTCCCGAAATTAATGGAGTGATAACTCTTAATCGTGGATCATTATATCGTATCACGAATGAACTTAAACCGGAAAAAATGGTGTCCCCAGTCAGCATAAGTAATGGTGAAGCCTGGAACATTCAGGATAATAAATTTTATTATATAGATTCGCCAACCCGTCAAATTGTCTCTTACAGCTTTGATTCTTATAAAGGAATTATTTGTAAGGAATGTTTGATTCTGCAGAATTATTGTTATCATTATATTATGATGGTTCTTATGTACAATTTATTTCATGAGTCTTGAGAACATTACTTTATTTCCAGCTAATAAGACAATCGCTTTTGATCTAAAATCCAATAACATAATTGGTACTCCTGATGGTATGACTATTGATGTTAATGGTAATCTTTGGGTGGCACTGTATGGTGGTAATCATGTAAGTTCAATTAAATATTCATTATATATATTGGATGGCATATCAAGTATCGTTTTAGAGATAGATTCTAAACCAGATAGTTATTTTGCATACCTGATAACGACTATTAACGACTATTAAAGTTGTATTAATTAGCAACAATTGGGTTCCGGGTTGAAGCCGGGTTTGGAAGTTTTTCAATTTTCAAACGCAAAATTGTCGCGAACATCGACATATAATATGGACTACACGATCCCTACTTCAAATTCTTTGAAAAAGTAACCGTTCGAATAAACAAAGAGAAAATGCGGTGGCGGCCAATCGCACCCCTTTTCTAATCCTCCTGTTGGCTACTTTATTTATACTTTCGTATTACGGCTGTTGATTAGAAATAGACAGGGTTTAGCCGCCATCAGTCACTATCGTTTTCTTTCAGTCGACCATTTATCCTATGTCAATCCGTAATCTATACTGTACGTCGATGGTCGCGAAAGCCTCAAAACTCCAGTTGAATTAATTTTTAGGTAATCAATGTGAATCCAAGGACAGGGAAGCTACTGAGAGCCATAAAAATTCCTGCCGAGCAAGTAACTAGTGTAGCGTTTGGTGGTCCTCTATTGGACATTCTCTATGTTACCACGTCAAGAATCGGATTAAATGAATCTCAATTGTTATCACAACCCAAAGCTGGCTCTGTATTTGCAGTGAAAAACTTAGGTATCCAGGGCTTACCAGCGAATTTATTTGAATTGACCAGAGCATAGTTTTGATTAACGTTGATGACAATTTAAGATATACATTGCGAGTTTACAACGAATGTAGATAATCGTAATTAATAAATTGTAACGCAGACACTGAGTTGTAGTAAATTGCATTTATTCGTTTTTCTGCGAAACATAAATAATATAAATTAATATACTGCTCGTACGCCAATTACTTTACATTGGGAGACAATTTTTTATCACAAATTTTTTGCTCGAAACATACCTGTTTCAATAATGGGAGCCTTATATCGATATTATCAGATTTTTAAAACTTCTGAAGATCTCACGATCATGCGTCTAATGTAACATAATAATATAATAATTATAACAAATTGGCATCTTGCGAAGCGCATGTGTACAAAAGACATTAGAATTAAAGAGAAAGCATTCTGTACTTACGATCGGATCTAATAGGGACACAGTACAAAAATAAATCATTGTGTTTATCATACGGGAAATGTACGTTACATGATCTATGATAATAATTATCCGCCTTATAATTATCCGTCTCAACGTACCATGTATAAATATTTTATTCAAATAATGAAAATGTCTAATATTCGATATTGCATCATTATTTTTCATGTCGATTTCGACAAGCAAGAAGACAATCAATTAATTGAAAAAATGCATTCGTAATACAATTTAAATTAAAATAATATATCTAATGTTCAGTCGTCTAACGTAATTATTTCCACACTATCTTTCCCCAGTTTATCTGCTTTTTTCGATATACTGCTGCTAATACCACTGGGTTTTCCTCGTGACATTTCATATACAGACATACAATCCGAACTCGCCGGTCTAGCCGTGTCCGAAATTTTTTGTTGCACCACACTAAGCGCAGTGGGCACATTTTTTGAAAAGTCTATGCTTGACTTCATTTGACTTTTCTGTTGAGGAATTATTTCTAAATGCGAATGTTGCTGAAGTTGCGATAGCATCGAGAGGGCATCGACGGAATTCGTCTGGGGTAGTGCACTCGTCATAGAACTTGTAATATCCATGGATGGTGCTTTCGATTTCGAAGGCTTTCTGTATCCCGGAACTTTAGAGCTTTTTGGAGCACTCGAGGATATGGCACTCACAGATATAGCATTTAATTCAGCAGGTAGAAAAGCCGATTGCGTCATTGGTGGAGCAGCCGACATTGTGTTTATCAAACTTTGAAAATTATTTGGCATCGATGGGACAATATTGGGCGATTTTTTCTTCTTTATAGGATTTTGGATATTTGGCGGTAGTTGTGAACGATGCAGATGTTTCTTCGATAGCAATTTATGCTGTAAGGAGGTGCCGGTCCGTGACGATTGCAAATTCATGGGAATAGATGGTTTCAGGTTCAAGGACGAATTTAAAGATGTATGAGCAACTTGCGGTAGTGCATTTGAATTTGATGGATTGTTATTTTTTAATGGTGAATGAGATAACGAGGAATTATGTGCGGGCTGTGGTTCTATCAAAGATTTTGAAACTCGAATTTGAGGTGCTGACATCTGTTTTGGTGGAATGCTCTTCACTTGTTGCATCACCGAGGGTTTAAGTAGAGATACCTGCGTTGTAGGCGGATGCAACACAGACTTTGAAGGTTGAGGAAGTTGAAGAGGTTTTGACATATGAGCAGGCAATGCATCTGCATGTGAACCCTGTCTAGAGGATTTTGTTTTTTGAGATAATAGTGTACTAACTGGAGTTATAGAAATATTCGGTCGTTCCTTAGTAGTTGACGTTGTCGTAGTGGTCTTAGTTGTTGCTTGTTGATAAGTAGGTGTAGACCGTGATGTGGATGCTGCTGTACTGCTTAGATTTAACAATTGTTGTACTGTCAAACTTCCTGAATTATTCAGGTTGCTTAAGTGGCTCATGCTGCTTGAAGTATTTACATTGCTGCCGGCAGTACTCATTGTTAAGACGTTGCTGATGTTAGGTACAGTGCTGGACGAGTTGCTGAGGCCACTATTCAGATTTGACATTGCTGGTAGATTTTGAAATTGTCGAACCATATCTTGATAACAGCCTATTTGATTTAAGTACATGGCCGAAAGCGGATTCATCATGTTACCACTCAAGCCTGAAGCCAACATCGCCGGTATCATATTAGAATCGAGTAAAGGATTCATAAAATACGCGGATAGGAGCGCAGGGTTGTTTGGCAGACCAAGATAATTTCCGAAGCCACCTTTGGGATTGAATTGGTTCAATAAATTACCGCTCTGCTGAGCGGCTTGGAGATACTTATTGACATTCGGTGGACGTCCTCTAGGTCGACCAGACGAACTTGAAGCACGATATGGTTTACGTGATTGTGAAATTTGAGGAGAAGTTGGCATTGTCTGTGCTAGTGGTATAGTCACCTAAAACACGAATAATAATATAAAATAAATAGGTGAACTCGTTTTTTCTTGTAAAATGCAGGTACGCGCAACCTTGAATGTCCGTACAAGTGTCCCTAAAAAACACTATTCCAATATTTCTCATTGGTAGTAGGACGCGTTACAACTATTGAAACAGAAATAGTTCCTACGCTACAAGTATATGCATAGTACGAGATATAAAAAGACTAACCGGACTCGATGCAGCGGTGGGTGTTTGTACATTAATGTGACCCGTACTATTACACGCCATATTCTTCATTGCAAGAATTTGTTGCTGACAAAATTTCATAGCGTTCTCCAAAGTATTTCCATCTGTGTTCTGTTAAATACAATTGAATATTAAAATTATATTTTAACTCTGCATAAAGGAAATTTACCTTCTGTCCGGTGTAAGCTTTGTATGTGTCACTCAGCAGAGAAGCAAACGTATGTATCGTTGGTTCCTTTCCTTGAAAATTCTTTTGCACCTGTTGGTATATCTTGTATATATCTATGAGAACTTGCGCCTTTGAATCAGGCTTAGAGGGATGAGTGCTTTCAGAAGCGGTAATGGTACCCATAGATTGTATTCTAGTACGTAAAGATTGTAGACACATGGTTAACGCTTGACAGGAGAGTTGCTCCCTTTCTGAATCCCTCAAATATTTTCTGCAATCGGATAATAATTAATTCAACTTATTTATTTATGCCCGTTTTCACTAGCATCAGTTATAATTTAACTAAGACTCAAGTGCTACATTGATCAATCTCATGTCCGTATTCAGATAAGTAATTCGTTCATATCGCATAGATAATATAGTGAAGTCCCTCACAGTTTACATTCTCCTAGCTTATCAAAGACCAAGAGTGGGAACATACGACATTGTAATTGGTTTCAAATGCGATTGAGGAGGGATTCGCCTCGGCTGTTATAAGTACGTGATTGCTATTCCGGTTAGTTCGCATGTAATCGCACTACTGTGAAAGTTTCGAATTTTTGAAATTTTTTTTGTGTTTGAAAATTATTCAATGATAAATGGAATATTAAGATACATTATAACACACGATTGAGTGTTGATGAATAATAGATCAATTCTGACAGATACTTACTTATCTGCTTCTGGGGTTTTACGTAGCTGTACGCATAATTCCATAAGCATTCGGCTGTCATCCGTTTCCTTTAAAACTTGCATCAGTAGAGTGACGCATCGTGACATGTGAGAAGCAAAGCTTCCAGGTCTGTCAATTTCTCCACTTGGGATTCGCCATATACCCTGAAAATTTGAAATTTTTTTTTAGAAGTGTATTAGTACCTGTTATAATTTGAAGCTAATCGTTTACAAGTGATAACAGCTATTCCTTCATCAAAGGTGAAGGGGCTGCAACATGAAGTTATGTAAATGCATTTTTATCATTATTGCTACGTGTTCCCTACTACTATTTGTCACGTAAGAATTAATTACAATTGTATTATACATGACATAGATAATCAACGATTTGTTAGACTAAGTACTTTAATGCAGATGGTGTCTGTGGAATATTTTTTCTAAATATAGGATTTCTGCAGAAATCACAAATTCAACGTTAGTACAAGTTTGTTATAGTATTAGATTGTAATAACTTTGCTGAACTTTTTTTCCCTTTAAGATCAAGTACTTCAAGTCTGGGTAAAGTCATAATAGATGTCGATGCTGGACCAGATGATGCTTTAGCTTTACTTTTGGCATTGGCATCTGAGAAGATAGATAATAATGGTTTGGAAGTGTTAGCCGTCACATGTACTTACGGTAATACTGTTTTGGAGAATGTCATAACAAACGTAAGAAAAACTTTGACAGTTGCAAATAGAAGTGACGTAAGTATATGCGACTATTTTTTTAAATATTATACTACCTTGTGCTATACCCCTGTGTGTTATGTTTGTTTTAATATCCAAAGCAATCAAATTTTATAAGAAAATATTTGTAGATATCCATATATGCCGGTGCGGCAAAACCTTTGATCCAGAAATATACTCCTGATAAATATTTCGGTGAGGATGGCCTAGGTGATTTTGATTTTGAAGATGAAATTACTGCCCAATTAAATAAATCAGAGCAAGCAGCATTAATAATGGTGTCTCTGGTCCAGCAATATCCTGGTAATAACTTGTCATAAGAGGGGAAAGAGTAATTATAAAATAACTTTCATTATTAAATAAGAAAATGTATGGAATATTTAGGAGAAGTGACTATCTTGGCTCTGGGACCATTAACAAATCTAGCTCTTGCAATGAGTTTGGATGCCACATTTGCAGATCATGTGAAACAATTATATATAATGGGCTCCAGTGTTGCTAATCGGGGAAACATACAGTCAAATCTGGAATTTAATTTCAGTTTAGATCCTGAGAGTAATTTTATTGTACTAAATGCAACGACATCATCGCGCAGTGTTCTCTGTCCTTGGGAAACAAATTTAAAATTACCAATAACAAGAGTAAATGAATTTCATAGTCCGTTATAGTCATTCAGTTTGCATATAACTATTTAACGTTATCTATATTTCTTTAAAGGACTGGCGAGAAAATGTTCTTGGGAGCCTTAATTCTAAAGCTATAAAGTTCTTAAACAAAGCAGAGAGAATCAGCATTACATATTCTACAAACTGGTATTCAGCGGATACAGTATGTGTAGCAAGTTTATTATGGCCTGAATTTATAAGGGAGCTTACAGTGACAAACACTTATCCAGTGATCGATGGAAGTGCTAGAGGGTCAGTCATAGTCGATTATACGTATAGCTCAGGGAGGCCTAATAATACAGATATTGTACAATTAGTAGATATGGAATTGCTTAAAAATATTTTACTAAAATATTTAGGCGGGGAGTGAAGCAGTTATTAGATACATAAATAAATATTGCGAGCATAAATAAAGCTATTATAAGTCCACTATTACCTGTCCTTCATTCATAAATTAATCAAAAGATTAAGGTTACTTACGTTAAAGAAGTTGGTTCCTTTTCTGTCAGCAAACAAGCCCGGAAATGACTGTCCAGGATAAAATTGGCAATTATACGTTCCTAGAAGTAGATCTCTACACTTGGCTGTGTCTTTCGCTATCTTATTGTTGAAGAAAAAATGAGAGAGCCGATACAAGGATTTGTAATGTTCACGAAATCGCAAAACACATTGTTCCAGACCAGCCAAACAGTATGCTATCAATGTAGCTACTTCTTCTTCACATAAATATTCTTCTGAAAAGAATGTAAATTATTTTTTTTTGTTAGGTGTTTTTACGTATTTAACAATAAATCAGAGGAAGAATTCCAAGATCTAATTCAATATCTATTTAATTTAATAATGTTACGACATTTATGTAATTCAATTATATTGATTGCCAATAAATACTTATTTACCTTTTTCTTTAAATTCAGTGTCCTTTTTCTTTTTATCTGCATCACTTTCGGACTCACTATCACTCTCACTCGAGCTATCACTGTCAGAACTATCATCACTGCTACTGGAATCATCGCTACTACTGGAACTAGAATTATTTGTTTCTGTTGTTGTCGTTGTTTGCGTAGTGGTTGTACTTTCTTGTGACCCTCTGCGACTTAAAGTCACTTCCTCTTTGACTGTTTCTATCTGCGTCTTCTTTTTTTCTTCAGGTCTATCCTTACACTCCTTATCCTGTATATATAAATATGAACAATCGTTCATTACTAAACAATGTCATTGCTAGCTGTTTTTCATCCTAATTTATTTTAAGTTCGAGTACACACCTGCGCTTGCGCCTGCACATCTTCGTTTTGTAGCCATTTTCCGTCAGACTTTCGGGTATCCTCTTCATCGGGTATGGATTGCTGAGTTTCCTGACCCTCCATTGCCTCCTTCATAAGCACATCCATTAAGTCTTGTATATTCCCATCCTTCACAACCATTTCAAGACGGTCTTCCTCTGATTTTGTGTCTTGGTTGTGATTTTTTGTTTCATTAGTCTTTCCTTGTACTTTTCCACTCTCGCTACTGTCTTTCTTTGCTCTTTGTGATATTTGCTCATCACCTTCGTCACTGGATAAAATCATAATATCGTCCGCTGTTGCATTCTTTCGCGTAACCATATCACAAACCTTGGTGATAAGGTCATCAATTAACGCTACAACATCTTGCATCAATTGCAAGTGGGAAATACTCCCGAGTTTAATTTTCTTATTGTTATCAGACATCATATCCTCAGGTGATCTTTTTCGACTTTCGTTTTTTCCTTGTTCAGTGGACTTACTGGATTCGACTTTGACATTCGTCTTATCGATTATCTCGATCTCTTCGATACTATTGGACCTTTGTTGTATGGTGACAACGTTTTTGCTGGTCTCAAGTAGATTTTCGTTATCTCTCATAATGTGTCTACTGTCAGAATCAGATCCATCTTCCTTTTTCTTGTCAGTAAGTTTCGACTGATACTTCATAAATGGACCTTCGGCACAGTTCTTCAAATACTGCTGAAATAATTGTCCTAACGATTTCTTTAAAGGTTTTCCTTCATGTTGCTCTAAATATTTCAGAATACTCGCATGAATTCTATAATGCACCTCTAATGCTTCGATTGACAGATTCTGAGGATTTTTGTAATTAATTCGACGTGGATAATGGGCGTTATTTTCGTACAATAATTCACTAGCCTAAAAATGAATAAATAAGTCGATAATCGTCGCAGTTAAGAATGAGATAGAGTACATTTTATAAGAGATTAACCTTCGCATAATGTTCCAAAAAAACTGGTGGATCTTCGTTTTTCTTTTCTGCAATTTTAGCGAGCATATACTGATGGAGCCATCGTTCATCGTGAATTTCAGTGCTGTTGTCAATAGCCTGAGATGCAATGAACACACGATTTGCAGATAAAAAGCAGTGAGCCGCAAGATCAAGCATGTTTTCTTTTCTCGTTTCCAAAATTTCAAATCGTTCCATACTCAATGTGTCAGACTCCTGTTTAAGCAATCGTGAACAATAAGAATGTATGGTGTAAACAAAATTTCCATATTCGATCCAGTACAATAAATGCGGTGCCAGATCAACAGCCCGCTGATAGCTGCACTGCGCTATCTTAGCTTTATCGAGGAACTTGTTCTCATTCCTGTAAAAATTGATTGTCAATAAATAAAATAATTCCATAACTACAAGAATGATACATATCAATGGAATTGCTTACAACTTCAACGTGGTGCCATCATTTAATGAATTTTCCATTTGTGTACCAGTAGCCATAGCCAGAGCAGCCCATGAGCAGGATCTTGTTGGATTGAGGCATAAGTCCAGCAAATAATATCTATACGCATCTTGCCATTTACTATTTTTGAAATAATAATCTCCAAGCAAATAGTATATAGAAGATATCTGATAGGGTAATGGCTTCTCCACACTTGGCATTTTCTCTCTCTCGCCCAATATGTATGCAATCATCTTTTCAGTTATGTAATTAGGATCACTCTCACGCGGAACCAAACGCGTTATTTTCCTAAAGAGAGCTTCCGTTTCCGCATTGATTGATACAGTTTTGTGGCTCTGCACATCCGGCAAAGTGTCAGGTTTATAGAAGTCGAATAGCAACTGCGCTCCTTCCCAGGTTAACGCATCTGGTATTGCATATACCCCATGATCCTCTAGGTGTTTTGGTTTACCTTTGTTGTTAGTCCTACTAGGATGCGCATAGAGGCAAAAAAATATCTGCTCTAAAAATTTCGTGAGCTTTCCTTTTCTCGGAGCGTAGAGTGGCGATCTCAACCGTGGGATGATTAGGTTCATTGTGAAGAATAACAGTTTTGCTTCATTGGCGCAGCACCAGGAGTGACGTCCAAGGAATTCGTGTGCTGTAAATAAGATCATCAATGAGGGAGGTATGTCCTCATCCTCGTCTTCTGATTCTGAGTTGTGAGAATTCTGCGTTTTGTGCTTTACTGGAGTCACCGGTTTCGCTCTCTCCTTATCTTCTTCACTATATTCAAATTATTGTTACTATTAGTGTACTCTTGACAAGAAAATTAATATTCAAAATGAGATTTTCTACTTACTACTGTAGGATATAATGCAACAAGATCCAAGGCAATACTGTTTCCACTGGCATAGCTACTGAATTTTCTGGAACATCCAGCTGATGGCACACAATATGTACCAAATTTTGCACTAATCGTGAAATTCGACCTTCCGGTAAGTAAGTCACTAAAATTTAATTATCGATATATTTTTGATATAGGTAATATTGATTAATTATCATCTAAATATTTATTTACTTACCGATAAAGGCACTAACTTCTGTCGTACAGGCATCTAATTTCTCAAGAGCGTTCAAGACAGAGCCTATCCACTTTTTTTGTTCAGATTCACTCGCGTTTATGTAATTCTGCCATGCTTCACTTAAACAAGCCTCTCCCCAAACGTAACAGTCCTATGAATTGGATTTTGTGTAAGCTGCTTTAATTATTATTTATTAAGTATTCTTGAAGTAAGTAAATATTTTATAGGTGGCGATACCTCATATCTTTGTAGTTGCCATAAACTGTCAAGTAACATTGCCAACTGTTGAACACGATCTACGATCACCTCTGCGTTTGGCATCAATTTTGGTCTGTGTTTTGCAAATTTAAACGTGTCTTGCAAAATACTGGCTAATTCAGCGTATTTTTTTTCATCATACAAGTACTGAATCTCACCTAGTTTACGACTCCTGAATTAAATAAAAAAAAAATTAATGTATCTAACAAATACAAACATTTACAGAAATAAAATAAGACTGCGTTTGCTGAAAAATTGTATGATGTATTTCAAATATTTGAATTAATCAAATGGTTAGTTAATCTTTTCATCAAAAATCTATTAATATATTTTACAAACTTTTGTCTGATCAAGTTATCTACCTCTGTATAGATATCAGCATTTTTTCCACAATACGTGTGCTAACGTGGGAAATGTATTTACAGTTTGGAAGTTTGAGAATCATACTTCGTCTCGTAGCATCTAGATTTCGCAGATGATTAAGGAGCTGAAAAATATCATTAAAAAAACAACATTAACAAACTAATTCTAATTCTAATTCGGCTTCCATTTTCGTACCAATTCAAGCGTTCCAATGACAATATCTGTGTCTCCTTGGCATAAAAATATATTAGCTTTGAGCCATAGCAATCTTATCAAAAAGGGCGTATACTGTTCCTTGAATAAGTCATCTCGAGCACTGGTGAAAATAATTTGTCCCAATTCTTCAGAAGGTATTCCAGTGCCGAGTTTATCTATACTAAAATCATAATGACAAAGTCATTCAGGTAATCAAATAGGGTGCAAAATGAAATCAATTTAATAAGCTTACGTTGAATGTGGCAAAATGTCTGGTTTGTCATTCAACCATTTGTCAGTGTGAAGTTCACCAAACAGTAAAGTCATCTCGGCATCACTTTTCAAAATTGAATCATCCGTCTCGTCACCAAACGGTGATGGATGAGGTATATGCTCCCTGATTAGAATTTTGAATAAAAGTTACTATTTTTAAATATTATACAAAAAGCCTAATATAATTTACCTTGTGAACATGTAAGCTTGTATATATAAATCTGTCATTCCTTTAGGCCACTCGTGATTCCATTTCGTACACAAAAATTCTGTAAACCTGGCTATTATAATCATTAGATTACTTTTACCGCTATGATCATTAATGAATGCATTAACGTCTGCAATTTCATCTTCTGTATCAAAATATTTTTCTTGCTGGTCACTGTAATTTGTTAATTGTTATTAAATTGGATTTATAGACATTCCTATATCATCACTGAAATTAAAAAGAAATGTACCTAACATCAGGACTAGATGGTTTCGAGCTTTCAGAACTTTTTGTGCCATCCGTCATATTACTGTTATTTTCTCGGTTTTCGAATAATTGATACAAATCCATTGTATTCATGGAATCTTCAATACCCTTAGTTGGATCCTCTTTGGTCAATTTTACAGTATCTGGACTGTGAGGAAAATAAACTAATTATTGGAACTACCATTGTAGTAGAGTAAGTGAACTTTTTTTAGAAACTTAAATGTACATACAGCAAAGTACTAGGAAACAATCTTCTCAGATTTTCTTCAAGTTGCACATCATCTCGTTCAGTTTCTCTTCTATTTGAGCTTCTAACTCTTGCAGACCTTCGCATACTGCTCCCACTCCACGCCCATTGCTGAAGAAATATTAATGAATTTCTACGCTTCTTCTTCACCTTTTGGCCTTCCTCTTTCATTTCCGTTTTCTCATTTGACTTTTCATCGTTCTTTAACGACTTCTCATTGGACTTTTCGTTACGCTTCTCCAATATATTATCATTTGACTTATCACTACCCTTGCTGTTTACTTTTAAATCCACTACCTCGGTTCCACTAAATTTATCCAAGTTACTAATGTTTTCTAAGATTTTATCGTTGTGTGATTTTTCACTGGTAATATCGATGCCCATAATTACTGGCTCATCAAAGCCTGTATTCGTTTCATGATTTGGTTGTTCAAATTGTATGATTTCAGATTCAATCCTCAATGGATCCTCATCTTCGATTATTTGAATATCACTTGAACTAGACTTCCTGTCATCTTCAACCTCTACTTCCATTCCAGTTTGTAAATCATTATCAAAGACCCCATCATCATTAAAATTAACAAACATTTCAATATTTTCATTGTCTATATCGGCTTTACTGATTTTTTCTCCATCCTCATCCTTGTCATTCAGATTTTCTTCAATTCCACCATTTACTTCCATTTCATTGTCTCCTTTGATATTATTTTCATTGGTATTTAGTTCAACTGTTTGTTCAGCAGGTTTGAGTACTTCTAATTTGATACGACTAACGAAATTCAGATCATCATGTTCTGCAATATATCTGTGCATATCCACTAAACTTTCACCTAACTCGTACCATGTATACTTAGTTATAGGTCTTCTCAGTGCCAAATCTGGTAATGGTTTACGTGTATATTCTGGCTTACAAGATTCTGCCCATTTAGAAGCTAACTCATGTGCTTCTGCCAATAATTTATCACCAAAAACATGATCGTATTCCGTACTTAATGGAGGATCTAGAGCCCAATCGACGTTATACATTTTATAACACTCTTGGAAGTAAGGAATGTCTTTATAAATTTTTTCACGGAAGGCTAAGCCCTTAACATAACTAGGATCACGTTCTAATGCCATGGAAATGTATAAAAGACAGCTCATATAATTAGGAACGGCATATAAGGCAGTTATGATATTATCAAGACACGGCCAATGATTAGGATTACACTTCAAACCTTGTTTGAAAGATGTGCATGCAAATATTAATTTAAATGTCTTCATCGCTAATGTTCCTAACCTATACCAGAGTGTAACATCTGTGTCATCTAAGTTTGCAGCTTCCCAGTAATTTTCAATAGCCTCTTCATAATTTTCCAATTCTACCTGTATCGCTCCGATATTCTTAAAACAGGAATACTTTAAAGACAACATTGGTCTGTATCTGCCATCAGGTGTTTCTGGTTTTTCAACTTGATCTAATAGTTCAGTCTCCAAGAGATCTTTAAAAATATTAAGAGCATCTTCCTTCTTGTTTTGCTTTATCAATTCTAAAGCCTTGTTGTATTCCGTAAGGGCGATTTGTTCCTGTGACAGAGAGCTTCTTGGTCAATAAAATATAAATACTTGATGAAGAATGATATTAATAATATTCCTGACACTATATTAAATCCAAAATTATGATAGAAATCAGTCTTAAGGACTAAAATAATTACAATTTATTGTAGAAATAACATAAGATACGGTCAATATAAACCGAAAAACTAAATCCATTGAAATTTAGGTTATCCTGTTAGTTGGGTAAGTAATTATGAGCTTTCACTTACTTGAGCTTCTTTTGTAATCGTAGGCACATCTTCATCATCACTTTCCTCTTTTACTTCTTCATTAAGGGCTGTTATTTTCATCATTTTGATGACTATACTAAGCTTCACATGCGCCCAAACACAACATCAACAAATCAGCCGGGCTTTTTCACCACTGCCATTTGCACACAATAACCGCGGTTATCTAGATAATTCTAAACGTCATCTACATCTATTTTAAATCACATCCACGTAAGAATTCAATGAAAAACTGAATATTCTAAAGATATTTTTAAAATAATTCCTAAATAAGTATAGTACGATATTTCAATTCAAAATTATACTGCAGTAAATATAAAAACAATATAATTAAATCTTTCCTGATAAATTGTATCCTTAAAATAATTGAGTTTAGTGCTGCACTTGCCATTAACCGCTATAAAATATGAAATTAAACTGGATGAGATAATTATAAAATAAAGTAAAATATTGATATGAGATTATTAATTGAATATCTTTACCATGAGTCAACTATGGGACATTTTATGAGAAAGTTTTTACTGGAAGAAAGAAACTGTTCTACAAACGTAAATGCATACTAAATAATGTAAAATACAATCTAGTGAATATAGCTCATGAATGAACTATAGTCCTAGAGCCCTAAACGGAATTATCTAAAATTTAGATAAAGACAATCATCACGACTGATTCTCTATCGTATAGTAGCAACGAACCTTTGACTTTATTTATCTTTTATAAGTGAAAAATAAAGCAAATATCGTAATGCTTAAATCAAATTGAACACAAAATCTTGTCTTATTCTGGCTTTCCTTGGCAGATTATAGTTGTACGTTTCAATAAAACTGTGATATTTGCAAAGCAATAACATTTCGTAATCCATTCATTGTTTCTGATACTGCGAGGAAATACAAAACGTAACAAAATGTACCTATTTTGGGGTGAGTATAGACTTATCATTCGTTAGACTTTATATAAATGTTATAGCAGACTGAGTATGATATATGGATACTCCTCTGTTTAGATTGCGATCAATGCTGCAAGGAAATTGAACAAAACAGTATATTTCTAAGGGTTCTCAATGCTACGTGGAATTGTATATATATGTATAAAAATAAAAAACAATTTTACCATAAGATTAGATTGAAATATTTCTGTACATGTATACAAAGTCATCGAGCTCGTTTTTCTTCGTGTATAGTATAAATTTTTGAAGATAGAACGTAAGAACGTAACTTGATGATACTTAATGAATGTTGATATAACCGTTATACTTTTCTGAGACTATATCTTAAATGTAAATCTTGTTTAAAAAGTATCGCGTATAACATCGCGTGAAGATGTGAATAGTATACAAAAATTATAAAAATTTAATGACGAAAGGTGCAAGAAAAGCAGCCTAATTTGGCCAGCAAATTAAATAATTAATGATGTATGTACTTGTAAACTTTCTATTGTGTTAAAAGGAACGTAAACGACTTATGGTTCTGTTAGTCCAAAATATTTTAAATATTTTCATATGTATGATTAATCTAAACACAAGTGTTTGTATCTTTGCAGGTGACGGGTTCAGTGATGGAAAACAATCCACTGATCTCTCAATTCCTCTTGCTTCTGTAATAATAAGAAATAAAAATATGACAAGGGAAATCAATGTACCTGGTCATGATATTTATTACAAACACTGGTTTCATAGCGGTTTGTAACGTTTTCCAAACTCTATGAAAATAATTAACTACTTTAAAAAGCATTGACATTTCGAGATATAAAAATATTATATCTGAAATACATGTGGAACATCTTAACTGTCATAAATATTTCCAAATATTTCTTATTATTATTCTTGCTTTATCTGAACAACCTTGCATGTGATATTTATGTTTCATTACAAGTAACATCGACAACTAGGATAATTGTAAAAAATGAATTTCAATCTAACAATGTTTCACTCTATGGTGGATCCCAGTAAGTGATTAGGCTACACTTGTAAAAAGAATTTTGTTAATATATCACACATTGACTAACGTAATTAATATTAATCAAAAATTAATCTCTCATTATGAAAGACAATTTTGAAAATAACTAACTATAATTTTTCAGAGACAGAGGTAAAGCAACATTATTTATCAGCATCCGTCGTACTACCTATTGGTTCAATGTTTATGTTGGCTGTAGTGGTACTTCTTATGGTAAAGAACTTTTTGAAATTAGATTCTAATAATAAAAAACTGATCTTCGTTTTGTGGATGAATGGTTAATAAGAAACCATTTTTAGGTGCTATTCAAACGATGTCCTAACATGATAACTGCGATCGCAGCTGGACTTCTTGCTACAATGATTATATTTGTAATAATGTTCTCAGTCAAACAAACGCCTATTTATTCTTGATTAGACTAATCAAAGTATAACATCAGTTCATCATATCAGTATCATTATAGGGCCTTTTAAAAATCATATAAAATATGTAACTGAATTATACCCAACTGATAAATATTATTTAAGATAAAGAACATTTGCACGAAATATTAGATATAACATACCGTTAGCAGTTGCTACTCATAATTTTGTTTGTAATCATATCCTTTGAAACCCGAACAACTGTTTCAATATACGTATCCAATGTTTGCTTCAACTCCTTGTAACTCTGAAACAGAAAAAGATAATTGTTGTCAATTTAAGTAAAGAATTTTACATTAGTCATACAACAAAACTTAACCTCAATATATACAGGATCATCCAAACTGGCATTTTCCAATTCGAGTAATAGTAACTCTAAGGTATTAAGAGGTAACCACGTAGCAGGGGCTGTTGGCAACAATGCAGTTTCTAATCCAAAATATTCTTTGCCAATTCCCAATATTGCTTTTATGTAGTCCACGGCCAATTCTGTAGCTTCCAAAAGTCGGCCTGTGCTCAGTATAAGCCGTAAAAGTTCAGCAGGATTGCGCTTCTGTAATATAAGATAACAAATACATTTTTAATTTCATAATCCGCCGGAAAATCTTCTTGGTATTATTTAATGTAACGTTAAGAATGACTTTACTTTGTAAAATGACAACAGCCAATGTGGTATAAAAGCACCGAGTCTAAGTAGTTTTCTAGCAATTCCTTTATGCAATTCGCTACTTCTCTCCTGTTCGTGTTTGAGTGTAAGGTGCTCCAATAATTTCCAAGCAACATTTGTTACATTGGAATCTGACATACCTAGATCTGAACGAGAACATATGAAATGTAATATAAATATAATCATTGATATGCAGTAATACAAAAATATTTACCGAAGATATCATTCTGAACAAGCCAGTCCCAAGCATTGCGGTCATCATATTGACTAAGTCTGACGCAATGAGAAGCTAAACTTTCTAGTACCGAACTTTTCGAAACATTAAAAAGATCGCATAAATGTAAAGCTGTGGTATAAAGGCCGACACTAGACAAAATAACAATCAATTCGGCCGGGGCTGTTGAATAAATATAATTAATCATTTTAATCATTCTAAATTTATAATTATAACAATACTATTAGACGAAGGTACTCACTGGCTTGTGTAATAGTCTGTATTTCGGAATTCAATTTGGATAATTTCAATCTAGCCTCAACTATATAGAACTCTTTTTTGATGTCCTTCAATTCCAAAACTTCCACTTGCTTTTGAACTTTGTAATGCAGAACGTCTTTACCGTCTATACTCCTTTTTTTATTTGATGTTGTATCGTTGGAAAACGTTTGATCAACCACGGGCCTAACAATCCATCGATATTTCTCTTGCACAAGGTGTAAAGAATTGATACAAGCTAATAAGCATTGTGATTGTTTTGAAATGATTGGAGCCGTGAAGGACTCTTGGCCAAGACGCATAGATTGTTCATACATGACAGAAGCAGCTGAAAAAAATTCATACATTGAATAATTAATCTTGCGATGAAATTTTTCTTCTAATCTTTGATTTACCTTTTCTTACGTTTCCTTTGTTTATGTGAAAACTGTATAAAAAGTTGTAATAATTATTTTCCACAAGATCGACGCTCCTTGCACGACTCTCTACTATTCTCTCCAGATCGTCATACATTTCCACATACGGAAAAGAGACAAGGTCGACTAAATTTTTTCGTTCAAATAATGTAACGACTAATTGTCTCAAGCAATCGACTCTGCGAGCAGCATCAGGATTGGCATTCAGACAATGATATGCTTCAGTATGGTGTCCTAACTTCAAGTGTTGCGTAAATATTACGGAATGGAGCGTTGGTAAATTTGGATCATCCTTTTCAGCGACAATTATAGCTGTTTCAGCCAATTCAATAATGCAGCCAGAAATATTGTGTTGATCGAATAGTTCAATTACTCTGAGATAATAATGAACCAAAGCACTGCTTTCTGACATTGCCTCGGATTCCAGTAGTGTATCAGCCAAAAAAGGATCAGTAAGGATACCATTGGATGCTCTCAAAAATTGATCACAAGCCTTTTGGGCATCACCCATTTCCAAGAGAGCGACTGCCAGGATGAATTTCCTCGAGGCGCTATTCCATTCGCACCAGGTACTCAAGAGTCTTACGTATTCCTGGACTAATAGGAATTGACAGCTAGATAATAGCCACTTAGGAAACAAGAAGTTGCCAGAAATAGGCCAGCTATTTAAATTAGTCAAGGAATCTGTTCCATAAGTGTTACAAATATTATGATGAATTAAAGGTACTTTGCTTGCAAAAGGATACACCAATTGAGCGATGAGTGTGACATACTTTAGCATTCCATAATGCCATGGGACGAGGCCAGTTATATCTAGGTTTGTACAAGCCATAAGATTGTGAGCATGCTTTGCTCCAGAACTTTGTATAAACAATTCAAGGAGGCACATTAAACGTTGTTGTCTTTGTATGGAATTGATTCTGCACTCTGGTAATTTTAGCAATGCCAAACGTTGCACGCTGTTTTCGCTGTAAACAATAGCGGTTGCATTAAGAGAAAATTCATTTACTATGAGGATAAGATTTCTTACATTAAACTTTGCGATGAAGCCGAAGGAGCAGGAGTTTCACATATCCACATGACGGCATGATAGGCTTGAGTAAGTACAACAGTTCTTGGCGCGGATGCCGATTTTATAGAATGTAATGATCTTGAATCGAACGCTTCCGGTCGACTTAATACGATTTGTTGTAACATTAAGAGATTTCTACAAATAGAGAATCTCAAGCGTGTAATTTGTGTTACACTCTGAGCCACCGTAGAGATGCCTAATTGACTCCCAAACAAATGACTAACATTAAGAAGCATCTTCGAAGCTTCGCTATTCTGTTCCAACTGCATTTTATTTGGCTGACCAAGATCATACATCAGTGCTTCTAAGAGCATGGCCATTGCACTTGATATATCTTTGATACTCTTCATCTTTTGATATAAATCTGATTGGAAATTGAATTCTAAAAGCTGTCAAAAATGTATATATGTACATTAATATATTTGCATGGATTTACATGGAAATTTTCATAATGACAACCACTACTTACAGGATCTTCGGGATCTAATATTAACCGTGACAGTAAATCATCTACTATCATATCCGGACTCTTCAAATGGTACAACTCTCTTTGAATACTTGTTTTGAGCTCCTCCGACAATTGTTCTTCCAGCATTGCTATTGTTGACATCAAAGTGATCAAATCTTGACAGACGTCTTCGTTTTGTGATAAGACTGGTGTTGTTTTAAATCGACTGACATAGGCATTGTCATTGCATAACATCAAATGTTCCAAGGCCTCCATTGGCCGTAGAAGAGAGAAGGATGATTTTTTTAATAGTACAGCACCATAAACGCCGGGCAATAACAATAGTCCAACAGGTTTGGTACCATTGGCGTGATACTGGATGACGCATGAGTAAAATTTTGACCAGCAACGATTAGCGATTTCTAAGTAATCTTCATCCGTCATTTCGTACTCCATAACTTCTGCTCGAATTTCAGATTCCACGGCCATGCAAACGCGTTCTTTTATTAGGGATGGCGAGTAAGTCATGTGACCAGCCAGATTTGATCTTCTGTAGATGCTGAGAGCCCTTGTAATATCGGCCAAAGAGAATTGACCAGGGTGAAAGATGTACTTGACATATGCTTGTCGTGGATCTGTTCCAGGATCGGTAACGATATAATCTCTGTCTAGTGGCTGCTCCAAAACAGCTGTTTCCCATTCTGAATTGATTTGAGAACCATTCAGTGACAACTGGGCGTGAGTTACAGCTACAGTATCCATGTCAGTTGTACGCCACACTGCCCATAATCGAGTAGTAGTGAATGAAAAATCAACTAAGTGTTGCTACGAATAATATAAGCGATACATCCATTATATGTTTGCTCGAATGATAAATAGTATAATATAAAAGTATGAAATAATAATAGTTTTATTTTGATTGAGTATATATATCTTTACCTTATTCCATTTTACTTATATATCACAAAATATATAAGGTCTATGTAGAGAGTGAGATGCAAAGGTTGTAAAAATAAATTTTACTCACGTCTGGTGCAAATCTTGTACATATCCTGATGAATTTGAATACTCCAGCCTGTTGTATAGGTTGCAAAATACTGAATTCACATCCTGTTCCGAATTTCAAATATGTTCCTAAGTATAGTTCACCATCTTTACCCCCTACAACTTTCCTTAGCATGTGCGCTTGAGCACCTTGAGAGGCTACTCTGTTGTCGATTGCAACGTCTGCTACTGCTATGCACTGAGCTTTATTGCAAGACCACATTCGCACGTTGCCTTCGCGGCACAAGGCAAATAAGTAAGTGTCATTGCCGCATGTATGTATAACAAGAGCCATAGCAACATGGCCTTCGTAGTTACGGCCTCTTAAGGCCGTGGCTATTCCACTAAGGAATCGGGGTACGATTGAGTCTTGTTTTAATTCACTTGAATGTACCATTCCTGTCACTGTATCAAGTCGCAGCAAGAGAATAGTCCCAGAGTTGTAGGCTAGCGCAAAGAGCGCCTCTTCTTGTGGAAGCGTGAGCCATGATGCTGCGGCATGTGGTACTGGCGAATCTAAAGAAAATATTGAATGAGTTACTTTGTAAAGGAGTTACAAATTAATGACTTACTTGTCGTTCCAGCACTTGTAATAATATGGAATGTTTGAGGATCTCTAGCAGCTTGAACGGATGCCTCGCTAAGAATTGACTGAACACTAAGATCAGGATGCGCTCCCAATAAATGTTCCTGAACATGAATGGTTATAATGTATAAATAGTATTGCAAAGAAGATAACATGTAACTCTATGACTTACCTGTCTGTGTATTTTATCTGGATGTGGAAATGTGAGCTTATGAACAGTAGATACAGTAACAACGAGTATTATTACAGAATTTACTGTTTCATGAATTGATATTCCATCTAGGATCGGAGTATCAGTGAATTTGTATCTAACTCTACAATTTGCAAGATTCACGTCTAAACTGTGTTCAACAAGCTCTAAAACATCATGGGAAATGCGCCAATAAATGAAACGATTACGAGTGTAATGTCTAGTGCTGTCTTTGTACGAATAGCCTCCAGCTCTTTCTGGTACTTTGATATCTTGCAAAGTACTTTGACTTCCTCCTGCACAACAAAATATATAATTCAGATGAAGACATAGAAGAAGAAGAATCAAATATAATTCTATGAACAACGTTATTTTATTATTAACTATGTATAATAAATATTAGCCGGAACATATCCAGGTTTTGGTTATGTTATGTTATATTAACTACTTGCCAGTGTTTAATGTAATTTCATTCCACTTTTCCGGCAACGTCTGGTCGGGCACCACTTCACGATATCCCAATGGAAATTCGGGCATCTTCCTTTTATTATTATTTCCTTTAAGTGACACGATTAATATTACAGTTTAACAGTCAGTAAATATCGTGAATATATTAAACCGTTGTACATACATCCCCGTGGGTAGGGGTGGGTACAATATACAAGAATAGTTCAATAATTGACCACGAGGGATAGAAATCCCGCCATCCCGGCGTTGTCATGGCAACTTCCGTATTGCAAAATGGTGGAAAGTATTTGATGCAGCAGCATAAGCGTAATCGCTGTCAGATACGTAATAACCTGCATTGTGTGCTATATAGTGGCATTTACGACTGCATCGCGTGAATGCTATTTTCTTGTATAGACATACAATGGATTTTAGAATTCTTAGCTGATTTATCGATAATTCTTGAACGGCAGCACTGCAGCCGGCTAATATGTAGTCTAACCACAAAATAATTTGTATAAATTGAGATATAAAAATTAATATTAAACATCCATAACGTGAACTGTCATAATGAATAAAATAACCATAACGACGTTTTATTTAGTATTAAATATAATTTTTTCTATTGTTATCGTTTTACTCAACAAATGGTTGTATGTTCATATTGGATTTCCAAATGTGACATTGTCAATGATCCATTTTATCGTCACATTTGTTGGTTTAGTAATTTGTGAAAAAATGGACGTTTTTTGTATAAAAGATGTTGCTATAAAAGATATGCTTCTGATTGCTATGACTTTTTGTGGATTTGTTGTTTTAACAAATCTGAGTTTGGCGCATAATACTGTCGGCACTTATCAAGTTGCCAAGATGCTTACTACTCCGTGCGTTATTATAATGCAAATTATATTTTATAAAAAGCATTTTAGTATACTTGTTAAGTTAACTTTAATTCCAATTACATTGGGTGTAATTATCAATTTTTATTATGATCTACACTTTAATGTCTTGGGGACAATTTATGCAACACTGGGCGTGCTTGTTACATCTTTATATCAAGTTGTATGACATTTTTTTTCATTAAAAACCATTTGTAAGAAGACTAAGAATATGTAATGTAACTAAATAATGTTCAATTTTAGATTTTATAAGAATCGGGATTATGCTTTGGATAAAGTACCATAGTTATAGTCATATTATTCTTTGTCTTCTATATACACTGTCAAATATCTACCAGTGACTTATTTGTTTATATTAATTACAGTGGGTGAACAGGAAGCAAAGAGAATTTCAAATGGATCCAATGCAACTCTTGTATTATCAGGCACCATTATCAGCAGCAATGCTCTTTGTTATAGTACCATTCTTGGAACCAATTGGAAATACTCTTACCCATGAATGGTCATTTTTGGATGCTGTAAGCATGAACCAACATGAAGTTATAAGGAATGTACGATACAATCCATTTGACTTTTAACGTTGATTATTTTCAGATGATGGTATTATTATCCAGTATCGTTGCATTCTTTGTTAATTTAACATCCTATTGGATAATAGGATATATGTCTCCTCTAACGTATCCTTTGAAAAATCTAATATACAACTATGCAATCCTGCTTTGTTAATATAATTAAAAATATGATAACGCAGTTTAGTAAATAGAGTAGTATAAATATTTTCCTCATTAGCCATTGATATCAGTTATAACATGGTTGGACATTCCAAATTCTGCCTACTTCTTTTAGGTGGTAGCATAATATTTCATGAATCACTAGCAATAAATCAACTGATTGGTATCACATTGACATTGGTTGGAATCATCCTTTATGCTCATGTGAAGGCAAGTACGTGTTTAAAAATGGTTTACATCATATAATTTCATAGGCAAACTCAATTTTTTTTAGATGAAGGACAACGACTCTACGGTATCGGAGTCAACATTAGAAGAAGGAAAGCCTCTGCATAAGCGCTAAATTTTGTACAAATAATCTCGATTGAAAGCATTGTAAATAGACTATTTTCTTTTCATTATAAATTTTATCACAATTTTTTTATTTCTATTAAGATATCTTTATAAATTGATTATGAATTTTTCTACCATTTGTGAGAAAACGTAATGGTTCGTAGACATCTAGCGGAATATCGAGTATCACGTAGTTTACGCACACTAGAGTCCCTCTAGTAAGAGTCCGGCCAATGGTGGGGCTTGTTAGTGATTGGCTCCGCCATAGTCTGGGCTCTTTCCGGAATAGAATGGTGTGTGTGAATACATATATCGGAGCATTCCAGAGCATTCGTATTGTATATTGTGCGTAATTTAATGGCAGAGTGAGGTTCAACAGTGTTTTTCAGGAGAAAACATCATATACTCGCCTAGGAGACAATATAACTCTTCTACAACTGGAAAGCATAGACAGTAATTTTGAATCATGAATTGTAAAAAGATCATGGGCTGGTTTGTATGTTACATTTTAACGTATTAAGGTAGTTTGATGATAAACGGTGTTTCCAGAATGTTTTAAATCACTAAACTAAGAAATATTTTGTCATCAAAGCAATGCAATTTTCTACTGCTTTTTAATAAGGTTTATATTTACCACCAATCAATGTTTAATCACAGAAATAATGACGGTTACTCAGATGTTTTTTGAAAATTTCTTTTACACAATAAAAACAGATCATCTTAACAAGAGTTGATGTTTAATTTACCTCGCAAACCTCTTCTTTTCTTTACTGTTTAATTAAACAAAAATAATAATGTGTTATACCTATACGTATGACATTCACTGCTTTCAGCGCAAATTATAAATTGTTAGGTTTACTTGAAATTGTACACATTGTTTGAACGCACCAGTTCTAAATGTTGATATTTCCATGAGGATCTAAAACTATTTTTATATAGAGTTTGTAATGAATTTAACACATATAATAATTTGAAAAACCACGCGCAATGTCACGTTGGCGCCAAACAAGCCCAGAATATGGCGTCCCTTCCGGGTGTTGGCCAGACTCTTACTAGAGGGACTCTAACGCACACCAAATGTGTCGCATGACAACGGTGCCAAACAAATTCTGTCTTCTACACGTTTTTCTTCATAAGAAATTTCATTAATTGTATTTAACGTCATGAAGATTGAAGAAGTAAAGAGTACGGCTAAGACACAGAGGATTTCGGCACATACTCATATCAAAGGACTTGGACTTGACGAAAATGGCACAGCTATTCAGATGGCTGCCGGTCTTGTTGGCCAAGAATTAGCCCGAGAGGTTAAAAAGATAATTTCACTGAGTTCATGTATGAATTTTATGTAATCTTGTATTTAAACAGAATTTTAAACTTTATGTAGGCGGCTGGTGTGGTTGTTGATATGATAAAATCGAAAAAAATGGCTGGCCGTGCAGTATTGCTTGCTGGCCCACCTGGAACAGGAAAAACAGCAATTGCCCTTGCGATAGCTCAGGAACTTGGTAATAAAGTGCCTTTTTGTCCAATGGTAGGATCTGAAGTATACAGTTCTGAAATAAAGAAAACAGAAGTACTCATGGAAAACTTCAGAAGAGCTATTGGCTTGAGAATAAAAGAGACAAAAGAAGTTTACGAGGGTGAAGTAACTGAACTCACCCCCATTGAGACAGAAAATCCTATGGGTGGATATGGTAAAACAGTATCTCATGTAGTAATTGGCTTAAAAACTGCAAAAGGCACAAAGCAATTAAAGTTAGATCCATCAATTTATGAATCTCTGCAAAAAGAAAAAGTTGAAACAGGGGATGTAATTTATATCGAAGCAAACAGTGGAGCTGTTAAGAGACAAGGTCGAAGCGACAATTTTGCAACCGAATTTGATTTAGAAGCAGAAGAATATGTACCATTACCCAAAGGTGATGTGCACAAAAAGAAAGAAGTTATCCAGGATGTTACACTGCATGATTTAGATGTTGCAAATGCAAAACCACAAGGTGGCCAAGATATAATGTCAATGATGGGTCAACTGATGAAACCAAAGAAGACAGAGATTACTGGTAAGTTTAATTAAGATACTACAATAGATTTGTCTTATACAAAAAAATCATCATAATTTTTCGTTATAGATAAGCTACGAAAGGAAATCAATAAAGTTGTAAACAAGTACATCGATCAAGGTATTGCAGAATTAGTACCAGGTGTACTCTTCATAGATGAAGTTCATATGCTAGATATTGAAACTTTTACTTATCTTCATCGAGCGTTGGAAAGTGCAATAGCACCGATTGTAATTTTTGCAACAAATAGAGGCCGATGCGTGATCAGAGGCACTGAGGATATTTCTTCACCACATGGAATACCTCTTGATTTATTGGATAGACTCTTGATTATACGAACATTGCCTTACTCCAGAGTAGAAATAGAACAGATAGTTAAACTGAGAGCTACTACTGAAGGACTCCAGGTTGAAGATGAGGCTCTATCCACTCTGGGCGAGTTAGGCACAAAAACTACTCTCAGATACGTCGTCCAACTTTTAACACCTGCTGCATTAACCGCGAAGGTAAATGGCAGAACAACAATAAAGAAAGAAGATGTTGAGGAAGTGGGAACACTTTTCTTGGATGCCAAATCATCGGCAAAAATTCTTACACAGAATAAAGATAAATTTATGAAGTGAAACGTAACATTGCATGTTATCTCGCTAACTATGGAAACATCAAATTATTGTTACCCACAGCAGGTACTTGTATTGACCATGTTCCAATAAATGTCATTTTTTTTCACAAATTTACCAATATGATACTTTTTTTCTTTAAGTATATTATTTTACTATAACTCTAGATTAATGATAAATAATAATTATGCATTTCACTGATGACGTCCAAGAATATTGTTACTTGCGAAATAAGACGTCAATAAAACGTTTAATTTTTGTTTCTCGCTTAGTCTAATATTTCTTATACTAAGGTCTGTAAATAAACACCAGGGGTTCAAAACTATATCAATTAATTAGAAAGATAAATTTTTATGTAATTTCTATTAATTTCAGAATAAAAATGAGCCAAAAATAAAAATTTAATATTGTCTTAGAACTCATTCTATAAGTCAGTCAGGGTTAAGAAAGTTCAACTTGTAATCGGAGAATTATGACATCATCGCGTGATACCATTTCACGTGAGTATAAAATCTCAGCTTATTTCTAACTTTTCTTAGTTTAAAGCTGCTACGGAAAAGAAGAGAAACAAAGCAGCAGACGCGGGTTTTGCTACGTCGTCTTTGAGTGTACAAAACTTTATAGTTGCACATTGGTAAAAGATGCAGTGCGCTTTGAAAATTTTAAAAGGCACAAAACTTCTGGGCGTACAAAATAATGTGAACCAATATTCCCGCGGTTTAGTGTTGAGCAGTGTTCGCGCTACTAATTTGGAAAAATTGTTCCCGAATAGGGATGAATTTCAAACGAGACATATTGGTCCACGAGAACATGATCAATATGAGATGTTAAAATCGATCGGATATAAGGTAAACAATATTAAAAAAGTTATTTACTGTTTTATCTACAATAAATAAATAATTAATTATTATTCTATCTGCAATAAATAATTACTATAGATACCAGCATCATATTTTTTTTTATTTACTTAGACGCTTGAAGAACTGACCGAGACTGCGGTTCCGGCGAATATCCGCCGAAAAGAAGATTTGGATATTGAAGGTCCAGTGAGTAAGTAATGAGTGCAATTAATTGATACTTGTTATAATTGTCTCTAAAGAGTATTAAAGTTTCAATCGATACCTTCATTCAGTGTATTCATGGCTTTCTTACGCGCATGTTATTATTGAGATAAAGTCTTGCTAAACGTGACGGCTCACGAGACCTTTCAAAGCAATATTTCTGAACTGAAAGAAGCGATAACCCCGAGAAGTAATAAAACGATAATGAAATAGGAGTGATAAACAGTAATTTAAAGGACAAATGCGGATATCGCAACCTTCATATAGAAGCAGTACTGTAACAATGGATTTAATGCTATGTATGTTTATATAATTGTACAACCTCAATATCGTTTTCGATTAACATAAATGAATTATAATATTCGATCATAAATTAATTTTCATAAAGCTACAAAATTGATTGTTCTTTATGAAGAACATATTTCTTCACAAGGAACATGAAAGTCTAAAAATTTGTTTCATCATCAGTAATAATCCTCACGTGAGTTTCACTCTCGACGCACGAGATTTACCCCAACTGAAGATTAAATATTCCACAACCGATAACTTTTTTCTCGTAAGCAATGTTAGTATCTGAGGTCGAAGGTCAGAGCATATTCTGAAATGTGCATTGACGTGATATCTCTGATATACATATAAAATCAGGGATAAATCTCTTTTGAATATTTTTTGCTTCTCTTTCGTTAATTAACATTAGCCACTTATAATCATGTAGTATTTAATTGTTTATGGAGATTCTTTTGATTACACACATGTACACAATTTTTTAGCTGAATATGAACTCATAAAGAGAATCCGTGAAATTTCGGAAAAGAATGACATATGGCGCACCTATATCGGAATGGGTTATCATAATTGCTGTGTCCCACATACCATCATGAGAAACATTTTTGAAAATCCTGGATGGTAAGATTTGCTGTATAATCAGTTATCAGTATCAAGAAAATGAAAAAATCAGTTCTTATATTAAGTCCAAAAATGTATAAATAAATTTACGCAAACCACCTCTCAATTAGGACAACCCAGTACACCCCTTATCAGCCTGAAATTTCACAAGGTCGTCTAGAAGGTCTGATAAACTATCAAACAATGATCTGCGACTTGACTGGAATGGAAGTAGCGAATGCATCGCTTTTAGACGAAGGAACAGCAGCAGCTGAAGCCCTAGCTCTAGCTTATAGACAAAATAAACGCAAGAACTTATTTATCTCGGATAAAGTACATCCACAAACTGTCAGTGTTATAGCAACGCGAGCCACATCATTAGGATTGACTTACGAAGTTGGAGATGTCTTTAAAATTGAATTCAGTGCCAAAGATATTGCTGGGATTCTTATTCAATATCCAGACACTACAGGATCCATTGACAATTTTACAAACGTAGTAAAGAATGCCCATGCCAATGGTGTAAGTATTTTAGATGTTGATTATTTATATAGAAAAAAAAGGATAATATTTATATTAAAATATTTTTTCAGACTCTTGTCTGCGCAGCTACTGATTTGTTATCCTTAGCTATCCTGAAACCACCTAGTAAATTCGACGTTGACATATGTGTGGGAACCAGTCAGCGCTTTGGTGTTCCTCTAGGATATGGTGGACCTCATGCAGGTTTCTTTGCATGTCGTCAAAAATTAGTACGTCTAATGCCTGGTAGAATGATTGGTGTATCGAGAGACGCTAATGGAAACGACGCATATCGTCTCGCTCTTCAAACTCGGGAACAACATATTCGTCGTGATAAAGCAACCAGTAATATTTGCACGGCACAAGCATTATTGGCGAACATGTCTGCCATGTATGCAGTCTATCATGGTCCTCAGGGTATAAAGGACATTGCCTCTAGAGTTCATAATTTAACCCTGGTCCTTGGTAAAGGCTTGGAAAAAGCTGGTAATAAGATCCACAATGAATATTTCTTTGACACAATAACAGTGTCGCCTAAACATTCTTGGGACACTGTAAAAAAAAATGCTGAGCAAGCTAAAATAAATCTAAGGTAACAAATCAATGTACAAAAAATTATTGTGCTATTAAAATAACAATTTTGGCATTAAGTTTCTTGTATAATACAATTGTAGATACAATACTGATGGGTCCATTGGTATAACTCTTGATGAGACAACTTCTATAGAAGATGTGAATGACCTTTTGAAAGTATTTCAAGCAAATGTGACTGTCAATGATATTCTCAAGGATGACGACGCCAGTAAGAGAAGCATAAGTGAATCCCCGTTCAAGCGTACGACTCCTTACTTGCAGCACCCTGTTTTTAATATACATCATTCAGAAACAAGGATTGTGCGTTACATGAAGGCTTTAGAGAACAAGGATGTTTCTCTCGTACACAGTATGATTCCTTTGGTTAGCACTATTCATATATGACATAGATTCTTAATGGACGAATTGTAATCATTTTATTAATTTCTTTATCAGGGATCCTGTACAATGAAATTAAATTCCACAACAGAAATGATGCCTTGCAGTATGCGTGGCTTTACAGATATTCATCCATTTGCTCCTGTCGAACAAACTAATGGCTACCTGCAATTATTCTCTGAATTGGAAAAGGATCTGTGTGCCATTACTGGTTATGATAATATAAGTTTTCAACCTAATAGTGGAGCCCAGGGTGAATATGCTGGCTTGAGAGCAATTCAGTGCTATCATGAATCCCAGGGAAATGCTCACAGACAAGTTTGTCTTATACCAATATCTGCTCATGGTACAAATCCTGCCTCTGCACAAATGGCAGGAATGCAGGTGGAACCAATTTTTGTGCGTAAGGATGGATCAGTGGACACTGCGCACTTGAACGAGATGATTACCAAGCATAAACAAAATTTATCCTGTTTAATGATCACATATCCTTCGACTAATGGAGTATTTGAAGAGACTATAGGGGACGTGTGTGAGATGGTGCATGAAGCAGGCGGACAGGTGTATCTAGATGGTGCTAACATGAATGCCCAAGTAGGACTTTGTAGACCTGGTGACTATGGTAGCGATGTATCACATCTTAATTTACATAAAACCTTTTGTATTCCTCATGGTGGCGGTGGACCTGGTATGGGACCAATTGGAGTGTAAGTATTATTGATTCTGAACTGAAGTCCCCTTTTATGCTGGCCTTCAGGAAAGCGAACGGTCGGGGATTTAAAAAACTCTATTGCATTTAGCTCTAATTTGTATAATTAATTTTAGGAAAAAACATCTTGCACCGTTTCTCCCTAGTCATCCAGTAATAGATCCTTTGTCACCTAAAGTAGATAACAGACAGAATTACGGTGCAGTGTCTGCTGCTCCTTATGGATCATCAGCAATTCTACCTATTTCATGGGCTTATATTAAAATGATGGGGCCCAAGGGGCTTCGTAAGGCTACTCAAGTAGCTATACTTAATGCAAATTATATGAGCAAAAAACTAGAGAAGCATTATAAAACTTTGTACAAGGGTAAAACTGGATTAGTGGCACATGAATTTATTTTGGATATAAGGGATTTGAAAAAGACTGCAAATATCGAAGCTGCTGATGTTGCTAAAAGACTGATGGATTATGGTTTCCATGCACCTACAATGAGTTGGCCAGTGGCTGGAACTCTTATGATAGAACCGACTGAATCTGAGGATAAAGGAGAATTGGATAGATTCTGCGAAGCATTGATTTGTGAGTTTCAACTTGTTTTATGTAATAATGAACAGTTGAGTTCTATTTTAACCATAAAAAAACCTATCCTTTAGATATAAGAAAAGAGATTCAAGATATCGAAGATGGAAAATTGGATGCCAGTATTAATCCTCTAAAAATGGCGCCACATACTCAGGAACAGGTCATCAGTTCGAAATGGAACCGACCGTATTCGCGAGAACTGGCTGCTTTTCCTGCTGTACGTATTAAATCGTTGAAGACAGTAAAAATTGTTAAATTTATTAATATCGATTATATAATTAAAATACTTTTTTTCAGCCATTTGTAAAAGGTAGCACAAAAATTTGGCCCAGTGTGGGAAGAATAGATGATATTTATGGAGATAAAAACTTATTCTGTACCTGTCCACCGATTTTACCTGAACAATAATTGTACACTACACCTACATTAATCTGTAAATATTTATTATTAATTTTAATACTTTTTCAATTGAAAATCAGTATAGACATTATTCGTTAAATAAGTATACAAGAATTTTCATACTCATCCATCGAATCCGCCCGTAGTTGTAACTACTTATGCATTATAACTCATGACAAAGAATTAATGAAAATAATAAAACTTTACGATACACAATTGTATGAAATACAAGATATATTTTTGATAACATATCTAGTGACATTTTAATTACATATTATGTAATAACATTACACATTGAGTGCACTGTCTCTACGACACAAGGCAGCGTATGACAAACAATCAAAATTGACGAGTGAGCCATCGTCATGATTTAAAGTTTTTCAAACTTGTTCGTGAATCGAGACCACCGTATTGAACAGTGGAACATATGTTAAGTGGTTTAAAAAAGATATTCTTAATCTAATATGAAATTTACAGACCAGGCATTATATATGCAATATTGTCGAGCATTTGTGAGAGTGTCTCTGGATTAGCACCATCGGTTCCAGATACCTGCTGCGTAAGACAAATTAAAGGACCTAAGGCACAGAGTAGCGAGTCCAATAAAACCGATAGGCTGCCTGAAACCGCTATCTGGCCTTCGTGTTCCTTCAATCGCTCACCTATTATTGTTAGACTCTCACCGAGTAACTTAAGATGAGCGGCAACGTCAACAGGTTGCGTTCCAACGACCTTATACATTCCTGTACCAATGACAGGTTCGTTTACAAGGTCTTTGCCACCGCGACTAGTCGGTGGAGATACTGGAACATTTCCTACAACGGATGGTACTCCTAATTGAATAGTTTTCTTTGAAGACGAAGGTTTGCTTTCCTTTCCATTTCCTGTAATTTCAAGGGTCTTGAAGATTATTATTCCATACAACTGATATATTGCTTTCAGATGCTATTCATTTGGCACTTACCAATTTTATTAATGAATTTCTTACGCGAGGCTGGAGGTGGCATTTTCCAAACAGACTCATCCTTGGGTGCAGGAGGCACGTGAGGTTTGGCTGCTAAGCGTTTTGCACGTCTACGCCAGTTGTACTTCTCTAGATTTGGTACTGTAGCCCAAAGTTCTCCTAGTCGCTTAGAAATTGCTGCAAAATCTGATGACAGAGTTAAGCACGTGGATGAAGTTTAGTTACGGTGGTAATTTTTTAATAAATTCACAGTGTATAATATGTATATTATATACTTACCCATGTACGGACACTTTTCTAGAAGCTCCTGTCGTATCTCCTTGGCCCATAACATATATGCTGTGAATCTTGTTTTCTACAATGAAATAGGCAACGATGTGATCCAGTGTTATATTGTATTTGATGCAGAATTGGCTGTTTTGTTTGAATATCATCAGGATAGTTGTTAATAATACATACACCCTTGTCCTTGCGCTGCGCCTTCATTCTACCTATAATTTTTCCATCTTTGATAATCAATTTTTTCTTGCACTTTTCAAGCATATACAGACTGTTTGCCTGAGACGGAGTAGACTCCTGTCCAGGAGGTTCCAGTCTCCGGAATCCTGTCTCTCGGTCGTCGATCATCAGAGGATCCACTTCGTCCTCGCTTGCTGACTCCATGCTGAACCTCTCATCCTCGTGCATCTCACCAGCATCGTCCGAATCTGATCCTGAGGATTGCCCTTCATTGTCTGACAAGGGTTCTGCTTTAATCCTTTGATGCACCACATTAGAGCCTGAGTTTTTTCTTGGACGTGGTGTGTGTCCTTGATGACCAGAGTGACCCTGTGCCATTTGATGGTGTTGTTGTTGCTGTTGCTGCTGCTGCTGAGTCTCGTATCGATCAAGTAATTGCTGTGTCTGGAGTTGTTGAGCTTTCTGACGCTTGTATTTACTGTCCGCCAAATCATCAGGTGACTCAAAGTCCATGAGCTTTGAGGACTTTTTCCGTACTCGACCGCTACGGGATATACCCGTCACTTCTAAATCTGAAAGGTAAGGCCGACTGCATCTTGCCAAGAAAGAGTAAGAGTCCAAAATACTTGGCAATTGATAACTACTTGCCCAAGTATCATTAACATTCCAAAAGAACTATGCAAGATACTTATAAAACTCCAAGAATAAAAACTACTAATCTTACAAAGAATAGTTTTACTAACTGCATTGTTTTTTAGAGTAGAAACAAAACCAAAATACTCTACAAAAACATTCTCTACTTTCAATACGAGTATCAAAATTGGAATAAGAAATCTTTGTTTCGAGTACGTAACAGATAGGATAAGAAAATTTGATGGGAAATCATATAAAGTGGAAAAATATATATAATATATTAATATCAAATATGTAATGTAATACATTATAAAAAATTCTTCACATAATTAAGGAATATAAAAATCATATTCAAGATGAATACAGTGAGGCACACAGAGAACAAGACATTAAGAAACATAATAAATGTTTCAAAACTACTCTTGCTAATAGTATCAAGTGTTGTAATTACAAGTTTCAAAGAGGGGAATATTCAATGACGCCAATTATGTATTTTGGTAGTATAATTTAAGTCATTCCTGCCGGGTGTATCTCCGGGTACTTCGAAAGACGTCAAATCTTCATATACTATCCACGGGCCCACCATACAAGATATTTAGTACTAAATGTTGCCGCATTATGAGATCGGCGCTAGCTGTACGAATGACGCTACGTAAATATTGCAGAAATATTTTCTAGTTTCTAATGAATATCTGCGAATCATGCGACAGAATGCATAAAAATGCAGCACTCTAGTATGCACGATGCGATAAAACTAACAACTGTGTGGTAAATATGGCTAAGAACTTGTCTCACCGTCGGTTTTCTGACGTTTGGGGGACACGAACAAGTCCATTGCGCCGCTCAGCTGCTCGGAGTGTTTCTTGCGCCGCGGGGTCTTCTCAGATTTCGCGGGCTTACGAATTTCAGCTTGCATGATGCTTCACGCGGTCGATGATATAAATAAGAAATCACTTGACTAGATTTTCCGATTATTTAACATGTACCGCAACACGACAACTAGTCTAATTTATTAACGCAACCTTTTTAAAAACAACTGCAACGGAGATATTCACAGTGCACTGCGCATGGCGGATGGAACCATATAAAGCGCGGGATGTGCCAACGTATACAAATGGCCGGAATAGTAAGTTTGAAATTCAAATTAAATCACTAAGGGCCAATTCCACACTGTGGTTTATTTTATAATAGTTATCTTCGAAACCGAAGTATCTATCTATCTATATCACGGAAGTAGACTAATTACTTGTTACATTGTAGAATTTCTAATTATGTAAGAGATTACGAAATTGAGGAAATAAGAACTTCATATCTAAGTCCGGTTTTACGTAATCATTATTTTTTTAAAAGATCGTTGAGATAACCATATGTAATCATTATAAAGAAAACATCATGTAGAGTATACTTAAACAATATTTTTGGTTTAAAATTTAGTGTATTGAGTGAAAGAAAGGAAACTGGATATAGAAATCAAAGTTTTATTAAAATATATTTCTTCACAATTTAAATATCATCCTCCTGTTGCCATCCATCATCATCTGACAAAAATCTTCTCTTATGACTTGTATTCATATATGGTCTCAAAGCCCATTCTGTATCTGCAGTATTAACACTGTCCAGAGTTCCTAATTTAATTTGATATAATTTTAATTGAAACCTTGGCCCAACTTCTGATAATTCAATATCTTTTCCATTCACTTTCTTATAGGTATGGTGTCGGAATGATATATAGTCATCATGATTGGCAAAAGTGATAATTCTTTTGCTGTCTTCCTTTGGTACAGGAAACAAGAACTTCAGAATACTCATAGTCCTGTGTCCTAATTTTGTTTTAAAATTATGAAAAATCAAATGAGGGTACTGCTCTGACATTGTTCCAATATCTGGAATGTCATGTCGCATAACTACATCAGACATTGTGAAATATGCTGTGGGGCCATATGGTAGATGACATATGACAAGGGAATCAGGAACACCTCGATGCTCATGAACGATAATAAAGTCTGTGACATCATTAGCACGGCACGCATGGATCAATTGCTTCATTTCGTAATTACCACGGTTCATTCTTTGGGAATTAGGAAATATAAGTCGTAACTCCTTAACGAACATCTTCAGTCGAGAACTAGGATCCCGAGACGTAGTGATAACAATTTTGGGATCCTCTACGCCAGCCCAGCGATACTCATCGTCTTCGTTAGATGCTAGGGCCCCACCCTCTTCCGTACCAATTGCTACAGCTAGTTCTGGTCCAGCATCTTCCCATTCTATCTTCTTTTGCAAAGAAAGGGCTGTTCTCCTTAAATCTGGATGGATCGGCACGTTCTCTTCAAGACTGCGTTTTATCCTGTCCTTTTTCTCTTGGATACTCTTTAACTTGTCTTGCACTGCTTTTCGATAGAGATATTCTCTTCTTAGCCTTGCTTGTCTTCGTAACATCTTCGTTCACGAGTTTATATGACTTTTCGAAACAAAAAACAGTCTGCACAATGCAAGACAAGCACGTCCTAACTAAATGCTGTCACTTAGGTTATGTTCAACAACACGTGTTGTGTTTCATTATGGCCTCCTATTTCAGTTTATACTTGCTAGGTGGATAAAACGATATTAATTATCATTTATAGGTAACGTGTCTACTAGAGGTAAAATAATTGCTGCCAATATATTATTCGCCATAAATCAGAATAAATGATAAATTATACAGATTTTGACATTTACTAATGAGCTTTTATCAGTAATATAGACTCTGCAAGAAATTAACAATAAAAATGGTACTTAAAAGATTCGTGCTTGACTTCTTTGTTTGATAATTATATCCCACTTCACTAATTATATGTTTATTCAATAAATTTTGAATTAGTAAACCACTATTAACGTCGATTAACAAGCACTAAGAAAAATTGCAATTAGTCAAGTAATTTCCTATATTTTCACATGAGATTAAAGCCTAAGCAGCAATTATTTACGAACTAAGCGAAAAATTCGCAAGATGTCAGGGCGATGCGCAAATTCCACGGATCAAAGACGTCGAGAATCAGCGTGCGCTCGCTGAGAATCCCGTGTGTCGTGTGTGCGACGTCGCCCGCCTTCTAGGTGGAAAATCGTCAAATTTCTACGTTATCCGAATATTTACGACGTGCGCGGTCGCGATCACGGGGATCGCCGTAATCTAACACGTTCCCCGGTAGTGAGTTTTTGCCCTGAGGTGACGTAGTTCCACGATAAACCGACAGTGTACGTAGGCCGATCGGAGCGAACGGCGTTTTGACGGGTCGCTGCCTCAGTCTTTTTTAGCGTGGCGGCCATATTTCTCATCGTCACATGCAACCTGTTGTTTTGAAAGCGTGGAGAAGACGGAGCGAGCGCGAAGGCGCATCCTGCTGATCACCAAGAGCCGGCACCCGACATCACCATCGCACCTACTGGACGTCTTCCGCCAAAGGGTCTCACCGCAGGATGAACGGGTGAGCTTTTCGACCAACTGAGTAAATTATCGACAGCCAGACGAAGAGCTAGGGAGCGCCCGAGCGAGAGAGTCAATTCAACCAAGCGTCCTGGTACTGCTGATGCTCGCGTTGCTAAAAATGTCCAGGGTGCCAATCAAAATAGCGAAATCCGAGTCACATTAACTTCATGTAGAACAAGAAAGAAAGACAGAGAGCCAGAGTAGTAATAAGCAGAGTTGTTATTACCAAAAATAAACGAGACTAAGGGTTAAACCTTACCCTCAGGAAACCGTTAAAACAAATTTTTAAACATATGATTGACTTCTCAGTCATTCCTCTACTGTTACCTTTACTTAGTCTTGATAGTTTGACTCTTGGCATGTCCACGTGTACTTCGTGTACTCGCAGCCTACCGTACGTCGTTCGCTGCTCCTGCGTAGAACAGCGAGACGATAGCACGTGACTGAGTTCAGCATAGGGATGAATGTAGCGAGGGTGCAGAATCTTCGAGTGATCGTCACAACGTTCCACAGAAAAGAGATGAGTTTCCATTTGGAAATACGAATAAGCTAGATTGATCTTAACAGAGTCGTATTGACTCAATATTTTTACTTAAAAAAATTAGTCCTTTCATCTGATCGCATTCGACTCTACGGTCGGTATTTCACGACGCTGTCGAATCCTGCTTGAATTTTGCACTGTTGCCGCCCGTTATCAACGAACGGTCACTACCTCGCAGTAGCAGAAAGGTCGTGACTGATAGCGCCGAATCTTACCGCTTGGCTACCATAGGTGGATAAACAAAACCCATATATGTACATACGTACATACGTATGCTATATATAAGAATCAATCGATTGTTTCTGACAGTTTGGGCCTTGTTTCTACTAAGTAATATTATGGTATACAGTTGAATATGCGTGTCTGTTATTTACAGGTACAGTGAAGGCACAGATAGAGTAACGTCCTGGACGTGTATATTAATATGTATAAGAAATTGGAGCAGATTGGCCGTCGTGAATTCCAGCGTGGTTATTTTAGCAATATATAACATGCTTTAATACGACGAAATTAACCTAATGCGATGTCGTCATGCGCCTCGAATAATACACCAGCCTAAGCCTAATGGGCAATAACCTTGGCACGAACAGTACCACATCGTAATACGATTTATTGAGTCAGCAGAGATTCACCAGGTCCACAACGTACGGTATCTTCCAGGTTAATGGTGGATGTTCAATATATGGTCTTCAATCTGCCACCAGTTGAACGAAGAGCAATATTCAATAGTTTAGTGATATTAGGAGGCAGCGATACGAACCGTAGATTGACGTTCAAGAACCCCATGGATTTTATATATTATTGGTAAGAGAAGGCGTGGCAGTAGACAGTAAGCTATTGAAACGTTAATCTCAGAGTTATCTCAGTTTCTCCTGGTGAATTTCCTCCTGGAGTCAAAGCTGTTGCTGTGCGTATGTTATTCAAGATACGGATGTTTATCAGGTACCTAAGCCACCCATAGACTTTAAGATGATCCAAGGGAAGGTTTCGGATGATGTTTATCTGACAATTCTACCTCCTAGCTACCTAGGTCGATCCAAGGTGACCTCCCTACCAATGGGAACATGATATTATCAACTCTCTCTCCCTTTCTTGTCGCTTCCCCATGCTTTCTATCTCGCCGCCATTATAGATTGCCACTTCGCTGATGAGCGGCTGGCGAACATAGTGCTTACGACTTGCGATAACGAGCGACAGCACTTTATTTTCAATAGCGATGGACAACTCATGGTGCCGGATCCACTAGGATGCACCAGGTCAGGTCAGCCCAGAGTGGTATTATATCGGAGATGAGAGAGAATAGCGACGAGTATATATATATCCATATATATATATATATATATATATATATATATATATATATATATATATATTACATAAAAAAAGAGAGTGGACAGGAAAAATAACATACATGCATATACCTGTGGACAGGTGCACTACGAGGTCTCGTGAGTAAAGTGCATGGTATTCGGAACAGGGGATGGTTACGGTCTGACCAGGACGGTGGTAGAAAGAAATCAATGCAACTCGATTGACACTAGTCAGCAGGGTACGGGTGCATTGCATTCATCGGTATAATCGGCCGGCGCTGCAGGCACCGTCGGAATGGGCTTCAGAGAGAGGGGGAGAGGGATGCTGCGGGGATGCATCAAAAAGTTGAATCGTCGGACGTGCAGCGATGCATCGGTAATGCACCCATCGCAGGCTCCGGGGCCAATTTACTTCTGGAGAGTGGGAAGGCTTGAGAGAGGGAGAGAGAGAAAGAGAGATAGAGAGAGAGAGAGAGAGAGAGAGAGAGATAGAGAGAGAGAATGAACTCCCTACTGTGCTCTGGCTTGGTCCGTGTATCAGCAATTACTGGGCATTCATGCTACGGATGCACTGTGCCTTTCTCTCTCTATCTCCCCCCCCCTTTCCCTCTCCCTATCTTTCTCTCCAACACACTCTCACTCACTCTCTGCTATATTGTTCCCGTATAGTCGCAAATGCACGCACCCACGCACCCTGGAGGAGAGAAACGTCCCAAAATCATAATTATGGCCTCGCGGGTCCAGGAATTCGTGTTTGATTATCATAGAGACCGTTTTCAAATATTACATACGTGCATACGCAATACCCTGCATTGCCTCTGTACGTATACCAAATATCTAGGTACATATTCATTTTGTCTACATACGAATACTCATTCATTCATACGATTCGTGAAGCAGACGTACCTTTTACTTGCATCTGGTTAATTTTCCACGTAGCGAAGATTCTTTTTTTTTTTTTAATTCGTTTAATAGAAAATGAAAATGGGAATCCATGCCACTGTAATGCCCGGTGCTGTATTATCCAGTATCACTGATGCTGCACTCACGTGCCTATACTCAGGATTTCTTATGCTGCGCCTTAACGACGTCGTTTTGACGATAATAGACTGTGGCATTTTGCCATGAAGCCGAAGCGGGCGTAACAAGCACGTCTCCCGCTGGAATAATCCTGGTATACGTTGACCACGCGCCGTTCGGCCGTTTCGTCGTGTGTGACATCCCTTTAGGATCAGCGTCTCTCGGTGCTATCTATCGTGAAAGCACATGTAAGGATCTACTAGAAAAATAAATTGTTACAGGTCGAGTGAGGTTATGTGTCTTATTGTTAGTTGCGGTTGTCGAAAGTAGACGAGAGTTGGGTTCGATGAGCCGTCGACAAAAAGTTCCCGGCATTCCCCTGCGTGGGAAATATATTTCCGTGTGGGTATATATAAGGGTTTCTGTGGGTGTGGGGGGGGGGGGCGGGGGTGAAGTGGAAAATAGAATGCCAAGGAGACGCCATATTGCCTGAGTCTTGGAAGATTCGAATCTGAGCGATGCTTTTAGCGCTTTTAGGGACATTCTACGGGCGTTTCTCTCTACCTCTCCCTTGGGGTGGTTGCACGATAGCTCAGGGGGTGAAAATGGAAAGCTAAGAAGAGAAAGGGTGTCTTTATACGGTACGGGGTGTATATGACGACGCGTACCGGTAAAAGTTCGTTTAATGAATTCGAAATTGAATGTCTACTGTGTTTTTAGCCTGGCAATGGCCTGTATCATATGATTATCGGCAAAGGCCCTGGATATTCTGTATCTGTCCTCTTATCAGGCTAGCCAATATATATATTGTGACGTGATTTTTCGAATCACGGTTCTAAGGCGGCTCCGCTTACCGATACAGATAACGTTCTCGATTTCTGGTTCCCTTCGGGTCGCCACCCTGCTCAGAAGCTGCGCTCTCGGGTTGATTCGTATAGTTATGTCAAGGCTCTCGTAAGATTTCGTTATTGTTGAGTTGAGGTCGAGGTGCTCGAATCTGCCGTGGGGAGAGAGTCTCGACGTACCGAGTTGCCCGGCAGAGGAGAGTACCCGACGGAGACGTCTCCACGGACCGGCAGAAGCCCGGGTGAGATACCGGCGCCCCGCTGGAGGTGGGCAAAGGGCTGTAGAGCGGGTGGAGGTAGTTTTGATACGGTTAAGGGCAGGGGAGGAACCTCCTGCCCGAGTTAAGGACGTGGTGCCCAGCTGTCGCCCGATGCCCTGGGGAAGCGGCCGTGGAGGATCTCCACAGATTACGTACCGATTCGCTAAAGAACGCTCTCGATTTGGTTTAAAGGGACGACTCGAAGGAGATAGAAGAGTTATCGGTTATAAAGCTCTCGACCAATCAGAATGATTAGTTCTCGGATTTGGCTATTGTCAA